GTAAGGTAGCGTCCTAGAGGGCTTAGCGTTTTTCTTTAGCTAAAGTAATATACTTATCTAAGAAGTTATAGTCCTTAGGCTTATAGAGGAATTACTATAGTTATAGTATAAGGTTATTATAAAACCTTATTAGCTATTAGTATTAAGTCTAGTTACCTTATGCCTTAGTATACTTAAAGTAAGATTAAGTAAAAGTATAAATATTATACTACTTATTAATCTTATTAGTAGTAAAGTAATTTTTATAAAACTACTTTTCTACTTTAATAGGGGTTAGTCTAAAATAGTGCTTAAATTACTTTAAGATTACTAGCTAACCTTTTTACTTAAAGATATTTTACTTTACTTTAGTAAGTTAGAATTCTTACTAGTTTTATACTTATCTATAGAGGTACTAGTTAATTATTTAATAAAAACGCTATAAGGATAAAAGATCTCTATAAGTTACCTTAACTACCTAAATCTAAAGCTTTATATTATAGTAATACGTTATAAGGTAGTTATAAAAGATAAGGTCTAGTAAGTACCTCTTAGTATTAGTATTAGGCTAAAAGATTTCTATAGTAAATAGCGTCTATAGCTAGGCTAAAAAATAACCTAAGGTAGCTATAATAGTTACTAGTACTACTACTACTTATATCTAAGTAGTTATAGTATAAAAAAAGGCTACTATAAGCTTTTTTATATTTAATACTAATAAAAGTAGTATAGCTATAGTTAACTATAGGCTCTTTTACTACCCCTACTAGCTAGGGTTATTTTATAACTAGGCTATACTTATTAGGTCTTAGTGTTTTTATAATTATCTTACTATTAACTTTAACTTTACTAATTAAGTAGCTATAGTTATAGCACTAGCCTCCTTACTAAGGTACTAACTTAGGGGAATTATATTTTTTACTTAACCTTAGGCTAGAGGTAGTAAGTATTATATTTACCCTAAAGGTAAGTATATATCTTATTCTTATTAGCCTTAAGTATAGTAACTTATACTATCTAGGAATTAGCTTAGTATAGTAAAAAACTATAGCCTAAGTAGGCCTACTAGTAGGATAGTATTATAGCCTAGTAGGCTTATAATTTCTTATTTTTTACCTTTTAATTTAGACTATATTATTATAGTAGCTTTTACTTACCTTAAGAATAATAAGTCTAAAAGGATACTTCCCTCTTATTTAAGTGTATTACTTATTATAATATCTTTATTTAGGGGTAGTTATTAGGGAGGCTTTTTTTAAAAAGTAAGTAGTATTTACTTAGTTAGGTTTCTTTTTAGTATAACTAGGTTTTTAAATAACTAAAAGCTTTATAAGTTACTATAAGATAGTTAGATATCCTCTACCTTACTATATAGTCTTAATAAAAGCAGTAGGTTAATTCTTATATCTCTAATAATCCTTTTTACTATATAGAGGGTGTCTTTAATCTAAAAGGGGTTATTAGCCTAGCTAACGTCTAACTAAAAGCCTTATTACTAGTTATTACTAAAGTAGTATAATATGTTCTTATTAAATTCTATAGTTATAAGGGATTATATATTATTATAGAGGCTTTAAGGTAGTTACTAAGTAACCTTATAGGTTAGGTTTTCTTAAAGCTATATATAGAATTACCTAAAGTTAGAGATTTATCTAGGTTAAAGCGTTCTTAGTATGCTATATCTTTAAGCCCTTTACTCTTATTAGGGTGTATATATTTCTTTACTATATAGTAGTAAAAAAAAAAACTTAATAAAAATAATAAAGATAGTAAAAGTAATAAAATAGTATAGATTAAGATAGTTATACTATTACTTAATATAGCCTTCTTAGTAGCTGTTATAGTTCTAATAAGATAAAGCTAGGCTGTAGTAGTGTTATAAAGTAACGTAGTATAAAAGTAAAGTGTAATAGTAAAGTAGTAAAGTAAGATAAATAATAATAAGGAGCTAAATAAATAATATAAGATAAGATAGGTAATAGATAGTAAGTGTATTTATAGTTAACCCTCCTTCTATAAAAGGTTACTTACTAAAGGGATATATACTTAGGGTATACGTAATATATTATATATATATTAAGTATTTAGTCTTTACTATTTATCTGTCTCCTAACTACAGGCACTTACTACTTTATCTTATAATATTATTACTAGTAATAGGACTACTTATACTATTAACCTCCCTTAAGGCCTATAAACTTTTTATTTAACTATTATTAAACTATACCTTAAAAATACTTATAATAAGTAATAATAGCTACTCTCTAAGGTAGGTAGGTAAAGTAATAAGGAGAATAATAATAATAGTATAGTAGCCTTATTACTTACTAATATCCCTACGCCTACTAAAGAAATATATAATAGTATTACTATTACTATATACCTATAGCTAAAGTAAAAAGCTAGCTACCTATAGAGGTATATTAATTTCTTTAATAAAACTAGCTTTACTATTAGGCCTACTGTCTTTTTTACTACTATAAGTATAACATACGTCTTAATAAAAAAAGAAGCTAACTAACTGTTATTAATTAAGCTATAAAAAAAGGGTATTATTACTACCCTAAAGAAGCCCTTTAAGTAAGTAACTACTACTAAGATTAAAAGGCTTATTACCTATAGGGTATTTTACTTTATTTAATATAATAAGAATAAGTACACTAGAGTATAAATATTTAAGTTATAGATTATTAATAAGGTAAAAGGCTAGAATAAAAAACTATATAAGAAATCCTACCTTATTATCTAAGGATATACTAATAATAGTAAAAAAGTAATTCTTACTTAGTTACTTATAATCTAGTAAGCTAGCTAGCGCCTTATTCTTACTCTTATTTTATCTTTTACTTATAATAATAATAATTTCTTACTTTAGTTATATAATATTACCTAGGTATATATATAGTTAACTACCTTATTAAATTATATAATTCTTATATACCTTTTATTATAAATATAAGACCTTTATCTAAAGGGCACTATTATATAAGTAGTAAAGCTGTTATATAGTATTATAGAGGTAGGCACTTACTAGTAGGTAATATATAGTTACTACTATAGAGAGAAGCTCTAGATAAAGACTTTAACTTTTAATTTATTCCTACTAATTACTAATATAAAGAGCCTAGACTTTAGGATTATTAGTATATAGACTAATAATACTATTACTTTTTTAGATAAATTCTTTTTTACTTATAAGGCTAATAAGCTTACTAAGGCTATATTTACTACTAAGGAGAAGTAAATCCTTACTATTAATAACCTGCTTACTTTTAATAGTAGTATAGTATCTCTAACTACTAAGGGGAAGCTCCTTCTCTAATAAAAAGGCTAAAGTAAGAGACTTTAACTTATTAATAAAGAATCTTTATAAGCACTTAAGTAGTACGTTAAGTAATAAGCCTATAGTGTATATATTATATTAGTCTACTAGCCTAAAGCGTACTTTAACTACTTTATTATAGTATAATACTAATTACCTAATATAAATAAGATTAAGGCACTTAACTATTATATTATATAGTAAATAAATAACCTTAACTATAGTCTATTATTTTACTTACTTAACCTTAAATCTATAAAGCTTTTTATTTTTATAAATAGATTATTTATAAATAATAAGGACTTTACTTTATAGCTAGGATTTATTATTATTCTTACTAATAAGGTACCTATAAGTACTACTATAGGTAATAAATTTACTATAACTAGTAATATTATTTACTTTAGCTTAATAAAGTATAAGTAAGTTACTTAAAGTGTACTAGCCTTTAAGATCTATAGTATAGTTACTAGCGCTAATATTACTTATACACTTAGTATAATTATTATAATAATTACTAACTACCTTAAGCTACTATATATACTAATAATCCTTTATACTAACTTATACTTCTTTTATAAGTACCTTATTAAGCTTAAGACTATAAAAAAGAAAAAGCTTATAATTAATATTATAGCCCTCTAGTAGTTATATAAGTAATATAAGGTCTATAAGGTATAATAAATATAAAGTAATAATAATCCTACTAATAGATTTACTAAATTATTACCTAATAAGGCGCTAAAATAACTAGTTAGAAATAAAATAGTTTAGATTAGTATAAAGAGATAAGTTTTTTAAGCTATATAATAGATTATATAAATAAAAAGTATTAAATACTTTTAGGCTTTTAATTTTTATTACGTTTTTAAGCTTTTTAGCTACTAGGTAGTATCTAGGCTATTTATAGTAATTTTCTTTTACTTTAGAAAGTTACTAGTGTTAAGATATTTAACTATTTAATAGTAGAGCTAATCTATAGTTATATAATTTACTATTATATAACTTATCCTAGCGGCTTACTTACACTACTATAAATACCCACAGTAGTAACCTCTTCTCTTTTCCTTGATCATTATCTTCACCTAGCTACTAATAGTTAATTAATACTATTACGGCTACCTTGATTGCGATCCCTGTGATACCAACACTAACGTTGACGCGCTGCGGATAATAGGCCGGTTACAGACAGTTATAGACCTTCTAAGGCACCTCCTGTATCCGCAGGCTAGCCCTCCCAGCAGTGGCGCTGCGGGCGACGATGTCATGGTCTGCTATGAAACGATGGTCCTGTTGTACCTTAGGAACAGGTGGCAACCTGAACAGGACGAGGATTCAAACTGGCCCCAGCTGTCGTTCGCCATGCGGTTTGGCACCATTCGACATGCCATATTACCCAGAGCTACTGCTGCGCAGGCTTGATACCGCCCATCAACAAGGAGCAGGTCGAGGAGAAGATCAAGGACGAGGCGGCCGATGCTGCGATTTCCGCTGCCGAAGCGTTGGATCTCGACGTTGCTACAAGGGCGTTCTGTCGTATCGTCATTACGGCTGCTTCCATGCTTTTGACTTTCACTCCTGTAATTAGTGAGCCCCTAAATCTGCCGGCTCCGACGTCAAACTCTACAAGCCGCTCACTACAAACAACGACGGTGGCTACCGAGACAAGGCGGATAAGACGGACGAGAAAGTATGACGTTCAGACCTTAATCCAAGCAAAAGCACCAACCCCCATTTTTCGAGTCTTGCAAACTCTCGCCGAAAGAACAAAGATCATTCCCAGAATCATGCAGCTGCCGGCAAAAGCCTGGGCTCCGGCGTATCTACCTCCCATGGCGTCGATAATGGCTCCAGCAATCGGTGATCCGGTCAGTGACGCGAAACTCACCACGGTAAAGACCATGCCCATCCTCGTCCCCTGCTTTTGCGGATCTGTAGTCAAACTGCTGAGCACTGACGGAAACAGCGACTGAACGCCTCCAACGGAGATCCCATAAAACACTGACCAAAAGTACAGCCCGGTGATGCTGTGAACACCGGCCCAGCAATACATGATGGTACCGGTCATGAGAGCCATGGGCGCAAAGATGTTGATCGTACCAATGACGTCGCCGATTTGAGCTGGGATAATGCGACCAATCGCGCCCACGCCATTGAGGACAAGCAGAAGATCTAGTGATTCCGTATAGGATAGTCCCATGATGTCGCGTGAGAACGCAGCAAGATAGTGAAATGCAAAGTACGTTCCCCAGAAGCACTTGTGCATGTCAGACTCTCTCGGTCGCGATTCAATTAGATGATCACTCACCATGAAAGCTCCAGCAGCATAGAAGCTGTACTCAGACTCTTTGAACGCCGCCCATTCTACCAGCGGTGCAGCTCTTCGGGGTGGGATCCGGGTCTTCATAAGAAGTCCAGCCATGACCAGAGTCACCAGTTGTATCAATGCTATCGAACGGATTGTCCAACCCAGGCCGATCTGTGGCAGCAATTGTCGAACCATGCTTGGAAAGGCCAGCCCGCCAGCGACAGCCCCCGCCGCAGTGATACCGAACGCCAGCGAGCGGCGTTTCGCAAAATACGTCGACGTGACAGCCATGCAGGGGCAAAAGAGGCACCCGTTTCCGAGGCCCAGGCAAATGCCCTGGGCGAGGAAAAACTGCCAATAGGTAGTGCAGAACGAGGCTGCCAACATTCCGAGGACAACCAGCATGAAGCCGGCGACAAAGAGGGCTCGGAAGTAGCCCATGTCTGTCCAGCGTCCTGTAAATGTTCCCACAAAGAAAAGGAGGAAGACTTCGAAAGAGCCGATCCAAGAAACATCAGACGGCGACCGGGAGAAGAGGGAGGTAAAGTACGGCTGGAAGACACCAAACGAGTTTGCGACACCCCTATGAGCTTCTTAGCGGTGTGGCTTCGCGACGCGACCGAGTCCATGGCACTGACCAGGTGTTCATCGTGGCAAGAAACGTGCCCAGTACTATGAAACTTTGTCAATAACATTTCGCTATTGTTCTGCATCGTGACTCAGTTGTGGTACTGACCGACCATCCATGCTCTTAAACCTCCATCCGGCGGCGGATCAATGACTAGGTTGAGATGCGAATTAATTCCGTTGTTGCTCCTTGAGGTTCGGGCTGTGGGGGCTCTCCCTGTATCCGTTTCTGCATCATGGCTCTGACTTGAAGGAATGTTATTGGAAATTGGGAAGTGGTGCCCGCCTTGCTCTCGCTGAGTCGCAACTTGTTTCTCTGACATCGTTACAGACGGCAAGCTTAACTTGACTATTTTCCTTCACAAATCTGGCGCGAAACCGAATGATTTGCGGCAGAGGGGGCGCGGTTTGCAACACGAGGGAGAGTGAGCAGCAAATATGACAAGTACATTGACCATATGATCATGACTGACTAAACTAGGAGATTTAACATTTATAACGGGTGTCAATGCCAAGCAAAAGGCCGGTTGGGGATAATGGGAATGTTCCGACTTCGGCCCAATGGGGTTCGGAAACGGCTATTCACAGGAGGTGAAATATCCAAAGTCCGCGTAGTTCGGCCCGGTTGTCTTAGGGCAGAGGACTCACCAGCTCTCATTAGGTAATGTAGTAAACACTTGGAGCAATGTTTCTACGCCGGTCGGGGCGCCCTGCAGAGGGCGTCGGGATTCAGTCGGCCGACAAGATTTGAGCAATGTTGAAGAAGGATTGTCTGTCTGGATCAATGTTAATCCACCAATCATTCAGTGGTTGGCTTATCAAGTTCCAGCCTTAGCTTAGGATCATTATTGTTGATTTCAACTTTGCTACCTAATGTTGGCTCTTCACAAAATCATATAACGTCTTCTACGGGTTTCGCAACGTGCGATTGACCACCACCTAAAAGCCCTCAGTATGGTTTCACCCCAGCCAACTGAAGCAGTTTGTCCGTAATCTCAGCCTTCTCGAATGGCTCCTTTCGGTATTTAGGACACACCTCTCCGTTCCTCTTGGGAGGATCTTGTGAGGGGCGGATGTTGCTATCAAATGTCAGGATACACACCGAACCAGTCGGACACGAGTTGAGCTTACCAGTGAGGCCAATGCGTCGTTCCGAAAGAGTTTTCAAAGCAGAACTTCTTGGCCTCCAAAGCCTCGTCGGTCGCAAACTTTCGGGGCGTCATGCAGATGTACTGCACGTGTCTGATCTGGTCTCCTTCGGGGAAGCGGGCATAGTGCATGGTGCGCGAGTCCCAGAGGACAAAGTCTCCAGGTTCCATGTTCACCTTGAACAGCTCACAACCTTTGCTCTCGAACCATTTGACATCCTTCTTGCTAAAGAGAAACAAGTCCATGAATTTGATCTCGGGTGGAGGCGCATCCTCGTGGTCGGCGGACTCGCGCTTATGAGCGAAGAACTCGTCAAAGAGCTTCGCGGAACCGCGCATGAGCATCAAACCGCCGTCTTCAGGGCCGTTGGGGGCGAAATTCAGAAGTCCTTGGACTGCTTGCATGCTGGCGGATGTGAGTATTGCGATTTTGAGAGACAACAAACAGCGGCGGCTTACCCTTTTCTCTCGGGATTCTGGTCGCAGTGAGGCCAAGGGCTCCATGTGATGTCTTTGCGGTTTGGCAGAGAAATGTTCATCCCGTCAAATGAGGTGATGAGCTCGTTGGTCTCCCAGAGCTTCTCAAACACTTCGATAACCTTTGGCTCTAAGCGGGCTTCCCAAGCCATCTTTTCATGAGGTGCGCCATATGCGGAGTACATGCTAGAGTGGTCAATTAGCTTGAGAAGGGAGACCAACGAACCAATATACATACCCTCCTTTGAAGCTGACGGGGAGGTGATCCGCGGTCCATGTGGCTGGGTCCTTCTCATCGAACCTTAGCTCGAATTTCTTAAGCCACTCGATTTGTTTGTCACAGTAATATTGAGCTCGTTCCTTGCTGATAACATTCTTGATGACGACGCAACCGTTCCGGTGGAACTCATCTCGCCAGTCCCCGTAGACCCTATTGCTATCGAAGGTAACAAGATCTTTGCTTTCGAATTGTGTGGCGAAGGTTCGCTTGATTTCAGTCGGAGCAACGGTTTCTGTCTGGGTAGCCATTTTGACAGCTGATATTGGGTATGTATGTCACGTCAAGATGGGTTATATATCAGTTGGAGTATATGAAAGAATATTTTTGGATGCTGAATCAGTCGAATACGGCGGAAGCTGCGTGGCTTTATAGATTTCTCTTTATTCAACGGGTTGCCATCGCAGACGGCTCGCGGTCTTATAATCATCCTGCACGAGTCGGCCCCCCACTGGAGGTCCCGGCCCGTTGATTCACTCGGCAATGATGGCCGGCCGGGCCGGGATCTCGGTTCGGGTCGGTTCGGAAAACCCACCGCAGGACATGGACTTGGCCCTGCTACCTCGACGTAGCTTATGCCGATCCCCCAGGTTTCACGGGACCCGCAAGTTAATGCTGCAGGACTAACTGCTAAGAATTGATGACTGATCTTTGCATAGTATGCGCAGATGGAAATCTAACGCAGATGGCTTCCCGGATAAGTTCAAGATCACCAAGACCAACGGAGAATACCGGTGAGATAATCACGGTATGAGCCGAGTAAACCATGTTCTAACGTGTGACGACGTTATTAGGCAGTTTTATTTCGCGGTTGCTAGGTCTGCATCTACTCCCTACGGGACGACATCGATTGGCAGAGGCTCGAGCAGGACATCCATCTTGTTATCTCCATACATTGGTCCAGAGTTTGCGCTGGTAGATGATTTGCTGCTATCTATTATGGTCAGGTAGAGCTGGCGACTCGTGGGAATCGAGATCTGCTGCAGGGTTGTTGTGGAATATTTCACGATCCCAACAATGACGTTACTGCTGTGAGAGGTTTGAGAAAGCCGGTGACACTTCTAGAAAGCTTGCAGCTTGACAACCATTCGATCAGGATCCTGCCTCATCTTCTCTGTGTCGTCATCGCAGAGTCGCTCCCCAGGTTGAACCCAAGTTAGGCTGAATTTCCCAGGGTTCAACCTGTCAACATCAGAATGGAATCGAACAAAATTTTCTTAGCCACGTTTTCCGCGTGCGGAGCAGTAGAACAAGACCTAATTAGCGGAAGCATCCGATATTGTAGTTTGTGACAGAAAGTGAGAGAATCTGTATTGAGCACAGTTTAGCAAGTGACGATATGATGACTTCAAATCCCCAGTCAAGTAGGAAGTCTATCAAGTGGAGACCTATTTCGTGATGCATTCAGGCGAGGCATAAAGTCTCTGCAATAAACCAACAAGTTGATGTATTGAAATAAAATGCCTTCATTTGCATCTTCTGTGGCTCTCGGTGCAAGTTTTAATTGTTCAAAAACTCCTCCTGGCTATCATCTTCTATTATTCAGAGTAAAATGGCAGCTGTAGCAAGGTACGCAGCTTTTCAAGCTCTCCCAGCGGCAAGACTGACCATTTCAGTCACATAGCGTCAACGGCTTACAAGGCCCATCCCACAGAAAAAATGAAGGCCGCAGTCTTTCGGGGCTCCAAGTCCATCGCTGTCGAAGAGGTTCCGAAACCGATGATCACAGCGCCCAAGGATGCCATTGTCCACATCACGCACACGACCATCTGTGGTTCCGATTTGCACATTTACAATGGCGAGCTGAACCAGGCCATGAAGAAAGGAGATATCATGGGCCACGAAGCCATCGGTATCGTCGACCAAGTTGGTCCAGAGGTCAAAAGTCTGCAACCCGGGGACCGGGTCATCATCCTCCCTGTGATTGCGTGCGGTGAATGCTTCTACTGCAAACGCAAGGAGTACTCTCTCTGCGATAAAACAAACCCCTCGAAAGAGATTGAAAAGATGTACGGTCACAGGCTATCCGGCATCTTTGGATACTCGCACCTCACTGGCGGATACCCGGGAGACCAAGCCGAATGGTGTCGGGTTCCCAACGCCGACCTGACATGCGTCAAGGCTCCTCATGACATGGACCCGAAGAAACTTGTCGGGCTTGCCGACGTCACCACCACAGCATGGCACGGGTGCGAGTTGGCTGAGGTCATGGAGGGAGACATTGTCGGGGTGTGGGGATGCGGCGCCGTTGGACTCTCTATCCAGCGACTCTCGAAGCTCCGAGGTGCCAAGAGGGTGTACGCTATGGACGTCGACCTTAAGCGTTTGGAAATAGCCAAGGAATTCGGCATGATCCCGGTGGACGTGTCAAAACACGAGGATGTCGCAGAGTACATTCTCTCGGTCGAACCTATGGGCCTTGACCGTAGTATTGAAGCAAGCGGGTTCAGGAGTGCCCAGTCGCTTGCTCACAAGGGCATGCGGGCTTTGAGGTTGGAGGGCGACAGCGGAGATACGGTGTCTGACTGTATCAAGGCAACCCGTAAGGGGGGTAACGTTGCGCTGATTGGCGACTTCTTCTTCTCGACAAACAAATTTCCCATTGGCATGTTGATGGAGAAGACAATCACACTCAGGGGGGGGCAGCTCATGGCTCAAAAGGTATGTTTGCCAAAGTCTTGATGTCAATCATGTATTAACACGAGCGTAGTACTATCCTTTCCTTCTCAACATGGTTATTGACGGCAAATATGATCCTTCTTGGATGTTCACTCATGAAGGTATGGAGTTGCACTCCCGGCAGAAGAGATCAGTACTTACCGACGAACTATGCGCAGCCAAACTAGAGGACATCGACAAGTGGTACGGCTTTTTTGATAGGCACACAGTCCCCGGAGGTCTCAAGGTCCTACTCACAACGGCGTTTGGGAGGTCACAGAACTAATACGACCCCAGAATGTGTAAGATGGGTGGCATTATCAATCAAGGGAATATTTGTTGTAATTCAATCTTTAGCAGGTTACGAAGCTATGGTATACCAAAACATCCAGCCATATCCCTGACCAGATGATTGGCGGTTGCAGGTGACGCTCTGTGGGCCATTGAACCCGGAAATCAATCGGTGCCTGTCAATGGTCTTTGAAGCCAGTGAAAGGGAGTACACGAGCACGACACAGTAGCAAGGAAATTTAGCCGGCAGTCCTTCATATAGAGTTGCACCCGTGATTTGAGCCGATGGGTAAGAAATGACTGGCACATCCTTGAAGCTTTTGGTATGCGTCATATGACCCTATACCTACTCTTTGCGGGACATGGAAATGGTAGAGTGGCGATAATAACGAGGGAGGGGAGCCTTGTCTAGTGCACTCCCCATAGTCGGCGGAAGTTCAATGCCAGTTTTGTAGTGAAATGAGACTACCTACTATAAAAGGAAAGCCAAGATTGGTAGATCGGGAAGTCCTCATGTGCCGCGCCAATCGGGATATGGCCCTGAGGCCCTAAGATGCGGGGGATACTCATGGGGGGTGGGTTATCTTGCTTTGAGTCGTGAAAGTCAGGCGTTCCATTGATGAGTGTAACCTCACCACTGTCATTGCCGTATAGGCATGCTCGCCAGTCGCTGTATTAGACGTGGATGAAAAGAGGCAAATTTGCGAAGGCTTTACATAGTGCAGCTGGACCCTGTTGATCATCTCCAGGAAAGCCAAGTTGGGCCACCGTTGAATCTCTTGCCAGGGACTACATAGTTGATGCCAACCCACCCAGACCAAGTTTAGTATTGAGCATTCATCTTCAGACCCGAAGGAGTCACTGAACTTCCTGCTCTCAGTGCCCTAGTTGCACTTAACCTCCGCCTCCCACCGGTGCCATCATGTGGTCCAAAACGGGAATACTCCCTGGACTGGCAGCCCTTGCCCTTACTGTCGGCCTGTCTTCTACAGGTAATGCACAAGCTGTTCCGCCTGTCGGTCAAGACCAGGGGGTTTCTGCTTGGGGTTTCGATATGAGCCAGGTTACTCTGAGCACCGGCCGGTTTTTCGACAACCAAGCTCGCACTCTGGTCTACCTCAAATGGATAGATGTCGACAGGCTCCTCTACGTCTTCCGCAAGAATCATGGCCTATACACGAACAACGCCCAACCAAATGCCGGCTGGGATGCTCCAGACTTTCCGTTCCGGAGTCATGTTCAGGGCCACTTCCTGAATGCCTGGGCTTTCTGCTACGCCCAGCTACAGGACTCTGAGTGCAAACGGAGGGCCACATACTTTGCCGCCGAACTAAAGAAATGCCAACACAACAACACAAAGTTGGCTTTAACAAAGGATATCTCTCTGGCTTTCCCGAGGCCGATTTTGATGCTCTCGAGAAACGGACTCTCAGCAGCAGAAATGTTCCGTACTACGCCATCCATAAGACCATGGCCGGTCTGCTCGATGTCTGGCGCCTCATTGGCGACACAAACGCTCGCGATGTGCTTCTTGCCATGGCAGCGTGGGTCGACCTCCGCACTGGTAAGCTTACGTACCAGCAGATGCAGGATATGATGGGCACCGTGTTCGGCGGGATGAACGAAGTATTGGCCGATCTCTGCCGCCAAACAGGCGATCAGCGCTGGGTTACGGTCGCCCAACGCTTCGACCATGCCGCCATCTTTAACCCTCTCGCATCGAACCAGGACAGTCTCAGCGGCTTGCATGCGAACACCCAGGTCCCCAAGTGGATCGGTGCTTCGAGAGTACAAGGCGACTGGAACCAGTCGGTATCAGGACATTGCGCGAAATGCGTGGAACATCACCGTCAGCGCACACTCATACGCCATCGGCGGAAACAGCCAGGCCGAGCACTTCAGGCTACCCAATGCCATTGCCGGCTTCTTGACCAGTGATACATGCGAGGCGTGCAACACATACAACATGCTCAAGCTCACGGGGGAGCTGTGGTTAACCAATCCGGATACGACGACATACTTCGACTTTTACGAGCGGGCGCTGCTCAACCACCTCCTCGGCCAACAGGACCCCTCCAATAGTCATGGACACGTCACTTACTTCACCCCCCTCAACCCCGGTGGTCGCCGAGGAGTAGGACCTGCTTGGGGTGGCGGTACCTGGAGCACTGACTACAACTCATTCTGGTGTTGTCAAGGCCAACGATAACCCGAACGCCGCAGCGTTGGCGTTAGGTCCCGTCATCCTCAACGGCAACTACTGCAATGAGATCCTTTCGACCACGCCCGCGTTGGACTTGGCTACTGTGAAGAGGAGCGGAGCCACCGGGCTGGCTTTCACGGCGACGGCGGGAGGCAAGACGGTGAACCTTGGACAGTTTTATGATGCGCAAGGTTTCAACTATAATGTGTACTGGTCTGTCAATGGGAAGCTGCCTGCATGAGGAAACTGTAGCGGCACTATCCATTCATCTCCCATGTTTCTGCTTGACATCGGGCTTGGAAGGGTTTTGATCGTTTGGATAGTTTCTCAATCTTCTCTAAGCCTGCAGATCCTGACCGTCTCTAGTGGCTTTTCACCAAAGTCGAAAGTTCAACAGTTTTGGGAACGGGAAATCGAGTCTGCGGGTCGGCAGCAATAGTAAAACGATTGGTGTTCTCACATACTAACAGCAAAATGAATCACAACTTAATTACCATGCCCAAAAGGACAGGCTCGTATCAAACTCTATCGTAAATGCAAATGGCTTCTATGGTATCATGATAGTATACACCTCTTATCCCTTTCACTTTCAAACAAATATGGGCGTAGTCTTGGTCTTCAAGCTTTTTAGTGGCCCAGCTTGCGAATCTGACCCGAGTACCAAGCCTGAGGGAGTTGTTAGTAAAGAACCGGAACATGTATAATCGGAGCAAAATGTGACATACCGACTCGGCACCAGCACCGATGAACTTCATACCCATCTTTTTGGATATCCAAGGGGCCTCAATCTTCCTAGCATATAGCTTGGCATCCTCATCCTTGACAGTGCCGGCAAGGATGGTGTTCTTCGGCAGAGCCGGATTCAGAACGGCAGGCCTCGCCAACCCGATGAGATCGCAGCCGTTGTTAGTGAGTGCAGCCTCCATGCCCTGACGTGAGCGGAAACCACCAGTCACCATCAAGGGAACATCGGGGAAGTCGCGGCGGATGACCCGGGCGAACTCCAAGAAGAAGGCCTCGCGAGCCTTGGTACGGTCTGACTTCTTCTCGTTGTCGTTATTGCTAAACATCTGATTGTGCGTTTCATCAGCAACGTCCCAAGCAAAGATCTGATTCGTGCCTGGTCACTTACCACAGGGTCCTCGTAGGAACCACCGCTGACTTCCAAGAAGTCAACGCCGGCTTCGGTGATCAGCTTCAGCTGCTCGATACACGCATCGAGCTCCGCTTGCGCCTGATGGTCGACAGAGTTGAACTTGATGCCTACGCAGAAGGTCTTGGGAACCACCTCGCGGATGGCGCGGATGATCTCGACGACGATCCTGACGCGGGCGGCGGGAGAGCCACCGTAGGCGTCGGTGCGCTTGTTGATTTTATCGGACATGAACTGGGCGAGCAGGTAGCCGTGGGCGCCGTGAATCTCGATACCGGCGAAGCCGGCATCGGAAGCCAACTTGGCCGTCTGCGCAAAGCGGCGGACGACGTCCTGGATCTCGGCGACGGTCATCTCGCGCGGTGTGCCAAAGACCAACCCGTTGATGAGGCGAGCGACGAGACCGGAGCCAAGATCCAGCGGTACCGCACTGGGGGCCATAGTCTTCTCCATAAACCCGCGCTTGCCCGCGCCCAGAGGCGACTGGCGACCGGGGTGGTTGACCTGCACGATGGTCGGCGTGCCGTTGCGGTTGCACGCCTCGGCCCAGGCCTTCCAGGCTTCAAGCATACGGGCATAGGGAATTGCATCGTTGTACGCGATGTCCTTTGGCGAGCCCAGGTGTTTGATGTCAACTTGCACGTTGCCTTGATATCCACATTAGCTAGAGCCTCAGTCACGCTGGCGTTGAGTCCTTACCGGTCATGACAAGTCCCCAGCCGCCGTCTGCCCATTCGCCATAAGGTGCATGCAATGCATCGGTGGGCAAGCCGTCGCTGTCGGCCCAATTTTCAGCCATGGCGGCTTTTGTCAAGCGATTTGGTAGAGTGAGACCGCATTTCAGCGTCAAGGGCTTGGCAATCATGGAGTTCGACATTGTGATTGAACTGGTGGGTGAGAAGTTGCACCTATTAACAGAGATCTTCCAAGGCGGAGTGAGTTATGATTCAAAGCTGTCGGCTATTTTGTGCAGCTTAATTGGACTGGAGCAGAATCGATGCGCATTTTCAGATTTCTGGAACCACAGTGGGATAATTAGTTGCCATTTATCAACAAAATATGCCAACTCCGTTATTGCACATTCTCACAGCCACAGATCCACAATAGGAGAGGAACATTCTCGTTGAGTGTGATTCCTCGGGATAATTGGCTGATGACAAAGACAGAAGATTGGCCAGCATAACCGGCGGCATCCGTCGGGCTCTAATCAAGCCGTGATCGAGCACTTGAAAATTTTATACCGAGGCACAGGCATATGAATCATGAACCCAGCCACGTCTTTAGGCGACCGGAGGAACATTCCAGCCGAGTTGTACCTTCGGAGATTATACTACCTAGCACACTAGGTATGACAAGTGAACTCCACTAGGGGCGAACTTCAGCCATTGATCGGACTTTGGCAAATGACCTCAGTTTCCTTGTCTCAGATAAAGATTGCCTCCACACGCTAGGTCGGGAACGGTACGCAAGGTCTCGCCCGGGCCTCGGACACATGACATCCCGGAAGCTCAACGACTGTGACGATTACCAAGCAATTCTCTTTTTTTTTTCTTTTTTTTTCTGTGCATCGTACGGGTTATCGGTAGAATGCCAGTGCAATTCCGCCTAACCTAGTCTAGAAACACAGCCACCACTGCTACCACCATAGCCACTATTCATTAACATTTAATTACAGAGTAGAAATACTATATTCTGTCACCCTAACTCTAGCTAACCCAAATCGTAACCTAAACCCTAACCTCACCCCAACTGCTTTGCTAAGAGCCTGGTCGGCCGCTGCTCATGAGGAGTGATTAGTGGTCTGGGGGTTACAGGACAAGTACCTTTGATGAAGTGGAACAGACTAACAGTAGATAGCGTAGGTCAGTGATAGGGTTAAAAATATCTATAGATATCTATATAGATTTCCCTATAATAGAATCTACAGATCTAGTAGATATATCTATATAGTTAATAGATATAATAGATATAAGTTTTTAAAGTAAGTATAATCTATAGGTAAAATAGTTAAATCTGAATAGATAATTATTTAATTATAGGTCTAGATACTTAAGCTTATTTAATAGAATAACTATTATAATAATCCTATATTCAATAGAAAAAGACCTCTAAATCCCTTAGAATTACTTTTTCTTATACTTAATTAATTAATTATTAGCTGTTTCATTTAGTTTAATATTTGAAATTATTCTCTTAATTTAATAAAAGAAGTTCTCTTTGCTAAATAAATAAACTAAATATCTATTTCTATCTAATCTTATAGATATAGTTGTAAGGGGTTCGGCAACCAGTCGCCCTTTATAAGGCCATGTGTGGTGCATTTCAGGCACTTAGTGCCTGAACTGATTGATCTTTTGGCAATGCCAGAATGGTCTATTGACAGGCGCGGCACACCACCCATACCTTGACAATAGTCTTTTTTTTAAATCTATAACTGGAGAATTAGTTTTTTATAGATATGTATTTTAACTTAATCTATAGTTATAGATTTAAAACAAAACTAATCTATTTGTATAGATATCTATAGATCCCTATGGATTGGATATTTTTAACCCTAGTTAGTGATTAAATACCTAACAGGGACGTAGACATTCCTATGCCTACTATGTATATAGATCACTATCACAGGACCCCCCTTCTAGAGAGGAGGTCGACCTAAATACATTATTACCACTGTTACCTGTCTTGTCCTCTGGCACTTGTTCACCTCCTTGTTATTACTTGCCTTGCTTACTGCTTTGCTGTTACGCTTTACCTTTGCACTGTGTCACCTCACAACACTATTGCTTAGCTACACTATCCTACTGTAGCCTGGCTACTCCTGTTAGATCTGCGACAGCTGCCAGGAAGGCTGTGTCACAGGGGGTATTTCTGGCGTGCACAACCCCTCCGGAAGGGTACCTAGGCCCGGATGCACTAGAAAGTCAGGTTTATGCGATGTGTCTTTCTGAATCTATTGTATCTTACTACTAAAAGAGGGAAAGCGTTATTTGAATTAGGCTTTTCTACTGTTAATCTTAGCATGATAGATAACTACTACCAGATTTAGTAGTAGTGACAACTGCTACTGCTGCTGGCGCCAGTAGTGGTGACGGTAATAGTAATAGTGATGTTAATGGTGATAGTGATACACTATTACAAACCTACAACTATTCAAGCAAGCAGTGAGCTGGTCAAGGGCTTCACCCACTTTAGCGGTACTTTTAGCATAAGGGTGCTGTGGCACAAGTATTAAGAAGTTCCTCCTGGCCACTAACCACTCCTCGGGTCCTCATAAGCAGCGACCGACCAAAGCCTAAGTAATCTTATGCCTTTATGTGAAGGGGTTTGGGTGAGGTTAGGATTTAGGTTAGGATTTCGGTTAGCTAGAGTTAGGGTGACAGAATACAGTATTTCCAGCCCCTATCCTGATTAGGTTAAATCACCGGTTGCCGACCAAATTGCACTAGCATTCTACGAGTACCTATCGTATATGGCTGTAAATATCCGATCCGGCCAAAATGTCGAAAGCGTGGGTATGCATGTCTCTGATGGAAGTGCCGCAATATGACAGCAAGATCCAGTCAACAGCCCGAAGCTGCATCTCCCACAACTAGTTTGAAACAAGATCCAAGTAATGATCAAATTCGGATATTAAAAACAAAAGTGCCGCAATATGACAGCAAAATTCAATCAACAGCTTGAAGCTGCATCCCCCACAACTAGTTTGAAATAAGATCCAAGTAATGATCAAACTCGGATATTGAAAACAGCCCTATCGTCGAGGCATCTGAGCATTTAACAGGTTTTAGGCAGTCATGGGGGCCCGGCGGCACCTTTACTACACCTAAGTATCATCTTCTGGATAACCATTACCTAGCACCTCTTATTTGTGGGTAAGTGAGAATAAAAGGTCTAGACTTCGAAGCCGAGCTGCCTCTGCCAGATTTCGGGCCGTTATGGAACCTTGGAGATTAGCGAGCAAGGCTTAGCTCAGTGGGGTACCTCACCGTATCTAACCACCTTACGCAAGTAAATCTAACGCTACAGCTACACGTAATACTAGCTAGGCCAGCTCGGAAAATTCAATATACCTCGATTACGTGGTACAAGGCAGGTGATTAGTTTGAGATCGCTTGCTGTCCAAGATTTACATGAAGATGCACGTTAGCAGAGTAACGAGGCATTTTTAGGGGGGCATGATTCAATGTTTTGGTAGCGTGCAGCTCTTTAAGATTACGGAGTACAGCTAGGATTAATACACCTACTATAGCTTCTGCTGCTATGCCGGTTTACCTAGCGAAAAAGATTATGGTGTTTGACCAAAGTGGTTAGGAACGGCTAAATACCCGTACTTAGGTTGCCCTCACTTGAGCAATCCAAATCTGGGCATATGCTCCGTCATGTGCACTGGGGTAGTCCCTGCTGAATTCTCCTTGATAGCCTACTACGTAAGGGTGTGGTCGGCCGCCGCTCATGAGAAGTGATTAGTGGCCAGGAAGGACTTTTTGATGCTGGTGCCATCCAAACTATAAGCTCATTGTACCGCTAAAGTAGGTATTAGAGACTGTTTAAGCTGACCGCTTCCCTGGCTACTAATCACTCCTCATGAGAAGCGGCCGACCACAACCCACACAAGAACGGGTGTATCATCCACGAGCTGGCTGACTCGGGTAGCAGGCCGTCTACGAGGAAGGTACTTAATGAGTAGAGAAATCCAGTAAAGGTCGAACAGGTATAGCACCGGAGTCAACCATAAGACTTTTGGGACTTGGGAGAGCTGTCTCGTCAAGGGCCATCAAGTTCTATACAGACAAAGGAAAAAAGACTTAAAGCCGACGACAGCCCAATTGACACGTGCATAAAAACAAGCTTAAGGACTTTATTTCCTAACACGGGGCACAATGTGACCCGAATGCCTGGTGTTATTATGACAGTATATAGTATGTTAGATTAATATTTGCAAGTGATTCTGCATGTATAGGTTCAAGTATACATGTACCAAAAGTCCCCTAATTTTCCCCGGTCGATAATAGAAGGAATATCGGATTTGATAGGTTGCATGACAAGCAGATCCTGGTTATCCGATTCGATACATCCATACATCCATCCGCGAGACAGCAAGACCATACAGAGTACGGAGTAGACTAGATCGCATTCTGCACTGCCACGATGCTAAGCGACTGTATCTGTTGAGTCAAATACCCAAGGTCTCACTTCGGTTACGTTCCGAGAGAATCTACTTGGAGTCGAACCCTCGGAGGCATAGTAAGCGATCGGACAGTACACGAGTCGGAGTCACAGAGAAGAGCGTTATTGCTTTCAGTCGGTCCGATTTCGACCCTGATCTGCTAAACGCCCTAGTGTCTTAGTAGAGATCCCGGCATGTAATTGCCCAGCTATCTGCTGAGTCTGGGTGACAGCTGGATTGAATTGGCTGAAACGGTACATATGGAGACTCCGATTCTTGCATACCTATCTGTGGATCTGGAGAACAGACGGTCCAAGCTTACCGCACCTACATAGTATGATAGATTATAGGTAGTAAGCTTGAAGCCAACGGTCGTAATGACGGAATCTCCGGGAGTAACCCAGTAGGCTGCTTGTGCGTCAAGCACCGATTGGAGCGTTGGAGGAAATAAGCATTCATTATTAAAGAAGGATCACACCCTGGCGCATATATTGCATCAATATCTTAGGGCCAGAATGTGGTTGTAAGGCCAGAAGGGTAACCACTGCATCCCTATTACGTGCATGCGCAAGGCTCGTCAGTTTCTCCTTAACGGCGCACACACCCGGGATCGGGCTCGGGCTCGGAGCGTCCGTCTACAAGCGTGCAGCAATATGTGCCGGCCAGGGGTATCGAGTGAACAACCGAACCAGACATCATTTGATGTCTGAGGGTCTAGAACGATGCCATATTCTTACGCGAGCCATGTTCAGACATTCAACGGTAGTATTCCCTTTTCAGCACTTGGCGAAGATGCGTCTCTAAAGATCCAAACAAGATAAAAGGAACAGAAGAGCCGGTTCGGTCTTCAACCTTTTTGTTTTCGGATCACCGCCATCTCAAAGCTTGCCTCTTTTCCAAACACCTGCCAATACATTGGGTATCAGTTGCTTCGTCATTTTCTCAACGCACTTATCTCAACTCAAACAAGATGGTGTTCAACAAAGTCGTCTCGGCTCTGGCCTTCGGTCTGCCTGCTGTACAAGCCGTGGTTCCATCGATTCCTGGCTTCAGTCTGACTTGGAGCGATGACTTCGTGGGCTCCCCCAACAGTCTACCAAACACTGGCAGCTGGCTCTTCGATGACGGCACTTCCTATCCCGGGGCCTCCGCCAACTGGGGCACCGGAGAAATCCAGACCTACACAAGCAGTACCAACAACATTCGTCTGGACGGCAACGGCAATCTACAGATCATAGCCATCAGGGACGGAGCCGGGGCATGGACGTCCTCCCGCATCGAGTCCCAGCGTGGTGACTTCATGGCTCTGGCCGGCGGCAAAATGCGTATCCAGGCCAGTCTCAATCTGCCCGATCTTGGCCCCAACGGCGTCGGCTATTGGCCTGCTTTCTGGTCCCTCGGCACTGAATTCAGAGGCAACTACTGGTGAGTTTAATGGAGACCATTTGGAAAGTATTTGTTGCTAACTGTTTCTTCAGGAATTGGCCCGGCATCGGCGAGTGGGACATCATGGAAAACGTCAATGGCGTAGACCGTGTCTGGGGTACTATGCACTGCGGTCAGACTCCCGGCGGCCCCTGCCAGGAGACGAACGGCCTCGGTCAATTCCGCGAATGTCCCGGCAGCCCCTGCCAGGGCAACTTCCACACCTACACCCTCGAGGTCGACCGCACTCAGGGGCTCGAGGCTGTGCGGTGGTTCGTCGATGGCATCCTTTACTGGCAAATCGTCGAGACCGACCTCCCTGACGACGTCTGGGCTCGGGCCGTTCACTCGCCTCACTTCATTCTGCTCAACCTTGCCATCGGTGGCAGTTTCCCCAACGGCGTCTATGGCGGCAATACTCCCCTCCCGACCACCGCCTCCGGTGGTGTATTCCAGGTTGAATATGTTGCTGTCTACAACGGTTAAATTTGTGGATATCATCGCTTGTGGTTACTCGGAGATCCATCGTTGAAAGGATAATACCCCCTCTCTCTTTGACTCGGCACTTTCGTGTTTGAGTCTTATTATCCTCCACACACTTTATCTTTCTGCACATACTTCATTATTACACAATGTACTTAGATATTTATAGACTAGGTTAGGGTTGTATAACCTTGACCTACTGACCCGCGCTTCTATTACTAGATATAAGGTCTTTGACCGCCCTGTGTCATCACACAATCCAATATCTAGACAATATTTTTGCAGTAAGAGAATTGGGACAGGAGCTCCTTCTTCTGCCTCTTGGCCCCAAATTTGCTATGCGCTTCTCAGGATAGAATGACCTCTTGAAATATTAAAACCAATATTCAATGCCAATGAAAATGGCAACTTCGAACTGTCGGGTTGACATTCTGATATATTCTCTTCGTACAAAGTATTCATGCAATCCATTTCATGCAAGGATAGTGTCGACAGTATGCGGACGATGGCTCAACCGATGAAGAGCTTGGTCAGAGATATTGACGACTACCCACGTCACGAAAAGAACACTAAAGCATGATATAAAGTCCAATTCCGCTGACTATCGTTAAATGTCATTTAATTGATGTTCCGTTTGGTAGTCATTAAGGTGGATATTTAAATCAATCGTTAGTTGAGGTTTCAGACAGAGTCTCCCAAATCATAAAATAACATGTTTCTCAGATCGTCTCACCTTGTTCAACGAGGCTCCAAGCAGTGACCATATTAGCTAAATACCCCACTAAGATTCGCTGTGCCGGATGCCGCTGATATAACACGACTTGAATTAAGGCTATGTTATTATGGTAACGGGAACAACTGTGCCAATCATGAATGGCAATAGTCCATGAGCATGCAGTGGGTGATCTCGGTCGTGACGAAATTCGTCCAGTGGGTGGTAATACCACTGATCAGGTGCACAAGATGTGAACCCTCAAAGCTACAAAACATAAAACACCGCAACAGGGTTAGGCAAGTATGGCGCTTCTTTCGCAACATTTTGAGATTCAAGTCTTTGGAACCATATTCCATGTTCACGAAGTAGGACATAGGCCTGTCCTTACCGTTCGTTGTTGGTGGTGCTTGTGAAGTTTTGGGTAACAAGAATAAGGTTAATGCTCGGAAGCAAGACTCCCACAAAGGGCTTATAGAGAATTGTACGTTACTAGTAATAACATACACAGTAAAATGAGGAGTGTAGTTCGATTGTGAAGGAAATTGCTCTAGGGTACGCGGAACACAAAGCAAAGGCAGTAGTCAGAGGGTCTCTAAAAGCAGCCCAGATAATGTTAACATCCTAGAGAAGATATGGGAAAATGCTTTGCTGGATGTTCGAGCCGCGCTCTGCATCCGACCCCGCGATGACGCGAGAGACCCTGGTGATGGTGGCATCTACCCCTCAAAACCCCATCCCCAGCTCCAGCCGCAAGAATTGGGGAAATCACATACTCCAAGAAATATGCTTAATTAAGAGAAGAGCGGCATATGGAATTTTTCAAAAGGCGTGGTTTCCTACCTGGAAGATGTGTAGTCTCTTCGTAACCAATTATTCCATCAAACTGCGATATCTGATGGCGTCAGTGCTACGAAGGTTGATGCAATACTGCCAAAACGTTGATTGACCTAGACTCCGGTAGCGCTGACGCCCATTTGGAAGATCTCTTGCTTCACGGAGACTTGCACGATTGTCAAAGCCTTCCAAGATACATTGTTTTGGCCAAGACCTGCGTGCTTTCAGGAGGAGAAGGGGCTTCTTCTCTTACTGGCTAACTCCAATGGCGTGACGATGCGCACTGTTGACACCACGGCCCATTGTGTATACTTGCCCGATCACAGTACCTTATCTCATGCAGGTCACGGCTGAATTCGAAGCCACTGCGAGTAAGCATAAGTTGATTCCCGCAGGAAGAAGCTAAGAACCGTTGCGCTATCATCTCAGCCCCCAGCGTAACGAGCGATTGCTAGCCACACTTTCGTCCACGAGGGGTGAGGTCTGCCTGCGATGACCCGGTTCGCGTACTCGTTCGTCCAATTTCAATACTTTCCAACCCTCTGCCTCCGAAACCGACAAGGTTATGTAGCCGCTTCTGAGTAACCATGTCGAATTTCAGTGGTCCAGGGGCACATCTTCACCTCTTATCGGTTGATCTTCTGGATCGAACCCCAAAATCGCTATCCTGGTATTGCAGTCAGCCCAACTTTGACCAACCGCGGCCACAGCAAGTGCCAAGAGCAAAACATCGAGCTGGGTAAAGCCTGTTTGACGACTTAATTCCCCACGATGGCGACAGAATCGCATATGAAGAGTTTTGCCCACTCATATGGATGGTAATGCCTTGGCAAATGAACAAGCAGAGATATAACGTTGTGGAAGCCGGGTCATGGCCATGAGGCAGCCTGTACCTAGACCTTCCTGATCCGGTCGCAAGCATCGACCTCTAGAATCAACATTTCCCAAGAGTCAAGAAGACTGTCTCTGTCCAATCCTTGCCGCGAGGATAGTCTTGCCAGCATGCCGCGGTCCATTGCAGAGATCCGGCCGCACGGCACCGATGAGAAGTCAGTGTCGGTGCTGAACGAGAGTAAAGAAAGTCCGGGTCCATCAGTCACTGAGGTCCTTCAAGAAAAGCCGAAAAGCACATGGAGATCTTACATCTGGGACACCTTCGACAAGTCTCCTGAAGAGCGTCGCTTTCTCTTCAAGCTCGACGCCGTGCTAATGACGCTGGCGTCACCGCGTCACGGCATCAAGTATCTTGATCAGGTATGACACAACGTTGTAAAACCATCATGTACCTGAGAATAACAATTTCAGGTCAACATCAACAATGCATTCGTTTCGGGCATGAAAGAAGACCTGGGCCTATACGGCAACGAACTCAACTACATGCAGGTTTGCTGGACAGTTGGCTATGTTGTTGGTGAAATTCCCAGGTAGGCCATCCGCACATGTCGTGCCAGTTATTACATCATCGCGTTTTCCTAACACGATTGTTAGCAATATGCTCCTGACGCGCATCCGCCCCGGAATTTGGATTCCCATCTGTGAGGTGAGTCCAAATGGTTCATACGTGGCATCATTGTGTAGCGATTTCACTAACTTTTTTTTAGGTGACATGGTCTGTCCTCACTATTCTTCTCGCCAAGTGTTCCACGGCCACCCAGATCTATGTTTTGCGATTCTTCATCGGCCTGGCCGAAAGTACGTTTTACCCTGGCATGCAGTACATCATCGGATCATGGTACCGCAAGGACGAGCTCGCGAAACGTTCTTGCCTCTTTCATGCTATGGGAAACGTCGGTTCCATGGTGTCTGGCTACCTCATGGCGGGCACGCACAGCCTGGACGGCGTACACGGCTATCATGGATGGCAATGGCTGTTCATCGGTGAGAACGATCAACATTCCTCTATTGACTTTTGATGTTTTGCTTACAGTTCTTAGTCAACACTGTCGTATCACTGCCTATCGCCATCTCTGGGTTTTTCTTCATGCCAGATTTGCTCGAGATCACGAAGGCCTGGTACTTCACGCCCGAGGAAATCGCCCTGGCAAAAAAGCGTATGGAGTTGGAAGGTCGCGCGAAGCGCGCACCTTACACCAAATCCAAGTTTATCAAAATCTTCTCCAGCTGGCATATCTGGACATTGGTCATCCTCTACATCGTATTTAACAACGGAAACGGAGGGAATTCGCAACCCGCCTTTCCTCTTTGGCTCAAGTCGGAGGGCTACAGTGTGCGTCAGGTTAACATCTATCCCACCATCACCGAGGTGGTCAGTATCATCACGACTCTCATCTACGCCTGGACGTCCGATAGTCTCTTCAAAGGCGCACGATGGCCGGCCATAGTTTTCTCTGGCCTCGTCAAGATCATCGCTTACGTCCCCCTGACGGTTTGGGGCATCCCGAATAGCCTGAAGTGGGCGTGCTTCATTCTTTGTGGTTTCGGCGGCGGCATCAGCGGTCTCACCTTTGCCTGGGCCCACGAGATCTGCAGCGATGATAATGAGGAAAGAGCACTGGTCACGGGTGCCATGAACCAGATGGCGTATGTCTTCCAGGCCTGGTTACCTCTCGTGATCTGGCAACAGGTTGATGCCCCGGCATACCCCAAGGGGTACCCGAGTATGGTTGCACTCTCCGTTGTTCTTATCGCTATTGCATTTATCATCAGGTTCCTGCACAAGAGAGAAAGTAGATTGAAGGCAGCGGCAGGGCGTAGTGTCGCTTGATGTCTCTTTCACGGAGGCATACGGTGGTGGATACTGGGTGAAGTAGTTCGACTACGACACGTAATTCTCGAGGAACAAAATCGGCCGTCTTACCCTTTTAAGCTACGAACGCAAGTGTATCAAAGGCTAGAGAGTTTGCACTTAAATGGATGCTGACCTTGGAGAGATTATTGATCATGAGTTCAAGGATCATGTGTTGAACATTGCAAAGTTCTATTATCAATTCAACCCCTGAATGCTATTTCTGATAACTAGGATTCAACATTAGTTCGGAGGTCATTAGGGTTCAACCTAGGTCGATCGCCCAGAAACCAATCGCCCCCAATTCCCCAGCCTTGATGCCAGCCTTTTCCAGAATGTCTCTTGTCCCGGATCTCCCAGAAAAGCGAGCCCTTCGCCAATCAGCATGAAATTTAGTGGTAGACTCGGTCTTCAGAGTCACTTACATCATACACTCGTCTGAGGTCCTCTTTGTGGATTTTGCCATCTTTTGCTAGTAGCATCCAAGTGGTAACCCACTCGAAAAATGATGCTGACCACTAATAGAAAGCGAATTGATCAGCATAAGTCACATGAATTACTACTGCTGCATTCATAATCCCAAGCTACTCACTCCAAATGGATCGACGGCACATCGGTTTCGGCTCATTAAGCCAAACACTTCACCCAGCGTTAGGGTATCATCTTGTCGGGCACTGCAGTTTGCAAAGACGTCTTCGAATCGCTGTGGAACGAATCGACCCTCGCTATCGTAGACGCCAGAGTCGGATCCGTGCTGTATCTCGTTAGCGCAGGATTCGTGTTCATATTGCATTGAATTGAAACTGGTACCTTTGCCTTGTGCATGCCGCCGACGTAGAGTCGGAAAAAGGGGTCCGGAATGTAGGAGTACTGCATGACAGTGCCGTATGAGAACGCGAAAGGAATAACCGTCGCAGCTAGCAGGCAAGTGGCAAGATTAAAACCCAAGTCTCGGAAGCCGACCCAAACGTCAATCGGAGTGATGACACCGTCGTTATTGCGATCCCAGAACATCACGTGCTGTTGCAGCACCGTCTGTCGCAGTATTAGCCTCGATCCAACCTCTTTACGTGACCATCATCGGTCTTACGTAGTTATTGTATTTCTCCGAGTATTCCACACTGCCGTGCGGCTTGTCCACAGATGGGGCAAAATTCGCGTGAGCAACGCCAGGCGAGTCGATGGCCTTGCCGGCATTGACGGCAGGCGGGCGACGATAGGTAATCGGGCACATAGGTACCGCCGTTGCGAAGTCTGGCCCGTCGCCCTTCGATACCGACTTCACTTTGCGGTCGGCTCGCAACGCCTTTTTGGAGGGTTTAGACTCAGGAGCATATCCATTTGAGAGTTGGTCCATGTTGTAGTCTGGCGGGTCGATATGGGCCATCGTGATCTGCTCAACCTGAAGAAACCTTTTGTCGGTGGAGAAGAAGTGCGAGAGGTCGATCATGACAAGCTGTGATATTTAACTACTCCCTTCTGTTGGGCGAGTCTCTGGTTGAACGTGGCTCATGTTTGTTGAGTGACATCATGACAAAGTGTGCTACGTGACATCATTCACCCATCATTGTGAGAGCCGACTGCGCATGATGCACTCTAAGAGGATTCAATGTTAGCAGAGCATGTGAGGTGAGACACGAGTATGCAGTGAGGTCAGTTGGGGGTTGAGGATCCGAATAGCCCTAGCAACCTCTTGTCGCCAGCACTGTTAGTATGCAGCCAGGGATTGACATCCGATCTACCTAGTCCTAGTCAAAGGCCCATCTCGGACCGGGCCGAAAAGGTGGTATGGTATTGCGTTTTCGTCCAAGCTCCGCATGGCATCTGAGCTACATGATTCTGAGAATGCCCAATCTTTTTCAGAGACTTTCATCTAGAGGTGACAGCAATTGGCAATATACATGACTTAGGAAATGACATATTCATAATCTGGTTCGGGGGTTTCAACTTCAAAGTCTGTAGTGTTTAACGTCGTGCACCGTAAAGCGTACCAAACCTTCTGGTACTGGTACGCAACTATTATATCGTAGCTCCTCCTACCTTAACATCGCGACCACAGATGCCTTTTTAGTGGGGTCCGACATGGGACGAACCGTGGTTTAATAAGATCGGGGCCCGACGGCACCCGTTTTTGTTTCTCCGTGCGCGCGACAGCCGAGACGTGCCGTTCGCTGATCCGCGGGACGCCGAGCTCTGTTTTATTATATATCAGCTGCTATTCCTACAAGTCGCCATCACTTCCCCGTCTACTGTCCACGTTGACACGCGTTAAGAACGTTCCTTATCGGACAAAATTAAAAGGAACTTGCAAGATGAAAGCCCAGAATCAATATGCAGGACAGGTAGGTACCGTTATTGAACATGGAGAAATGAGCCAACTGACCCCGAAATAGACGGTGTGTGTCGCGGGCGGTTCTCGGGGTTTGGGCTTGCTTATGGCCGTAGAATATGCGAAACAAGGTAAGATTCTCCCGCATGTCACACAAAGCTGCACACGTCTTTGCCTAACTGCATTGCTTCCAGGGGCCAGTGTTGTCATTCTTGCCAGGAACCCGAAAACCCTGGAGGTAGCTACAGCAGAAATCATCGCCGCTCGTCAATCGGAAGACCAGACCGTTCACGCCATCGCAGTCGATCTCAGTGACTACATTGCTGTAATTAAGAAATGGACGTTCCGTCTCAGATTTTAGGTTTGATCTAACTTGCCATGTAGCTGAGAAGTGCCATGTCGGAACACGATGCGACACCAGATGTGCTGATCTGCAGCGTCGGCGGAACTACTCCGGCCCAGATCGGTTTCCTCGCAGACCTGACACCAGAAGGGCTCGTGTCCTGCTTTGACTCCAATTACAACGCTGCACTCTTCATCACCCAGTGGTGTGTACAGCGTTGGATCAAATTTCCAGACCCGAAGCGCACCAGGCGTCTGGTATACATCGCTTCTTCCGCCGCCTTCGTTGCCCTCCCGGGTTATGTCGCTTATACCCCGCCCAAGGTTGCTGTCCGAGCGTTGGCGGACACGCTTCGCCAAGAGCTGCTTCTGTACGGCGACGAGAACATGTACCGGGTGCACATTGCTTTCCCGGCGGCCTTCACGACAGACGCGTTCCTCCAGGAACAGGAAGCGAAGCCTCAGCTCTTGAAACAGATGGAGGATTCGGACTACGCGACTAAGGAGGAACTGTTTAAGAAGGTCCAGAGTGTCGAGGAAATAGCCGCGGGGATCCTCGACGGTATCAAGAAAGGACGCTACATCATCACCACGGATATGACGACTGACTTGACGCTGAACAACATGAGGGGTCCGAGTCCGCGCAGTAGCCCACTGTATGACTATTTCATGTCATTTGTAGGCGCTCTCGCCTTCCCTGTGGTGCGTCGAAAATTCGACAAAATGACCTCTCAGTACGGCCGAGAGAAGGGTCTTCGAAAATAGTTCTTGGTACCCCGTAGAAAGTAAGTTGGGATATTGGTTTGTTCATGTATCAATGTCTGAGATAGGTCGTTTTCAGTTGGGAACTGGAACGACGGGCTTATAAATACTGCTGATAAACAGAAGCGAGACGCTGATTTTTAAGGCGGGGAGTAATTAACGCCCAAGAAAGTAGCGTTGGCTGGAACAAGGTTGAATGTATAATAATGACGAAGCTTCTATCACTTCAAGTAATAATACATGTAGTTTAATCACTGCATGCTGTCTATATGAGTTCGCACGCAGCCCAGGGGCAGTTATCTTGATGAAATTGGGAAGCAAAGCCGGCGTAATCCCAAACTCGTCGTAGAGAAAATGCCTGTTTGGGATCAGAGCCCCTAGCACATTCACACGATGTATATTATCAAGAACGTTAACAGCCAAGCTCGGGACTGTTTGCTGGCCGTACCAAGAGGCGAAACGAATGGTAAACGGGAAAATAATTCCACCACTCAAAGGTGACTATTGACTCTTTGCACTGGGTATTGCTTCCTTGGAAGTAACCATACTCGTAGACGATGCATCGCGCCCATTCTCCGGATCCCAAACCCCATGTATCCCCCGCGGGCAACAAGCCAGAGAGGAGTAGTCTCGGTCAGAACCCCGCACTCCTTGTCCGCGATCCCGAGACCCGATTCGCAAAGGGTTCTTTACTGGATCTTCCGATGATCGGGAGTGCACTAAAGCTTGCCTAACCTGCCCCGAGGGTGGTCCATGACCTCTGTCGGGAAGTGTCTAAAACCGAAGTGTCGGTATCGGATCCCTAGAGGGTACCATAAGCGTTTTTCCGAAAGTCTGGATATGGGGCATTTATAGAAACACAAATCGCACCTTCGAGATATCCTAGCAGATCCCATCACCATTGTGACCCGGATACAACAGTCCAGGACGTCAAGGCTAATACTACGAGAAGTACTGGTCTAGATTCGTAGTCTGCTTGTGGCCCTCTCTCTCTAAATGGCCCCTACATCTCCTCCCCCCGCGGATGGCGCCGAATCCCGCGTGAGCGACGCCAAACACGTCGAACAAGGCCTGCAAAAGCCGCACGTAGAAGCCGAGGATGTGCAGCAGCAGGACCCCGAGATATACCTGGAGGCGTTGGCCCGGTATCCGAACGACGAGTCGATAGACCAGGCCGAAGAGAAGCGGCTCCTCCGCAAGCTTGATATGCGGATCCTGCCGCTGCTTGGAGTCTGCTACTTCTTCTACTACGTCGACAAGACTACATTGTGCATGCCCGTCTTTCAAAACACCGCGCCTGTGTCTCGCTGACAACTCCTCGCAGATCATACGCTGCCATATTTGGCGTGAAAGAGGGCATCCATCTCAAGGGCGAAGAGTACTCGTGGCTTTCGAGCTCCTTCTACTTTGGGTGGCTCATCTGGGCCATCCCCTCCAACTTGATCATGCAGCGCTGCCCCCCCGCGTGGTATCTCTCGTTCAACATATTCATGTGGGGGGCCCTGCTCATGGCCCAGGCCGCGGCTCACAACTTTGGCGGTCTCCTCGCTCTCCGGGTTCTCAGCGGAGCGTTTGAAGCCATTGCGGACCCTGCCTTTATGCTGATCACCTCCATGTACTACACCCGTTCCGAGCAGCCCTCGCGTATAGCAGCATGGTATGCCTGGAACGGACTTGGGGTTGCCGGTGGCGGCCTCATCGGTAATGCTCACTTCCACCGTTTCTTCTCCGTTCATGATGTTGATCGAATACGGCTTCAGGCTACGGAATAGGACATATCAAAGGCGCGCTCTCATCGTGGCGCTACGAGTTCCTCGTCGTCGGCGCCTTCTGCTCTTTCTGGGCCGTCGTCCTCGTCCTCCTGCTACCCAACTCCCCGCGGACTATCTGGGGCTTCACTCACGACGAGAAACTCATCATGATCGCCCGCATGAGGCGCAACCAGACAGGCATCGAGCAGCGCCGCATCAACTGGGGCCAGATCAGGGAGGCCTACGCCGACTACAAGACCTGGCTCTTCACTCTGCTGGGGTTCATGTCCAACGTTCCCAACGGTGGCATCTCCAACTTCTCTACCCTGGTCATCAAGGGCCTTGGCTTTGGGACCCTCGAGACGGCCCTGCTTGGCATCCCACAGGGCTGCCTCGTCGTCATCTGGATCGGGCTTGGTGCCTTGGCGAACAGGCACTTGCCTGCCAACAGCCGAACGCTCGTGTGCGCTTTATTCATGCTGCCCACTATTGGCGGTGCGCTTGGTTTCCTCCTTGCTCCCGATAACGCATACGTTGGCCGGTTGATATGCTTGTATGTCCTCCCCTTTGGTGCTTGACCAAGGTCCCTTGACCTGATAACAATATCTAGTTACCTCACCGGTTCTTATCAGGCCTCATTTGTTCTCTCTCTATCTCTCATAACCTCCAATACCGGTGGCCAGTCCAAGAAGATGATTGTATCCGGCATGATCTGGTTCGGCGCTTGTATCGGAAACATCGCAAGCCCGTTCTTCTACAAGGTTGATCAAGCTCCTTCCTATCACCTGGGTATCGGCTCGCTTCTAGTAGCCAACTGCATCGAACTAGCCCTCTTTTTCCTTTTTCGGTATGCCTATATCTGGGAGAACAGAAAGAAGGAAAGGCTGCGAGCGGAGATGCGCGCAAATGGGAACTATGGGGCCGATGAGCTCAACGTGACAGCGTTCACCGACTTGACAGACAAGGAGAACCCCAACTTTGTATATGTTTATTAGTGAAGCAGGGTTGTGGGTATTTATTTTAGCTTATGACATTTTCCCTCGCTAGGACTGCGTTAGAGTGCATAATGTGGAGGCAATAAATTTCTTACACCAAAACATAAGAGACTCACGCATCGATATAGAAGAACTAAGCCATAGCACATTGTTCTCGATATGATGAGTCAAGACACTCCCGATGAGAAGTGTAAACGACTTGTTTCTTTGCCACTCCCCCAAGTGACCGATATGTAACAAAGATCTTGCAGAAAGCTTTGTGGAACTGACAACATTGTATCAAGCTCAACCTTGATTGTTTGTTTACTCCTGTTATTCTCGATTCTGCTGATATATTGGCTTCTGACATAACCCTTTTGGGAGGGGTTCATATGGAGGTTAAATGAATATTAAGTCCCCGCTTACGTCATTGAATCACCATCTGAACACAAACAAGCTCTATGATGACTCTGCTTACCCTGTCAAAATAATATGTAGCGGTCATTATGCTGGTCAGTATAAAGGGTTGTACAGGGCATCGTCGATAAAGAAAATGTTGGGATGAGTGATCAGAAAGTTCCTCAATCTTTTTCTCGGCCACTATCGTGTCTTCAAATTCGGTGTCAGGTCGGACCGCAGTACGTGTCGAGTCCAGCGAAGAGCTGGTCCCATCCGAACGCAGATGCATCACCCAGCATGTCATCCCACACACTATGGAGGCCAAGATCATCCTCGCCCAGCATGACGGAGTTGCCAGGGTCGTGGTCGTCGTTTGATCCGCTGGTCTCCTTGGTGCTATTCGTGATTTTATCCAACACATTGTCAGGGAACTCTGCACCCAATTCGGGTGTGTGGTCCGACTCTGGCGAGGCGACATCATCCATGCCCCCAATGCGATAGCGTCGCAACACACCGATCAGATTTCTGACGAGCTTCTTCGCCACTCCTGATTCCTCTCCTGCCGAAGCAAGCGCGCGGCAAGCCTGTGCCACTTCGGTGTGGGATTCTGACGTCGCCGCGGAAGTTGAATCGTGTGCTTCTCCAGCTGCCTGTGTTCCTCGAGCAGGATCCAGTCCAGCGTTAAGAACCAGAATTGTACACGCCATGAACATGTGGCCGATTACGCAGCCCAGACGACAGCCTATAGCCCTGGCTTTGAATGCGGAGTCGCCCTCTCTGTCTTTCGAAGCTCGAAGTAGACTTGTGGCGATGGAAAGAACTACGCGGGCAGACCGCAGACAAATTTCCCGCGACTGTTGGTAGTGAGCGTCTTGCTTATCGTGCAAGAGAAAGGGGCGATGCAGCCGTGCTCGTCGAGAGTGGAAGCCAATGAGAACAATGTCTCTCTGAAGGGCAAGATAGCGCGGAGCGTTGCTGGGAATTGGGCCATCCGGGCAAAGAAAAGGAGGAAAGCCAGACAAAACGTCCTTGAAAAGCCTGTCGAGTTCGAGAACCTTATCGTAGTCAATGACCTCGGCGTCCGGGACTCCTGGAACTCTGGCATCGATGATGGACCGGGTGATCTCCGAGAGCTGGGTTCGCCTGTTGAAACAGCTCATCGCGGTGGGTGTATCTGGGGGCATTGTGAATGTCTCATCTGAAAGACTAGCCTCATCGTCGTTAATGTTTCGAGGATACTTGACATTCATCTGTCTTAGTTGCACATTGTATGTTCCGTCTGTTGGCCCACCCATCAAGCCAAGTACCCTGTGAACCAGTAAGTATGTCGAAACCAGAGAAATGGAGATTGAACCTGCCAGTCATGTGATGCGATATGCCACCAGACCCTTCGCTTGATTTCCCTCGTGATAGCGTCGTCCTGTTGCGCTGATGACGGGCTATCGATCAAGTGCAGACCTATTTCACGGGCAGCCACCAGCGACGAGCCATGCATAAACCTGTAGCGGGCTGAACAGCCCTCCATGTTGTAGACCAAGTAGGACAGCACGCATCTTGCCTGGACTTCTTCCAGGCAACTGGAGTCACTTGATTTCTCTAGGATGCTCAATGCGGACTTGAGCCAACTCAACGCAGTCTGTGTCGCCTCTTCGGTAGATGCGAACAGGACAAGTGATTTAGAGCTTTCGTTACAAAAGAAAGCACTTGTAGCTGTGATGCTTAAAATCAGGGCAGCATACGCCGGATTGGGGTCTTCACTCAAGGCGAGGCTTTGGTAGAAGTTGTCAATGATCAACCTTGCAGCTGGGGTATGTATGATGGTAAGGAGATGGAAGGGGTGGTCGACAAAGTCTTGGAGCAGTAGAAGGGCTTCTTCGTGTGTCATAAACCAGGCGGCCAGTCGGGTGGCGGTGAAGTCGGTAGGAGTCTGGCCGGGGGTTGTGCTTGCGGGTGTTTTTGGAAGCTGGGAGACATGGGCAACATGGTAATCGATCTTGTCGTACGGAAGGGTGATCTACGAATCTTAGTATTTGGACAACGAAATGACGATATGGCTCGCCTCGGCATTGGCTGTGTGCAACTAACGCTGAAGCCATTGCGTGTAAAGGTTGAATCAAGAAACATTGCTGTTTGTTGCCTCTCGTTGGGTCTCAAGGACTCTTGTGACTGACGCTGGTTGGAAGGGCTAGGAATCCGCTGCCGATTGCTCGTCCGTCTCCTATCACTTTCATACTCGATTCCAACTAAACCTTGGTCCGCGGAAGCCCCGGTAGACGCCGCAGAGCCGAACACGGCATGCTCAAGTCTCTGTAGTCGACCCAGGATGGAGTCATCGCTGCCGATGCCAGGGACCAAGGCGGCATTGCTGCCGGCCAGTAAGAACTCCAAATCAGCAAGATTAAGTTCACGAAGCATACCAACCTCGATTGTGCAACCGGGTTATGCAGGTTCGGGTGCCCTGTGCAAGGCAAACCACGGATTACACAGCTTGAGCATGGATTGCCGCGGTCGCATTTGAGCTTCTTCTTCCGGCACGAGCCGCACGAGACTTGGGGTTGTCGGCGTTGTTTTCCAGACTCTTTCGGCTCGAAATCTGCACGGCGCTTCATACTGGATTTAAATAATTCGACTGGGCAGAAGTGAACGGGCTGGATCTCGTTGATGTTGGTGTTGGTGTTCATGTCAAGAGAGAATGGGGCAGGTCAGCACCGTCCCACGGACCTTCCGCGGACAGCAGGACCTATTTTGCCTCCGCGGATCCTCCGCGGCGCTTGGGGCAACTCCTTCCCCTTCCGAATGATCATTCTCGCACCTTCCCACAAAGACACCACGACGGAGTGGTCAAACTGGTTGATATAAAGAAAGTGCAGCTACGCCATGGTCGTTCTTTCTCTTTCTCATCGTATTGGATGAGAAGGACCAGAGCGTGGCATATACATCCATCGTCAAGTCACTCATCCGTATATTCCGACCAGCAATTCCAGCAACTAATTATCATGGAAGCAGCTCGTCCACCTGCGGGTTACGATCGGTATGCCAGTTTCATCTCCCACACAAAATTGAATTAAGGCTGACCTCTTTGTTTGCGACTAGCATCCGATCATGGCTTGCCGTTCTCGGTGCATCCCTTTCGGTCTTCTGCACCGTCGGTTTCCTCAACGCCTTTGGCGTGTTCCAGGAGTATTACCAGAATCGCTTTACAAGGTCCGAATCCGACGTCGCGTGGATTGGTTCTGTGTCCATCTGCCTATCCTTCCTGGGTGCGCCGATATCAGGCATCATATGCGATAGACTGGGTGCTACGGTATGATGCGTTGCATCCCTTGATTTGGCGTTGAACTAACATGAACCAGATTCCCCTCTGTATTGGCAGTGTTGGCCTGCTCCTTGCTGTCTTCATGACCTCTCTCTGTAATCAGTATTACCAGACCTTCTTATCTCAGGGTATTCTCTTCGGCATCAGCTCGGCCTTTGTCTTTTGCCCTCCTATTGCCGTCGTTTCCCGCCGCGTGCCTCACCGCAGAGGCCTGGCTCTGGGCTTGACCATCGGTGGCTCCTCCATCGGTGGCATCATCTGGCCCATTATGCTCGAGCAGCTCCTCAACTTCCGAAAAGTGAGCTTCGCCTGGACGATGCGCGCCGTCGGCTTTACCATGATGCCCCTGCTGATCGTGACGTGCCTCACGGTGGTCGACGCACCGGCTCCCAAGCCTTCGCTGGCCCCTCCAGAATCAACGTCCGACGGCAACGAGAAGGGCACCGGATCCTCAACGAACGAAGATGAACACCCTGAGCGAAATTCCAGCCTTTCCATCCTCAAGAACAAGACGTTTATTCTCTTGTGCGGTGGGCTTGCCCTTGGCTTCTTTGGCCTTTTCACACCCTTGTTCTTCGTGTCTGCGTTCGGTATATCCAAGGGGATTCCGTCGTCGACGGCTTTCTACCTCTTATCTGGACTCAATGGGGCGTCCCTCTTTGGTAGAGTCATACCTGGGGTCGTTGCGGACCGATACGGGCATTTCAACGTTCTCGCGCTGGCAGCATTTTCAGCCGGCCTCGTTGGTTTCTGTTGGACGGCAGTTTCCTCCCTGGCTGGGTTGGCCGTTTGGAGTCTGGCGTACGGGTTCTGCTCCGGAGTGAGTCTGTCGAGATGCCCCCCACCCCAGCAGCAACGATCTGACACACATTTCGCAGGCCGTCATCAGTTTGCAGAACGCATGCGTAGGAAAGATTGCCCACCAAGGCAACCAGGGATCGGCCATCGGCTTCGCCATGGGATCCATCGCAGTGACGTGAGAGACCCGAACATATTCGATGAAACTTTTGCTTGCAAGGGCAGGCGCTGACAAGAATTGACAGAGGACTCGTCGGACCTCCGATCAGTGGCCAAATTGTCGCCCATTCGGGATATCTTGCGTTGTCCATGTGGACCGGGGCTACTCTCGTCGTTGGTGCCGCCACAGTTGCGGCTGCGAGGTGGCGGCTCAGCCCCCAGCTTCTTGCGGCGGTTTAAACATTAGAATTGGGAAAATGCAACTTCTTATGCGTGGAGTTGTCTCTCGCGTGCATAGGTAAAGAGTGTGTTGTGATGTGTCTGTAAGTCAGGAAGAGTCGGTTCCGCGTTAGCGATACCATGAATGCATCATATAGAATAGACAAAAGGATTCTGGATGGTAGGCATCAGCGTCATGAAACGGGGGGGTACTTCTATTACAACTATTCCATCTTAATAGGCCTCTACCGGTAGTTTAGCATGACTATTGTAGACTATTCTTTCTTACGCTGTGATGTGCCATACCCGAGCATGGGTAGCTGCCTGGGCCACGACAATTCTTTTGTGACTTTTCGTTTTCCAGGGTACTTTGCATTCCAGGGTACCTTTTCTGCAAGTCAAATGAGAACGGCTCTGAAAAAAAAGGGAAAAAACACAAACCGCCCCTGGCAGCGTCCGCGACCCACCTTTTTATCGGAAGATCATTGATCCGACCGAGAGACCGAGCGGTCGCTCGGTTAAATGTGGCTTTTGGTTTGGGTGTGGCTTTGGGTGTGGCTTGTGCTTATGGCTCGGCACCAAAAAACTTCTGCATCCCTCGGACAAGATTCCACGCAGACTTCGTCGCTGACGACCACTGAGCCGTCTTGTCTGCTGTAACATTCCGCTTCTTGTCGTTCATTTCCATAAAAATGCGTTAATTGATCTGTTTTGTTTCTTCCTATCCCACCTTATTTGTTTCTTTCTGAAAGCTTTGTTTGCCTCGGCTTCGTGTCCGGCTCAAAGGCGCACGACTATATCTCGCCTTGATATCCCCGGATCCCTCGATCCCCCGGCACCCCTGCTCGGGGTGCCTCTCCCGCCTGCGGACCATCGATCCAAGGGACCTCGCTCGACGTGGATGAGTGAATTGCCACAATGGCTCATCAGTTCCATATCGCAGGCGCAAGCCACACTCTCCTCGACCCGTGGTCTCACGGAGTTGGTGTCATGAGAGACGTTCTCACCCGATGGTCTGAGCTCGACATCACCCACATCGGCTCTCTCATCGCCATCGCTGGTACAGTTCCGACCGCCTGGCGGTTTCTGCATCAAGCCTGGCGCGAGGCCTACGGCTGCATCAAACGCTTCTTCCTCGCTTCCGTGACCATCCCCGGCGGCGACCCGGTCAACCGGAGCGTCGTGAAATGGGTCCTTGCGCACCGGCCCCAGCACTACCGGTCCTTCACGGGGCGCACCGAGGTCGGACGCGCCGGCCCAGACCGCGCCGCCGCGCTGAAAAAGACCCGTCACTCGATCCAGTACAGCCCGCACTGGCACTCGAAATGGCTCTGGTTCGGCCGCAGCCTGCTGGTCGTCACCCGCGCCGTTGGGGACTTCACTTCCGCCCTGTCGGACCCCAGCTACGACGGCATCGGCGGCGAAGAATTGACCGTCAGCTGCTTCGGGTGGTCTGTGGAACCCGTGCAGGCCTTCATCGAAACCTGTCGCGAGTATGCCGACAGGCAGACGCAGTACTTCGTCATCATCTACTCCCGCGACCGCTACGGTATGTCGTGGAAGCCGAAGGCCCGCAAGCCCCTCCGCCACCTCGACACCGTCCACTTTGATCACGCCGTCAAGCAGGAGCTGCTCGCCGACATCAGGAACTACCTGGACCCCAAGACCCAGATGCGTTACCAAAGCCGCAGCATGCCGTACCGCAGGGGCTACCTCTTCTACGGACCGCCCGGGACCGGCAAGTCCTCCCTGTCCGTGGCCATCGCCGGCGAGTTCGGGCTAGACATGTACGAAGTCAAGATCCCCAGCGTTGCAACGGACGCGGACCTCGAGCAGATGTTTCAGGAGATCCCACCGCGGTGCGTGGTCCTGCTCGAGGACATCGACGCCGTCTGGGTGGATCGCTCCAACAACCTAGACAGGAATGGCAACGGCAGCGGCAGCGGCAGCGGCAGCGGCAGGGCGCATTCGCCGGAAGGTAGCAGCGTGCCCAACTGCACGCTCTCCGGCCTGTTGAACGTCCTGGACGGCGTCGGGTCTCAGGAGGGCCGCATCGTCATCATGACTACGAACCGGCCCGAGCAGCTCGACAGTGCCTTGGTCCGCCCGGGCCGCGTCGATATGAAGGTCCTCCTCGGCAACATCAGCCGACGGTCGGCGGAGGAGATGTTCGTGCGCATGTTCTCGCCCGACCTAGGGTGCACGTCGCACCTCGACATGAACGAGATCAGGAGCCTCGCGGCGCAATTCTCTAGCAAGATACCCGAGGACACGTTCACGCCTTCGCAGCTGCAGGGCTTTTTTCAGGTACACCTGGAAAGCCCCCATGATGCGGTGGAAACGATTGGGGCTTGGACAACGAAAGAGCTTGCAAAGACCCACTACAAGGAATTTGAATTCATAAGCGCCAACGTAAAGGCGTAGTGTATTATATCTCGTGTACTATTATCTGTATCTCATATGTATCTCTAGATCCGTTAGCCGTAGGTCTTGGTTTTCTGTCATGTTTGGGTTACGAGCAGAGAAACCTCAACCATTGACGCATTTGTGGGTAAGTCCCCCGGTAGAAAGGTCATCATCTCCAGTTATGCTAGGGGATAAGGATGGCTCATTTGTAGGAACAGGAACCTGCTAGTAAAACTTTTTCGTATTTACCGCATACTATGACCGCCACGCTTGGCCCAGGATTCATAAGTGCATGATTGTATGTCCGACCTGCCCCATCCAGTCCGTGTTGACCACTCTCCCATCCATGCTTTCAACATGTGTATGATTACTAACTACAAGGCCTGTTGTGCCTAGTAAGCTGACACCCGTGGACTTGATTTCATTTCTCAAAGTGAATGCCGATTGCGCCCACTCTGTAAATACGCAGTGAGCGCCCTCACGACGGTTTGGCCCTGACACAGACACAACGCGTTGATAGAGTTTGCCCTAGGGAACAGAAGCTCGATGAGTCTCACGCTAGCATGTCAAGAGAATCGAATACCAGATACAGGGCCCTAAGAGGAAATGTCGCGTCACCCGAAACCGATGAAGCTAATCGCAGCAAGAATAACTAGTCGCCCGTGTATGCCGGCTGCCGAGAAGACAAGGCGACAAGGCGGGGTTCCGTCCCACCTGTGTAGGTACCAGCCCAAGGCCAGGGATGCAGTTCGCTGATCTCTGGGGATCAGCAAGACGATCATCCCTGGACAGGTGCGACGCGTGAGCCGTGTAGAGCCCCGAGATGACGACGCCGGCTCGGGACGAGTTACCCCAATCAAACCGACGGGCGCCCAGTGTCCTGCAAACAACTTCAGACGAGATTAAAAAAACATAGGATAGCCTCGAATCCCCCTCATTTCGCATCCAACGGGAAAAGATTCCAGCCTCAACGGCGTAAAGTATAACTCGGAACCTCCCGACATTTGAGACCCCTACCCCCGGCGCAGGGCCTAGCCTCAGACTCACGAATGAATCACCATGAGGATGCGCCTCGAGCCTGCTCCCAACATCGCCTCGCTCGTATGGAACAGCGGCTTAGGGGGTATTATAGAGTTGACCTTCTTGCCTCCCTCGTAACTCAAAGTTTCATTCAACCTCGTAGCTCCACAGAACTCTCTGCAACCCCCAATGTGTATGATATGGCTGGCCGCTAATAGCCGTCAGCGGGACCAGCGCGTCGTCTCTAGGGCAAACCTTCTTCACGAATGCACCCGAGACTCAGAAGTATAACCCTCGCCGTTAGACCGTGGAATTAGCAAGTATGCCTTGGGGACTTTGGACTTGGAGCTTGGGATGAGAGAACGAGCTCGCATATAAAAGGGGCAGACATCCCACTCTTGGTGTCGGAATTGAGGCACAACTCCCTTCAGTCCGATCTCATTAGCATTCCATTATACGACGTTCAGTCTAGTCTAAGCTACCTGAGTGGAAACCTACAGTCTGTCCAAGACCCAAACACAGAAAATGGTCGCCCTCCGCTTCCTCCTTGCCCTCCTACCTCTCGCGGTCGCGATGCCGTCCTCCGACGGGCTCGAGGGCTACAACGCTCTCGTCCGCCGCCATTGCATGGCGCCCAAGAACTGCGGCGCCGTGGTGCAGAACACGGCGTGCGACTATTGCTGCGCCAAGGATGTCAAGCCCGACAGCACGGAATGCAAGTCCAATAGCAACAAAGCTTGTCAGACCTCCGACAATAAGGAAGGCATTGTCTTCAGCTGCGATGCCAATTAAGTCGAGGCCCAAGGACTGGTGTGTCACGCTTTGATTTTTCATTCCGGACTCGGAGAAAGGTGCTGACTATGTGTAGCTGGTTCCGTTCTTTTGGGTCGGGAAACGGGTGCTGTCAATGGTGATGAGGGTTCAGGATGCCAAAGACCAAAGGTTGCTGTACCAACAATCAAGCATATCACACTATTGCACATCTGAGTGCTACTGGATACCATCAAAACCGGCCCTAATATTATCAAAAAACATAAACTTTTGCATTCAATGGGGCCACTGCTGATCCCGTAACTAGTGTTCTCGTATACATGTCCAAACGCCCTTCTCTTCCACGAAAATGAGACGGTTTTATGTTACAAACTCGTGTTCATACCACCACTCTTTTCTTTGTGCTGGTGACAGTGGAATTCAAGGGTACCCTTGGCGGTCATACCTCGCTGGAAGACCAGTAGTGTTGGTCTCTAATCACTCCTCTTTCCAGTCATGGGGTTTCGTCCGTAGACAACCGTGCTTTGGGTTCACAGTTAGCTATACTCGCGATGACGAAAACGAAAGATTGACTTACGTTTCGCAATATCCAAAGTTTGCTTTCATCCTAATCTCCTTCCGCATTTGCGCAATGAGAACCCTTACTTCGGGCTGAGACCATCCGAGGACCTGGGTCAACAAGAAGGTCCCGAAACCTTCGAGGCTTTCCTCAAGCGCTGACTGGATCAGCAATCCAGCTTTCTGCAGATTCGGATCTTTTGGGCCACCCGTGGATAGGCAGCTTGAACTTCTTCTCCACGACGTCCACGAACCCCGCCTCCTTCGTGTTGTCCATCATAATGTGGCCCTGCGCCACGGTAAAAGAACGCCCTGTCTTCTTTCCGCCCTGGTCAAATATCCTGTTCCACTCAATGAACACTTGATTAGGGGGGTATTCGACGTGGTCAGAGTCGATCCCGGCGTTGATCTCGAGATTCTGGACCCAGCCGCCCGGCTTGAGGCTGTGGTACGCCTTCTTGTACAAGTCCACCCAGTTCGGCACGCTTCCATACAACTGACGCATATGGACCAAGTCAAAATGGTTATCGGGATACGTCCAGTCAAGGAGGAAGTTGTCAATGACAAAGCGGAGGTTGGCCGGCACCCACCCCGGTTGGATGGGGCTGATGTCAGTGCCGGTGACCTCCGCGTTGGGAAATGGATCGGCGAAGTCAATCGCCCAGATTCCAGTGCCTGTCCCGACGTCAAGAACGCGCTGGGGATTGTCTCCAATCGGAGCTAGGAACAACGCGTCGTCGAACAGCATGAGGAGTGCGTTATGGATGATATAGAGCCCTTCGTTCTGCTGGTCGTCGTTTGGGGCCCAGTACTCGGTCGTCTTAGTCGTCTGGTACGTCCGGCCGTGGAGCTGCCGATAATCGAAGATGCTTTCGGACAGGGAGGCCGTGGATGAGATGACGCTGGCGGAATCTATGGCTGAGTCGCCGTCATCGTCATCGGCCGTGACGGCGAGTTGCGGGTCAGGCTCGATTGCCGGTGCGTGGTCTTCCGTCTCTCGATCACCAGCCTCGGACCGTACTTCGGGGCGGGCTGGAACCCGGTGGTGAGGCCATCAATCTTTTAAAGAGGGGTGGGGGCATTGCACAAATGATGCAGTGAACCCACGCGGTGTAGCCGACGGCCCCGGAAGCCCAAGCATCAGAACGGACATTACCTCGCTCATGGTTAGCCAGTGCCGTCTAGAGGAGCGGCTGGTCGGGTTGTTCATACGGCCCGTTGGCGAAAAGAAGGGGAACGTTTTACTCTGCAGCCATCAGTTGAGGCGCTATCAAAGGTGGGGGAGTCTTGGTGGGTATTGGACGCCTCTCTATCCGTTTGGTCAGAAAAGCAGTGCAGTTTCTTCCCTGTCACCTTTGATTCCGTGGGATGTATCGCGTAGGCCGTGTTGATATCTCTCATTCGCTCCGCTTACTCCACACACGGGCTAAGACGATGTGCGTGCGATCCGGCTAAGCGACCGCAAGCTCAGATGAGATTCTTAACTCGTCGCTAGCTCTGGAAAGTCATGTTCGTGTGTAACTATATGGCAGAAGGAGGGTAATCGATTCGTCTCATGACCAGGGCCGACGAGAGCTGCTCATGCAGCTAAAGACCCGGGTAATCTAGGTCCACCTATGACTTGGTGTAAGTGACAATTGGCTCCATTGGGTATATGCTAGGTCGACTGCTCTTGTTGTGGGCCGAGACACGTCAAAGGCGTCCTGCCATCTGTTACGGATCAGTAATTGGTCTATATCTCACTCGACTTTCGACTAGCAGCTATTACCTTCCAGCATGATGCAGGCTAAAATATGATAGATGGCAGGAGAACATTTACTATACAAATGCAATCCTACAGCAATCCTTTCGTGTTGTTGCTGTCAGGATTCTACTTATTGGATTCGCTGCCGCCGACCATTGTTGCTTTTTTCCAAGACCTACGATGTTGTTTAACATGACAATGTGGCGCCTCGGTGCCCAATCCAGTCACTGAAGCCTCACAAACATTAATTAATACCTTACTTGCGGAGATTTAATTCCCACACCAGATGGTGCACCCCGCATTGATTACAGATATTAACTCCCCCACCCTATATCCGAACCACCCCCACATCCGAACCACCATCATCACCACCATCGCCACCACTATCACCACTTATTTCACTATCTCTGCCGCCCACCTATATACAACTTTCGGCCTCGCTAGGCAATTCGGATGCCCTAGATTCATCCAGACTATCTATATTGCCAGGATCCAGACTTTAGGCCCAGATTATATCCTCTATAGTAGCAAAGGTGCTATTAGGCAATAGGCAGACCTTTTTCCTCTTACGTAACTATATATTATCTAACTAGGCCTATAATAAGTTAACCTGCCTTTTTAGAAGGGCTGCTCTAGATACCTGCTTATTATAGCCCTTTTATATCTTTCTAGATAGGTAATAAATAGTATAGGTATCTAGCCTATCCTTAGCTAGCTAGGTTAACTAGCGTAGTTAATACTATAGATTAGTAGATTAATAAGGGGTTAACTATAGGATAATAGATTTAGCTTTATCCTACTGCTAGCTGCTAGGCTAACTTAACTGCTAGCTGGCCTAGATAATCTAATAGGCCCTAGTTACTATTAAGTTAGATAAGAGGCGTCTTATATATATAGGCTATAATCTAGATAACCTCTAGCTACTACTAATATTAATAGATATAATAGATACCTTATAGGCCTTAAAATAACACTTTAAGAATACCTTTTTACTAGTAATAGTTAAATCTATAACCTAGTTATCTAGATATCTAACCTCCTTATAATAGGCCTGCTTTAATAGGCTAAAGACAGCTATATCTAGAGGCTAGAGGACAGTAGAGGCGTATAGCAGTAGAAATAGTAGATATATATTATACTACTAGTATTACTATATAAAATTAATAGTTATATAGCTATAATACCTATTAAGAACTAGTAGTCTAGCCTCCTCTAGCTAGGCAGGCTTAGTACGTAAGATAAAGACCTTCTCTAGCTATTTAAGGGTAGTATTATTAGTTATTTAGCTATTATTAGTTACTATAAATTACTATAGCTTATATATATTAAGGTTAGATAGGAACTACTAGGCCTAAAGTGATTTACCCTTATATATAACTAAGGGGGGTAAGGAGCTACTAGTAGCAGACATACACTTAATAATAAATACCTATACCTAGGATCCTAGCTGCTTTTTCTAGATATATTATAATACCTTAAAGCCTAGCACTAGCCTATTACCCCCTTTACCCTCTATAATACTAGTCTTATCTATATTCTATCTATTAGATAGATAGATCCCTTAGATAGTAAGGATACTACTAAGGTAATAGAAGAAATCCTAGATAACCTTAAGGGAATAAGCTACCTATTACTAGGTATTAATTACTCTAGATTAGAGGGTTCTAATAGATAGATTTTACTATATAAATTAGGCTATTTATTTCCTCTCTATAAGAGGATGCCTATTACCTATTATACGCTTTACTAGGCCCTTTACTTATTAATAGTTAACGTATCTACTAAGGGACTATTAAAAGGTAATATAGGCAGCTAGATTATCCTCCTAGGCCTAAGATAAGTGCTGCCTATCTTTAAAGGCAGTATTCCTGCTTTACCTACTAAAGTATTAATACTAAAGTGTTACATATAGTATACCCTATCTGTAAGTAATAGCCTAGAGGCTATACTGCCTAAACTGTATATCTAGGAGGGCCTGTTAAAGCTTATCTTTAGAATATTACTTTATAATAGTTTAAAGAAGGTATCCTAAAAAAATGGCGTTATTTGGTAATAAATAGTAATTGTTGTGATAGTTTGAAAAAGGTAGTGGTGTTGATGAAGGAGGGGAAATGTGGGAATTTTGGGTGGTTCGGATGCGGGGGTGGTTCGGATATAGGGTGGGGGAGTTACTGTATTTGTTCATCGTAATACGCCCCAGACCATACTTCATCACTGCAATATCAACAATTGATCAAGGAGAATATCCGGTGGCATCATTCTGAAAACGATAGAAACACATAGTAGCTTGCCTAGGGAGCAAAACGAAGTTATTACTACACGCTACCGCCCAGTGATCTAGATCCGAAACTCTGACCGAAATACTGATATTCGTAACCAAAGCAGTCCCTCTTAAGGCTGCACAGGTAAAAAACAACAACAAGTGAAGAGATTTGACGCGGGGAGATCAATGCATGTCCTTCGGGAGGCCTAGCTGGGGTCTCTGGCGATTGTAGTCGCAGTACGGGAACTTGGTCGATGCATCGCGGACCGAGCCGGCCGAAGCGGAGACCTTGGGGCTGGCTAGCTGCACAATCGCAACATAAGGTAATATGTGTAATACAAGGCAGTGTCAATGTTCACTGTTCAACCCTAGAAAGCATTTGCATATTGTGCTCAACGCGTTGGTCTGTAGCATTGCCTGTCTGATTGACCTGGAGCTAGACGATTCCATCAGTCAAGGTTCTTTAGTTGGGTGGATTGAACAGAGGTCTGTCAAATCAGCTATGAAAACTCGGTGGCAACATTGGGTGGCAATGCAGCATTAATCCGCTCTGGAACGGCCTTGGCATATGCAAGGAAAGCATATCTGAGTTAGCATTTTGGCCCAGTCAGCCATGCGAAAATCACAGCCAAAAGAGGTGTTAGTGAGAAGAAGCTTACAGATCGTCTTGTCAACATCAGAATATCTGTCGTCCCCACGTCCCGTAGAATATTTCAATCGTCCGGCATCCATGCGGAGGTGCTCGTCCGATGTACGCAAACACCATGGCCGGAGTTTGCACGGGAACTGTAAAGCTTGCGCCAAGATGAGTTTTACTGATGCAAGGAGTATTCAAATGTGATGACTTACAAATACTGTACTGCCCCATATAGTAATTCCAGGGCCCCAGGTATCGTCAGTTACGGCTTCACGATGACAGACTATCATAATTTGCGGTCCGAACCTGCATCAAGAAATAGTTAATTCGTATACTATCACACCGGGGATGAAGCCTTCTGCCGTTGTCCAAGCCAATAACCTCGATTGATCCCCGACGACCAAGCATATCGAGAGGGGAGCCCGGTCATCGGCCAGCCAGAAGTTCCCCGAATCCTGGAATACGCAGAACCTCCGCTCAAGAATGATTACGCGCTAGAGACAATTGATATCACAATCACGTGGTGAGATTTATATCCCTCAGGCACCAGAGAAGTCCTTCAGCCGGGTTGGAAAACGTCATCCTCTGGAAAGATCGCGAAAACTGGAGTCTGCTGAGGAGGTTAAGGAATGCCATGCATTTGCTAGAGTCAAACGGGAAGGTCAGACACTCCATACGTCATATACAGCGACCGAAGGAAAAGGATTTCTCACCGCTCTCCTAGGGCATCATAGCCAGGGGCTTGTGTGGAGTTCGCTTCGTACTTTGGAATGCCGTTGTTACGTTATTATGCACCTGAGCGTTACGTATCACAAGGCAGTAAACTGCCAGCTTTACCCACCACCATTGTGAGTTTGTGATTTCCTCCAAAGCGATCTAACATTGGGGTTTTCAAAGTATTCCATGAATTCTAGATATGGTTCCAAGTAGCAAAAGCAAAATACTGAGCCTCCGACATGATATACATCCCGGGGGGGGTTCTTTTTCTTTTTTCTTCTTTGAGAGATATTCAGATTTGCTCTCATCCATTTAACATGTGCAATGTATTATCCCATAATTATTGGCAAGCTATCGGAACAATGATCTGTTCTGGGCGCCTATCTTACATCCCGGGTTGTTACTAGCACGCAATCATCGTGCCAACTGTCATAGGCCTTGGCGCTTACAGTCCAACGCCCAGACATGTTGGAGGCAAGATGCATAGCCCTTGGGTTTAAAAAGCGACGAAAGGTAGCGGTTGCAAATTTCGACCGATGCTTGTCAATCCTTTGACATCCGTCTTCTAGTTGCTGAGATGAAGACATCAATTTTCACCTTAGTATTGGCAACCCTCGCTGCAGGGTTCAACTTTGACAAGAGAAGCCCGGTGTCTTACAATGGATATCAGGTTCTCCGCGTCAAGACTCTTAGCCAACTGGCATCCGTGCAGAAGAAGCTAGCTTCGATTCCCCATGAACAATGGAATCACGATGTAGAAACACACATAGACATCGTCATCTCCCCCGACCAAGTCGAGAGCATTGAGGCGCTCGGACTCGACTTCCGCGTGTTGCACAAGGATCTCGGCGAGTCGATCAGCGCCGAGTCCCAGAGCAGCAGCACTTACAAGCGCGACATCAGTGACCTCTCGTGGTACAATTCTTACCACCCGTACGAGGACCATGTTCACTACTTCGCCGATCTCCACGATGCTTTTCCCAATAACTCCAAGCTGGTCTACTCCGGCCATTCGTTCGAGAATCGTTCCATCCATGGGATTCACCTTTTTGGCGATGGTGGTCCTGGGAGGCCTGCCGTGCTTTACCAGTAAGCTTCGTACCTGGCCTACTCAACTTGCGGATCTGGTGCTAAAATAATTGCAGCGGAACTGTGCACGCAAGAGAATGGATTTCAGCTCCGGTAAATACTCCAAAACAATCACCCGTTGACCAACACAAGCTAACTCACTCGTAGGTTGTCGAATACATCACTCTTCAGTTGATTAAGGCTCATCAGGACGCCAACGCTACGGACTCTATCCTAAACGAATATGACTTTCATATATTCCCTGTTGTGAACCCTGATGGTATGTCGCTGTTCGTCGATGGTCACTTAAACGTTCATGCTGACCTCATGAAGGTTTTGTTTACTCCCAAGAGGTCGACCGCCTCTGGCGCAAGACTCGCACCCCTCCACCTCTGAACCAGACCTGCTATGGCACCGACATCAATAGGAATTGGGAGTTCGGCTGGAATGCCAACCCCTTTGGCGCTTCCACCAACTCATGCGCGCAAGCTTACCGTGGCCAAAAGCCGTCCGACACCATTGAGAACCAAGGCCTCGACGCCTACGTCCGCAAGCTCCGCGACAGCAGCGGTATTAAGCTGTACATCGACTGGCACAGTTATGGCCAGTATATCCTCTCACCGTTTGGTTTCAACGAGACTTTGTACGCTCCCGAGCTCGGTAAGTGGACCAAGACCGCGTCTGTTCTCAGCGAGGTTATCCGCGATAGCTCCGAGAGACGCACAACCTTCACATTCGGACCCAGTGGGGCTACACTCTACACCACCACTGGCGCTGCGCCGGATCATGTTTATGCGATTGGCGGAGCCGACTTCTCGTACACCATTGAGCTTCCAGACACTGGTGACTACGGCTTCGTACTGCCTCCTGACCGCATTCTTGGGGTTGCTGAGGAACAGTGGGAGGGCCAGCAGGTTCTGTACTCACTTTTGGATGAGGAGTTCTTTGACGGAATAGGCGATGCATAGAGTGCTTGTAGCTTAGACGTATTATATTCACTGGCCGTAAATATCATTGAGAATTCATAATTCTGCGCAAACATAGAACGTATTCATAACTAGCTTCATCTACCCTGTATCATTTGGAAGACCTCGTCTGCTAAAGACGGCGGTCGATGTGTACTCTCCCCGGCCAATTCTTGTGGTCGTTGCAGTCAAGAGGCATTATTGTGCTTTTACTCTTGGATAGAAAGTTGTCAATGACTACAGTCTGTTCCCCCCATGCTTTTCCCCTTCCAGTAATAAGGTCTTCCTAAACAGGTCAAAATTTGCCCCTGAGAAGCGCTTGGTAGATGCTTTTGTCTTGGGATCATGGCCCATACATGACAGGGTTGCTAATCCATCTACCTGCAGTGTGTATATTGCTAGCCGCCATCCGAGTTGACACGGAACGGTGCTGATGCGTTGGGCGGGAAAATCAGCTTTCTTGACAATACGAAATCGTTCAACTCCAATGAGATGCCACTGAATTCCATCGCTGCTCGGGGATGAAAATTTCCCATCAGGCCAAAGTTCCATTGACTGTTATCCCTATGACGCGCGGCCTATTTGATATGCGACGTCGCCTGGCGATAGAGACTAGCTAACATATTACAAGCTTTTCGTGAATTTCGCACCTTTATACTATAGTTGGAAAGGGAGTTTTTCCATCATTCAATGCAATCGGCAGCTTTTACCACCCGGTAGCACAGAAACGAGGCTTGTCATAAAACAAGTGCCACCTTACTGCGTATCAACTGGTCAAGAACGAATACTTTGCGGTCGAACATGAATATCAGCCCGGCTTGCACTCCATGGCACATTTCTATGACGTCAAGGATGGCAGATCAGTTGAGTTTGTCTTGAATGCCGTGGCGTTGTTGAGGCTGGGTCGTTTTGGTAATCCTCGGTGCCGCGGGGTGAGCTAAGTCAGCAGCCACGGCCCGTCTAGCGGAACACAAATCCCGCGTAATTCCGGACCTGGTCTCCTAATTATAGCTCAACCCGTGAACTTCATGTAAATCTATCGTTCATACCTCATCGTAGTCGGCACCTCGATACATTTCTTGAAACCCGAAGAAAAAAAAGGCTTTGAGTTTCATTAAACGATAACTCGCGAGTACCCTCATCAGCTCCGAATCGCTCTACCCCAGACAACACTCACAATGGGCCAAAAGCTTCTTTACACAGGTGCCACTGGCTTTGTGTACGCTGACCACCCGTAGAAATCCATTCTGCAATAGAACTTTGCTGATAGATGATTTAGAGGCGGTAGCGTTCTGTCACGGCTTCTCAATAGCTCTTACTCAGAGATCAGGAACCTGGACATCACTGTACTAGTTCGAAAGCAAGAGCAAGCCAACCTACTGAAGCAGAAAGGGGTCGAAGCTATCGTTTTTGAAGGACTTGATGACTCCAATTTCTTGAGGAAGACAGCCAGCGAGTACGACTACGTCATTCATACCCCAACTGGCTTCCACGCCAGTTCGGCAGTGGCACTCATTGAGGGACTTGCGCAACGCAAGATACAGACCGGAAAGGACGTTCACTTTATCCATGTGTGTATCAAAAAAATCTCCCATAGGCTCCAAGATCATATCATGACAAAGAACAGACATCCGGAACTTCCAACCTTGCCGAAAGAGCCAGTAACAAGGAGATAGGAGAGGTTCACGAATGGTCTGACTTGGAGAACGTGTTCGAGTTTGAAGAGAAGAAAGAAAAGGAAGAAGCCTATGGCCAACGCACGACAGACATTGCCGTTGTGAAATTGGGAGAGAAGACAGGTGTCAGAACCTACATCATGATGCCTCCTACTGTATATGGCCGCGGGTCCGGACTGTTCAACCAGGGCTCTATGCAAATCCCCAGCATCATTCGCGGCGCCATCAAGGCCGGGGTTCCACAATACGTGGGTGACGGCAAGGCCCGCCTGGGCCATGTTCACGTAACGGATCTCGCTCTTCTATATGAGCTTGTCCTGAACAAGGTCTTGTCTGCGGAAAGAAGAAATTCCGTTTGGGCGTAGAGGGATTTATTTCTCTAATACGGGCAGTCACAACTGGCTAGATATTGCCGAACACGTCGGCAAAGCTGGTGTCGCTCTTGGAGCACTGCAATCGGCTGAGCCTAGGTCTGTCACATTGGAAGAGGCTGCCTCAAAATGGTTAAAGGCAACTCCACAAGTTGCCGAAATGAATTACGCGTCTAAGTAAGCTTATCTATCCCACGTCTTCTGCATTGTAAACAACTCAACACGTTTTGAAACTGACCCTTCTCAGTTCCGCTACGAAGCCTGTTCTCGCAACCAAACTCGGCTGGAAACCCAGAAAGACGGAAAATGACTGGGAGGAGTCGTTTGTTGAGGCATTCCAAATGGTATTGGACGAACAAAAATGACGTGATTGTTTCTCCGGACATAGTTATTTGGCAGCGAAATTCCATCCCCAATAATTAGTGTACTCTTATGCTCCGGCTGTAATCCTCATAATACTAGAAACACTCACTCTACCATAGTGACATTGAGAGGCGCTGCTCTGATGTGTTCATATAAGGGTCAACCTTTCCAAGTCAAACTCATAGCTTAGTTGACAACAGCCACGGCAATTGAGAAGGATGATCCCTTGGTTTACTGATATCATGACTCTGATGTCTGTCAGTCGGAATATCTGAACTGTTTCCCAATTCTCCCGTGGTCACCTCCCTAGCTAGAAAATATTTTTGGGTATTGGCAACCTTCAACCGGCATGGTGCTGTCCAATGTTGAACTCGCGTCCTGCCTACTTCAGGTATACCTTATCGGTGATAGTAGTACGACACGCACCAGCCGACCTTGCACGTTGTCGTATAGTACGTGCAGCTACCATCATTGTAATTCTCGGCCGAGCCCAAACTCGAGTTGCAGATCAAATCACAGCCGACTTGGCGGTTCTTTAGACGGCGAACATTGCCAAGCAGCAACATCAAGAGGAGAAACAGACTCACAGAATAAGGATGCCTTATCAAGGACAATAGCTTCAGTATCTACAGGATCTAGTAGGTCTTCAGTTGCCTCTACAGTTGAAGTCCTTTTGCCATTACGAGTGGAGTTTACTCTTAGACTGATACAAGCTACATCAAGGCGCTATATGTTGGTTTCCGATGTTGTCGTTTCTCCTCTCTGCCCTGAGCTGTAGAAGCCGAGCGAGGTTTAGTGCTGCACCCCAGGTTCCGAGTCGTACAAGACTCTGTGCGCCATGCATAAGGACCAAACGGCTCTCATCTCCGTTTCCAGCACCGTCATTATGCGAGGAGAGTGCGCGATCAAGAGCTTCTTTGAGTTCGGACTTGATGGCTGGCGCAACGTCGCGGAGAAAGAGGTGGACTTGAGCCTTGATAGTTTTGGGACTCGTCTTGATCACTGCCCACAGAAAGACGTGGCTGAGAAACACAGTAAATATGCTGTAAGGAGCTGCTGATCGCAACCCTTGGTCGCTCATGATCAACATGCAGTTTTCAGTTGCCTTCGCAAAAGCATGCAAAGACTCCGGTGGGGGTTTAATGGTCGTCTGGCCGTGGCTAGCATACCCGTGTGCGAAGAAGTATTGCAGCCGGCTCAATCCTTCCTGGACTGCATGGTCTCCACCTTTACCTAATGCATCTTGGATGTGGGATATCGAGGTATGGAGGTGGATATGCACTAGGCCGTGGAGTATCCGTGAAGCTCTCAAGAAGTATGAGTCCGGCCCCGAGGCCCTTCCGGTTTCCCTATACGCGTTGTATCGATGATACCAAATGTCGACTGACTCTGCAAGGAGAGACATGTGTCAATGGTGTTTCAGAATTCAAAACAGGAAAACTAGGGAGCCTACCAATTATATTCTCCCGGGTCTTCAGGCGCTCCATCCGGGAGGATGCTTTATTTACTCCCACGTAGCCATTTTGAGAGGATGTGTTGAAAGGGCTTTCGGAAGCATCAACAGGGTTCATTGACCAGTCATGCGACCAGTCATACGCTTGGCTGCCCAAGGAGTTTAGAACCAAAAGAAGAGTCCAGCGGCTGAATGCAGAGCTTCGCAGTGAAGATGGCGAAGTGCGCCGGCTACTTCCATCGGGCGTCAACAGCGCTTGGTAGGCCGTCGCGAACAATACGATTGATGGGCCCGGCGCGGCGTTGAGAAGGCGTGTCCACGTCTTCGCATCTGAAGCCGTCCAATGCTGTTCGTCGCTCGGGCATTCCCATCTGCAGACTTCGGCCAGTGACATCATGCCCCTCAAGTTCAAGATGACTGGAAACTGCATGTCAATCATGAACACGTACCAGCGCAAACGGTATTTGAACTCCAAGTCTATCCACCCCTCCCACTGGTCTTCGGTGACTTTCCCGTTACCGCCGAGGGACCTGGGCTTCAGCGGGGGAAGCCGTCTGACGTATGTCACCAAAGCCCCTCGCGAGGCCTCGGCTGCCTCGTACGCTCTTTTGTTTCCGCACCAAAGCCCCATGTAGACCAGCAGCGCATACGCGTACAGGATGTGAGGATCCCTGGTCAAGGTCTTATCTGATTCTATGCTTTGTTGAAGATTTTGTCGTGCTCGATCCAGCACCAGGATGGAAAAGCGTCGGGACTGTCGAATATGACTGTACGTAGCGCCGATTACTATCATGGCCACAATTAAGGGCGGAGGTAGCGAGTCTACGTTGAGAGTAGGCAAGTGTAAGACCGGGCTCTGCTCGTAAAACTCTTCGAAAAAGAGTCCAAGAAAAGCATTTGCGACGGCCAAGGACGGGAGAATAAAGTCACCCGAGTTTGGGATTCGAGGCTTCAAAAACTCATGTATGGAAGCCCAGACTGAGTCTCCCATGTCGAACTGATGTTTTTGGCGAAGCAAGAACGGATGCCTCTCGCTTATCGAAATATCTTGCGTCTGTTGGATCATCTTTGACGATGGGTCCCATCCAAAGGCCATCCCGTCTTCTTGGAATGGAACGTTCGGCGGCGATGAGACTCTGGGGCCGGCGTTCTCATGGCCAATGTTTCCTGTAGTCTCATGAGAAGCCATCGCCCCCTTGTGTGGCATGCTGACGGCAGTGTCCTGTCCATGGCCAGGTAGGCCGAGATCGTCTCCGAACCAAGCCCGCTGATCTGAGAACAATTGAGAGTCATCCTGAATAAGGAGCGGGTTGTCCATGTAAGTCTTTTCCCTCATAGCGTCGTAGAACTCGGGAGTGAACCACTGCCGGGTATCGAGCCAGAGATTGTCCGCACATGACTGGAAGAAGGTAGAAAAGTCGACATCTACATCCAAGATAGCCGGAAGAGCAGCTATCGTGCTGTGGTGTTGATTTGCAGCTGTTGAATTTGTGCCGGAAGCTGGCCCTCCATTGTGAGAATACGTCGGATATTGAGCATAATTCGTTGGAGGGCCCCATGTAACCGTAGATGTAGTTGAGGTCGTGGGTACAGAGCTTGAACCCAAGCTGGCTGGATCTGCAATCTTGTCCGGCAAGCCTTGCGACGACGAACCAGGATCCTCGAGGACGAAACAGAACTCTCTCGCGTGGCTCTCCTCTAGATTCTGCCCGTCCGGGGTGCCTTTGTGATGGACACGCCGGTGCTTCTTGAGTATATCGCTACGCGAAAACTCTTTCTGGCAGATTGCGCAGCGATGAGGCAGTCTGCTCTGGTCTAGCAATTCAAGCTCACTCGCATCATCAGCTTGGGGGGGGGTCTTCTTTTGGTTATCGGCAGTTGGTGGAACCCACGAGTCTTCTGGTGACGCTTCAGGTTCTCGATACGATTGAACGAGCGAGAACAAGTACTGCAGGTGTGGAGACTCTGACTAGTCTCGTTTTCTGGAACCATCCCGACAACGGCGATCTTGCACGACGCAGTTGTTAACAGAGGGAACAGCGAATTGAAGAGGTGGACGGAGCAGCCAACAACGTACAATGAAATTGGGGGTGGGGAGAAGTCTGTCCCCTTTTAATCGTTTCGTCCACCTCATGTCACAACCCTTGGTGGACACCTGTTCCAAACAAGACTAGCTCGGCTGCAGGTAACCCTCGATTTCCGAAACAGTGTTGCACACGGGCATTTTCATCCTTGGCAACGGGCCAACGGCCAGCCGCTAGGTAATACTGTTAAGTAAGCTACGGACGGTCGATGCGTCGGCGGGATTCCAATCTTCGTAGGTGCTTAAGCGCATAGAAATGGTCTGATCAATGTGAAAGTATCTTCCTGCAAGACGGTTGATGGTTTAAACTGTGAAGAAAGTACCATTGAAACTTGGGTCAGTCTGAAGACTCGCTTTTTCTTGGACTCTGGGTCTGTCTAATCAACTAACAATGTATTGAAGGCGACGGATGGGACTTTATATTATGTCTTCTTCAATGCCATGATTGTTACCATAGCGTTTCCGTGACCATCGCTACAAACCCTCAGGTCCACAATTGCGCAAGGGGCACAAAGATCCCCAAACTCAATTTGATATCTGCTAATTCTTCCATCGTCCTCAGCAAAGATTGACTTTAGATCTCTCCGATCCTCCGAAAATTCGAATCAATGATGTCAACCTTCCCGACACTTGCACGGTGACCAAATGAGAAAAGACGCCGTTATTGGATGTCGAAGCAGAAGAACCTCGTGCGTAGCAGGGCCTTGTACATCCAGCCAGGGATATCGGTACCTAATTAGTCAACCCACGGGCTGATAACTCACAACGACTAGATCAGTGTGTTTACGAACACGTGCTTCGATAACGTCTCATCATCGAGATACAGGACCGAGAGGCTGCAAGCATTACGGATATTCAAGGCCAACCAGTCCTTGGCGGCTCAAGCACCAACACCGTGCGGTTGCATTGGCTTTGGTGGCCATGAGGGATGGCCGTCTCAACGGTGAGCTAGCTCTACGGTTCTCGCTCCACACAGTTTACGTAGGCTTGTGTGAAAGGAGAAGAGCTTGTCACTTACCTTAGGGTTTATGGTCGATCGAGGCTCCTCTGCGCCATTGTGACGATGTGCTCTTGAAGAATGGCGTTGTGGTGAAACACCTCGACAAACCCAGATGCCTGGTTTAGCCAAAGCTGGTCTCTTAAGTTGTCTGTGCCCACAAATGTAAGGCCTGCAGCTTTCTACAAGTTGATTGCCGTTAACTGATTTCTGATATCCTTCCCAGCCCCACTCTTCTCATTGAGTGTAGGAGGATGGTTCCGAATTTTGAACAAAGCAGAACAAAACTGTGAGCAATACTCAGTGTGTCGCCATTCTGTCGGATTATAACCCCGAGTCAAGCATATCAACGGATTGGTTTTCTGCTGAACACCGTATGATCGTCATGACTCTTGTGGCGAGGTTGATAGCGTAGTGCTAGTCACTATTAAGAGGTCGAACACAATCCTTCAAGCTAGAGAAGCGTTCTGTTACAAGACTGTGCGGGGTAAGAGTTGGATTTTCTTCAGCAATTTAACAATGCTGAAAAGCTCTCGGTAGGATTTGGCGTTACATAATTCTCTTCCATAAAATTAGGAGCATATAATGAATACAACGGCTGTAAAATCGGAGGAAGGACTCAATTCAATTCAATTGTTTTCATGGGCAGGGTATAAAAGGAAAAGGCTGGCCGGAATTGCAACCATGACACAGTGGCTATTGCCATGAGAGCCAGGTCAGCTCTTGCTTCTCGGCATCTTTGTCCAAAACAGCAATCGGAAGGGTCACAATGTCAAAGCTCATTTCGAGAGGCGTGAGTGAGGTTGTTTGATGTGAACGAGCAGCGAGAAACTTAAATGGTGGGGAGATTGCGCACGCTCTTCATATCTGCATCGGATGATACATGCATACTAATATGCTTATGCTGTACTACCCCAATACTGTTCTTAAACGGTCTTACTGGCTAACTATCATTCATCTGTGACAGAGGTTGGCGTGTAGTAGGAACAAGCGATGAAAAGCTAGAGTTCGCCTAGTCGAAAAATGGTCCACCGCGTTGTTGTGGTGCGCCATCTGCCTTGTCACTAATCCCCGCCAGACACGATAGGCATGCACCTGCAGAGCTTACCCGTCGGTTATGTGATAGTCGTTTTCTTCCAAAACTTCTGGCGTGGAAAAACCGAAATTCTTCGATCAATATAATACGTTGTGTTGGGGGACCGCGACAGCTCCTCTGACTATGCCCTGGACGCCAAAGGCAATGCACCAAACTCTGACGAATCGTCCATGTCATCGGAGCCATGCTTGCAGTCTCACCCAAACGTTAGCCGAGAGTCGATAGGCAAGCCAGCTATTTGGCGTTCGGATGAGTATCTCGTCTTTCTCTGCCCAACGCCTGCGAATGCTCTGTATGTTGACATAGTATCGCCAACTTCCAAGGGTACTTCTACGAATAACGGGTTCTGTTGGTTTCACCAGGGTGGTGATACGGTTAACCGTACGTATCAATAGGCAGGTGACGAATAATAGGGGTAAATACCGGTTCTGAATTATGCGTAAAGAAGGAAAACTATTGTGGGATTACGCGGCGAATTCACCGCGTAATATCCCTGTGGATCTAGTGGATCTACGGCGAATTAGCTGTAGTTATTCTAACTAATTAGCGTTAATCTATATTGCTAATATCTAGGTAATAGTTAATATTATAACACTAGTAACCTTCTAAAGTGCTATAAATTATCCTATTTTCTAGTTATCTATAAAGGGCCTAAAAACGTAATAAAAACAAAAGGCTAAAAAGTATTTAATACTTTTTATATATATAACTTATTATATATATAAAACCTATCTATTTATCTATATCTCTAATTAACTACTATTAATTAACTACTCTAGTGCTTTATTAGGTAATACCTTTATAAATCTATCTACTAGGTTATCCTCTCTTTATATCTATTAGATTTTATAAATCTTATGTTACTTATATAACTAGTAAAGCGCTATAATATTAATTATAAGTTACTTCTCCTTAGTAGTATTAAGCTTTATAAGGCACTTATAAAAAGAGTATAAGTTAGTATAAAGGATTATTAGGATTTATAGTAACTTAAGGTAGTTAGTAATTATTATAAGTGTAGTGCTAATTATATAGGTAATATTAGTGCTAGTAACTATACTATAGACTTTAGAGGCTAGTACGCTATATATAACTTTTTTATATTTTATTAAGCTAAAGTAGATAATATTACTAGTAAGTATAAATTTCTTATTATTAGTAGTAGGTTATATAACGTTACTTTTATTAGTAAGTATAATAATAAAGCTAAGTTATAATATAAAATTATAGTTATTTATAAATAAGCTATTAATAAAGATAAAAAGCTTTATAGTTATAAGGTTAATTAGCTAAAAAAGTAGGCTATAGTTAAGATAACTTATTTACTACTTAATCTAGTAGTTAAGAGCCTTAATCTCCTCCTCTATAGGCTCTTAGTGTTATATAGTAACTAAATAGTTAAAGTAAGCCTTAGGTTAGTATATTAATATAATATATACCCTATAGGCCTTTTACTAGATAAAATCTTACTTAGTAGTAAGTAAATTTATATTAACAGGCTAAAGCTTTTTGCCTTAATCTTTTTAGTAAAAACTTATTTTACTATTATAGCTAAGGGAAAGCATACTGCTATTAAAGGTAATAAAATTATTAATAGTTAATAGTTACTTAGGCTTTATAGTAAAAGTTACCTTCTTAAGCTTCTTCTCCTTATAAGTAGAGAATTTATTATCTATAAGGCTAATTATATTATCTATCTATATACTAATAAGGCTAAAATCTTTATTATTAGGTAATAAAATAAGTAGGTAGGGGTTAAAGGTTAATAAATCTATCTAGAGATTCTTTTTATAATAGTAGTTATATATAGCCTACTAGTAAGTGCCTGCCTTAGTAATACTATAAAGCGGCTTTATTACCTTTATAATAAAGTTACTAAGGTAAAGATTAGTTACTAGGCTATTTATTAGATTATAGGTAACTATATAAGAATTATTTTCTTACTATTATTAGTATAACCTTAGATAACTAACTATAATTTCTTATATAGTTACTTATTTTTTTTTTAACCTTATATACTATATATAACTTAAAAATCTATATGTTACTATACGTTTTCTTATTATAAGTAATAATATAAAATACACTATAGTTAATAAAGGCTTTTACCTCTACCTTATTAGATTCTTTAAAGGGCTTACTAGGCGTAGTAATAATGCTTTTTTTATATAATTTAATAGTAAGTATATAGTTAGCTTCCTCCTTTATAGTAAGGTATATGTTAGAGATATTAATAGTAAGGTGTATCTTATAAAAAAAGGTAGTAATTATGTTCTTTTATAGGTAGCTATAGCCTTATTATAAGGGCAGCCTGTTATTAATAATAATAGTATTATATACTTCCTCTATAGATTTACTAGTTATTATAGGTTCTTCTTTTTATGCTTATATAGGATTATTACCTCTTTTAGCTGTTATAGGTAGTAGCGCTAATTAGTCTTCTTTTTACGCTATATAGTATAGCTTTACTATAGTAATATAAAAATTATATAGGCTGTAAGGTAATTTAATAGTATAGGTAGTACTATTATTAGTAAGTAAGTAAAATAGGCCTTACTAGCTGTCTTTTTTATACTATATATAGATAAGTAATTAAAGGGGTAACACTATAGTATTTATTATATTTAGGCTGTTATATATTACTAGCGTATTATACACTTATCTCTTTATATAGATTTACTATACTATATTTATAGCCTTTTTTACTACTTTAGTGTGCTATATAGTAGAAGGGGTAGGTAGTAAATTTTCTATAATATAGAGGTATACCTTAAAAATAAGTAGAGTTAGTATAAGGCTATTAGGGCTAGTAGTATTATTAATAGCTTTAATAGCTAGTTAAAAGGCAACTTTAGGCTTATAATTACTATCTATATAGATAATTTTATACGTGTAGTAAAAGGTAGTATAGTATTACTTAACCTTACTAATAAATTAATAGGCCTTAATAGGCACTTTATTAACCTTAATAAATAACGTATAGGTAGCGTGTTTAAATTTAGCTATATAAAAATTTAGGCTAGTGTTAGTAGTAATCTAATTAGGTAGCCTAAGATATATGTTAATTTAGTATATTTATAGTGCCTCCTATATATACTTTATAGTAACTAAACGTAAGAATCTTACTATATTAAACGTAGTAGCTAAGTTAACTATATAAAGTATAGGCTTATTACTATCTATATATATTATATTAATAAAGATTTTATAGTTAAATTTATAGTTATTATATAGTATAAATTTAAAGCAGCTAGGCGCCTTTATATTAAGTTAGTAGTAATAGTAGTACTTATTAATCTCTTTAAGTGTAGTAAAGGAGGTAGATTTACCTACTTGTTTAAGTAACTTATAAAGGCGATTTACTAATAGGTAGCTAAATCTATAGTAAATCTAGTGTAATTTGCTATTAGTTAAGTGTTACTTTATAATAACGCTCTTAGGCAGCTCTAAAAGTATCTATATATAGCCTTATTTTTAGGTAATAGGTATAATAATCTTATCCTTAATAAGCTAGTTAGTAAGGTTATTAAATTTTATACTATAGTAATCTATATCTTATAGGTAAAAAAGAAATAGCGTATTACTTATTATTATATAGAAAACAAGCTTACTAATTAGTGTAGGTATATAGATTACCTTAAGGGATTTATAGTAATCCCTACTGCTAAAGTAAATTATTACTTTACTAGTGTAGGTAGTATCTAGTAAGATCTCCTTACTAAGGTGTTTTTTTATAAAGGTATAGGTGGTGTGCCACGCCTGTCAATAGACTATTCTGGCATTGCCAAAAGATCAATCAGTTCAGGCACTAAGTGCCTGAAATGCACCACACATAGCCTTATAAAGGGTAACCAGGCCAACCCCTTACAATTGCCCCCCTTCTAATGCAACACGTCCCAAGTCGCTTCAGGCCTACGTGCACTAGCGCCAGTAACCGTGCGCTAGAGCATAAGGTCATGTTAACCCCAAAGGCCCTAGGCGCCTGGCACCTGGCGACAGCTGGGGGACCCCCGGCTGGCGCTAGGCTTACCTATCGCACATCAGTCCCTCTAAGCCTAACGTAAGCTGCCCCTCATTCATGCCTAGCTAACTAATCCACTGATTAATAACCTTCCAGCCCCTTAAGGCCTACACTAAAGAGAGTCTTAACAGGCGGGATTCAAACCCAGCCCCTGTTAACAGCCAGAAGACCCACTTAGTGCCTAAATAATTATAAAGGTATAGGTGGTGTGCCACGCCTGTCAATAGACTATTCTGGTAGTACTAAAAGATTAATTAGTTTAGGCACTAAGTGCCTAAAATACACTACACATAGCCTTATAAAGGGTAACCAGGCTAACCCCTTATATTTTTAAAGGTAAAGTACTACTACTAGCTAGCTATAGATATTTTAGCTACGCCTGTGTTAGGCATAATGCCTTAAAAGGTAGACGTAAAGTAGTAGTTATTAAATATAAAGATATTACTACTTTTTATAGTTATGTTAGGTAATTCTTCTTTATATAGATTTTTATAAGTAATAGTATAAAATATTACTTAGTTCTATAACTTCTTATAGGTTAATAGGCTATTAATTAACTACTTACTAAAGTATATAGTTATAGTAAAAAATATAGTAGATTTATAGTTTTTACTATTTAATAGGTAAATCTTATTATCTTTACTTACTTCTTTAAGATAACTTAGCTTATTACCTTTATAATTAATAAGAAAGTAACTAAAGGTAGTCTATAAAGCCTATATAAAGTAGGTGCTTTTATACTACAAAAAAGAGGCTTATTATTCCTCTTTTATATACTTAGTTAACTAATAGCTTAATTTACTATAAATAAAGCACTTTTTAGATAGATTACTATTAGGTAGTGCTTTACTACTAGCTAACTATAAAAGGCCTTATAAATAGCCTTACTATCTCTAGGGGTCTGTCTTATAGTTATACTAGCTATTATACTTATAGTTAACTTAGTATTAGTTATTACTATAATTATTATTAGTAAAGTATTATAACTATAGCTTATAGTAAAGAAGTAAATTTACTATACTACTATATAATTACATATAAAGGCTACTAAAGGTAGTAAGTAGATTAAGGATAGTAATAAAGTATTTAGGCATACTATAGTAGTAAGTAAGTAATTACTTATAATAATCTTTATTATATAAAGTGCTATTATAAGTAGTTACTTATACTAACTAGGTAATTTATATAATAAGTGTCTTAAGTACTTTAAGCTTACTTTTACTAGCGTTTTCTCTAGTAATTAAATTAAAAGAGGTATAGTAAAGCTTAGCTAGGCGTAAAAGGTGTACTTTATTACCTTTAAAGCGTTATTTAAGCTTTACTATTATTACGTTAAAATTATTAGAATAACTAAGTAATAAGGTAGTATAATACTTATATAGCTTCCCTTTAAGTATTACTATTACTACTATACTATAGTAGTTTTATAGTATACCTATATAAACATAAAGGTTATAAAAAAACAGTAACTTTAAGTTAATAGTTTTATATAGGCTACTACTATATATTAAACCTAGATTATTTATATAAAACTTTATTAAGTCTGTTAATTACCTTAGCGTTAGGCTGTTTTACCTACTTACTATTATAGCTATTATAGTAGGTATTACTAATAGTAAAAAACGTAGTTAGACTTAGGCTTTATAGATTTCTACTGTTATCTAGGGTTTCTATAGTAATAAGGCTAGAGGAGGTATAAATAATAAATTATTATAAGAGGTTACTTAGGTAATTAGTAGTAATTTATAGGCTATAGCTTATTTAGCTGCTTTTACTATAGTAATAGCCTTAATAGGTAACACTACTATACTAGTAATCTTTTTATAGAAATTATTATCTACTAAGCGCTTTCTAAATCCTCTAACTTTTTATATAGTAGTCTTAATTATCTTTTTATTCTAAATAATAGTTTTATTATCTTAAATAGCTTAGTAAAAATATATTATAATTATAAAGTTTTTTACTTAATTAATTTACACTTTATAGCTTATAAGGCACTTATATAGCCTCTTAAGTATTTTATATAGCAGGAGGGTAAAATCCTTAGTTTACTAATCTTTAAAGTTAACTTATACCTTAGTGTAAAAGATACTATATAAATAGTTATTTACTTTATACTTAGTAATATAATATACTACTATAGTAGTAAGGCTATTATATTACTAGGCCTTAGTAAGATCCTTTAGTATATCTATAATATAATTTCTCCCCTAAAGATTAAGAATAATATACTTCCTAAAGTTACTTAGTATAAAGTATAAGTTACTTATTATAGCTACTAGCCTTATAGCGTTATATAGTATTATATACTTATTATAAATTATTATAGGTTACTTAGTTAATTTACTTTCTTATATATTACTTATTATCTCTTTATGCTTACTTATCTTAGTTACTTACTTATAATTACCTTCTGTTAGCCTAACTACCTCTTAGTTATAGGCGTTTCCCTTAACTGTTATTAAAGGGCGTATATATCTATTAGAGAATTTACTGCTAGTAGTATAGGTAATTATAAAGACTTAAGGTTAAATAAAAACTTAAAAAAGGGAAGGCTTATAGTAAGCTTATAGGTAATAAAGGCTATTATATAGGTAATATAAAATAATTTAGAGAAAAGTAAAAAAAAAATATATAAAAAAAAGAAAGTTAGTAAGCTTTATAGGCTTATAATAAAAAGAAAGTAAAAGGTAAATAATTACTAATTAATAGTAGGTTAGTACGTAAAGTAAGGTGTTTTTTATAGTTAGATAAAGGACTTCTTATATAGTAATAAAGTTAATTTACTTATATAAATAATATAAATTTACGCCACTCTTACTATATTAAGGGGATATAACTACTAAGTAATATAAATTAACCTATAAGAGGCGTATAGTATAATCTTACTATAAGGGTATTTATAGATAGGATTCTTAGTAACTAATTAAGGCTACTATAAATAATTAATAGAAAAATTACCTCTTCTTATATTACCTTACTAATCTATAGTAGCTTATAGTAGTAGTTACTATAAAGTTAACTACTAATTAGTGTTAGTTTTACTAGGGTAGTAATATAGTTAACTATACGTATTAATAGGCAGGTGACAAATAATAGGGGTAAATACTAGTTCTAAATTATACGTAAAGAAGGAAAACTATTGTAGGATTACGCGGCGAATTCACTGCGTAATATCCCTGTGGATCCGGTGGATCCACAGCAAATTAGCCGTAGTTATTCCGACCGATCGGCGTTAATCCATATCGCCGATATCCAGGCGATGGTCAACATCGCAACAGGTTCTTCAAAACTTCCGTTCTTTGCTTTCGAAATGCGGACGTTTCTAGTTTATGCCGCAAGCTTTGGCTGGAAAGCAAACCGGTAACAATTTGATTAATTTTTGGTGATTCATGATAAAACCCGACTAAAACACTCACGGGAGAGATATCGCTCGGTCTCCCCTGATCTAATGCAAACTTCAAAGGCTCCTGACGCGTGCTTATACACCAATTAGGCTACATATAATGGTCACAAAAGGGGGCGTATTATGTCATCAGTTAGGCATCATCAAGGGTTTCTATGCGAGGCCCTTAATAGCGCTCACCGTTACTAAACACATCTCCAATCTCATCCTTGCTCTCTGATCAGATCATCAACAAAACTGCATGATCTGAAGAAAATGGAAGCCCATAGCATCATCTCCCTCACTTGGTGGCGGATCAACTAATTTGGACCACCCGAGAGCCGAATCAAGGTAAATCTTGTTAATCAAATCCCAGTGGTTGCCATGCAACGTCGAATTCCCAGATGGCAACAACGCTAGAATCACCAGTTACGTCAACAATCTTCACCCCGGAGACCATGCTGGCGTGTATTCTCTGCTCGAAAATGCCATTACACAAGCGATGCCACTCTGGAGGCTGGTATATGACAATGTGTATGGAAGCGATAACCACCTTTCACTGCGCATAGAGTGTTCAGACCCTGGCAGGAAATACCCAAGTACCCCCCCGCCTTGGGACCCTCTCGGGCTCCGAGATGATTATTCCAGCGGTTTAATTGATATGGTTGAGTGGGAGAGTCGCACACACCAGTGGTTGAAGACCCAACAAGTCGTTGACAGGCCTGAGCCGAGTTTCGGCCCTGAATCTGACAGGAGAGGCTATGGCTGGGAATCCAGCTGGCAGAGGACGCCCAATATATCAACAGGTAAAAGTGGAGTCATTGGGGATTCGAATAGCATTCAGGTTATCGTCAAGCTGAGCGCGCTCTACCTGACCCCGGAAAGCCCAATCTGCAGCACGGAAGATGAGTGGGCATTGGACGGTGTTCCAAACGAACACATTTGCGCCACCGCCATCTATGTGTTTGATGACAACAACGTGACCGACACGAGGATATCTTTCCGATCCAGGTTCGATGGCCTGGAGTTAGAGCAAGAGTGCTTGTTCGACCCCGACGACACTCGACCTATAGAAGAGGTTTTTGGCTTTACGCACAGATCCCAGCGTTCAAGATAATTGGATCAGTCACCTTGCGAGAGGGATTCACGCTCGTCTATCCCAACGTCTTGCAGCATAGGTGGTCTTCCACTCAGCTCAAGGACGCAACCAAGCCAGGCCACCGGAAATTCCTCACACTATATCTGGTCGATCCTCGAGTGAAGATGCTGTCTTCGGCGAACGTGCCGCCTTAGCAGGCGGACTGGTGGGTTCGAACATTCTCGAATGAGGTAGGGCAGTTCGATGGGCTGCCAAAGGAGGTTGTCGACATGGCTTTGAACGAAATAGTAGAGTGCCCCTTTTCGATGAAGGAAGCCATTGGCTTGAAACTTAAGGCGATGAGGGAGAGGAGGCGCGTGGACAGACAGATAATTGGGGCGTTGAGGTCATGCCGAGTGTGGCTTTCTTGGGATACAGTATCCGAGGATTCTGAGGGGGCGCTTGACAGTGAGAGTGAGACTTCCGTTAATGATGGTCAACCAAACAAGGCGGTCATGACTGGGACTGTATATGTTACTGTTTAGTTTGTGAAGCATTCTCAAAGGGCTGTAATCTATAATGAACACAATCGACTTAGTCTATGGCTTTCCTTCTACATGGGACAGATCACGGCATAATATCAATCGCTTCGCCCCAGTTAAGCCCCCAGTGCCTTTGATGTCTGCTCCCCTAAACATTCACCATCTCCCCAATGATTTGATTGCCGCTTGCTTTCTTCGCAGGAAGTATATACTGGTTTTGGATCAAAGCTGGGAAGTCATCGTCGCCGTATTCCTGTTCCAACGCGACCTCGGGACGACAGTCACAATTTCTTTCGAGAAATGATTGAAACAGCGATGGAGCTGCAACTGGGGGAGACACTAGAAACCTAGACCCAACAACACCCAACACCTACCAGACCCGACGACACACACAAACACCCTCCCTGCCTGCCGTCGGACTTGATGCGTTCGTCGCTTGATCCTGAACTGGAAGAACGGCTTCGCGAACATTACACGGTGGGCTGGGTGTGTGCTTCACCCAAAGAACAAACGGTAGGCGGTCACTTTGAGGGGACGGGTGTCCTCAACAACCCCCCCTGGGGTTATCCTAAGGGCGCTGGCTAAGCTGCATGAAATGGAAGGACCCAACATTACTGGGTTTCTGGAAAATCTGCGTCTGAAATGGCCGACGCTGGGCCCCAAGTACCTCCGGTAACACTTTGTCGATATGAGATGTGGAGACGATGTCTTTACAAGCAGTCAAGACGGCTGGACGCCGTTGTGGCTCGCCCTGGGATATAAGAGCAACATGGCTACTGCCGAGCTCCTGATCGAGAGAGGGGCACAATTTGATTTGGAAGATGGGCTTGGGCAAACGCCATTGATGCACGCTTTGCATTCAGGAAACGACGCTGACGTCAGGCTGCTGCTGGGGATGGGGGCTTTGAGGCAAATGCTATACGACTTAAGGGAAGCGACTCAAGAAGATTAACCAAATATCGCTACAACTTTGATCAGTTTGATACACCGGACTCATCGCTGGGGACCGATGTGTACGTTACACCGCTTCCCTACTATCCCGGTCTAAGGTTGTTGAATGTCGCCCAACAATGCGACAGGCCGCTTACCTGAGGGGGGGGGGAGACTGGCGCTACCATGAGCCGCCGTTAAACTGTATGCTACAAGATACAGTCTGTATGCGCATAACCATTACCATGACGTCTGGGTGGACGTGAAAGTTGTCACATGGGGGTTGAAACCCGGTAGAGAAGTGGGATCCTTTTGTGTGATCATCGCATAGAATTCATCACTATGGAAAGCTTAGAAGCGGCGATGAAAAAGCGCTGGCCTGGCGTGCTTCAAAGCTCATCAGACAGAGTTCAATGATTACACATCATGCAATCGACTCAAAAGGTCGGGCTCTTTCAAAACGTCGTCGGCGCTGACGCCCATGTATGTTGTGACCGTCGTTCATAGTTACTAAAGAGCCTTGATGGACAGCACTGGTTCGAGCCTTCGTCGTGTAATGATGCAGACGAATTCGCAAGTGTCTGGCCCAACCCTGAAGTCGGGGGTTGTTTGCATCATTCATCGAAATGGTTTCATGATCGGAATATTTCAACTCAGCTGGGAGCCCCTTCCAACTTTGACTCGGGCTTGTCCTCCGACACCTTCTCAGAGAACTCCTCGGCAGGCTTTTCGGTGGGCTTCTCGTCGGGCTTTTGGGAAACGACTGTTGACGCATCTTTGGCAGACTCATCTTCCGAACGTGTTGAAGACTCCGTCTTCGCCCGCCAATAGAGACATGTGCTGGAGAATGTGGTGTAGGTCCCATCTTGGGGAAAGGGGAAATGCTTGTGAGAGTCGTGCATGTCGCTCATGCACTTGAAGTCGCCCTCCTTCATAGTCGCAAACCTTGCTCTGTGTTAGGACTTCTCATCCAGCAGTCAGAAGCGGGGGAGACATACTCATCCCACACATCCCAGCCCGTGCCGACAAACATGGCAGGCGACGCCTTCTCCAACGCCGCTTCGTATATGGGCCGATACATATGCACGGCAAATACCAGCGTGTCTTGGTCCACGGCCTCGAAGGCGGCGGGCGACTTGACGACTTTGTGGCCCAGATTTGTGAGGAACTCGGTGTCATTGGGCGTGAAGCGGGGCTCCTGGAAAGAGCACGGAATGGACTCTTTGTACAACGCGGCTGAGCATTCGGTCAGCTGGGGCGCGGCAATAAAAGTAAATCGACGTTGCGATAAGATCTAAACATACACAGGACCTCCACGATGGTCAGGAACCCATCGAGCTGAATATAGCTCCGCCTCTTGGCGTCCCAGCCGCCGTCCTCCGGGTCGAACGTGCCAACGCCGAGACAAACGGCCTTACGCACCGTCCGGTGCGCCTCGGCGTTCGCCTCCACCAGCTTTTTGAGCTCCGCGTGGCACGGGGTGTCGCGCCAGCGGGTTTTGAAGACCTCGTACTCGGCCGTGATATCGGCGACGGACTTGAGGGCGCGGGGTTCATCGGCTAGCTTCGAGAGGGCCGACCCGGGGATCTTGGGTGGTGACCGAGGGGCGTTCCGCCGGAAGCGCGACTTTGGTTTGACGTGGATCCATTCTTCCTGCTTTGGCTCCTGGCTCTCGGGCTGTTCGGCCGCGGCCATGGCTGGCATGAACTCGATTTGGAGACGTGGTGCAGGTGGTGGGATGTGGCTTTGGTGGGATGAACTTTTGGGCCGGCAGAATTCGGCCACCGCCTGCTTGGTGGGGTGATGGTCAAAACAGAAGGCGGTGAGAGGGAGACGGCAGACAAGATTACATAATGCTTCAGGTCTCACTGTCGAGACAGGAAGAAGGAGGGTTACACGCCTAAAATCTGATGGCAGGTAAGGTGCACGTACAGCGGTAGCTTCGCTCCTTCCGCCACAAGCAACTTGGGCCAGGAATAGAATCACTTATGCAAGCATCGATGCCACACTCCAGACACCACATCTTCGATACGACTATTGGGTGACTTGCATCTCAAAATATGCTCTTCTTCCATCTGCTTCGTAAGCCTTTTGTGTTCATTGCTCGACGTGAAGCTGCACGATGAACCAGCCAATCGCTCGCTGCGTGTCGGTCATCAACAACGAGACCTCGATCCCGATTCCTTACCGACTCTGAACGTGAGGGGACAAAAGAGCCATTCAATTGGAACGCCATCGAGGCTCCAAAGCCTTCGTCTCTCTGGCGGGTGGTAAGAGAGTACACGTCGACCTGAGATGGAGCCTCTCCTGTTTCTGCTGACCTGCCTGGCCCCCTTCGATCAGCGTCGTCTGGAAAGCCTGCTTTCTCTTTCGCCGGGCATTTCCGAGTGGACGTCACGCCGTCAGCTTACCGCCCTTCGGCATTTCACCACGCGTCCTTTTGTCCTCTATGCCGGCTATGTCCAGTGAGAGCGCTTGGGACGAGGAGAAACAGTCGACGCCCCCGTGCCATCAGACACTTTCCCGCTGTATACGACGCGCGACGAAGTGGAATCATCACGAGAGGAAAGCGCACGACGGTGGGAACCGACAAAATTCGACATTGACTATCCGTAACTGATCGGCAAGAGATTGCTTGTTCCTCTCGGAAAGGCCTCCGAGATATGCGCCCTCGTCCCAATCCCCAGGCCTTGCTTTTCCCTCTCCGAGTCCATGGCACCCAAGCAGAGAAAAGGCCAGCCAAGCGGATGCAGAAGACCACATCTCACCTCACGCCTTGCTTCAACCCCCCCAAGCTCCTGGCACACCGCGGTGATCGCCATCTGGTTGGCGAGCGGCGAGCTTGCGACTCACAGCTAGACCCAATCGTCCGTCGGTGGCGGGTTGCATCCTGCAGCCCAAGTGCACAAGGTCCGGCGCTTACACGCCGTCACACCCCTGCCTGCTGCCTCCCCTTCCCACCAGTCATGGTCGAGATACCATCTGCCACCAAGGTGATGCGGCATCTCATTGGCCTCGAGAGGCCCCCAAACCCCCCCCCCCCGCACGAAGACTGCGACCCCTGTCCACTTCCATCCCGCAGCGCCTCGCCTGGCGCCCTCGCCCGTCATTGGAGCGCTGTCCTATGCGCCGTGAGAGTAGCACCAGGGGAGGGGGAGTTGGACGGGAGAGCAGTCGCCCACTTACCACTTTACAGGAACTAGCCTGCTGCAGACCATAGGCTTTGTTTGCTCTATGGCCACTGGCCACATTCGGGGAGGGAACGAGAGATTTGGGAACGGGGGTGACAGGCGGGCGGCTGGGCGTTGAAAGTTGAATCCCCATCAAAGCATCAACCCATGCCCATGCAAGCTGGGTGTGCCTCTTCCTCCCGGTCTGCCATTTGATGTTGCTTCACCCACCATCATGGCTAACCCCCCCCCCCCCCCGCCTCACCTCTCCGTGCAGGGCGGGAAAAGAGAGAAGCTCGCTCATCCATTGGACAGCTGCAAGTGCACAATGCAGTGGGAGCGCTCGCTCGGTGCCCCCCGGCGGCTGGATCGTTCGGCCGGGTCACCTTCTGCGCGGCCACCGCCACACAGCACACCCCCCATTCAGCCAAATAGCACCCCGTCCGCAGCGTCCGTTTCTTCCCTCTCTTTTCCCTCTCGTGTACAACTGACATTCTGATTCCTTGAAATCTTTACATGTTGTAATTCTCCCTTGCGCCGAGATCGAAAGTTTGCGGTGCTCAATAACGAACAATACACGGAACATCTACCGACAATTCAGAGGCTGGCATTCTGGGATATCACGCACGCACGTATCACGACCAACCACCTATCTCGACGGGTAAAAAGCAAGCGGGGTCGGAAGACAGCGCCAGTGAGACGGACAAGTACGGAACTGTGCGACGAAAAGTGTAAAACTCCCAGCGAGGAAGATAATCGGGAACGAGACGGTCCTTGGCTTTGGCTGGAAATCACACATTGTCGACTTTCGACACCAGAGATCACTCACACGCATACGCACACGCGCGCACACACACAACCGCCAAGATGCTCTTCTCAACACTATCAGCCCTCGTCCTCGCGGCGACGGCCTCCGCACACATCGTCATCTCCTACCCGGGCTGGCGTGGCAACAACCTCATCACGAACGAAACCTTCCCCTACGGCATGCAATGGACCTACCCATGTACGTGCTTCCTCCCACCTCGCCAGCTCTCATCATTCTTATCCCCTCGTCCCCGTCGCCCCCCTCTTCGTAGTGTACGTTGCTGACAAAAACCAGGCGGCGGCATGGGCGTCACAAAGAACCGCACCTACTGGCCCACGACCGGCGGCGCCCTCTCCTTCCAGCCCGGCTGGTTCCAGGGCCACGCCCAGGCCTTTATGTACGCCAACATGGGCTTCGGCACTGATGGCCCCGATGGCGGGCCCATCAACATGTCCTTCCCCATGGTCCCCGTCTTCCAGATCCTCGGCCCCAGCAAGAACCCTTACCCGGGCACCGTCTGCCTGCCGCAGGTTCCGCTACCCGTCAACACTACCGTCAAGCCCGGCGACCACGCCACCATCCAGATCGTCGAGCTGGCTGTGCACGGCGGCGCCCTCTTCTCGGTATGCCCTCCCTCCTCGTCCTCCTTCCTCTGCATCCTTCCCTTCCCTTCTTCCCGTTGCACACGCCACGCGCACCAAGTGTGAGACGACTAACGTAATATGAAAAAAAGTGCGTCGACATTGAGTTCGCCGAGCCTGGCGACCCCAAGATCGGAAAAGTCAACGAGACCAACTGCTTCAACTCGACCGACATCGGCTTCGCCGACGTCTACACCATCACGACCCAAGAGTCGGGCGGCGAGATCGTCACCGATACGTCGGCCGCCGCGGGGCCGCTGTCCGCGTGGTCCGCCGCCGGCTGGGCGCCACTCCTCGTCGGCGCTCTGTGGGCCGTGCTGTAGCCGGCTTCGTCCTTTGTCGTTCTCTCCCGCGGGTTTCTGTGCCGTGCAACACACACACACACACACACCCTGTTCACGATTGGGGTTCGACGTAGAATGACAGCGACTTCTTGATGTTTTTTGTTTCTCTTAAAGTGGGCCGGGTGGAAATTATACCCCGGTGGAAATATCTCTTGTATATCTTGGTGGGCATCAACAACGGCGTTTATCCAAGGAAGGCAAACTTTTCTTTTCTTGTCATTATCTCTGTACGGACAATTACCGTGTCCCGCTTCTTATTCTTCTTTTTCTCTGTTATATCAAACCTCCTCAGTCGCCGGAATCTACATCTGAGACCTGAGAATGAGGGGGGGGGTGGATGGTTGTCCATTGTGGCATACCACTCCTCCCTTCCGAGAGATTGGGGTTTAGGAGCCCCAGTCCTCCTAGTGCCCGCTCCTTGCGAGTGGATGAAAAGAAATCATGATCAACTTTCGATTGTTCAACGCCAGCAGGCAACATTCTGAAAAGTGGTGATGCCTCCTTCTAGAAACTGGGTGTAGCGGTCTCGCAGTACGCAGCGGCTGGACCATTGCGAAGACTTCTTATGTCAACGCACGACGATGGCTCAAGCTGCAGCAAACGAATGGACAACAGACGTGACTCGCATCCTGCGGAGACGGGACCATGGGCACAGATTCCAAAGCTGTTCTTGGTGTATGCTTAATCATGGTCTAGAATGGCTAGCTATTGACATGCAGTCGAAATAAGCCGCTACGTCGGAGACACCTACTTCCTGGCTGGCCTGCAAGACGGGGGGGCCATGGCCCACCCCGCCATCATCGTTTCCGGCCGTTTCGCCGCAGCTTCAGCAAGCGCGGAGATCTGCGACCGTCACACGGCCGTCACTTTCCGAGACTCCATAAGTCATGCTTCATTACCCTACCGCCCGTCACATCACATCCCCGTCTCACCCCAGTTGCTCGAGAGCCTCCTGACCCACGTGCTTCACCCGCGGCTCCGACACCTTGTCGATGGCAGTCTTGATCCAGCCCTCTCCTCCTTGAGACTTCACCTCGGCCCGGTTGCTGGAGGCGTACGTCCCCAACGCGACAAGCGCCCGGTAGAGAACCTCGGGGTCGGTCTGCGCAGAGAGGATCTTGCCGAGGGCCGTGATGAAACGCTTCGACTCTGGTGCCGTCTTCTCCTTGGAGGCGAGTACGGCGTAGTTGATAAGAGTGGTCGCTGAGGCAATGAGCACGTTGCGGTTGAACTGTCCGATCGGTGTGCCGCCCGATATGCCGAGTACCCGCTCGATTGCCGTCGCCACGACGTCGGCCTCCTTGGCCGCCAGCGCTCGACCCTTGGACGAGCCGAAGATGTTGGCAAACGTGCGAAGTGCCATCATGGCGGAGTTTTCGTTCGGTGCAGAGCCATCCGTCTCTTCCAAAGCGCTGATGGTCGCAATCTTGAGAAATGACGCACCCGGGGCCGCAACATCGGCGGCGAGCGGCGCCGGGGCGACGCATCGCAGGAGGTCTAGACCGGCAAGACGGTCTGAGTAAGGCCAGTGCGAGACAATCTTGACTGCCAGGTCAATGCCCTCTTGGCTGACAGGCTTGGAAGATTCGATGGCCTGCTTGACGGCCTTGAGGGTGTTTTGCTCAGCGGGGTTTAAAGCAGCATCTTTGCGACCCGAGGAGATCATGTTCGCGTTGACGGCGAGGATCTTGTTGACCATCGCATCGTACTTGCCCGCCGTGATGAACAGGTACTCGGTATGAGGCAACAGCTTCGGGGCCGCGGGCTCGGCTTCACCGGGGCGGTATCTCGAATCCGAGCCGTAAGGGTCGGGTCCTGATGGTGCAGACTGCCCAAGAGTGGCGCCTTGGGTATTCTGGGTGATGAAGCCTGCCACGTTATCCAGGTAACTCAGGGGCAGCTCATTGTCGTTCAGGAACTTGGTCGCGGCGTCGTAGGGGTTCTGCGACAGGTTGTACGGCAGCTTCAGAGGTGGCTTGCCGTCTTCGATATCAACGTCGAAGACGAAGTCGTAGGACTTGCCTTGGTACTCCGTCTTCTTCCCGCTGCTGCCGGCTGAGTCGACAACAGTGCCAATGTTAATCCACTGCTGTTGACCTGCGCGTAGTTAGCAGCCCGACACTGGGCAGACAGTCATGGCGTTCAACGTACTCTGCGACCATTGGTGGGCGGTGATCAGGCCATTGCCCTCATTGATCATCTGCACCTGGCCCTCCTTGGTTCCCGACCGAGACTGGAGGAATTCGGGCCCAGGCAGCTTCTCCTTGTTGATGTCGGGTAATTGCTGCTGGGGGATGGCCGAGGCCTTGACTGACTCCTCGAAGGCAGAAATGGCGTCGGCGCTCGCCGCTCGCTCAGAGCTGCGGGTAAAGATGCGCGCAACTCCGTCACTGGCACCCGTCACGATGTCCCCCGTCTCCTGGTTCACCGCCACTGTCCACACCGAGATGGCGGGATGTGTGATGGTCTGAAGACACTCATTTCCTTTCCATATCCGCACCGTGCGGTCTTCTCCGGAGCTGACCAGCTCGCCCGATGGCAAGCTTGTCAGAGAGTAGATGAAGTTCTCGTGGCCGATCAGCTCGCCAACTTGCTGTCCATTCAACTTCCATAGGCGGATGATGCCGTCATTGCTAGCGCTGGCGATATCAGCTCCACTCGGGTGACCCTTGGGAACCTTGGCGAGAGCGCGGACAACCTCGGGGGTATAGATGGTGGACTGGGGCTCAGCGTCACCGGCGACGGCAGAGGCTAGCTTGTAGATGCGGATATTTGTGTCGGCACAGCCTGTAAGGACTGTCTCATCGTCCAACGCGAGCACTGCCCAGACGCTCTTGTCATGGCCGCTGAGGCGGATTTCGGGCTCCCACGTCTTGATGTTCCAGACAATGGCCTGGGCATCCCATCCACCAGACACGATATAGCTACCCTTGGGCGAGACGTCGAGGCTGCAGACGTTCTGGGAGTGGCCGATCAATAGACGCTCGGCATTGTCGCTCGGGGCAGCCTGGGGCTGCTTGACTTCGACGATGGTGTCTTTACCGCCGGAGGCGACTAGACCATCCGGGTATGGTTCGGAAGGTGGGAGGTATGTCACGGAGTTGACGAATTCCGAGGTTTGACTCAAGACGGAAGCTTCAAAGGTCGGGGGAGGGCCAGAGGTTTGACGCCAAACTCGAACACTGCCATCTCGCGAGGCGGACAGGACTGTCTGGGGGTTCGGGAAGCTGACTGCCTTGACCTGAGGGGAGGAACATGACGGATCAGCTGTGGAACGGAGCGCTGGAGCTTGGCGTACTTACATCTGAGTCGTGGCCAGCCAGCTGGGCGGATAGCTTGAAGTCTGACATGACCGTTGGATGGATTGGTCTGGTAGAAAAGTGTCGGGATGGGAAGAGAGAGAAAAGACGACGTGTAGAGCAGCTCACTCCTCGATTGCTAAGTAATCCACGGAGGAGACGGCCGGTATTGTTTAGGTGGACGATGACGATCGATGCGGGAACGCTGAAGCTCCACTGCGCCACAAGGGGGGGCACCGCGGGCAGCAGGCGGGGGGGCGGGCATTGCACCTCTGGACAGTGAGCAATGGGTGGGGCCAACGGGCAGGCCCTGGCTTCTGTGGCTACAGCTTACGTAAGAAGGCCATCTACCTGTACCTACTCCATACTTACCAATTACCCAAGGTAGGTACGGATACAGGCACCTAGCAAGGTGGTGAAGCCAGTCCTGGAAGGAGGTACCACCATCCTGAAACGGGCAAGGAGGAAATGACACCAGCCACAGTTGGCGAGTGGCTCATCAAAGCACGTGGTCTGGTTCCATCTTGTCCAATCATCTCACCTCTGCTCGAAGCGACGACAGACCCCACCTTGTCCCATTTTCTTATTCAAGCCACATTTCACTAGGTATCCGTATTCCAGCTCAGGGACCGAATCCGCGACAAGATTAGGTAAGCATCACAACAACTGACTGTTACCAGCAGCGCGGGGTCATTTCTGCTTCCTCACGGCAGGACCAGGATCCCCGTTTCAGGGGTCCATCGAGACACCTGCACACCACAGGTTACCTCTGTAGTGTAGGTACGGATACACGTTAAAAAGAAATGACACGACCACTGACTTAAACCTCCTTAGGCTTTGTTACCTACCTAACTACTCGTGCCTACGGAATACAAACGCTTCGAGTCGGAAAACCACCACCCCCCACTCTTATTCCCTCTGCGCCGCTTTCTCGTCGCCTCGCATCCTCCCGCAGCTTTCCCCATCCTCCCTTTTTTTTTTTTTCCTTCCCTCTTTCTTCTTCTTCTTTTTTCTCTCTTTTTCTTTCTTCTGATTGTGGTTTGCTTTTGCTTCGCCCTCTTGTTGCTGCTGTTGCTGTTGTTGCCGCCGACGAGGAGCCCTCCGTCTCTCGCGATCCCATCGCCCTCCACGAACATTTCACGACGTTACGGCTGTATTTTGACCTTTTCTCCTTATTCCTATTCGCTCCTTTCATCTCCATCGAGCACGCTATCCCCTATCCGCCGTCGCCAACAGCTTGATACCCCCCCACTACGCACACGTTGCGTTTGCGATCGTCGCGAAACCGAACCAATCCCCCTCAACCTCTTCTTCGACGGCCCATACCGGCAACCGACGACAACATGGCGTCCGCGTCTCCCGCTCCTTCTGCCGCTCCTTCTGCCGCTCCTTCTGCCGCCCCTCCTCCCGTCGAGACTTCGCGTCAATACGTTCCCCTGACCTGCCACGGCCACTCTCGACCTGTCCCTCACATCTGCTTCTCCGGCCTCGAGAAGGGAGAGCAATACTACATGATCTCAGCCTGCAAGGGTAAGCTTGCCGCGAAGGAACCTGCGCTACCCTTGGAGCGTTTGCTAACCTTGTCGCAGATGGAAACCCTATGCTACGCGACGGCATCACCGGCGACTGGTACGCATTGATTGTCGGCTCGACTTAACGAGGGGTTGGGCGCATTACTGACACGATATGCGTAGGATCGGGACCTTCATCGGCCACAAGGGTGCTGTCTGGCAGGCCAGATTGAGTCCCGATGCCTCCAACGCTGCCACAGCCTCTGCCGACTTCACCGCGTAAGTTCTGGTTCACGATAGGCCTTACCCCCGCAGCAGCAATTGACACGCCGTAGCAAGGTCTGGGACACCCATAGCGGAGAGGTCCTTTATACCCTCCAGCACAACCACATCGTCCGCGCCGTTGCCTACCCGCCCGATAACTCTGACCTTATTGCTACTGGAGGTATGGAGAAGAAGCTGCGCGTCTTCGACCTTAGTGACTTTGCCCCCGACCCGAACTCTCCCTCCGGAACCCCCATCACCATCCCTGCCTCGGCCGGATTTGAGATTGGCGAAGGCACTCACACCGGATCCATCAAGTTCATCGCCTGGACCAAGGACCCCAACACAATCGTCACTGCCTCCGATAACACCCTGAGATGGTTCGATCTCCCCACCCGCAACCTCATCCGCCAGGAGGTCCTCGACGGCGAGATCAAGTCTTGCGAGCTCGTCTCCCTGGCGCCCGAGTTCACCTCGCCGGGTGACATTGGCGGTGGCCTTCCTGTCCTCGCCGTAGCTGCGGGCAAGTGCGTGTACTTTTGGGGTGGTCCCCAGGCTTCGGATGAGCTCAAGCGCATCGAGCTGAAGCACGGCGTTGCTAGTGTTGGCCTGGATCTCAAGGGTCGCAAGATCGTCCTGGGAGAAGAACCCGGCACCTGGGCGCACGTCCGCCGCTGGGACGACGGTGGTGACATTGGTTAGTCGATGTGGGCATGCTTGTTTGTGCAGGACGTTGGCTAACGCACCCAGAAACCCACAAGGGACACCACGGCCCCATTTGGTCCATCGCATTCTCCCCCGACGGCAAGCTCTATGCGACCGGCTCCGAAGATGGCACAATCAAAATGTGGAAGAACTGCGACGGCTTTTACGGCCTCTGGCGTGGTGGCGCCCCCAATGCGGAACGCAACGCGGAATAGAGAAGCGCGTCGTCCAGCATGGCGTCACGCTACGAAGGAAGCGACGCTTATACACCCACGAGCAGCCGAGTCTCGTCAGGCTCGCACTACGATGGGACTTCGCACATCAGCAACAACTCCATCACTGAAACCCCGGCAATCGCTCATCAATTAATGGATCGCTTCTTTGCCACGGCAACGGGCAAGCTTGGTGCGGGGAATGATGCGCCCGTCCAAAGCGACCACCGTCAGCGCAAGAGGGAGTAAAGGGGCATGCGGTAGCTGTCCTATAAGGGAGAGGCTAACCTCAGGATCATTCCTCTTGAAGCGGCGATGTACGTGAGCGTACAACGTAGAGATTGGGGTGTCAACCCCAAGCCTGAATGTGATGGAATTAGACTAGATAGCTCCCTTCAATGTTGGTTGTTATCGGAATGCATACAATACCAAATAAGCTTAACGAATGCCACTGGGTGAAGTAACCAGTCCGCTAACCTCCCTCTCCTGTGAGAAACGTCGGAAGCTCTCCCGAGACCTCAACAAGATGGACATGGTATACCTGGTTATAATGCCAGCTCTGGTCACCTGGGGAATAAGGTAGAACGGAGACGCATCTTTCCGGGTGAAGCGCGTCTATTGGCGGACAGAGGGATTTCAAGAATCGCCACGGCGCGACACACTACCCATGGCTAGGTGGAAACATCGATGATGCGCGCACGAGGTAAGGGTCCACGATACAGAAGCCCCAGCACGAACTCGTGCCATTGTCGGTATACTTTCATAAACCCCTACCGTGCACATCAGGGTTGGGAGGGACGGGCACCGAGCGTGAGTGTATCTTGTGCGCAGCCGTTCGTGGGAAAACAAAGCTGGACGCCTGGTCGAAGCTCGAAATGGGACGGGATCATGTCAGGTCTTCGGCGCCCTTCGCCACAATAACGTTCCCATGGGCATTCCCCCTTCGAGAAACATCATCTGTTGGTCCCCGTCATGATGTGCCTGAGAACAGTGAGCGACCAGGTGAGTGCCGACGCAAGAGCAGGGAGCAACAGTCTCTATGCTGGTAAGCAAGAGTCCCATAGCATAGATCGAGACCGTACGACTGTCTTTCAAGTTGCTATATACATGGGGAAGTCTGGCCGAGGGAGGGGATCAGCGTCTGCAATCGCACAGTCCGAGTGTACTCGTGTGCCCAGTTGCTCGATATTCACCAGCCTCATCAACATGGGTATGAAGGACTGTCATCCCAAAAGGCAACTAACTCCACCTCTCCACGCCCACGGCACCCTCAATGCGTTCTGTTCCCATCATGCCCAACCTCCCGTCCACCTCGTGACGGACCTCGCTATCGACCGGCCCGCCGTTGTAGCCGGCGGTCCAGAACATGCCCAGCGACGTCGTCTTTGCTGCGGGAGAGGAAAACGGCGCGTGAGCGGGGGGTCGGGCCCAAAGTCTCCCTGTGGATTTTACTATTTACCGGTGATGGTGGGGTACGCGGGCTCCGAGGCGTAGTATGTCTCATACTACACGAGGACGTCGACCGACTCGTAGTTTCGTCTCCGGCTTTCTGTCAAAGGCACAGGCGGAGCCGTCACGGAAGTCGCCGGACGGGCCTAGGTTCGGTGAGGGGGGAAGAAATGGAAAGACAACGGGGGGGGGGAAGAGGTTCAAAGATGTGCTGTATTACATCGGGGTTTATGGCAAGTCGTGAAAGAGGTTGGCGGTCAATATCGCGTGTCGAATCCGGAATCCTTCGAGCCCAACCACCACACGTCTATTCTCCTTCGGGGAGCATCTGGTTCTCACTCTTTGCACAGCGCATAATTGTCCTTCCAGGCCTTGATAATCTTGTCCCTGCGTATATCAGACCCCATGTGCGAAACGTCGGTATTCTCGCCCAGCTTCTCGCTCCATAGTCGAGACGGAGGTGTTGACTATAATGAGCTCCAGGACTCCGCGCAGAGCCATTTTGTCAAGGGCTTTATTGCGGTTAAGTTGATGCTTGCAGCCCTTAGCGACCTTAGCAGGCATAACGGTGAACACGCTGTTGAGGAAGATGCTGTAGTACTTGATGTCCTTGTACTCCACGAGCGCCAGGGAAACGGCCACGTAACAATTGTTTAAATCTATAATAACGATGTCTTAAAAGACAGTACAGGCGTTAGCTGGAATTCTTGTCTTTTTACCTAGTTGCTAGTTGGCTGCAGATTTAGCTCTGAGCCTCTTCTACGCTTCTTGTTGTAAAGCACTATCGTAGTCAAGAGATTTGTTCTTGATGACAACGGCTTCCTCCTCGAAGAAAGAGGCTATAAACTTGCTCTTAAAATAGTGTCTTTGTTGCGCTTAGTAGTCTTGTTATTGTTAACATACTTCTGAAGAATAACTGGACTATTAGGACTCTTCTTGTTGAGAGAGTGGAGAAGCTTAATGGCTTGCTCCTGCTGGATTGCATTTCTCTTCAGGCTTTTCACGACCTTGCCAGACGCCTTTAGTAGCCTTAGTAGTGGCCTCTGTATTGTTCAGACTGCCCGTCGGTCTGCAGGTTATAGGAAGTCAAGAACTTTGACGCCATATCTATCTCTTTCCATAGTGTTTGCTACAAGGTAGGGAAAACTTTGGGGTTTCTGTCCGAAATAATCCTCTTAGGAACGCAAAGTTGGAGGAAGCGTAAAATCTGTTTGGCCTAATCCTCGGCTGTGTATGTGGTGTCCTGGGATGAGGATGACTGACTTGCAGATCTTCTCGGATATTGTTGTCGGTAAGGAGTCGAAGAGAGGAAATCCTGCGTGCTGTCCGACTCGCGGATCTTGATCCGTTGCTGAGAACAGGGATGGGTTTTGGTGAAGATGGAAGATGATGTTTCATGCAGATCTACAAAGTGATATATTCGCTAGAAAACCAGAAACACAAGAACCCCCCCCTCGAACGCTAATCGTCAATGGGCAAAACAACGCGGACCCCTTCCGTTATTTGGCCTTGCAAACTGTCAGTTTCTCATCCAAGAGTGTTGCAGAGTCTCGCAAAAGGTCTTGACTCACGGTCGAGATACTTCACCACCTGGCTGTAATCCTTGCAAACTATAAGAGAAGCGTTAGCACACTGTTGCCGAGACACGTTGCCGGTGAGGGGAATGTGTGCGCAACTCACCATGCATGCCGTTCCAGCTGCCGTCGCCGGGTCCGTTGTCGTCGGCGTCGGTGGAATGATGTGGCTCGAGCGCCAGGTCGGCGGAACACATGACGGCCTGTCGGAGGTAGTCTATGCAGTGGAAGAAGTGGGTGTTGTAGTCGGGCGTGAGCATGTCGACCTTGTTGGTGGTGAGGCCGGAGTAGATCATTCCCATCATGTACTAAAGCCCGGATGTCAGATTCCGAAAGCCCAAGCAGCAGAGAAGGAGAATCAAGGGAGCAGGAAGACGCACTACACAATGAAGCTGGTGCGTCATGGTGGTGGTGAAGAACGGCCCGTCGTCCTCGGACTTCCAGCCGGCTCCGGCTGCAGAGGTGAAGGCTTGTTAGCCCAGTGGAACAAAACGACGTCGGGGTGACTCTCCCGACGTTTGCGGGTGGGTGGTGTTTTCTTTTGCTTACCCGGCAACAGAGACCGCCACTGATCCAGCGTGGAATTGGAGAGGAAATCAGTGGCGTTGGGCGGCACGAACTTGTAGTCGGCATCGAACTTTTGAATCTTGATCGGGACTGCGTCGTGATCGCCGTTAGCGGGAAACCTTTGGCCTTGACCGCCTGTCGAAGAAGCCTCGATCGGGGGCCGGAGATGTCGAACTCACACTGCGGACCGGCGCCGCTGAAGTCGCCGCCGATCTGCCGCAAGCTCGCGGGGAACTTTGCGTCCTCGAACTGGTAGTACATGAGCAGCGACAGGCCCAGCGAGAGCCCGATGTTAGTGAGCAGCAGCAGCGTGTCGATCAGCCACCGGTGCCGCCGCAGGGTGGCCTTGGCGCGCTTCCACGTGCGGCCTCTTGTGCTCTGCTCGCCGCTCAGGTCGATCGAGTGCCACTGCTTTTCGTCGCCCATGAGGGACTCGTCGACCTCGGTCGCCGAGGAGTCGTCGTAGCGATCTGTGGGCGAGACGGTCGCGTAGCGGGCGTCGGGGTTTTTGGACGGCATCGTGGAAGTGGAGGGAACAAAAAAACCCTAAAGAGGAGTAGGGGATAAAGAACGAGTCCCGAGGTAGAGAGAAGCTATATTACAGAAGCACGACCCGCGAGCAAATCAGACAGTTTTCGACGGCTTTCAAACGAACAGCAACAAGAACAGAAGAACTAGGAAACCAGCCTGCAGAGGAAAGCCAAGTCCGGGGGGGGGAAGGGCGGAGGGGAATGTCTTGGTTTTGTCGGTCTCTCGGCACACAGCACGACACACGGCACATACGGATATACACATAGACACTGGGAGGGGGGGGGGGGGGGGGGGGGTCCAGACATTCCGCGCCGTCGAGGTGGATGAACCCGTTCATCTCCTACGGCTACATCTTCCGCTCTGGGTTTCCGCCGAGCATGGGTGCATGATGGCATCTCCAGTCTTTGAAGGATGGATCTCGGTACCTGCGACGAGCACCACCAACAATGCACCAGTGACGATAGCCAATAACTGAAGGCGGGAAGCCTAGGTACTTACAGTTACAGACAGACCATGGCGCGATGATCCCTGTCGATACCCGCCAATGGCGGGTTTCACGCCATATTCATCAACGTTTCCACCTAGGGTAGGTAGGGGGGGACCTTCGAAACACGTGTCTGAGTGAGCCGCAAAAGGCTGTCTTATGGTGCACAGTTATCCATAGGTATTGAAGTTCCCGGCAAAGGAGATGGAAAGGTAGTTGAAAAAAAAGGTTTAGACTAGCACACCAACCTGACCTATGGCAGACTGCTCCCACTCCAGCTAACTGTACACTCAAATAGTACACTCTCGTAATAGCCCCGAGCCAAGAAACACAAACCAAAGCTAGACGTCTTTCGTTCCCGTCGAGCCTTTCTCTACCTATTTCTGTCACAAGGTCGGCGGCTCCTGACCGGGGGGGGGGTTGGTGTTTGGCGGTTTGGACTAGGGGGCCGAGCGCTTTTCGACGATGGGGCCGTTGGCGTCTCAGAGAATGCTGCATATGCCGACGACCCGGCTGTGATCCACAGAACCAGTCTAGGCCCACCACTGATCTGGGGGCATAATTCGCTGACCTCTCTCTCTCCCTCTCTCTTTCTGGTTGACGCTTCTGCATGTGGAGTCCTGGATCTCGGGTGCTATCAACAGACACTATTGGATGTGCATAGTTGATTCGCCTCTCAAACACTTACAGCGTGGGGCTGATGAGATGATAGGTGAACCCTGGCCATGAGCGGCGAAGTAGATTATACATCCAAAGCAGCTTGTTGCTTGCCCCGCTGTAAAGTAATTACCCCCTTATCGGTTTCTTGGAGCGGTGAATCATACGAAGTGTCCGTTACTTGGTTTACACCACAATGTTGTGTCTATTCGGTAAGACAAGACATAATTCCGGGGCACTAGGTCATGTGGATGCATTTGCAAGGGGTCTTTCAGTTAAAAGAACGTGTATTATTATTAGTTAAGTATTATCAGATGGTTGGCTGATAAGCTGCCATTGTTTCTCACCTCGCCCTGTTCACATTTCTGGCCGTTTGACAAAAAAACTCCACGAAAAGGAGGGAGAGAAAAAGAAGGGAAAAAAAAAAAAAACAATAAGCCGTTATGACAAAATCTCCAAAGCTAACATCTACTCTCGGGGGAGGTAAAGGTCGATGCTGAGCTTCAGAAGGATCTGCAGCGAGCTGGTCACCTCAACACCCTGTGGCTTGAAGGCCGGGTCAAGGACCCTGATGAGCTGGTTATTGAGATCAATCTGTCTCACCAGACCCAGGTTCAGGTTGTTGAAGATGCGGTTCATTATGGTCGTGGCGCCCCCGACACCGTTGGTGAGAGCGGCAGAGGAGGCCTGCGCGATCTGGTCCCGCCTGCTCTCGAGCCCCTGCAGGACCTGGGAGTACCTCTGGACGACGTCGTTGTTGAAATCCCGGATGAGGGTTTCCGAGTCGGAGGGCGAGAGCGTCGTGCCGAAGTTCTGTGCCTGGGCCAGGGCCGAGCTGATGGCGGAGTAGAGGGGGCCCGTGGTGCCGAGGCTGTTGACCAGCTCGCTGATGCGGTCCAGGACGGCCGTGTCGAAGATGTCAACGTTGGGCTGGAAGATCTCTTCGAGTTCGGTGTCGATCGTCGACAGCGTGGTGCCGATGAGGCCGAGAATGTCAAAGAGCGCCGTGACGCCGGGGGCGGCAGTTGACGAGGCGGATGCGGGCGGGCTGATGGCTGAAGCAGCGATGCTCGGGATGGTGACTGACGGTACCGCAATCGAAGGAACGTTAAGTGAGGGGACACTGAGGGAGGGGACGGTGAGGGACGGGATCGAAATGGCGGGCAGTGAGATGGATGGGAGCGCTACGGAGGGAACCGAAAGATCCGGAACGCTAATAGACGGAATCGCCAAGGATGGAACTGCCAAGGATGGAAGTGAAAGAGATGGAAGCGCAGGATTGCTGATTGAAGGGACTGCTAAAGAAGCAGTCAAAAGATCCGGCAGTGCGAGGGACGGAACATCAATGGAGGGAACTGCCAATGATGGGAGCGTAATGCTGGGAATATCCAGGGATGGTACGGCGGGAATGTCGACTGAGGGGACTGCGAGGGACGGAATCGAAAGAGCCGGGAGTGAGAGTGACGGGACTGTCAACGACGGCAGCGCCAGCGACGGGATCGCCAGAGATGGAATATCAATAGATGGCACCGCCAAGGTGGGTATCGAGATAGATTGGAGAATGTTGGGTGGGACTGATAGGCCATCAACTGGCGGAATTGTTACGGACGGGACTGCGAGAGACGGAATCGAAAGAGCCGGGAGTGAGAGTGACGGAATGTCGATCGAAGGAACCGCCAGCGACGGGAGTGAGAGTGACGGGATGCCAATCGAAGGGACCGCCAGAGATGGAATATCAAGAGACGGCACTGCCAAGGTCGGTATTGGGATAGATTGGAGAATGTTGGATGGGACCGCGAGAGATGGGACCGAAGGGCTATCGATTGAGGGAACGGCCGCGGTTGGGATCGAGACTGCCGGCAAGTCCAGCGAAGGTATACCGATCGATGGAACCTCCAGCGATGGGATCGAGAGAGCCGGTAGCGTAATAGACGGCACGCTTAGAGACGGGATCGACAGAGATGGGATAACAGGAACATCGACCGAAGGGACTGCTACAGACGGGACTGAGAGAGCCGGCAGTGCGATAGACGGTACGTCTAGAGACGGAATCGACAGCGCCGGCAACGACAGCGAAGGAATATCGAGTGACGGAACTGCTCCAGACGGAAGTGTGAGATCTGGCAGTGTAATAGACGGCACAGCCAAAGTTGGGATCGAGAGTGCCGGGATCGATAGAGAAGGGAGTCCTACAGACGGGATCGATAGAGAAGGGAGTCCTACAGACGGGATCGATAGAGAAGGGAGTCCTACAGACGGGATCGAGAGTGCTGGCACCGACAGTGAAGGGATTGCGGGAATGCCGACTGATGGAACTCCCGCAGACGGGTCCGAAACATCTGGCAGTGCAAGAGACGGCACAGCCAGGGACGGGATCGAAAGTGCCGGTAGCGACAGCGACGGGATTGATGGAACGCTGACTGATGGAACCTCTAGGGACGGGATCGATAGAGCTGGCAGCGTAATAGACGGAATGGCCAAAGATGGGATTGAGAGTGGCGGTATCGAGAGTGACGGGATCGCGATAGAGGGAAGCCCAAACTGGGGGAGTCCATCCGAAGGACCTGCCCCTGATGGGACCGAGGGGGGTTGAAGGATATCAGAAGGAACTGCCAACCCAGGGAGAGAAAGGGAGGGCAGAGCCAGAGACGGAACAGAGAGTGATAGGAGCGAGGCGAGGTCGATCGAAGGCACCGCCGGGATTGAGAGTGACGGGACTGTCAACGACGGCAGCGCCAGCGATGGCACTGAGAGATCTGGCAGCGTAATTGATGGTACCGCCAAAGAGGGTACCGCAAGGGACGGAGCCGAGAGGACCGGAAGTGTAATCGACGGCACCCCCAGAGAGGGTAGCGAGAGGGACGGAATGACTGGAGTGTCAATAGACGGGATTGCCAACGACGGCACCGCCAAAGAGGGTACCGCAAGGGACGGAGCCGAGAGATCCGGAAGTGTAATCGACGGCACCCCCAGAGAGGGTAGCGAGAGGGACGGAACCGAGAGATCCGGAAGTGCAATCGACGGGATTGACAACGAAGGCACTGCAAGGGATGGAACCGAAGGAAGGCCGATTGTAGGCAGCGTCAGGGACGGCACTGACAAGCCCGGAAGTGTAATCGACGGCACCTCCAAAGAGGGTAGCGAGAGGGACGGAATGACTGGAGTGTCAATAGACGGGATTGCCAACGACGGCACCGCCAGAGATGGCACAGAAAGCGCCGGAAGCGCAATTGAGGGGACACCTGGGGCTGAAAAAGAGGGAATTGCCAACGACGGCACGGCTAGGGATGGAACCGAAGGAAGGCCGATTGTAGGCAGCGTCAGAGACGGCACTGACAAACCCGGAAGTGTAATTGACGGCACCGCCAAAGAGGGTAGCGAGAGGGACGGCACCGAGAAATCCGGAAGTGCAACAGACGGGATTGCTAACGACGGTACCGCCAGAGATGGCACAGAAAGCGCCGGAAGCGCAATTGAGGGGACACCTGGGGCCGAAAGAGAGGGAATTGCCAACGACGGAACCGCTAGAGATGGGACTGAGAGATTGGGCACAGACAATGATGGGAGTGAGGGTGACGGCAGCGCAATCGAGGGGACCACCGGGTTTGAAAGAGAGGGGACCGCAAGCGACGGGAGTGAGAGAGGGGGAAGATCAATAGACGGGACCGCTACTGACGGTAACGTGAGCGATGGAAGGGTAAGAGATGGCAACGCCAAAGACGGGATTGAAGGGATAGCAAGTGAAGGAACCGAGATGGATTGAAGTATGTTAGAAGGAACCGCCACAGACGGGGCTTCGAGAGATGGCAGTGCGATGGAAGGTAGCGAGAGGGAGGGAACTGCCAAGGAGGGAATCGAGAGTGACGGGATTCCCAGAGACGGCAAGGCGATAGATGGCGCTGCGCCTGATGGCACCGCCAAAGACGGCCCGGCCAGTGAGGGGATCGAGAGTGACGGCAAACCGAGAGATGGCACTGCTACAGACGGAATCGAGAGAGCAGGCAGCGTAACGGATGGGATCGAGAGTGACGGGAGTGTAAGCGATGGCACCCCCAGAGACGGAACTGCTAGAGACGGGACCGAGACAGCAGGCAGCCCAAGAGACGGAATCGAGAGCGACGGTAGTACCAATAGAGGATTTGAGGCGGGGGAGGTCGCCGTCGAGGATCTCGAACCAGATGAGGATCTCGAAGTGGGCGACGATAAGAGGTTCGGCAGCGTCAGGCTGGGCACAGAAATAGTGGGAAGCGAGATCCCAATCTGCGGGATATTGATTGCCGGCGGCGCGATTGTGATGGGCTGGAACCTGATGGCTGTGCTGCTGACGAGCACAAGGTTGAGCGGCACCGCAAGCACGACGGCCGCTGGGACCGAGGCCATGCCCGCGACGACGCTGCGTAAGAGCATCTTGGGCAAATGGCACGAGGTGTTGGCAAAGATGTGACGAGAGATGCAAGCCGTTGAAGCAGTGGTTCCCTTTACCTCTTCGGCGCTCAAGCAATGCTAGTGGCTGGAACTGATATTCTTAGAACTGATATTTCTTACCTTCCCAAGGGTTGATGTGTTGTTGATTTTATATACATATTGCTGAGCCATCTTTTACTTGCGGCAACCTTGGTCGTCGCTGACGGCCCGCTCCCACTGGTTTCTTTATCCGAGACAAATGCAGCGAGACCTCTGGATGTCTCAACTCTAATTCCCCGGATCTCAATGGATCGCCGTTAGTCTGTGGGACTGTATCCCCCGGCAGACGGCTCATTCCGGCGGATCCTTTGAGCATACACTATGCAGATTTCGGAAGCGATAGGGAAAACTGCAACCGGCTGAGACCAGAGTGCGGTTGCGTCGTAGAGCATCATGGCGCACAGCAGCTAAACACCTTCTGCGAGGGTCAGGGCCTTACCGTCGAGACTCTCGGCCCGTACATCGAGTGCTTTGTTTGATCGGCAGCCGAAGCTCCAGGGGCGTGATGTTTGCGTGTTGAAGCCGACCGTCTCGGCCGCAGGGGATTGATGGTCGGGGTCTAGATGCCGATTAGCAACCATTTGGTCATTTTAGCGCATGCGACGGGAATCGGTAGATCGGTTTACTATGGGCGTGGAGGCTCGCCTACCATTAAGTGTTGTTATCTCCTCTTTGGAGGAATGTTGGCGAAATAACTATGTATGCGGCTTGGTATGTCACAGCCTCGGCGTAATGTGTCGTCACTTGTATCTCATCTTGCACACGGCTCTTGGAGTTCGACCGCATTCTGTAGAACTCACGGAAGCAGTAATACTGCATCTTGTGCTGTCAGTCGGGATATGCTTAGTAGCAAATGGATTTTGTTACAAACGCCACGGCTATACAGTATGTAGACATTTAAACAGGAATGTGGCAAACAATGTATCAAGCGATAGAGAAATAATAATGATTGAGGTCCTGATTTTGAAGTCCGGAACTTGCGACCGTTCCTTCAAAAGGGACCGATGCTAGTACCGGGATGGGTCTTCATCAATACACGCTCGATGTAAGGATATAGGGAAGACGTAGTGGTCGAAGTAAACTTGCGTGATAGAAAAGATTATGGCCCTTGTTGGTAAATGAGCAAAGTTTATAATTGCTACTTCGACCATCTCTCCCTTGTTTCTTCACTGAGACTAAGAGTAAAGTCAACAACTATCATAGGAAGCATCGACGCTGAAAGTCATTCCTCAATAAACATACATTTGACATAATCAAATCTAAGTCAATCATACTAACTTCAGTATAATAAACAAGGAGTTTTGTCAAAAAGCTCATTAAGTGATTATGCATAATGTTCCAGGCAATCACAGATGTTCTCTCATTTTCGGTTTCGACGTACTTGTATTGGCGCCTCAGTCTCCGTCTTACTGTACCACAGGTACGTTCCGTACAGAGATCAGCGTTCTTCTTGCACATGAAGAGAATGATCAGGCACTCCAATGGATTCTACATTCAAATACCAAGAAGCCGTGGCAGGTGGTAGAATTTATAGGCAGCGATGAGCAACACGTAATTTCACGAACAAAGAAGTAGAATGGTTATATGTCAACGTAACCGAATAGAAGCGGTTTCAATAACCCCAAATTAACCGTATTACTAAGCAAATTCACCTAAAGACAATGTGCTGAAGTATGCTCTCATAGATATAGGTAATCTCCCACCAAATTGAGATCTGCGGTACGATCTAGGCAGGATCTGAGCTTAGATATGAGCTTAGATATGAATCTAAACCAAACGGGAGCTTGACTATGGGCCCCCTGCGTAGGGCTGTCAGATCCCATACGAGGATCTCTCTTGGCTTTGCGTACTTGGCCTATCGCAACTAGGCTTACCATGACATGGTCTTCCTCGTACCACAGCCCACTCTTTTAGTTGCCCATTCCAGTTACACAGAATGAACTATAGTCTTGGCTTTACCGTAAAGAACCCGTCTCATTCCAAGCTTACGTGGGCCGCGTGCGCGCTGCATTCTCCGAATAGGCATATGATGCGGATGACACGAACGGTGCCATGCGAACTCGGCCATGTCAGCCTCAGCGCAACACCACCGCCTGCGCGCTTAGATACACGATTGGGATGCCCGTGTAAAGTAATGGATGCATCGAAGGGTTCTAGACTTGGACAATCCCAGCCCTCGTCCGAGATTGGTGATATTATGTCGAGAATGTTGAGTCAGAATAACGGTGTCAATTGGACAAGTAAGATTATGCCGGCGACAGAATAAGTAGAGAGAAGTAGAAACACCATTGCTTCAATGAAAAGTATAAATACAGGCTGTTTGGTCTCTCAAAAACGTCATGCCAGACAAACACAACACCAATACATTCTACCTACCACTCTACCTACTTCTAGCAATTCGATTTCAACATGCATTTCGTTCTACCATTTCTCTGGCTCGGCGCTACCTTGGCGGTTGCTCAAGACCCGTTAGCCGTCCCGGCAGACTTTGATGTTGAGCAGGGAGAAGTACAAGTCGTCGAAGGCGAGTGGTTCAACATCACCCTTGAGCAATTCGGCGACACCAGCCTCGATAGCACACTCGAGAAGAGGGGTGAGATGAGAGGAACCATGAAGGTCGGAAGGACGTACATGGACTACGGCTGCGACGCCTCCATCAGGAAGACCCTGGAAGGCGGCATCAGAGCCCTCTGCGACGGGAACGGCTGCGATGGCGGGTCCACCTGGTCTCGGAAGGTCAAGCACACAGAAGGCTCTATACCCGCCGATGCCACCATCACTGTTCGCGTTGAGGGCATCTACAAGGACAGCTACGCGTTGGACAGGCTGAGGGAGGGAGTCCTCGAGTCCGTGCGTCCCGACACCACCAAGGGATACAACCGATCTTGGTATTGGAGACAGCCTGGAGGCTGGGAGGTGGTGAGTGGTCCGCCGTATGGTTTGTGTGTTGCAACCCTAACCCCTGTGCAGTCAGGTACCTGCAAGATGAGTCGTTTCGCCAACTATGTTGGTCTGCAGTAAGTGATGGGATACTTGATATGCCTCTGGTCGGATCTGACAAGTAGAGCATAGGCGCTTTGATGGCCCGAGCCAGGCCTGGATCAAAGTCTACGTCGATATCAAGAAACCGATGAGCAGTAAGTCCCAAGGACGCTACAGACATTCGCCGCTGACACATAAGTAGCCGTTGAACTTGCAGGTTGGGTTTTCTCAAACGTCGTCGGTCCTGCGGTTGGCAATAAGATTGGACATTGGATTGGGAAAGTCAAGGCGTCGCATTAGGAGTATCCTTCTAATAGCGATGCATGACTCGGCCCTGCTTTAAACAGGATTGGGTTGGCCCAGGCCTGTTGTAAACACCAGACCAAGTTGCGATCTAACGGTTTGGCCAGGCGGCAATTTTCTTTTCTTCTTTTCTCTACTCTTCTCTTCGCCTGTCACATCTTCTCTTCTTTAAAGATGTGGTATGGTTATCTATGTCTTGTTTACTCTAGCTTAACTGAAATACACTATCTTACCTATTGGCTGTTGAACCCGGAGGCCGGATGTAGTAAGGCCGTGAAATAGCTGGCTCCAAACCAGGCAAGCAGCGAGACTGACCGTGGCGGATCAAAACATGCCCCCTAATCATACTAGATATAAATGACCAAGCCAGACACACATTCACCACATTGCATTGTGCGTCTGCGGTTCACGCCTGAGACTGTCGCGCGTTTGACTCTTCAGCCCGCTCTGTGTTTTCTTCTTCGCCCCTCTCACATGTCCGTAGCTCACTTGACATACTTCTCAATGTTGTGAGGAGTGTCCAAGTTTGCAAGATTTACGTAACCATTGACCTCGCCGATATGTAACTGTAGTCATTACTGTTCTCACGACCTCGCCTTCAGCTTTGTGTCCTCAGTAGAACGGCCATGCACCACCACCCGCAAAAAAGAAAGAGGTCTCAGTCCTCGTTGCATCTGGACCTCGTGAGGTACCACGTGTTAAGTGATGATAAGCCGCAGGTTCCCGTTTCAGGGTTCAATCTACTTTCAGAGGTAGAACAGACTTCATCTTAGGCCTGGGAACATGCCCAAGCACACCTCCGTTGAGTCTCCGAACCATCTCTGTAACCCGAGGAGCCTTGGAACTGGCTGCGGATTATCCATTGTTGCATCATTCGCGTTTTCACAGCACGTTACTGTGTGTTCTACCCATTTCTTCAAGTTTCAGTCTTGCTATCATACTCCCCCTGAGGCCCAAGCAAGGTGAATTGTCGTAGGGTGCCGACTGAACGAGTCACAAAATAATTTCGTCTGATTTCGAGTTGGCATAGTTTTGACATGGTTGAGACGATAACGGTATCCGATTGCCTTTGATCCCCTAGCTTTCGATCCTGATGAATGTATACGTCCTTGGTAAATGCTTTCGCAGTAGTTGGTCTTCAATACATCCAAGAATTTCACCTTTGACAGTTGAATCAGGGCAAACCCTCCGTGAAATGTGTGTACTGCGATTGGTCCTTCAAATTGACGCCGCAGTGCACACTAATCGGACCTTGACGTGTCTGGGGAACTCTAATCCCAAGGTAGGCAACCTTCTTTTCTGTGGCGGCCAATGCGAGGATGCCGTCCGTCCGTTGCCGCACACACCTTTCAACTGACATGCATGAGAGAAAGGCGAGGCCAATGAACGACGGCCTCCTTGTTTTATTGCAATTAGTAGTCAAAGTCTAGCCTTGCTAGCCCGAGGCCGAACTGACGCAACCCCCCCAACTCGTGCGTTTCTTACGGAACCTCGTCCCGTTGCTAGGTTCTCCTGTTCAGCACACTCATTTGATGTATTTACCTAGGTAGAGATACCTGCCTTGCGGTAACGTGCTTGGGATATACTGGCGGAGCATCCGCCAGACCATTGAGGTCTAGTTACAAAAAGCAGCGCGAAACTTATCAGAGACGTTCAATATCTCCTTGGCTATGGAGCTCTTCTTGAAGCTGTCACTCAGGCCTTGTTATCTCATTCCGCCTTGACTTCACACCCTGGCGGGGCAGTCCCGGGCCGCCATTGAAAGCCACGCGACCGAACCTGCCTGCAAAACATCCAGCGGTTCTTGACACTTGAGAGAGCTGTCCAAGACATGGCGCACTCGTGCAGAAAACGTGGACACTGCAAGAATCGCCGGGCTGCCGGATCACTTGGGTCCCGCGAGACGGCTAGCTGACGAACAAGATCGCCACGGCGGCGCGGGCGCCAACGCATGCGCGCCTAACCGGGAGGTCCGATGGCACGACCTTTGTTCCGAGGCGGCCGGCCGATGTAGGCGCCCGAAACTTACACCGCGTACGGCAAGCCGGAGACTAGGTAGGGGTAGACACATGCGCCCTTGTTTACCTGCCGCGTCCCACGGGGCCCCTTGGGTTGTCGAGTAACCAGTGTACGCGTGCCATGACATACGGGCCCATTCATTCATCCTCAACCTTGGCTTCCTCAGCCGAGATCGCGCGGTGGTTAATAGTGTCGGGCATTGCTCGCCGGCCGCCACCCCCCCCCCCCCCACGCTCGATCCTTTGGTATATTCCGTGCGTGGCGGCTCACTCCCGGACGGAAGTCACCGCGTTGGCGCGCTTCCGCATGCGGCCCGGGGCTGATGACGGACCTATATCCCTACCCGCTCGAAGCGATGGCCAAGCGTTCAAAGCTGGCAACGAAATCTCGGCGCTGCGCCTCGCGGCGAACAGAGGATGCCCACCACCCCGGGAGCTCCTTGCGCGCGTTGGATGCTGCGATGGGCTAACCCGTAACAGCGGCTTGGAAAGAGGTTGATTGTAGGGGTTTTGTCTCCGACGTCACCCTGGGCATCGACCCGAGGTGAAGCCTAAACCCCCTTTGTTCTCTTTCACCTTTTCTCTTCTATCTTCATTATTGAACGTCATAAGAAGACATGTTAAACTGCGACTGGGTGAGCACTTGAAGACGACACAGCAATGGTACCTCGGGAAACTCGTCTTAAGCAAGTAGTATTCAGTTTTGGAGAGAAGAGGTGACTAAGTCCAAGGCAAGTGATATAGGTCTTTGTCGAAGTGTAATTACGAATTCAAAGAGAAAGAACGGTCTACGACACGGATGTTTCGCCAAGTATTCAAGGCGGATTTATCCAACATGACTCAAAAGACAGCCAGTCCACCCGAGAAGATGAGCTGGTAAGAGAAACGCACCGCGGCCTAGGTAAAGTGCGGAGAAGTGCTTCCGCTGGTGGTCCCCATGACGGACGGCCAACAGGAGTATCTAGATGTCTTCGACGCTCTCCTTCCAAGTCTCGAGACCATGGGCCCATTCCAGCATCAAGGCTTTTCCCCATCCTTCTATTTCCCGAGGTAACTGGAGTTCGCTCTTTGATGTTTTGTCCTCCCTCCTTCCTTCTTTGGACAAGGCAGCCCGGAACCCAATAACCCGTCTTTTGCTACCATCGGATATGGTCATGGGATGACGCGCCGAGGGATGCTACAACAGGGCAATCACAGGAAACAGCCAGGTCTGAGTGCGTATGCTGCCGCCTCTCCACAAGAGTTGTCCGTCAGGGGTCATATGTACTGATGAGTAGCACGTCACCGGCCAAACCATCACCACTTCAAAGGCGCCATGTATATGTCACGGCCACCCCGGAGCGGGAAAGGGGAGAGTTCAGAGAGACTAGCACGGTTGGGTAGGGAAGCGTAGAACTATAGCTGAGTGGTGAGAAGACAGTGTCCATCTGGACAGCTGGAGATCCATAATCCAGCCAGGCTGTGATGTCGTCTCTCTCACAGGAATAAACTTCGACATGAAATCACTTAGAGAACGACGGTTAGGCTCCATCTCAGTGGAGGGTTTGTTGTGTTAGGACCTAACATCGAACTCACCCACGCCAATAAATCACAAGTGATTAATCCGGCAGAATCTTACCATTGTATCCGTGCTCGACTTCGGTATGAATACCACTTCTGCGTGTAATAAGGCCACAGTCCACTTCCCTCCGGCATCCCCGAGTCTTCAATGCTGGAAACACTTGCAACATACACTTACATCGGCAAAGGCACCCTGGAAGACGGCCGCCGAGATTCATGGCGTGAAGCTTGGAAACCCAACCAAGCCGGAGCCGAATCGAAACCGGAATTCCAGACATGGAGCCTATGATGACGACCCCTCCCCCTTTCTAGACGCCCATGGAAGCTTCCGCAGCAGAGCTAGAATGCAAACGTTCTTCCCTTCTAAACGGCAACTACCGGCCGCAGCCAGCCTTGGGCAGCCGAACCAGCTCGCCGGGACAGGCATATCGCAGGGAACGACGCGGCGCAGGACCGAACGACGTCGATCTCGTGGCGCGGAACCAACCGCGTCCTTTGAGGCCCTGTCAAGCCGTAGTACGTGACGAGGGGCTCCTTTCTTTCTTCCCCCACCCCGAGGACATGACCCTCACGCCGCGCCGCCTGTCCGCCTTTGTCCAATCACAACCCCCACCTTCGCGTCCCCGGGGGAGCACGGGAACGGGATGCGAGGCTTTCTCTACGCGCCGAAAGACATGCGCCGGGGAAGGGAAAAGTACCTCGGTTCCGGAACCCAACTCCCCTACCCGGGGACTGCTTTCCGTCGGGTGCTCCTGTTGAGGGGTGGTGGAGGGCTTTGTTCTTGTGGCGGACCAAGTTCTGTTGGCGAGCTGTGCGACTGTGCCCCGGCGTCCGTTGCTTCATTTAGGAGGAAATACACGTTCCGGCAGAGACGAGAAACGGGAAAGCAAGATGCCCACGTAGCCCCAATTGCAATACCGACCATCCTTCCATCACCAGCTTGGGGATATGTACGGTCACGAACGAGCAGGTTTGATAACCGGTTGTCGCCACCACTCAGGCCTGACCCAGCCTCAGGTGTAACCGTTATCTCGGCCTACAGGGCGGCCACGTCAGCAGACACCATGCCGTCAGAACCATTGAGACCGAGGACCGCAGGATTACACTGAGCTCTCGCGATGCTTAGCTTCGTCATGTCCCAAAAGAACATGTAGTGTTCAAAGCTACCTATGCCGTCGGGGCGAGTCAAATAGTCGGGCAGGCAAACGCCATGGCATAATGGACTTGGTATGAGCAGTTGGTTGCAACTTTTGCTCAGTAGAGTAGTGCGCCCGAGGAGCTCGTCATGTCGCTGCAATCAACGCTTGCCAATCGGCTCATGGAGACACTCTGGGGAGCCGTTCTATTTCTGGGTAGCAAGCTGGTGCGGGAGTCAAGAATTGCATGTTGGATCGCCTTGTTTCTGGGTCCAGGCTGACTCGTCAACACGAGACAATGCAGCAGTCGGGGAGGGCTGCCAGGGACGGAGTAGCTGCCACCGACAGACAGAGACACGGCGTAGGCGGGAGGCAGTGTCAAGGGCCGACGACGTGCACGGGGCGAAGCTTATGGGTTGCATGCGGCCCGAAGGCGTAGTGTGGTGATGACAGGAACAAGCGACAGGTGTGTGGCGCCGGAGCTGAAGCGTCGGTGGGCGATAGTCGGGGGGCCGTGGCTGTTTTTCGGGGTTTTGAAATTGGGGAGGACTTGGGTCGCTGTGAATGCGAATCGCTGAATAGCATCAACCGCTGGAATGACGGCTGAGGGCCATTGGAGGGTGCAGTCGTCAAGGGCCAAGAAAGCAAGGCCAGAGGATCCTGTTTGAGGGATAGTACCTACAGTATCCGTACCTAGACGAAATTTTGTGATGTCATGCGCCGACATGGGTCACCGCTGCAGGGCAGGCGAATATGGTTTATTGCGTACCGCGTATGTTTGGTGGTTTTGGTGAGGGGCGTTCGCAGACAACGGGGCAGCGGTATGAGACGACAGGATGGGTGAGAGGAAAGGGGGGGGGGGGTTCCTCCCTGGTGGTTTCGAGACGAGGGATCGCCTTGCAAGTGTATCTTGGTAGTTTCTTATTTGTGAGGCGTTGACACCGGGTCGAGTAGGTAGTGCGTGGTGTATGGGAAATGGGCAGAATGGCGGTTTCTGTCTGGCCTTGGACATGGACATCAATATCCTTCGGGTAGGAATAGTACGAAGTACCCCTGGGAGACGGCGGTGTGTGGTGGCTGGATGCAAGTGGCATTTTCAAAGCTTGTCCCTCTCTCTCTTCTCGTCAGGCCTGACGATCTGCGTCATTGGGCCGACTTTGCCGATTCCCCTGGTAAGTTGCACGGATGGGAAAATGGAGGAGGCTGTCATGGCCCTGCCTGGCCAACGGAGCGAATGCCCGGATCGGTGATGGAAGTCGACGGCGTTGATTTGCCGTGTCTGTTGGTCGAATCGTCCGTCACTCGGGGCGCGCGCGCGCTTCGCACCACACTGCTGGGATGGGATATTGTCAGTGATGGAACAGAACAGAGAGAGGCCGAGGCTGGGCTATAGCAAGCAGCGAAATCAGAAGCAGCAGCATCGAGTGATGACGGAGTCAGTGGAATTGGACATGTTTGGGCATTCCAAAGCTGGACTGAAGAGGAGGTCGGATTGATTGTCGGGACGGGGAGGTCCATTCCATGGTGAGTGGAAGGCGACTGTGGGGGGACGGAATGCGAAAAATGGCTGGTTTCGTGAACCTTTGCCTATTCCTACCTATTCGTTCGTACCTGCCACCTGCCTTGCACTTGAGCGAAACGAGGAGGTGCGGGAGGGGCAGGCGCTTCCGTCTCTCAGCCAACCACGGCCGGCCCAGAGGATCCACAAACACGCACACACACAACCGAGTGGGGCAGGCGCCACCGATCACAGGCTCCCCCTTCCCTTTCCAAGGAGGGCGTGCAGGAGGCGGAAGCACAACCATCCAAGAAACAGCGACTCGGAGCCACACACACACACACACACACACACACAAACACACACATACGTACATAGTATTACTACATATCCGTAGACATACAATACACACATCACCACGCTCAGTCCAAGTCTCATCCACATGACGGGCCGTCTCACACGGCATCCGGGACGAGCACTTGCGTCTCAAGTCGAGTCGCCGTTCAGTCCACGGGAGATGATGCATGCATGCATGCATGCAGACAGACACGACGCCCAACGAAACAACTACGAGAAACAAAAGAATGTGCCGGCCGAGGGCGCATCTGTACGGCTGCTTTTCGGGCGATTTACATTTGGCGACGCAACGCTACTAGGTACTAGGTACTACGTAAGGCACAAACAAGCAAGGACAAGAGTGTTTTGCACAGCCGCCTCTAAAAAGGCACTCTTGTCTCTGTCTTTTCTCTCTCTCCATGCCTCTTGATCGCTCGCTCACTAAGCTTACTCTTTTACGGATGCTCTTCCCGTCAATGGCGTTGTTGTTGAGTGGATGCATCGGCTGCACCTGCATACTGCCTTGCCCGGTACCGACTGGCACACTAAGCGTTGAAGAGAGGAAGCGGACTGACGTCGGGAGAAGCAACAACCCTGGCCGGGGGGCGTAATCGCCTGCCCTGCTTTTTATTTCACTCTTGAATACCGAGGTACATGGTACTCCGTATATCCAAGGTAGTACAGGTACAATGTACCGTACATACACGCCTACGACGTATCTCGGCTCCCTTTCCCTGTGCCTCTTTATTCTTCCGAGGGATGCTTTTCCCTGCACCGCGACTCAATTTTTATAATTATTTATTCATTGTCAGGTACTGGAAGCGTAAACGTCGGCAGTTTATCAGTCCTCTGCATACCAGCACGGACAGGACAGCACCGGGTGGACCGGGGAACCATGGAGCTGGGACTGGAACTGGAACTGGGACTGGAAATGCGGTCAGCCAAGAGAGACGTGGAGGTACAACAAGGCTTGGCTGTCAACGTTGACATTCCGCCATGTCATTGTCCTCGTCGTTGCCATTGTCAACGAATGCCATGGGCATTGTGTTGTCTGGTGGTCACTGCAACGGCACCTACCTACCTAGGTAGCCTCAGTCAAAATGGGTAGGTACAGGTGCAACTGCAACCGCACCGCACCTGCCATGTCACGGAAGGAGGGAAGCAAGGGTGGAAGGGATGCAAAGGTAGGTGGTAGGTACCTGCCCCCGTTGCTGTAACCCTGTACGGGATAGGATGGTGTGTCTAACCCCTTGTCTCTTGCTGCTGCCGTTCGTGTTCCTGATTCTCCGTGCGTGCCTTCCTCCCTGGACCACATACGGTCACGGCGGCTGCTTCAATTCTGACTCTCTCTCTCTCTCTCTCTCTGTCCTCTGTCCTCTGTCTTCCGTCCTCCGTCTTGTTCGTTCCAACTGCAACCGAACGTCCGACTGACGAACCCAACGAGTGAGCAACACGAAATCACCCAGCACCCAGCCAGCAACGCGACCGGCGCCATTGGCAGCGCATATCTAAGAAACCCCGCGACCCTCTTATCCATCGCCAAGACTGAAATAGTTTACCCAGCCAGGGTCCAAGATCCAAGCCACCCTCCAACGTGCTGTAACCTTGCCTCATACTGCATACGACAGTGTCGACACACCACTTCTCTCTCGCCTAGGGTTCTGGCCTCTCTCCCAATTCCATCTCTCCCTCTGTCTCGCTTTCGACGGCTTCTCACTTTTCCGTTTCTTTTTCTCCTCCAAGAACTAATCTGACTTGTCCACCATCCCGAGTCTTTTCTTCTCACAATACGACAACTGGTCCAAACACAACGCTCCCTCGGCTCCTGCTCCTCCGTACCCCGCGGGCGAACACTCTAGAAAAGAGTCTCGCTTCGACGGCAACAGAACACGGGTCGGAATACGAGCGATTGCCACACAAAGGAGCCGCACGGGAGAACACAAGACGATCCTCGAACCTGGCGCTGCTGTGGGCGAAACAACCCCCCCTCCCTCCAGAAAAAAAAAAACAACCCAATAGGCCTCTGTTGCACTCAAGCTCCCTTGGCGGCTAACGCCCTTTCTTCTCCTCCGCCTCCAAGTCCTCTTCAAAACGGTTCGTCGCAATAGGGGCTTCAAGACAACGTCTTGCTGCGCCCGCGAGTGCGTGTCCCCTTCGCACCAACGACACTGTTGCACTTGCATCCGCTTCGTCCGCCCACCTACGCGAGCAGACGCACACGCGATCTCCCCGGGACCTTGCGCCCTAACGCAGTCATACTCTCCGAGACTTGCATTAGTCGGAGGCACTTAAGATTGCGTCGTCTGCTGCCTCTTCCCGCCGTACTCCAAATTACTGGGCGACCTGTGGTGCACCGAGGTCGGTGTTTTCTTTTTTGTTGTCTTTGCTTCCTCGTCTCTCTGTTCCATCCCGTCACGCACCCGTCGCATACTTGCAGTCGCTGGAATGACCAGACGGAAACTACCATAGTGTTTGCGGCAAGAACACCACGCTCACAATCAATCAGTCGTCGCCCCGAAACATCTGAAATTGCATCCGCATTCCTTTTGCCGACGCTTTGCAATAGCCGCCACCGAACTCGGGTCGACATCCCCGTCTCTTTCAACGGGTTCCACCTACACACACCATCCTCGTTTACCCTCAACAGGAGGAGGTCCTGTTGGCCAGTCACCAATTCAGCCCACGAGGGTTGCACGACCTTCACCCTGATCTCACAACTATATTCGAAACATGCCTCGATACGACCATGACGACGGCAGCGCCGAGCGCGAGCCTTTGGACCATTCTTATCGCTCGTATACGCCCAACCCTCCTGAACATTACCAGGACCATCAGTACCACAACGGCGCGCCTCAGGCCTACAACCCCCAGCAGTATCCCGATGCCCACACCGACCCGAATTTTACTCGCATGAGAGAAGAGCGGAGGAACGATCGGCAGGGCCCACCACCAGCTGCTGTGGGAGCTGTCGGCGGTCCTGCTGCTGCTGCTGCTGCTGCTGGCTACAGCGCTCACCGGGCCGCCTCGCCCGTCGATTCCACCCCGCAAGTCCCCCCTCATCGTGAATGGGCCCCCGAACGCTACGCACCTCCGCAGCAGAGCAACCTCAACCCCAACATCACCCCTGGCGCAGATAACTTCAGTAACACTGCATCCGGTGGCATGGCCGGAATCGCTTACACGGTCGCCGAGCGCAACGCGAGGGAAAGCGGCGTCGATGCCATGAGAAACGTTGGCCAGGGGCCGCCGCCTCATGAACGAGGACAGTTTCAGCAGCCCAACGTCCCACCACAAACGTACAGCCAGCCGCGGGGGGACGCCTACGAGATGACCACCGCTCCGCGCTCATACCAAGGCAGCCTCCCGGATCGCAACTCTCACTCGAGCTTGACCGCTCTGGGAGGCGCGGCTGCGTCCCCGGCGAGGCTGTCGCCGGCCTCGAGCCCGTACGGTTTCAATGACTACTACAGTGACAATACTTACTACCAGAGGCACCCCGACCATCTCGGTGTCGTAGACCCTAATTCGATCGCGGACGACGGCGACGACGGCTTGGAATATGGTAGAAGCAGGAGCGGGAGAAACTCGATGCTCAGCCTGTCCAACAGCGACCGCACAGGTAGAAGCAAGGCCGGCCTAGGGGGCGCGGCGGCAGGAGGTGCTGCTGGCGGCCTGATGGCCAATCGAAACGCCAGTGGATACTACGACCCGAAAGACTCGTCCTCGGGCTACCAGAATGGCGACGCAGTTGATGCCGCAGGCCAAGAAAAGTACCAATGGGTAAGGAGCGAGAACAAGGGGCGGAGGAAGTGGAAAATTTGCATAATTATCGGCGTCATCCTCATCATTGCTGCCGCTATTATTGGCGGTACGGTGGGCGGTTTGGTATCGAGGAACAGCCGTGACGGTGGACCAAGTCGACAAGGCCAGTCGGCGGACGACGACAAGAACTCCAACGGCGACCTGGACATCAACAGCGCCGAGATCAAGAAGCTCATGAACAACAAGGACCTGCACAAGGTGTTTCCCGGAATGGACTATACGCCCATCAACACTCAGTATCCCGACTGCGTCCACGACCCGCCATCGCAAAACAACGTCACGCGTGATCTCGCTGTGCTCAGCCAGCTCACCAACACGATCCGCCTATACGGTACCGACTGCAACCAGACTCAGATGCTCATCCACTCGATTCAGAAACTCGAGATGGAGGACACGATCAAGATCTGGATGGGGGTTTGGCAGGACGGCAACACGACGACAAACGCACGACAGCTCCAGCAGATGTGGGACATTCTTGATGTGTACGGTGATAAGTACTTTGAGGGCATCATCGTCGCCAACGAGATCCTTTTCCGAAAGGAGATGACCGAGGCCGCACTGGGAGACCTCCTGGCCGAGGTGCGCACGAACCTGACGAGCAAGGGACTGAGCTTGCCGGTTGCCACATCTGATCTCGGCGACGACTGGACAGCTTCGCTGGCAGCGAAAAGCGACTACATCATGGCCAACATACACCCCTTCTTCTCTGGCACCAACGCCAAAGACGCAGCCTGGTGGACGACTGACTTCTGGGAGGGGAAAGCCGGCAGTTTCTTCAAGACGGACAAGAAGAAGAATATTATTGCCGAGATTGGCTGGCCTACCAAGGGCGGCACGAATTGTGGCGGCGACGGCACGGTCACAGACTGCCCCAATGCGTCGGTTGCTGGTATTAGCGAGCTGAACACGCTCCTTGAAGACTGGGTGTGCCCTGCCCTGACCAACGGCACGAATTACTTTTGGTTCTCGGCCTTTGATGAGCCGTGGAAGATCAAGTTCAACGAGAAGGGCAAGGAATGGGAGGACCAGTGGGGCCTGATGACGGTAAACCGAGACGTCAAGTCGGGCGTCACGATCCCAGACTGCGGCGGCAAGACAGTGTAAAGCAAAGCAGGTGGTTGTTACGGATTTGGTTCCTTGTTTATGGGATGCATGAGGCGAGATGTGCCTCTGGCCTGCTGCTTGGCAACTTTGGGCAACCTGCAGCAATGTACATGACGGAGTAATTCTGGAGTTAAGGACTCAAAGCATGCCTGGCCTGATTGCCGCCGGCATCATGTGTATGATGCTTGATACCGTATATAACGTCGGTAACGGTTCGGGCGGGTGGTTTCGCAATTGTCGTTGGTATTTGAACGGATAAGAGGAATAGATTAGTTACTTGACGTTTCGACTGGACACTGACACTCGATGTAGTAATGGCGGTGTTAAAACATGCGGTCTGCTGCTGAGAGGGATCTGTGCAGTCTCATCCGATGCAAGTGGCGCAAGTGGTGTGAAGGAAGTCTTGGCCTGCATAATGCGTGCGTGTGGAGGACACGGATGACGCGGGCCGGGGCGGGGCGGGGAGGCGTCGGGTCATAATATGTGGCCAAAGATGTTCTCCGGAAGCTTACTTTCTCGCAACTACATGCCATCGTGGGCAGCATATCAAAACACACTTTATCAGTCCTTATCGAGAAGGCTGCCAATCCAAAATCTGGTCGTTCCATTTACCGACGAGAGCGGTTGAACCTCGTTCCAATACGCACTCACGGCACGCTAGGGAAAATAGTAACCACTGTGGAGAGAGAGAAAGAAAGAGAGAGAGAGAGAGAGAGAGAGAGAGAGAGAGAGAGAGAGAGATAGGGAGGGAGTATCATGAGATACGCCGCGCCGTTCCAGCTCGTCACCTACGCCGCATTCATCCTCAGACTACTCGGCATAGTGGGCGGCACGCAGGTCACGGGCAGCGCGATGGCCGCGATGTCGACAACTGAGGCGAAGAAGAAGAACAACAACATGACGAGGCCCGACCCGATGATACCGCTGACGCCGGTGCCGCTTACGCCGTCGGGCGCCGGGCGGGACGGGCAGGAGATCGTGAGGCAGCTGACGGGCCTCACGCGGTCCGGCATCAACGGCGGGGGAGCGGGGCCGCCGGGTGGCGGGAGCCGGTTGCGGTTCGTCAAACGGGTGGAACTAGAGGGGGGGCTGTGGGAGCCCGAGGGGATCGTGAGGTTGGCGGGGGGGTCGTCGTCGTCGTCGTCGTCTGCCGGTGACGCCGCCGGGGGAGACGAAGGGGACGGGCGGGATGAGAGGTTCTGGGTGTCGGCAGGCGAGTACACGGTCCCGACGGAGAAGTTCCCGGGGGGCGAGTGGGTGGGCGGGACGGACCGCACCGCGGGGGCGGGGTTCGCGCACCTGGTGGTGTTTGACGGGACGGGGCGGCGGTTGGCGGACTGGGTCGTCTCCGAGGAGGGGGACCTGGAGGTGAGTCTTGGTCGTTTGAGCATCCGGCCCTGCATCGGGGAGAGAGGTGGTGGTGGTGGTGGTGGAAGGCTGACGAAAACACCCCAGTACCACAACGGCGGGCTCGACTACGACGGCCGGCACATCTGGGCGACGCTCTCGCAGTACCGGCCCAACACGACGGGCACAGTGGTGAGGATCGACCCGGCGGGGCTGACGAAGGAGGCCGTGCTGCGGGTGGGCGACCACCAGGGCGGGATCGTGCACGACGTCGAGACGGGGACGCTGACGACGCTGAACTGGGGCGGGAGGAAGGCGAGGCGGTGGGATCTGGGGAGGACGAGGGTCGGGGCGGCGAGGGTGGAGGACGATGGGGAGCAGGAGCAGCAGGTCAGGCTGGGCGGCGACGATGGCGGTGTTGGAGCAGGAGGAGGAGGAGGAGGAGGAGAGCAAGGGGGCGGCGGGGGGTTCGACGAGCCGCAGAGGGAGACGGTGAACCCGTCGTACTGGGTCGACTACCAGGACTGCAAGTCGCTGGGCCGCGTGGGCGGGCGGTCGCTGATGCTGTGCTCGGGGATCGCGACGGCGGCGCCGGGCGTCGAGGTCGGCGGGCTGGCGGTCGTGGACGCGGAGGACATGGTGCCCGTGTGGGAGGCGCCGTTCATGGAGAGGACGGGGGAGGGCGTGCTGATGACGAAGAACCCGATGGACGTCGCGCTCGTCGGGGGGCGGGTGAGGTTGTACTTTGCGCCCGAGGAGGGGCGGAGCGCGGTGTACGTGTATGAGGTCTGCGAGGGGTGATGGGGGTGTATTGTTACTTGTCCATTGTCCCTCCAGATGAGATGGATGGTCTCATGGCACGGGTTGCACAGCCATGTCTAGCTGGGTGACCGGAAGGATGGTAGGGGGGGCAGCATGGGTCACAGTCGAATGCAGTTTCGAGGTGGATCGCCATCAGTTTCTGTGTTTATTGATATTCTTCGATGACGAAGAGAGGCAGAGGGAGGGGTGGGAGAGGAAGACAGAAGAAGAGGGTCTATCTGATGCGTATACGGTTAGTTAACCTCCTGGACCCTTGGTATAAGTGAATCAAACCTGGACCACGCTGCATAGGAAGAAGCTGTTCACGGCACAACAGATATGAGTGCTGTATTGAAATGAAGACGACGAGCACAATGATGCTAATCGACAGCTCAGAATGGTTTCTTCACAAGTTTGAATTGCAGGAGAGAGGCTTTGCATCAGGGGCCAGAGAGCTATCCAGAAGCTGCGTGCGGCATGTACAGGGCGAGTCGGGCGAAACCAGACATGATCGGTCCGGAAAGGTGCTAACCCCCCATACGTATGTTTGCGCGCAGAAGCGTACAAGTCTCCTCCCGCACGAACCGAGTCTCATGTCCTTTTGTTGTCGCAGTCTGTGTCGCTCTGGCGCGGGGCCCGGCGGCTCGGCATCGCGAGATCCCCCCCCTTTTTCGCAAGGAATAGGGGGAGGTCCGCTCAACACTCCGCCCAGCGTCGCAAGGAATGTTGGCGACAACGTTTATTACAAGACGTACTTGGAGACCGCCCCAGTCAGCCCGGCCTGTTGAGATGTCATTGCTTGGTTGACGACAGGGCATAGTGTGATATATTCATCCGTATCTCTGTCCAGGGGCTCATGTTGTGGTTAAAAATATCTAGTCCATGGGGATCTATGGATATCCATATAAATAGATTGGGGGTTTTTTTTATCTATAACCATAGTGTTGCGATGTTGATCATCGCCTGGATATCGGCGGTATGGGTTAATGCCGAAATGGCCGGAATAACTACGGCCGATTCACCGTGGATCCATCGGATTCACGGGTATATTACGCGGTGAATTCACCGCGTAATCCCACGATAGTTTTCCTCTTTACGCATAATTCAGAACCGGTATTTACCCCTATTATTCGTCACTGCCTATTGACACGTACGGTTAACCGTATCACCACCCTGGTGATAACCAACACATAGATTAGTTAATAGATGTGCATAAAGAACAAAGCCCATGGTTATAGATAAAAAAAAAACCCCCATGTCTATAAGACTAGATAAGAATAGATATTTAGTTTATCTATTTAAAACAAAACCCCTCTCTTAATTAATTAAGAGAACTACCTGATATTAAACTAAGTAAAATTACTAATAGTTAATTACTTAAATATAAAGTAAAGTAATTCTAAGAGATTTAAAGGCCTTTCTTCATTAAATATAGGATTGCTATAATAGTTATTATATTAGATTTACTATTGTATCTAGACTTACAACTGAAAAGTATCTATTTGGATTCAACCACTTCACCCATAGATTACACTGGCATAAAAAATCCATATCCATAGGATCTATTAAACATATGGATATATCCACCAGATCTATGAATTGTGTTATAGGGAAATCCATATCGTACCCTATGTATAAAGTTAGAGAGGGATGAAAATTTGGGCTTGGAGCGAGGTTGATATTAGTTTCATGTTATTTGAATACATAATGTGTTGAGCGTGTTTCGTTCGCTTGATCAACGATGCAACAAATCGAACGGGTTTTTGCCATGATTAAGAGCCAAATACAACGGTGCAAAACTTTGGAGTCAGAAAACACTATCAGATTCCTGGACGCAATTCCGTTGCATAGTCTCTCCTACCCGTCTGCAAGGTGACCCCAGTCCCCTGCCAAAGGTCGAGCCTCCTCACTGGTCTACTCGTCGCTACACAATACGAGCTTTTCATCAAGAGTCGTATAATAACAAGAAGCGAATAATGCCGGCTGATGAAATGACAATGCGTTGTTGCTCCACTTCCCCCGCTTCTCCGAAACCCTACATCATATTGCATCCTTGCCGAGAAGCGGAATGATCCTAGTAGTACTATATCTCCAGGCCAAAAGATCCGCACCTATCACGGCTCTGGGGTTGGTTCTCTGACGCAACGATACGTCTGATGCCATCACTGCCTTGCCTCGGCAGGACTATCACCGTCCGATATTAGCCCGCTTTTCCGTGTGCTGCCATGAGCACCTGCATATATAGATGGGAAAGAAGAGACACATGCCAATGTTCCTCGGTGTCCTGTGTGACTCGACGTGAACCACTACTTACTGTCCGTTTGTTATCAACATGTGGCCTCTCTGGACCGCCACAGCTTTGCTAGCAGCCGGCGCAGCTCAAGCAGACCCCAGCGCAAGCGGCTCAAACTCGACCAAGTTGGACGTTCCACTGAACGCAGACGGCGCTTCGATACCCCACGCCAACTCGTTTGCTTCCTTCTCGTTCGAGCCGGCCTTCTGGGTCGAGTTCTTCGGTAACGCAAGCACGCCGAACAACCTCACATTCACCCTCCTCAATCGAATCCATGAACATGGTGGCCATCCGGTCATCCGGCCCGGTGGCATCACCATGGACAGCATGATATTTGACCCAGAAGGCGGAGATCCCGTCCGCACCACCAGCCCCGGGGGAGGCGTTTGGCGGACGACTGTCGGCCCGGACTACTACCACAGCTGGGACAACTTCCCCAACGGCACCAAGTTCATCTCCACGCTCAACTTTGGCAACGAGAGCTTGGACATCGCCAAGGGCCTGGCGGTCGCTTCCGTCACTTACCAGGGCGACAAGATTGCGTACTACGAGCTGGGCAACGAACCCACAAACTACGAGCGGAGCCGCTGGAATTTCTCGACGGATGCCTACGTCCACGAGTGGAAGGAATACACGCGCGGGATCGACGCCGCCGTCAACGCCACCGGCCACTCCGACCTCCCAAGCGAGCGCTGGTGGGCCTCGTCGGCGACGACCGACGATTCCGGCCTGGATGTGCTGCCCATCGCCCTCATCCCGGCCGGGATCGACTCGGAGCACCAGGTCGGCGTCTACTCGATCCATTCCTACGCCTTCTCCACCTGCGACCCGGCCCGGGCCGCCCTCGCGACCATCCCGAACATCCTGAACCACACCGAGCTCGTCCGGTACTGCGACGAGGAGATCTACCCGTCCGCCCGCGCGGCCCTCGACGTCGGCAAGCGCTGGTCCATTGGCGAGTTCAACTCCGTCAGCTGCTCGGGCGCGCCCAACGTCACCGACACCTTCGCCCAGGCCCTCTGGGTCGTCGACACCCAGCTCATCTACGCCACCCGCAACGCCTCGGCCGTCCACCTGCACCAGGGCGCCACCCTCGCCTTCCAGTCCTCGGACCAGGTCAACACCCCCGGCGAGGACGGCACCCCCGGGTACAGCACGTACTCGATGCTCTACCCGCGCGACAGCTCCCTGCGCGGCCCCGCGCGCACCCTGCCCTCGTTCCTCGGGCAGCTGTTCATGGCCGAGGCCCTTGCCGTCCCGGACACCCGCGTCCGGGCCCTCGCGCCGCCGCCCGGCGTCGCCCCCGACTCCTTCGCCGCGTACGCCTTCTACGTGGCCGGCCGGGTCTCCAAGCTCGCCCTCGTCAACATGAAGCCGTACTACGCCAGCTCGACCTCGGACTACACCGTCCGTCTGGACCTGTCGGACCTGGTGCGCGCGGGGACGGGGGGCAGCGTGCGCGCCAAGAGGATGACGGCGCCTTACGTGAACACGGGCGACAGCAAGCTGTCGACGTGGGCCGGGCAGGCGTTCCCTCAAGGCGAGCCGGTGGGCGAGACGGTCGTCGAGACCGTCGGTGATGACGGAGTTGTCGAGGTCAGGGGAAGCGAGGCCGTCTTGGTGTTCTTTAACGAGGAGGAAGTACATGGCTTGTGAAGACGGGAAATGGAATCGTCAAGTGCTTCTAGTAATAATCAGTAATAATCACAAACGCCGACGCCGTTGAGTACAGACAGTGATTAATGGAGCGACGTGATTTCCCGTGTTCTGAATATCCACCAGAGCCTTACCGCTGTCCTGGCACAGTCTAGAGGCGCCGCACTCGGTCACCATATGTCGTACACCTGTCGCGCACTCGGATAGACGGGTTGTATATATGGGTGGGAGTTGATAATAAGCAGGGATTTTCAATGTCGATTGGGGAGTAACAGGTTCCTCAGCATCATGGTCATGTCATGCCAGGCATGCTTTTGATGGAGCGTGTACCACCTCAGCCCACACTGCGTTTTTGTGCAACAGGCCAAACCCTGGGCCCGGTTTATGAGGGTTCTTTGACTTGGAGTATCCAGCAGCCTCGCACTGATGGATGAGAATGGAAATCTGCACATGGATACTTGGTCATATCACCTCCACTGACGACTTGCTACTAACCCCCCCCCCCCCCCCCAACGAGACCGCAGTGCGGGATAAGAGATGAGTAATTGTGTTCAAGGCCAGACTTGAAGACCACACAAGGGTCGAGCGAGTTACAGTGATACGGAAATAAAGGAGAGAAAGTCCATGAGCGAGAGTCGTCGTTGCTGTTGCTGAAAGCCAATACAATAAGGAAACCCTCGCGTCAGCTGACACGCATCCCATTTCTGCTAGTACGCCCGGGTGCTGTCGTTGGTGCTCCTTGAACTCCAGTGCGATACGATAGCTTGGAAAGTTTTAACATTCGTCATCTGCAGTAGGGGCCGTCTTATTCTTCTTCTTCTTCTTCTTCTTCTTCGTGTCCGGATTGGGAATGGTTCTCAGCCAGTCCTCAACAGGAGCCGCCGGCGGGTCTGACGCTGTTTCCACCGCTGGTTCTGGCTCTGCCTCCAGTGTGTATTCCTTTGTTTCTGGCTCTATTTCTGGCTCTGGCATCGGCGTACATGGCTCCGGCATCGGCGTGCATGGCTCCGGTGAAGGTGGATATTCCTCTGGTACTGGCATTGGTTCTGGCTCTGCGGCGATGACCATCGGAGGGACTTCCTCTTCCGGAGGGACTTCCTCTTTCGAAACATGTTCGTTTTGCTTTCTCATCTTTTTCTTCTTGCTATTCCAGTAGCATTTCTTACAGACTTCCTGGGGGACGAACGGTTCCAGTAGTTCCGGTTCGGCCGGAGGCGTAGGCTGGGATGCGGCATAGAAAGGGGCCGAATTGTTGCAACATATCTCAACGATGAGTTTGACGAGCATCTTGGAGTATGGCGTCGCCGTGTCAAAACACGTCAGGAAGCGTGTTTTGTCCTGCGGCGAGGCGTCTCGAAATAGCTCCTCAACACGCAGCTTGATGAAGGTAGGGAACCAGGGGTCACCCTCACCCAAGAGTTGGCACGCATCGGAGGCTAATACAAGAACCTGCAAAGCAGGCAATGCCCCGGCGTATTGAGACATCTTCTGCTTAGAGAGCTCCGCCAAGCCTGGCAGGTTGTAGGTTTGCGCCGTGCCGTATACGCGTAAGCTGACTTCGAGTCGTTTCGAAAATCTCGCTGCATCGGGCAAATCTGCATCGTCGAGGGTTTGCCATCTGCCAGTGTGGAGGTAGTGGATGACCGCATGGCCTACTTCATCCGGCACATTCCCGAGGTGTATCTCGTTCGAGCTGTAGCGAATCCTCTCGAGTCCTTCGCATAGTAGATCGCGTGGGACTGTAAACGGCTGCCCGCCCTTGAAGTAGACCTTGCAGCTGGGGCTTGCATAAGGGCTTGAAACTACTTTAGCACATAACCGTACGCTGAAAGGCGTTGCAACTTACGACACTTTTGGTCCAACTTCGGGGGTACAATATTCTGAGGCTTCCGATGGCAGCCTCATCTTGATTGTCTCCATGCTTGGCAATAGCTTTCTGCTGTCTATGTCCGAATTCCGTTGGCAGGCTCCAACAGAGCTTTATAAGAAATCGCACGTTCTTACATGTACTGCCCTGTTTTTGGTTGCCCCAAAAGTTGACTGCTTTATCCTTGCATAGGCGAACGAATCAGTGGTAACCACGCGCGACAGTCTTGGACTGTTTGTTTTGGGCAGCAAGGCGCTTGTCGGATGCATCCAAAGCCTCACCCGCTGTGATTACAACATTGAAGTGCAGTGGCTCGTGCAGCTTCCTGCAGAGGTATCGCTAGATTCGATAAGTGTTGGTTCAGACAACAACAAACACACGTCTTGGAAAGTTAGAAAGCCCTTCATTGGCCCTTGATATCCTGCGTGGGGAGATTGCGTTGGACTTGCAGACGATGAATGCAGTTTCCATGCAGGCTGTCCGCCGCTGCAACCAAATTAGTGGCCAATCGTTCCCCACGTCGTTGCGGTATGTGTTGCCCTCGCATTTGCGCCTGGCGTAAACAGCTGGGCACTCGATACTGAGCTTGCTTGTCTCTATTGGCAGGTTCTGGATCTGTTCCTGACAGAGGCCGCCCGAGTTCAACGTTTTCTTGAATGTGTACGAGATTGACCGAGGATATGCATGATATGAAGGTTTTCTGTACACCGCTATGTTAACTTAACCAGCCAATAATTAGTGGTTCACCGGGAAGAGCATTCATTAAGGATCTCCTATCTGCTTCGATGCCAAGATGTAATTTAGAAATTGAAAATTAATATAAACGGAAATAGGGCTGGCTTGCCGGGGGGACACCCGAGATAACATCTCATTCGACGGAAGCCAGCAGCACGAACAAGCCAACAGGTACTTTGCGCTGCTGGAATCTACTCGTCCTGAACAGAGTCGCATGGCCTTCAGAAACGGTGTGTCAAAATCTTGGAGAAGATTCTGTTAGTGTCACAGGTCAATTGATTAGGTAGTAGTCATAAGATGTATTAACTATTAGTAAGAAAAGGGGGAAAGTGACTACCGCTGTCAGCATCTCTAGTGTAAGTGAGCTACTAACAAGGGACACGTGCTTCTACACGAGACCTCGGATCGGCTCTACTCCACGAGTCGATATCCCGACAACTTCCCTACAGCTAGCTACCGAAGCGTTGACTTCAACGCACCCCAACGAGTCAGGACCAAACATGCACCTCAAGGGGGCTGAGAGGCTCGATATGGCACTCTATTTCACGGATTCTGTGTTTGAAGCTCTCTAGAGGCTCACCCACTGACGCTGCTTTGAGCGTGAGCCAGTGGGTGAGTGTGAGCTAGGGTCTGCGCACCATTGGTCCCTTCCATCCTCCGACCCTCCCCCGTTCCCATGGGGGTGCGGTCTATACCTCGCTGGAATGCAGTGACCTATCAGGACGGTCTGGGGATTCCACTAGGCTCACGGCGCTTACGCTGCGGTGCTCACGGAGGGGGATGTCGTTGTTGGTCTCCTCCACCATGCGTGTCATCCAGGATTTATTTTCGGCCGGGTGCCTCTTGATGTAGCCCCCCGTCCCCCAGGAATTGGACCCGTGGTTCGAGGCCTTTGAGGCCGCCGCTTTGGAACCGGCGTTTGTCAAGTTGGCCACTTTCGGGACCATCCTCTTCCAGAGCTGTTGCGTGGAAGGGAGACAGGCCACGAATACCCCCGTGCAGAGCTCGACGTTGGACCAGACGGCGGATTCGTACGTGTTGACTTTGAAGTGGGCGCGGTTTTAGTCAGGATCCTGGTAATCGACGGGGCGCGTGAATCTGGTGCAGGAGGAGAGATCCAACATACCTGTGGGGTTGGTAGACGTCGCGAAATCGGCAAGCGTTCTGATCCGGTAAGCACCGACGGCTGTGAGGCTATTGCTCTTTGGTTAGCAACAGAAGGGGGAGGGGGTCGGGGTCTGCGCTTACAAAATGCCAGCGCCAAAGATGAGGTACACGCCAATCTTCTTCTTGAGGCCCATGTTGAGGCCCCAGATCTGTGTTGCTGGGGTCACAAGCAGGATAACGTCAAGCAGAAGCTGGAAGACGGCATACGATATAGACGTAGCGTGGTAGTTAATACACTGGCCCTCTGACTCCTGCATCCAGCCGTCCCAGAAGAAGCTGATAGGGCTGCAGACGAAGATGGCCGGGCCCAGGTAGCCAGTCCAGAGCGCAATATTCAACGCCAGTGTAGCCCACAGGATCTTCCTGATCTTCTGGTCAGGGAAGATGCGTAGGTACATTAGGATAAGGGAGGCTTTGATAAGCGACAGGCAGGTAAAGTAGAGTAGGTTAAAGATATATATAATCTGTTACCCCCTCCCCTCATATTGTTAGCTTTCTGTCTAGTATAGTAGACACGGGGAGAGGGGAAGACCTTACTAGAAGAACCTGGGAGATCTGGGTAGGAGTGAGCGTCCACATGTCTCTTCCTGCGCCGGCCTGTGTAACTATATATAACATGTCTTAGTCTTCTGGTGTATAGACTAGATTATTACTTGTTGGTACGACTTACTAGCAAAGTTTGCTGGCATGAAGCCTACGAGGATGACCTGTGAGGAGACTAGTTAGCTACTGTTTAAAAGTAGTACAAGGAGGAGGGGGGCTATACATAGGCAGCAAGGATGGTTATGTCGTCCCAGCCCCATGTCGAGAGTTTCATGAGTTTGCCTGTTAAGCGTACGCCAATGAAGAAGGTTGGGAGGATAAAGAGGGTTACGCGCAGCACCTTGAGGGTGGTGTCTGTTTGGTCTACTGATAACTTCCCGCAGGCCGCCAGGGTCTGGTTCTTGGTTACTGTAAAAAAGGACAGGCAAACAGCGGTTAGCAGAACTGCTGACACGACCCCCACCACTCTTCTCTTTCACCCACCGAGCTGCTGCTTGATTGTGCAGTTTGCGATAACGCACGTTGTGACGAGGTCGTTGTAGGCCTCGTTGGCGCAGAGACATGTCTGGTTGGCAAAGCCGCAATCGGATCGTCCCATCTCTTGCAATATGCAAGTGGTCTATGCGCGCGGGTAAGCAGGTGCCACTCAGTGGTCTGAAAGCCGGTTCTCCCAGGAACGTTCTTCACTCACAGCACAGCCGGGGAGGGCTGTAATGTTTAGCGGTGTCACCGTCGACGCGCAGACGAAGCTCGCCAGCCCGAGGAGGCAGGCGAGCAGGGCGAGGAACCGAGCTGTTGCGGCCATGTCGAGAACAATAGGGCGCGGAAGGGGTCTTCCAACAAAGTCGACTGGGGGGGGGGGGTTCTCTCTACGCTCTCATGTTCTTATATGTTGTGCAGGATCGGGGAGGTGTCTGAAGGAAGACTAGTATGAAATCAGGATCTGGGTCTGAGAAAAGAGAGATCACTAGTGGGCAGGTGCTGGCATTTACATTATCCCAGTTGCACTGCTACATTAATTACCCAGTTTGCTCCAGGCCAAGATGTTCTTGACTCGGTTATCTTTCTAGCCAATGATATATCGGCATTCCGTTCAATCCTGGGTGTAGACCTATCACCCATCACCCCAATGAAGAGACATTGGACTTTTGACACAGTGGGCATTGCCGGGGGCCGCAGGTATCGCACACCGGGTTGTGATGCGCCCACGAGTCAATGGCATCAGAATCTGGTTAGATCAACCGCCCAGTCGGAGCCCGGAGCCAGGAGCCCGGAGCCAGGTTCCCGGGTCGTGATGGAAAACGTGGCCGCGCAACGAACCGGGCAATCCTACCACCCACCCTACTCGCAGACCCTGCTACGCACGGGCAAAGCATCTCTCCGCAAATTGTTTGTCCGGGGCGATTCCCCGCGGCAGTGCGTGTTCGTCTTGGAATTCTGGATCATGGACTTCTCACGATGGTGGTTGGGGCAGACTATCGGGCCCACGATGGGTCCAGGTTCTGCCATCTGGAGCGCGACTACGGATACTGGCAGGAAGATTGGGGGGGCCGCGTACGCAGTATGTAGCGTGTGTACTAGGTATGTAGCTCTGCCGGCGGCAAACCTGCGTTGATCTGGCTCCCCTCTCCTAGCCTCCGAAGGGAAGAGGGGCTACTACTACCCGTCCTTTTACTATATATCTTACTAGTGTTGGACCAACAATGTTACCTGACCGACCGTACGACATCCCATGACTCAGCACAGAGGAACAAAGGTCATCGGGTCGGGTATTCGGACCTCGGGTAGCGGTCGTTGTGCGATGGAAACAAACTGACTCAAGCAAATATCTCCGAAAACGTAATCATCGTAATCAGCGTATGTCAGCCAGAACTTTCTGTTCGGAAAGATAGTCGCGGAATACCACTTTGTTTCACCCCTACGTTTTGAGTACCTGCATGTCTAGAGCCCATACAGCCACTAGGCTTTATTTCCAACTAAGCTACCTACGGATAAGCTCTCTCTGTATCCGTATCTGTCAGGATATCAACAGGCGGAGCCGATCCGAGATTACGTGCTTTTCGCACGTGATACTCCTCGGCCGCTCACTCACACCATGGATATCCACGGCCGCAGTCACTTTCCCCTTCTGTCTAATCATCAACACTTTCAGCACCAATAATCAATATGCACTATTGCTGCTACCATATCGATCTCCATGTGATACCAACAGTATCGTGTTAGACGTAAGGTTTGTGAACCAGATTTGTAACAAAGTCCGCCGTGAAACCTCGGGCTATGAAATACACGTTACGTTGTCACTAGTTGCTATCGCCATAGAATTGCACTAGTCTGTTCTATCAAGCCTGTCTCCTGTTTATATCAGGCTTATTGGCTAGAGGGGGAGAATTTGAAGAAGCTCGAAACGCAGATTCCACGCATACTATGTCCAGCTCACCTGATATACCCCTCTAGCCGACCTGACGTAGGCCCACTTGTATTCCGTACCGATATTAATCTTAGATTGTTCTCAGATCGATCCAGGATTAACCCTTATTTCCTTCTAGCCAGCCCCCAAAGAAAGAAGAAAGAATAAAGAAGCTATACACTACGGATAATCCTAACCACTAATCCTGACCCTGACCCCCTAACCACAACCCCTCGGCTGTATCTATAGATCTTGGAAGCATATCCATACCATTGATCAGACGGCAGCCGACGGACCCTTGGACCTGACCTGACGTACTACGGTATCGGGCCAAAGTTTAACCCCCTCGTCAGGTAAATGTGGCCGTGCTTTTTTTAATTATCCCAGCGACGGTACTTTGAGCTTCTTGTGCACATCTATCTTAATTCTGGCCAGTGAGAATCTCTCGTACGTGGGTCACAACTCCACACTACCTGCTAGGGAGTTTATACTTACCCATGATACGGAGTGACCCCCTTTTCAATAGAGTTTCGGTTACGCAGTGGAGTGGGCCTACGTCGGGTTAGCAGGGGGGAGGGGGGTGTGGGTTAGGTCGGGAGACTTTGCAATCTTATACATGTTTTACCGCCTCAATATTCCACAAATCAGCTTAGCTTAGTTGCCTCCACAAATCAAGGCAGCATTTTGCCATCACGGCATCTTCCCCTTGGGGGTATTTTCGTAAACCTAGCTCATCCATCTTGTTTCACCGGGCTCTGTAGCATGCGAGTCTGGTAGGAAGAATGGGGTGCAAGTTGCAACAGTTGACTTTTTACTGCGACACAGGTGTCTGCTTCCCTTGACCCCCGATTCTAACCAGGAGGGTCACGAGGCTATATGATTACTGATCGTCTGGCTCACCCTACCGGCCTAGAAGTAGTAACCTTTCTATGACATGACGATGGCATCTTCTAAACCTGCTAGCAACCTTACCTGACGCTTCTGTTGCTCTTTCGGAGTTCCTCCTACGACATCCTTTGTTTCTTGTTCCCCTGTTGTCGTAGATGCACTTTTCGGGTAGAAAAGAACATGGGAAAACGGCTGGACTATCTACGGGTGAGATCGTTCGGCCCGACTCGAAGAAGAACGGATCTACGAGTGGGTCAACCGATAGGGGACCGAGAAGACCGGAGCAATAGTTTCTCCGGACTCTGGAGGGAATGCCGATGAAGGCATCGCGACACCTGTTAAATACGAGCCTTGAGTTGTTAATAGAGAGTTGCTCTAGAACAGCTCCAATGGGCCTGAAATGAAACATCCAATGCATACTTTTTGTACCCTAATAGACTCAATTATAGCGTCCGTTACCTATCTTTCCCCAAGTTCTGCAGTCGCTTTTATGTTTCCAGAATTAACTAATCTAGCGCCTGCGCAAATCGTGCAGGACTGCCTATGGTCTCTCAACAGGCTACCCATTCAGCAATGTAACAGGAAGAACAATGATGGAGCCTTCGTCCTATACGTTGACGGGTTTTGCTATACCACTCCGCAATGCGCCAATAAAACAGCTGGTGGGGGGCATGAATATTTCCATAGGACTTGTGCTGATTTTGGATGTGATACCATCCGTCTATTAGATATCAACCGAAGCCTAAATAGTGTCTTGCAGCGTGATGTAGGGAAGAGCGGCTTAGTGCTGAAACTTTTGTATCAAAGTTTACCAACTACCTTAGAATAGGCAGCGCGTTGACATGCATTGCCGTCTGAAATCAATGGGGGAGGATGGGGATTATGTCGAGACCAGTACAGCCGATATTATGATGAATTATGTAAAGCTATGCAAGGCAAGAGTCCTCGCCTATCTACATAGTGCACCTCAACTGGCTCAAGAAGCTCTCATAGTCCCATACATGCAACAAAGGAGGATCGGGGACCCCGCTGTGCTCTACTAGTGCCGTCGGAGTGACGGACGGTCGGTCAAAGTGTCCGCAGAAGCTCCACCGCAAACGGGCAAAGGCGTTACGCGACTGGCCCGCGTGGCTTTTGGTGGTCAGATCCGGATTGGACGCCAAGAAGTTGCTCACGATGATTCATCCGCGCTAGCAGGGATTCGTGCGTTTGAAGAGTGGCATTGTCTGGGATTCCAAGCACCTCACTGGCCCTCCCGAGCACGCGCCAACGCTCTCCCCCCTCTCGCTGTTTTCGAGGGACGCAGAGCTAGGGAGGAGACAAGTAGGTGGGATCCTGGCTGGTCAATCAGTGACCAACTGAAGATTAAGGTTCTGTCTTGAAGCTTGGCCCGAATTTTGGGTCCGCCGGATGGGCAATCCGTGGTCGTGAGTGTACTGAGACCCTACAGGCTTATAGTGATCCAGCGGCACCAGCAGAAACCATTTACCCCTCAGGAACTTGTGGAAAAAGGAAGTTGTATGATGGATGAGCCATATGTGATCAACTCTAGATCATGGTGCAACAAACGTGGCATGGGACTGGTATATATAGTAGCTCATCTCCCGTTGTCCGTCCATAAGATGACACTAACCAGTATGTGATGCATGCCGGCAGCACATTTTCACATTGGATGCAAGGCAAGTAAGTGATTGAGAACCATTTCATTCAAAAGACTACGACTTGAAGACGGCGCCGGAAAGATGGTGAACACTCGCGCTCCTCGGAAGATGGAGCCAGTTGGTTCACCTACCAGCCGACGCCGTCTGACCAGAACCATCCCTCGTCGATTCGAAACACAAATAAACCCTAGTTGAAGCTAGCCCCAAGGTTATTTCTTCGCGTCCCTTTCCATAATGCTCTTCAGAGCCTCGGTCTCGGCCTCCTGACGAGCGAGACGAATACGTAAGTCGTCCCTTTCGCGCGTCATTTCCTTGAGCAAGCTCTCGAGCTCATCGATGCGGTCGACTTTCTTTTGTCTGTACTTGCGCGCGGCGATGGTGTTCCGCTGCCGGCGGAGGACTTTATCGGCGTGGGGCGTCGCCATCTCGGAGTCGCGGCCGTCCGAGTTGGGAGAAGAGCGGTGGGATTTGGGGGCCCCCGAGGGAACAGTAGCGTACACTGACATGTCCAGGGGCGGAGGCTGGTTGGGGCTGTTGGAGTTGGAGTTATCGCTGGACCCGAAGGTAGGATCCAGCTGGACCGAGAGAAAGGGGTCGGAGAATGTGTCAAAGAGGTCGGAGAATGTGTCAAAGAGGTCTGGTGGTGGGGTGTCGATGAATGGGAACGCTGGAGGATATATAGTTAGCAACCCGAGGCTTGACTCATCTGGGGTGCGATATGTGAAGAGCAGGGCCAGTCTTACGTTGACCAATCGAGTTGTCGAGGGGACTGGCACCGACGTGAGGCGTCGCAGAAGCGGCCGACGTCCACGGCAGCGTGTCCCAAGGTGACGGATCAAGAAAAGCGAGGCTAGGATCGTGGACGGATTCTGGCCCGAAGAGCCCGAAATCCGTACCCGGGAGGCCAACGTCCGGCGACGACAACTGCGATAGCGGCTGCTGTTGCTGGGTTTGATACTGCTGGAGGTCATGTATCAGGCTGGCCTCGTCGGGGAGATTGGAACTATCTTGCGGCCAATGCGACAGCCTGCTGGGCAGGCTTGAAGTACATTGCGGCGGTCTTGCGCGCGGCGCTGGTTGCTGTTGCAGTTGCGCCCGGCATTGTTGCAGAGTGTAGCGGCCCCGTTAACTAGGGGGCCAGTAGTTGGCAATTCAAAGATTGAAGAAGGGGGGGGGGGGGGGGTTCTCGACAGAAGCGAGAGTCGTTGCGTGAAGAGAGAAAGACGGGAGAAGATGGGATGCGGGGACCGGCGTGTTATATGGACTTTGCGAGATGCCACATATGAACCTTGACAGACAGAGAGGCAAAGGGAGGGAGAAGAAACGCCCGCTGGCTGGTGGGTTTACTGTACGACGGCTGCATAGACTAAAACGAGCTAACCTCAAGTCGGAGCATGCAAGTCAGACTGAATAGTGTAGGTACATTACCTACACAAAAGCAGGGCAAACGTCATACTGTACAGGTATGTACTATTGTACAAGTATGTACTCTGGCTCGGCGAATGGCTTGAAATACAAGGATAAGACTCTTTGCAGATAAGCATCAAAGGGGGGTTGCATAAGAGACGGTGGCTTTGCACAACTTTCATATGCATCAAGACCATCCCATCGTATAATCCAGGATCAACATGCGCCCGCCGCGTGATCACTCCCCAAGAGCCTATGGTATGACCCCTCCAGCTTGGGGCCAAATTGATGACAAATGGCGCTGCTTTGTCGTTGGAGTTGACCTGGAGAAGAAGTCATACATCGGATCGTCAAGAAACAGCTAGTTCACTTCGGCACATACTCACACCCCTGATACCATATTTCACTGTTGGCATCGCCGCAGTCGGATCTTCCTGACGACGGGACTGTAATCCTGCAGGACTGCCCAAACGGGAATCTGACGTTGTTATCTTGGGGCCCCCATTGGCTTCGCTTAGTTTGAATCCGTCGGCGGCACCCAGCTGCAGGAGGGAGCCAAACGCAAGCGTGAGCCATACATAACGGCCGAAAGCTTGCCCTGCCTAGACCCAGTTACGCTCGGACGATGCCCGATATGGATCCCGGTCTTCCTGTAGATGCGGTGTCGACATCAGCCGCCTCTACCTTGTCCCCAGGGATCGCTGCTCGCTCCGAGGCATCTCTCGAGAGCGAGAACGGTACTGGCAAACGCACCCTCGCCAACCGCCCTCGACATACCCGCACCAGTACCCCTAAAGTGAGGACAGGCTGTGTTACCTGTTAGTGCCCCTGATGATGTGTACATTTAGTACGCTGCTCACGCTCAGCAGGCAAGTGAGTTGCTCACCAGACTTACAAACATGCCGCCGCTCGTTGACGTTGTTTAAATCCTTACCCCTTTAGGAAACGGCACATCAAATGCGATGAAGCCAAGCCGCATTGCATGAACTGCCTCAAGACCCGCGGTGTCTGCGATGGATATGTTGCAAAACCGCGCAAGAACAGAAGTCGGGCCCTCACTAAGGACGTCGAGAGGCTGAACCCGGAGAACCCATGCCGTCCGGGCAGTCCGCGCGGGCTTATCAGGGAGCCCAACGTGAACACACTCGACTTCACCACCGACTTGCAGAGCGTCTACTTCAACGACTGGAACGAGCTGGTGCGCAGTTCGCTCGGCGGCGCGTCCTTCTCGAGGACGAAGCTGTGGACAACGACGATACCCCAGCTCAGCCGCCAGAACCCCGCGCTGCGGCACGCGGCCATCAGCATCGGCGCCATCAGCAGAGCGCTCTCCTCGAATGGCTCCTACGTCGTTGCGAGGAACTTCCACAACGTCGCCAGCCTGTTGCAGAGCCCGCATTATCAGAACGCCATCGTCCACTACTGCAAGGCGCTGCGGCTCCAGGGCCAGGCCGACTTCCAGACGGCCAGCATCCAGGAGGCGGTGCTGCTGTCCATCCTTTTCGTGGCCTTTGAGGCCCTGCGCGGCAACCGGCACTCGGCACTTCAGCATGTCAAGTTCGGCTTCATGATGCTGCACGAGCTCTTGATCAGCGAAGACTCGGAACAGCTGATCTGGAACCTCGCACCAGACCCGAGGCAGCTCGTCACCGAGGTCTTGGAGATGTACACCCAGCTCGACGTGCAAAGCCGCACGGTCCTCAGCGGCCGCGTCGCGTCGAGCCGCTCGCCCGCCTACGAACTCACCCAGGGCCTCAAAGCCCGCGGGCACACGATCGAGACGTACAACATGCAGATCCAGCGCTATACGGACCCCGGGGACTGGAGAAAGGACATGCCCGAGGTATTCAACGACGCCGACGACGCGAACACGTGGTGGAGGACCTGTCAAGCACGGATTGCCAAGCTGGCCCCCCTGCTTCTCAGCGTCGTCGATGATGTCAAGTTTAGCGACATCAAGGACGAGCAAGACATCGACCGGGTCCTGGAGCTGGTACAGAGCCAGCCGGAGCTGCTGGCGTACTGCGAGAAGTCCGTCGCGAACCTGCAGCAGTGGCGGCAATCCTTCGAGCCGCTGTACAACAGGACGCTGTCCGACCCCAACGCGCCCAGAAAGGAGTACCTAAGAGTGCTGCACCTGAGGATGCACTACCTCGTCATGCTTCTGTACAGCTTCTTCCCGAGATACGCCGACGAGGCGGTCATCGCGTCCATGACGCCGCACTGCCGCGAGGTCAACGACGTGGTGGAGATACTCCTCCGCGAGCAGCAGAAGGACATCAAGTCGGCCGCGCACTTCTTCTCGATGGACTTTGGGCTCGCGTGGCAGCTGACCATCGTGGCCATGACGTGCCGCGACCCGCTCGTGCGGGACAACTCGACGCGGATCCTCGAGACGTACCCGAGGCGCGAGGGGCTGTGGGACAGCGTGGCGTTCCTGGCGGTGCTGCGGAAGAACCGGGAGCTGGAGGCGGAGAACGCGCGCGAGGGAACGCCGGCGGAGCAGTGGCGGCGGCTGTGCCGGCGGGAGTTCGTCTTCGAGGACGCCGGGGAGACCATCATCTTCCGCTCGCTCAAGAAGGACGAGGCGACGGGCAGATGGGACCTCGTTGAGGAGACGGCCGAGTTCAAGGGCGAGGCCGAGGGGTTGGAGTGGAAGACGCGGCCGCTGAGCGTGCCGGGTTTCATGATGAGCGGTGCGATATGGGACGATGCAACTTCGAGGACGTGAGCTTGGCTTAGCTTTGCCAAGTCGAAAATGCTGCGATGGACGGAGGCGAGCCATGTGGCTTCCAAGGGCATTTCCGTCTCTTGAATAGGGCCCGAGAACGTGAATCAACTCATACGCAACTATACATATAGTCCTCTGGGGGAATATATCCCTCCCCTTGAGCCTCGGACACTGAAGTACGTATACAAGGTACAAATAATACCATACCCTAACATGCTGTAAGCATAATGTCCGATAGCCGACGCCATAATGGAATATTTCTAGAAAGAAACACAGCAGCATGGAACCTCGTAACTGAAAACCACACCTTAAGCCCCGGACACGAGTTCCGCGGGGATCTATCTTCCGTCCTAACGGAGCCCAAACCCCCTCTCCACGTGGGTCTAGCGGAGCTTCTATCTCTTTAGCCCGAATGAAAGGGGTGCCGCTCTTTCGAGAAGCTTCAGTGTTTGGAGAGGTAGAGAGCGGTCGGGAAATGTTGATGGAGCAGCTAGACGATGTCTAGCCAATGAGGGATTAAACTAGCGATAATAATGACGTGAACGATGGCCTTGCAAGATTCTATGCAACGCTGGATTATCAATCAGTGACGATTCTAGTCCAATGATCTGATTTATTACACTCGGCTGCGTGTTTCCCTGTTCAAGTTGCGCGTTTATCGACGGGAAATCCAGCGTCTTGTAAGTCGACGGCGACACGTGCATATAAACGTCTTACAACTAAATACTTGCTCTCATTAACACCCAACCCTTATCATCTAGTTCAAGACAACTTTCAAGGACTGACCACACTTTCAAAAACATCCGCAATGTCAACGACACATCACAACATCCACAGGAAGGCGGAAACCCTGCATGGCTACGTTAACGAGCCGGCCCCAGGCGTTCCGTACTTCACACCCAAGCAAGACCCGCCAGCAGGCACCGCTCTGCTGCCCGAGGGTCAGAAGCATGTTCCCAAGCTCTTCCGCCCCCTCAAACTGCGAGGCTTGGTATGTCGCGTTGAGACAACGGTTATTAGCTCCAAACTTGCGCTAACCCGTCTCAGGTCCTCCAAAACCGCATCGGGCTGAGCCCGCTGTGCCAGTACTCGGCCCAGGATGGCCACTACACGATGGTAAGCCGACCGCGGCACACTCAAAACGCATGACATGACGCCTTGCTAATCCCCCCGCCCCTTGGAAAGTGGCATGAAACCCACATGGGAGGAATCATCCAGCGCGGCCCGGGCATCGCCTGCGTCGAGGCCACGGCGGTCCAGCCCCGCGGCCGCATCACTCCCGAGGACGTCGGCCTCTGGAAGGATAGCCAGATCGAGCCCCTGCGCAAGGTCGTCGAGTTCGCCCACAGCCAGAGCCAGAAGATCATGATCCAGCTCGCCCACGCCGGCCGCAAGGCCAGCACCGTCGCCCCGTGGCTGAGCTCCGGCGCCGTCGCCGGCAAGGAGCTTAACGGCTGGCCAGACGATGTGCACGCCCCCAGCGCCGTGGCCTGGAACGAGCATCACGCCAGCCCGAAAGAGATGACGATCCAGGACATTGACGAGTTCAAGGCAGCTTTTGCGGACGCTGTTCGCAGGGCCTTGAAGGCCGGGTTCGACGCGATTGAGATCCACAATGGTAAGTTGCGAGGCTCGTCCTTCCAGAATGTTGCACGTTACTGGTGCTCACAATCACATCGCAGCGCACGGCTACCTTCTCCACGAGTTCCTCTCGCCTGTTAGCAACAAGCGGACCGACAAGTATGGTGGAAGCTGGTAAGTTTCCGTACCCTGGACCCCTAGAAGCATCGCCTGGATGAAGCTGCTGACATTTGTATCAATCAAGGGAGAACCGAGTCAGGCTGACATTGGAGATGGTAAGTCTTGACAAGAAGACAACGCATGCAAGCCCTCCAGTCACACACTAACCTAGAGCACAGGTCGAACAAACCCGCGCCATCATTCCCGAGGACATGCCCCTCTTCCTCCGCATCAGCGCCACCGACTGGCTGGAGGAGCAGAAGGACATGCCCGAGTCCTGGACCGGCGACGACACCGTCCGGCTCGCCCCCCTGCTCGCGGAGCGGGGCGTCGACCTCCTGGACGTGAGCACCGGCGGCAACCACGAGCGCCAGCACCCGCACGTCGCGCCGGCGTACCAGGCCCCCTTCGCCGTCAAGGTCAAGCAGGCCGTCGGCAGCAAGATGGCCGTCAGCTCCGTCGGCGCCATCGAGAACGCCAAGCTCGCCAACGACCTGCTGGAGAAGGACGGCCTCGACTTCGTCTTCGTCGGCCGCGGGTTCCAGAAGAACCCCGGCCTGGTCTTCAGCTGGGCGGACGAGCTCGGCCTGCAGATCAGCATGCCCAACCAGATCCGCTGGGGCTTCGGTGGCAGAGGCAAGAAGAGCAGCGAGGCTGTTACCGACATCCCCGAGCTCATCGGAAAGCTTTGAGGTGGCGGTGTAGGAGGTATGGGGGAACTGTTGTTTTAGCCTAACGAGAATGATGCGGCACGCATACACATTAGAACCGAGTAAAGTGACATGAGTATATATACATGATCATCGGACTGTTCCTCAAAGATCCGAGCAGCGTCCCCCGTATATTTCAGCATCACAGGTGCTCCGAACGACACGAGCTTGGAATATGCATAATTGCATTCGAGGCATAAACCCAGTGGCAATCAACACAGTTCCTGACTACAAAACATGGTCGTGTGCGGTATATTGTATCATTAATGGGGAGATTCAGTAGATACTGCGTGGAAACACAGCCACCTGAGCCCTAAATATATCTACTCTACCCATAGAGGGGGTAAATAGAGAACCGCGCTCATCGCAGTCTCTCATGTCCGGCTCTCCACCTCCAGACGCCGCTTCTGCATTTCAAAGCGGCGGCGCGTTCGGGTCCTCCATGCACTGGTCGATTCGCATGATTTGCTTGCCGGTCGCCTTGGCCTGCCTGATGAACTCGGGGAAGTAGTTGACCGTCGAGTTGTAGGAAAAGTGCATGACGACGAGGTTGCCCCCCTTGGCGACGTCGGCCTTGAAGGCGTCGACTTGCTTCTCCGGCGTGCTCGTCTCGGCCCACAGCCAGTCCTGGACGTCGACGCTCCAGTTGATCAGGTACGCCTTGGCCGCCCCCGAGGCGGCCGCCCAGCGCTGCCGCATGCGCGCGCCCTCGACGCCGTAGGGTGGCCGGAAGTAGTTGGACTTCTCGCCAAAGATGCCCGTCATCACCCGGTAGTCCTCGTTGTACTCCCAGTCGATGCTCGCGGTGCTCGCGAGCCCCTCCATCCGCGGGTGCGTGTACGAGTGCAGCGCGATCTGGTGGCCCTCGCTCCGCAGCTGCCGGTAGAGGTCCGCCATGCCCGTGGCGTTGTTCTCGAGCACCGCGCCGACGGCGAAGAAGGTCACCTTGATGCCCGCCTCGCGGATCATCTCCGCCAGCCGGGCCGCGTACCTCGGGTTGCCGTCGTCGATACCGAACGCGAACGAGTTGGGCCGGGTGCAGGAGAATACGAGGGTGCCAGAAGGCAGCTTGCGAGGTATGCTCACTCCAGAGGGGATCGAGGGGACCATCTCAATCTTGCTGAGGATCACGGGCTCGGAACTGTACATGCCTCTGATGGCGACGCTGCTGACGCGCTGTAGGTTGATGTCAAAGTGCGAGATGGGTATATATATGTCGTTCCCCGTAGCGTACCGGCCTGCCTCGAGGCTGTCCCTTGTCTCGGGGTACGGCGCGACTCCCGAGTTGCACTGAGAGTTGTGCTGCTGCAACGAGACGGAGAACCTGGTGTGGCCCGAGTAGGCGATGTGCAGGTACGAGCCGCTGTGGCTGCGCAGGTCTCGGCAGCCGTTGCTCATAAGCGTTGTGAAGGCGTAGTCAGAAGCCGAGGCAACGATGGTGAGGCGGTTTTGGCCCCAGCTGAGGCTGAGGTCCTCGCCGCCGTGCCAGAACCCGAGCGAGTTCGTGCTCGGACTATCAAAAGCATCGACGATGAATGCCGACGCCGTAGCGGCTGGTGCCTCCACGGTTTGTGTTGGCGCCGCCGGGCTTGAGGCTGAGGGCACGATCCAGCCACTCGGGGTGCTGCCGCAGTAGAATGCCAGGGGGCCCAAGTTGAGCGGCTGGTTGGGCGCTGAGATGACGATGGATCTCAGCTTGGTCAGGTTGATCCCGCTGAACTTTGACCAGGAGAAGCTGTACAGCTTCTCGGTTCCGTCGAATGTCCAGCCCAGTTGAGCTGTCGTCTGGGTCGACGATGCCGTCGCCGCGCCGTCGCACGTCGTCTTGGAAGATAACTCGATTCTGAACGTCGTCCCGGCCGGGGCCTTGACCCAGAGCGATATGCCACCGTACCTTGTGGCATCTACACATCCTACCTGGGAGTAGAAGTACGATGAGGTGGACTTTGGCGTCAACGTCACGTGGTGGTTGTCTACGACCACAGATTGCATCGTCCCATCGTCACCCGTCGGCAGTAAGAGAGCGTTGTATGCCAGGAAGCTAAGGCGTGACTGCGACGCCCAGTCATCCACCAGCAGCGGTGAGCATGACGACGGAGGTGCGGATGGCGTGGTGGATGATGCTGGAATGGTGGGAGCCTGGGTAGACGTAATGCCTGTGGGACATGGTTAATATCAATGAAGTGAAGACCGTGTAAGGACCACTCAATCCAAACTCACCAGCAGAAGTTGTGGTAGTTTGGCCGCAGACGAATTGCACCTTATCCAATTGCCACTGCTGCGTAGACGAGAAGGACCCAATGACAACGGATAGGGCCGCGTTGAGGTTCGCCCCGGTAAAGCTGCTCAGTGGAATGCGGAGCGTCTGCCATCCGCCGGTAAGGCTGGTGACCCGGAAAGCTGTTTTCGTAGTAGTCGTTGCCGAACAGCTCGAAGCCCAGCTGAGCTCAGTTGTAAACGCCGCACCCGATACGGGTGCCTTGATGTCGAGCTGTACGTGCGTGTATGAGTCGGTCTGCAACGCTTGGCAAGGAAGCGTCTCGTAAAAGTACGCTCCGCTCTTGGGGGTGAAACTAAGGATGCCCCCGGACGCCGAGATGCTGGCCATGCTACCATCGTCTATTGAAGTCGGTCAACTGCCAGTTTGTGAGGACGGCTGGAGACGACGCATTGGGCAATCTTACCTGACGTCCAAGAACCGAGGTTGTTTCGGTTTGTTGAGAAGGAATTGGACAAGTCATCCACCAGGAGGTCGGAGGAGCATACGGCAGCAGCAACTACTGCGGTATAAGCCGTTGCCAACAGGGACCGCACTTTAAGGTGCAGCATGTCTTTGTTTTTCAAGGCAGTGCTCTCAGTCTTCAACCTGATAAGCTTGATGTAGAGGAATTTGAGACCTTGGCAAACCCCTGTCCAGCAGAAGAGACGGTAGATGCGAACGGCGACAACAGGCGGAACACCTCCATCCTATATGGGATCCAGAGCACAGCAGCCACGCCAAAAAAGAAAACTGCCCAATGCCCTTGGAATAGATGCTTACTCTCTGCAATATGGTCTAGAAGCCCCTTGGCTGGAAACATGCCACCGGGGCACAGTGAGGATGTCGCCAAGCAGTAACATTATTATGCCATCCAGTTGGCGCGGGCGGGGCCGCTGCGGCACCAATTGGTCCCTGATGCCGTGCGCACTTGGCATTGCCAAACGATTTCCTTCCCCCTTGCTTTGGCTTACAGTAGGTCGCTCGCGGGGAAGTTCTGCTAACCGGCTTCGGGTACCAGAGCTGACCGCTACTCGACGCTCCAGCGGTACCATGTTTTATCCCGAGATCCAGCTCTTCGGCGAGGTGCATTCTTGCGCTGGTATTCCGGGCCGGGGACCCAAGGGGATCCAGGGCCCCTCACAATGTCATGCGTCAATAGTCCGCCTCATCAGCACTCGTTCCAACGTGGATTCAGTATCCTCCAGGCTTATGTGAGCTGCCATGGCGCTAGCGGAAGTTTTTTGGCCCTAGCAATCCATATTCTTGGAATACGACGCTTGGCGGCACCAGGTTTTCATGCCCATTTGCTGGGCGAGGTTACCGAGAAGGACAAGAGAAACGAGAGGCAGAAATGCATGATGTATGTTCGTATTCACCCCGCACATGGATCGGCGGTTCCTTTTGAGTATCTTAATGGAGGAAAAGAAAAAAAGAAAAAATAGTCATGCAGGCCGTTGAGTGAGGTTGCTTTGGGACCCGAGCGTAGGCCTCATCCTGACATGGGTATATTCCTTTGGGATAAATGGCGTTACAACTAAACACTTTAGGTGATGCTTTGCGGGGTCAGAATCGTGTAGGTGTAGAGGCCTGAACTCTTGAAAAACTCTAGACTTTCAGTTGGCGCGGCATGCAGCGCCCAGGCTCGGGCTTGGCATGACTATAGATGCAAATGGAGTCCCAAGGTTGATGGTGAGCTCCTTGAAGTAAGCATTCCAACAAGGGAATGAAGGAAGCGTTTTAACCAAACTCGTATTCAGAATATTGTGCGTAGATATACCTGGCCTTAGCAGTTGGATAATTACGGACCAAAAGGTCAAGGGTGACTTGGATCGTATGATCCTGTAGAGATGTATGAGTGCTGCGTTAGACTTATAGCGGGATAACAGTCATTGTGCTAGGAACAATCAAACAACAACAACAACAACAACAACAACCGGAAATGTAAAGCAGTTTTTTCTTTCTTGTCCAGGTCAACACCAGTCGTCATTGCGGATAGGAAGACGTCTGAATAGCTCCTGGGTAGAGTTTTGGAAAATCTTTGGGGTCTAGATGCCATGGGTAGTGTTTGTCGTTGTAGAAGATTGCACAACGGCTACTCAGCATTTCGTTCCCATAGGGAATGCTAGCTATTTCGTACAGTGGGTAAGCAAAAGTGTAGCTCAATCCCAAAATTGCCTAATCCAGCCCCCCAAAGTTAACTTCTTTAGCTTTATAAAATAATAGTGTTTTATATATAAAAGTAAAATTATATAGATTAGTATATAGAGAAAAAGCAGCTCTATTTATTTATATACTTAGTATTTTATGTACTATCCTTATGTAATAATAATAGTAATAAAACGCCTATTTATACTTTTAGTTAGGTGCTATAATATCTCTCCTTCTAACTTCTTCTATACTTTAATAGCAGCCTAAATAAGGGCGTTAAGAGTAGTAGTAGATTATAAAAAGACTACTATTTCTAGATATCTTTAGTAATAGTACTGCTGCTGCCTTGGCAGATATTTGTGCGTTAATTACCCAACAAGGTATTAGTGAAAGCTTATTTGGTCTCTGTGGACAGGGAGGGTCCATTATACGATCTGGTATAATCGACTACAGCGACACTCAATGTCGTCTGTTCCTCAACCAAATGACTTACTGAAGAGTGAGAAGACACTCATTAACCATATATTGTGAAATACAAGTCTGGTTCTGGCACACGGAAGCTAAAGTAGTCGGTTTTAGAACACCACGTTGCTAGGGACCGATGGGACTAGCCCCGTCACGTATTTCTACAATTGTTGCACTCATTGCCAAGTCAACAGTGCTCTAACCGATGAAATAAATAATGATGGCCAAAGGTCAAGCTTTGCTGTTGGCCTGAATGGAACCCTGGAGATACCAGGCGCGTGATTCTGTCAGTCATGACACTGATTAAAAGACCTGGCTTATGGAATACGATACCTTGACGGCACTAAAAGAACAGGGAGCGAGGTGACGCTGACATATCAGCATCCGGATTTTGTTATCAAAGGAATTAGGCATATCACCCGGCCAGACCAAAACCACGGTGTCGGCATAAATTTGGTGTTTCTTCAGGACGAACATCTGGCTACGGCGAACTCCATAGACTTGGATGACATTGATCTATGAAAAAGCCGAAACTCCGAGCTCACTGGGACTGAAACCAAATCCGAAACTAATGAAGACTTATCAACTGTCCCCGCCGCATCAGCTCGGGTATATACTGACCCGTCAGGTCGTTTGCACAATAACGTTGGCTGGAAGTGCAATCCGACGTCGGAAAGTTCTTTCAGAGCAGCCACCCGTTTGAGATCCCTTAGCATCAGGGTCGTTGCGGCCAGGATGTCTCCGAGTCGAGGGGGCCATTCTATGGTAAAGGTTAGCGTAGTGTACTGCGCCAGTCCTTAGCATGTCGAAGATTCACCTTCGTTAGGACTAGCACTTATAATCTTGAGATTATCGTCATCGACTGATGATCGTCGGGTTGACTCATAGCCAAACAACCTGACATATTTCAGGCCACTCTATTCCAAGATCCCGTGATTCTTTGCCAGGATCCATCTTGAATAATGCCAATGCATCTGACGTCTGACGTTGCACGATAAAGTTCCTTTACATCGCAATCTACAGCTGCAGCGAATCAATCTTATACCATTAAATGGCTGATGACGCTCCTTGCGTCTCAATAAAGAACCCTTAGCAGACCCACTCAAAGTGTATTATCTCACCGAGATGCTATATTTGATACGCCGGTAAGTATTTGGTGCGTCACGTCAGTCCGTGTTTGATAACGTGACCATGCGATCTGCAAAGTAAATTGATGCCGAGACTTCCGAATGATAGAGAGCTTTAAGATGATTTCGTCAACGACCTGTAGATGTTACTATGTATAGCTGAGATCATCGACCTGTGTGGAGTAGACCTTTGGCGCTTGCACATGGAGATCGATATTTTGTGGTAGAATACGAGCGTATACATGTAGTTGGGGTGTGAATTAGACCTCTCTATAGTCGACTTTGAACGGTGACCTAGACATACTTGGACATTATTACACCGGAGGTTCCACAACGGCATTCTAGGGTCAAATGGTGTCATGGATTTTCTGGGGCCGGCTAACATCTTGGAATTGTAAATTACCAGCTTACGATGGCGAGAGAGTAGATAGTGCATGTCAACGTGCCGTCATCGTGTTGTAAGATTCTGCGCATTTCTATGCATTTATCGACCGTATAGACACCAGAAACTGGATCTAGAATCTTGCTAAAAGCCTTGTCCGCGCATACATTCTCCGCTGAGAAGGGAGTTGTTTCTGCACTTAAGAGATATTGTTAGATCTTCTATCTAGATACTTGCATGGTCCAAGGCATTTGTTATCGTATTGCGGCACCACCTGCCAAACGCGGATGCCTCCTTATTGTACCATTGCGCTACCCCCCCGCCTGTCAGTTTGATGTTAATTAACTCTAATTAACTATTAGGGACAGACGCCAGGACCTAGGCATGACCGCAACCTTGACCACGTGCAAAATACCAACCGTTCAATCCGTCCGATAGTAGCATATCAACAAGGATTGCACGTTTCTTCGAAGCACGTGCTTAGCGAAGTGCCAAGCGTATGGCGCCGACAAAGGTAACGAATGACGTTATGAGACGACATTATAACCTATGGATAGATGCCCGCAAAAGACTTGGCAGTGTGCTAAACAACTAGGAAGATGACTCGAAAATTCCCGTGTTTAAACAGCTTTCTCCTCACTCAGGAGTATGACCCGCTGTTTCTCCGGGTTCCAATGTTGGTTGGCGGAGAATGGCAGCGACACGCACAGTCACGACGGGGTAAACGTGGACCGAGGTCCTGGATAGACAGTACTTCGGTGTATCCCGGCTCGAGCCAGGGAAATCTAAACCATCTGTCAAAGCGAAACGTTTCCTAGTGTCGGCTCATGTGTCTAGAGGTTGGTAGAATACAGACCTCCTGTTTGGGCTATTTTAATAACACAAGCTTCTTCTCCGTGTGCCATGGGGCGACACTAAGAAATCCTCAACTTGTCACGTGGAGCCTATTTTCTTATCAGCAAGAGCTACGTTGTATACATAGTAGCATCTTCCCACGACCCGCAACAGGACCAAGTCATGAAGATACCTAAACAGGCCCGAGGAACTTGATTCGGTACGGCGTTGCTTGGCATAATTTTAATTGATCTTGGCTCTGCACGACGGATAGCACACCCTGTAGGCCTAGGCTACCCCAACTAGATACAAATACACGACAGCGGTCGGCCCTGTCAACATGACTGGGGACATAACGACCGAGATAACATCGAACAGGGAAATGGCAGGGAACAATCAATCTACCGAGGAATCTCCAAACTTAAATCACTAGACCCTGGCCTGAACCGAGCCAACACAATGGGAGGTCCATATAGATAATCCCTGACTAGCGCTAGTTTGTCGGCAATACCGTCGCTGAAATAATGGCTACCGGCATCCAAGACTAAATGCACGAAAGTGGCACTGGAGTCCCCATCCATCCTGGGTGATTGGCTACGAATCAGACAGAGCCCGGGAGCTTGGCTGCCGACAGTTCCGCTCTTGTGACGGACGTGATTCGACGGATCACAGCCGTCGTGAGCCCAGGCACACGTTCAGCTTGGCATGCTCTGCCATGCAGTGTAGAATGCCTGGTGCGAGAAGTTTATTCATCATCCAGGATGCACCTGGTTGAGGATTGACGATAAACACGCCCAAAGCGCCGAAACATCACCTCCAGTGAATGAGGAAAGCCGATCTAGAATCAACAACCAATGAAGGCAACAACCAAAAGAGCGTGTTTTCCATTTTGGCTAAGCCATACTAGACGTATCGTGAGATGAGATCTGCAGGGGCACACAGTGAATACACTCATCGGGACCAATAAGAGTCCGGGACTTGAACACGTGGGGTGAAACGAAAGAGTTGATGATCACGGCAAAGATTGGATTCAACAACGTCTAGGTACAGGTCTCAGAAAGGTATACGCAAATTCAATATGAACAACATGGGGTATTGGCACGCACTCTTATCATGGAAATTGATTGGCTTTTGCATGCTCCGTAACGTACTTCTCCGTGCAACAATAGATCCGCCAGTGCGCCCGTCCGCCGAGTTGCAGTGAAGATCATCCTCCCAGGGGAGTACTGTCAGATGATGTGGCTCTTGGCGCCGACTGCTCGGGAGTGCAACTCTGTAGTGACACTGAGCGCCGATCCTTAGTGGGTATCAACTCGATGGGGGACCCTTGACTGGCTGCCAAGGCCGCGGAAGACGATGATGGAGAAGAGTTGAATCATGCAGTCTGAGTTGTGTGTGGGTGGAATGAGTGGATGGGAAGGAATATCAGATTCGAGTAGTAAACATGATATGTCCGCGGACTGGGCCGCAGACAGTTAACTAGTGAGAATCACAAATCTGGTAAGAGATTGCACATGTGCATTCATGTCGTTTACAACCCCACAAACCTCAATAAAAGAACAAAAACAGTATAGAGAATCCTTGGTCTATAAGAATAGGTAACACTCGTATTGCCTCTATGATTAGTCAGCGCCGTGATTCTGGCACAAGCGGGTCCGTCTTCGAGTCCGGGTCCGAGTCTAGGTCCGGGTGCCGCTTGTGCCTCCCGTGGACGTTCAAGCCGGCGCGGGGACGGCGGGACATATGGAAGGGCCGACGCAGTAGGATCAAGAATGAGATGTTTGGCTACATACTGTTTCCGGCTTGTATTGAGACTCCAACATTCCCTCACGTACGGCTTGTGTTTTGGTGTATAACATAACTGCATCCATCACTTCATCAAAGCTCAAGTCATGACGTCAGCGCTCATCATGGCAGTGTGTCACATCAGCCCGGTGACGCGACGAATATGCGCACGACGGTTACTTGACATTGACGACATAGCAAGATCGCTCACTCTCTCTCTCACTCACTCACTCACTCACTCACTCACCCACTCATTACCCCCCCAAAACTCCTGACAAGCAAGTCCCTGACTCTTGTTTGATCCCCTTCACCCCATCTTCATCCTCGCCTTCATGCACTCATCCGCCAGACACATCGCAAAGCAGATCGCCACCCACCCAGAGACCAAGTCGATCGCAAAGCAAGTCCAGAGAAACATGGCTTCGGGCACCCCCTCCGAGACGGCCAAGGCGCAGGCCTCCGCCGACGCCAACGCGCCCAGCTTCGAGTCCATCGGCATCAAGAACAACGACATCGTTCAGAAGTCCGGCGTCTCGCTGTCGCAGCAGCAGAAGGTTCTGGTTGGCAGCGTTCTCGATGTATGACCCCTGCCCATCCCCCCCCCCCGCTCGCATGATTGACGGGCTGATCAAAGCTTGCCTTTAGCTCTTCGAGGGTAACCCCACGCTGAAGCACCTGTCACTGTGGTCCAGGAACGCCACTTTCCAGGACAACATCACCGTCGCCGAGGGCTACGACAAGTTCGCCGCCCAGTGGTACGGCCTCCCGGCGCTGTTCAACCCCATCAAGATCCAATCGCACACCGTCACGTCCGCCGGTAACCCGATCGAGCTCGAGCTGAAGAACAGCTACACCGTCAAGGGCGTCAAGACGGAGCAGACCATGGAGAGCGTCGTGCAGATCGAGGTCGGAGACGACGGCAAGATCGTCAAGGTCAACGACAAGTGGAACAACAACCTCCCCGACGGGGCTTTCTCGCAGGTACGTGACTCCGTTCAGGTCTCTTTTCTCACCGCCGCCCGGACGCTCGCCTGGCTCGCCAGTCAGGCGGGTGTCGCCGTGTTCTGCCGTGTTTCGCAGTGGCGGGTGTTTTGGGTAGGCGGTCCCGCATCTGTCATCGGGCGCGCCTCTAACCCATTTCTAGGCATTGCGCAAGTTGAATGCCGTCACCGTGCCGGCCTTTGTCAAGGTCCCCAAGAACGAGGAGGAGGACCAGAAGCTGAAAGCGGAGAGGGAGAAGCAGTAGATCGCGAGCGTGGCATTTTCTACGATGCAGTGTCACCACTGTTTCTAGAAGATGGTCACATTTTAAGTAAACAATAGTGTTGGTAAACCAAGAAGCTACATCCAAGCAAGTTCTTCCAGAGGTGAAACCAGCATATTCTTGTTTTCTAGGGTAGATCCTTTCGCAGCGGAAGCGAGCGAATTCGTGATAACTGAAGATGACTATGAAAATAACGCGCAATAAATGTCAGTCGCCAAAGTCCATCGATGAGGGCTTTACTGTACTTGGACAAAAGCCCAGCCCTAAGGCACTCCCTCGCCTGCAGTGCATTAACTCGAGGAATTGGGTTCTCGAAAGGGTGAGGCCATCGAGAAACCATTGGCCCAAGGGTTATGTATGTAGGTACAGTTGAGTGATTATGTATGCGAGAGCGTGCTAACGAACCACGACTGAATCGTCGTTTCACATCCGGAAGCCTGGTATTGGGCGCACAATGTGGACTTGCAATGGGAACCGCGAAATAGATGTTTGTGAAGAGTTTGAAATGTTTTCAGATTTTAATATGTTTAGCCAAGGGAAATAGACCCTTTCATGCCCCTACATGGGCCTACTACAGCAGACTGGTATCGTTATCGCTAAATCATCAAAACACGTGGTCGTCCAAAACCGTCGTCCTAGCCGTTTGGAAAGACTTGCTGCTCCAAGCCCGATACAATAGGTATAAAAGAAAATATAGAATGTGAATGAATAGATCTCGTAAGACGTTTCCGCAAAAGTGGTATAATAAGACATGTTGTGCAGGAAGGTGATGACGTAAATATCGTACTGCGTTGCCGGTCTCAGGCTCGGCCCCCAGGAGAGCCCTATGCGTGCCAGACGCTCTTTACGGGCCCAGAATTATGGCCGTGGAGGGTCGCGGACCTCGGCCTCCGGGTGCATGGATGGCGCACCGGCGGTGGGGGAGGGGGAGCCGCTTAATAGTGCATACCCTCGCCGGAGCAGTAGGGGACCGGGTATGTGGTGCTGTTGCAGAGGCGGATGACGCCCTTGACCCAGTTGAGGTGGCCGTAGGACTGGCTCGTGTAGGTGTCGGAGACAAAGGGCGTGACTCTGGGGCTGTCGGTGCAGCCGGAGAGCATGTTGCCGGTGACGCGGCGGACGTTGGGCTGGGAGACGACAAGGCCGTAGTTGCTCGGCCCCATGGTGAAACGGACGGTCGTGGTCTCGGTCGTGGTCCAACTGTAGGCGTAGCTGACGCCGAGGTTGATGGAGAGGACCTTCTCGACGAGGGTGACATCGCTGCTGACCTGAACGGTGACGGTGTTTTGGATCGAGTAGCCGCTGGCGACCGAGACGTCGGAGATGCCGCCATACGAGCTCAGGACGGGCGACACGGCAACATCGGCGCCGAGGAAGTTCTCGTCGGTGAGGATCTGGGCCTCGGTGGACTGCTCGCAGTCGCGGCGGGTGATGGTGTCGGGCGCTCTGGGCACGGGGTCGGTGCTGAAGCTTTCGGGGACGGGGGGGAGCGGTGCGCGGCGTTCGATCTCGGCCCACTTGGAGGCCTTCATAACCTTGGTGCTGCCGTCGTCCATGAAGACGAGGACGTCGTCCCAGTTGAGAGCCGCCGGCTCAGGTGTGGGAGCGGCAGTGGCGCCGGCGGCGAGGAGTCCCGCGGCGGCGAGGATGGAGAAACGCATTGCTGAGGCTGGATGTTTCTCCAGATGGTTGTATTAAATTAAAAGGTTGAGGATGTTTTGTTTCAGCGGAAAACCAACGTATTTGAGAAGAACCAAGTGTGTTTGAGGTTGATAGAATGATAATGAGTAAATGGACTAGCCGTTGCTGGTGAGTGAGGGAGCTCTAGCTATGGGAGGTGGGAGATCGTCTCGAGTAATTATAAGCCGGCTGGACAAGAGCATCGAGCGGTGGCCATGAACATGGTCCCCGTGCACAACCTTGATGTTCGCTGGACCAGGGCCGCCCAGAGAGTAATTGCGTGCTCATACGAGTCCACAATCTATCTCACAATTGCTTATCTCGCACGCTTCCCGACTTCTTGGCCGCGGGGCGGCGGCAGGCATACTCAGTACTACTACTACTCCGTAATGCTCCCAGAAGCGCGTGTGGCCTCGCCGACCGACCCGGGTACCGTGTCATTGCGCCTCGTTTCCCCGCGCATTGGAAGCCAGTAGAAATCAAGTTAGGCCAACGTGCGCCATGGCGACCCGGCGCCGGTACGACTTCGTACTGACTCGATCCCGGTGCGATGCTGGTCGGCATGGTCAGGGGTGGGACGATTCAGACGGCAGCCGGTTGGGAGAGTCACAAGATGGGCACCGAAAAGGGTAAAGATCATACCTCCTGCTTATCTTGGATATTAGAGATATTAGGTGACCAGTTAAGCATGGGGATATGCTCATTCTCTGATTCGGCAAACGCGCCAAGGGTAGGTAACCAAGCAGGCTTTCTATAGCCATCCTGCCATCACAGCCTCGGTCCTGTATATCAGGGGACCATACCTATCGCCCTCCCATTTCCATCCCCTTGCCCAGAATCTGCGACGCTCCCATGCCCGAATTACATACGTGGTACACATTTAGCTACCGTCGCCACTCGGCAGACGCCAGCAAGCGCAGTCCCCAAGAATGACATCCGGAAGACGCCGAGATGGCGTCGAGTCTCAATGTTGATACGTCGAGTCTAAGAACGGGTGCGATTAGGAACCCTGCCGGCTCTGTGCCGCCCAGTGGTCCCGTTCGCGCATCCTTCGCACTCACTCAGACGTCACCCTACTCTACTCACTTCAGGCTGGCCTACCTACCCAGGGTAGCTACTCTAGTTGCGGGCCCTGGATGCATGAAGAGCCGGCTGAAGGGGGGAACCTGGCAGATTTAGATGATGTCTGCCGCCAAAGGGGATGACCACATCTAAAATCACCTGCCGTGAGGACACCCCTATACCCACTGGGCCGATCGTCTTCAATAGATAATATAAACCAGAGTCAAATCCACCCGTTTGTCTGCCATGGGGTTCTTCGGCCTTATTTACCTACCGTTTACGCTCTCTTTCACCCTCGGCTTCTGATCTCATCACCGGTAACGATATCTTTCCACTCGTTGACATAATCTCCCCCATCACAGTCACGTCCACACACTGCCCAGCTAGACCATCATCGCCGCCGCCACCGACAAAATGCAGTTCTCCGTCTCCAAGATGGCCGCCGTGTTCCTCTTCGTCTCTTTCGCGTAAGCCTATTGCCTCTCCAACCCCATCTCTCTAGGGAACTGACACCGCCCACCAGTTCCGCCAACCTTCATCAGAGCTGCACATGCCACAACGGCGACAGCTACAACTGGCGCATCACCATCAAGGCCTGCGAGCTCTACGCCTCCAAGAAGTACCAGTGGGGATCAGCTTCCTACGATACCCCCAGCGGACGCGTGAGTAACTGACCCCTTGGTTGGCATACCCGGCCAGACCAGAGAAAATCAGACCTCGCAGTTGCTGACTCATGGCCCTTTCCAGTGCGTGGGAAGCGGTCAAGGTGTTGCCGGCGACCAGTGGGAGGACGCCTGTCGCGAGATCGCAAAGTCGGGCTTCGACTGCGCAGACGGCAGGGGCTATTGCACGGCGGACCAGGATTCCGTCCGCGGCTGGTGCTAAGATAAGCTAAGCCAAGCCTTGCCAAGTGGTAACGGCGTGAACGGCGGATGGGGGGGGGGGATCTCTCCCTCCCCTAAGCCTGACCGGCACTCACCTCTTCCCCCCCCCTTTACCCTCTCCCTAGTCAGGCATGCCTGTTCGTAAGGTTATACCCATGGCTATGCACCCTTGACCCCACCCATGATCCTGGGCCGCTCATCAGATCATGACAAGCCATCCTTGGCACAGAGACCGAGAGGCAGGGGAGACGCTATTAGCGCCGAGTGTCTTATCTCTTCTTAGGGGTCCTGGAATGGCTGAACTTTCTTTCCGCCATACTAGTTTTGCGTATTTGTCAGCGTTGTCGTTAATGTTTCTATCTATACCCAAAGATGCCATACTCATGTAGAAGGGATGGAATATGCATGCATGATACTATCCAACATAATCAATTTACCCATCAAATGTCCCATGTTCTACTCCACTCTATCCGTGCTCTGTCTTCGGATGTGACTGGTCTCCTGTTCCTGCCCTTGGAGTTTCTACCATGAGTGTGAATGTTGACAAATAACCCTGGTGTTCCCAAGCAAGAAGGGATTGTTGGAGTCAACGAGAATCTCACCCAATCTCACCGACTGAGATAACCACCCAAGGCGGTCCCTCTGAGCGGTACATAGGTACACAAAAATATTCTTGAAATAGGCGAAGGGGGGGGGACAGTATCGGTATCACGCGCGATGCTCAACACAACAGACTATTTCTAAAAGAAACACACAATCTCACCAACCCGGGAACAAGCGCGGTAGTGTTCTTCAAGAACCCGGCATGGGGGAGGGGAAGGTCGCCGGCGGGCCGAGCTTGCACTGGTTATCGTAAGGATAAGAGAAGAGATAATGGGGAGGGGCACCGCGACTCGGGCACGTTCCGATGTCGCATCGAGCCTTGGGGTAAGATTTGGTCTAAATTGCAAAGCAAATAAGGTCTTTATGCACACATACCGGGGGGTGAGATATGTGCCAGAAAATAGCGAAGATCGGCAAACGTTGCCGTCTGTGGGTATGTGTGTGTGCGTGTCTCTTGAGTCGTGGACGCTGCCCGATGCCGCATGTCTTGAAGGGAGGTTGGGGCCCGGCCCCGGGGAGGACCTTCGCGAACGGCTCGGGTCCATCTGTGATTGGGTGCCGTTGCTACGGACCCCCCCCTGGCGGATGGATGGCGCAAGCGTGGCTGGGATGGGATACTCCTTGCCGACACTCCGTGGATATGCAGGGAGGGGAGGGCGGGGAGGACATGGTCTCACCGGGCTCACCCCCGGCCTGATCTCCCTCCTTATTCTCCCCTGCCTCGTGCGGTGATGTGGTTGCGGTAGGCAGAGCTTCTCTTCCACCCCGCCTGGAACCCTGTATTCAATGGAGTCTAGGTATTGACATGACGGGCTGAGGGCGGCGCCGCAATACCCACGTGTAGTAAACTTGGCATTAGGGACAATCTTGGCCCTGCCCTGTTTTGCTTACATGTTGGCAATACGTACACATACCCTCGTTACTTGACACATGACATATAGCACCGTCATACGCATATACATACAATCTACCTGTACGCCATCCGGCTCTGAACAAAACAGTTATAAACAGAAGCTTCTTACTCGTATTCAGAGCTTGCCATCTGAACGTGCACTTTGACCTTATCTCCACCGGCTGGCGGGAGAAGGTCACGGGGCTTAGGGTTGCAACTTCAAGTGTAGACACCCCCCCCCCCCCCTTGTAGATCAAGAACGTGCCCACCCACGTCTCCAAGGTGCTAACCGACTCAAGGTCCATGGGCGAGCGCGAACTTGTGATAGTGGCACGCATCTCCGCCAACGCGGAACTGACCAGATCGGTGTCGGTTATCGACAGGCTCGTGATGACGAGTCAGTCAGAAAAGGGAGATAAGCGAAGGGAGAAGGGGGCAGCGCTCGATCGCTGAAGGTTGGCAACGGATAAGACAAATAGGCAGTACGAGCCTCTAATGACAGCTGTAAACACCCAAACCAATCTGACCACGCAAACCCTAACCCCAACCCCAAGTAACCCTACGTGCCTGTATCAAGATGCACAGGTAGTCTGAGGTGGGGTTAGGATACGCATATACTAACAAGATTACTTAGTTCCAGTTATGGTATTCTCGACGCCCCTACTATTAGAGGCTGGTACTGCCTACTTCTTGATTAGGTTAGGCAGTCCCAAACGCCCCCCCCCCCCCCCTGAAGGTGGTATGGCGGAGGCGACCGTGCCGCACGGAGTCGGCGACAACCATGCTGACATGGGCCCTTGAGCAGGGCGGTGAGGGGGGGGGGGGGGGGCGGCCATGCCGCGGGCGTCGAGACATTTGGACAACTGAGAAGTCCTGAATTCGTGAATGGTCTTCCAAAAGGCCCCTTTAGTGCACGATGGTTCATCTGGCACGATGCTTCATCGTCATCGTGTCTCGTCAGCTGCTGGAAACGTGATGGTACCCCATTATAAGAAACACGTGAACTTTCGGCTCCCTTAGGCCTCCTCCGCCAGCCGCCCACACATATACCCATCTTCTTCGAGACAAGAATTGTGAACATGGTCGCCGATGCTGTAAGAGGTCCATGGTCTGAGACTAATTGCGCAGATCTTGGGCTCTGGGTACTTGGAGTGCGGGTGGGATGATTGTTGTGTAAGCAGCGACCCAAGATGTAGGTAGAGGTTGTAAGTGCTGGTGTGTGCATTTCAAGCAAAAATGAAGACAAGTATCATACTAGGGGTAGGGCGTGAGAGCACGCACGTGTTTCCATCAACCTCCCACGCCTTGCCGGTGAGCTGTCCATCGTTTTTTCTCTCCTCATTGTTACCGTGTTCCATCCAGAGAAACCATGTATCGCTAAATCGCGTACCCATCGTGCTCCGCGAACGGAATTTCGGCGAGTTACGCCCTCATACCCGATGCAGCAGCCTATTTAACCAGAGCAGCATATGAGCAGATGAGTTGCCCAGCTCCCGAAGCTTCCAGTCCCTTCTGCTGGGGCAATGCGACGAGGACCGAGGCCAGCCACTGGTCTCTGGAAGGGGATCAACAACTGACATTCCGCCGAGTATGTCCTCGTTCAGTCTATACTGTCCCGGATATGCGGCTTGTTGGCTACACCGGCCCAGCGACAACGTGTTGCCGCTGGCCCCCACTCAGTTCACCACCCGAAAGCTTGTTCGATGTTCGCCAGCCAAAGGGCCCACGTGGCTTGCCCGGCCCGCGGACACCGAATCGTTCGCAAAGGCCGCAGCGCCGTGATGCACGGCGCCGTTGTAAGGTCTTTACACGTATCACAGTGCCTGGTGCCGGGCCAGATGATCTGGTAAGCGTGAAAGCTAGAATACGAGCCGTCTAGGGAGGGGTTACGGCGTCTAGAGGCGTATTGGCCAAGAATAGAGTTAATGACGAACCAGAGACTGTCAGTTGCAATAGTGAGCCATTGTAAAGTGGTAGTCAGCTTGTATGGCAGAACTGTGCCGGAAGGTTTCATAATAAAGAAATGATAGATGACAAGAAATGGCACCTCAAAATAGAATCCGGCATACCACCATGACAGTCCTCGCCGTACACGTCATCTACCTACTTGCGATAACGGATCTGTGCTTGTACCACGTGTAGGATCTCAGGGTAATCTCTTAGAAATACAATTATAATGGCAAGACAATGCAGGCTGGGGCATCCCACCAATCGTTGTTTGACATTAATGTCGTCTCCGCCTTCTCGACCATGGTTGGACCCCTGACTGACAATCTCCACCACTCTTTTGTCTTTCCAATGCGTCTTTGCTATACTATCAGCCGATATAGCACCATTGGAAATTGCCATCACCAGAGTGTCAACTCCGCGGGGCAACACGAGGTCATCCAAGCACTCGGATTTATCCATCGAGTGGCCAACCGCCGCCGACGAATGTCACCATGTCATATCTTGGTGGATACACTGCGCCTATTCTCTCCACCGAGTTCAAGCAAGCATGGAAATCACGCTGTCGGCAAGCGCGGAACATGCAAGATTGTGTCGGATTGTACCAAGGGCAGACATCGCCCGCTCTCCAAAGTGCGGTTGAAACACTAGCAATGGATGCTAGGTACTCAATGATACCTTCTCCACCATCTAGAGTAGGTGCTATGGTCTGCACCGATGGATTATCAGCTTTTGTATCAGAATTAAAGAATGATCCTATGCGATCTTACCCCTGTAAGGACTGATGCCCAGCTCATCGGCGACGTTGACGTAGCCTTCGTGGGTGATTTTGCCTCCCCCCTTGATCCTCTTCACCATATCGTCGTCGCCTTGCCAGATGCTCCGGCAGAACGGGCAAGTCACGTCACCTGCGCCGGAACCACGACGTTTTGTTTTTGTAGCCGCCCACGTCTCGAAGCAGTCCTTGTGGATGTTCTGACCGCATGCTGCGCGACACCACACAATGGTTTCGTCGCTCCCGGTCTCGAACTCTGAGAAGCAGATGGGGCAATCGCCCTCTACGGGTTTGCGGTTCTTGTCTTGAGACCCCTCTGACGAGGCATCAATGGGCGGGGCGTTTGCAAATATCTCCCTGAGTTCACTGGGAACAAGGGCCAGTTGGTACGTGAGCTCGTACTTGGCGCGTAGGACTCGCGACATGACCTGGAAGACGTTAGTCCTGGTGCGGACAGGCGACTGCGACGGCAACATACATAGAGCCAATGCTTGCATTGGTTGCCCTTTAGCCAGTGTGGACAGGTGCAAGACGGCTTCTGACAGATATGAACTGTATAAATATTGCCGGTAGAGCCCGTCAGCTGGACCTCCTCCTCGGGGATATCTGCAGTGCCGCAACGATATCGGTCAAGGATGTAAAACCTCTGGGTTAAGGCACGACGATAGATTTCACGAAAGCTTTCGGGTGCTGTAGGTCGGTATCGACGCAGTCGCCTCTCTTTTTTGGCGGTAGCAACAGCAGTCTTTGGCGTTTTTGCCTTGTCAGTGCTGTCTGATTGCGATATATCGTCCGCGAGACTGGCTTTTCTTTTCTTTGCCTTGTCAGTGCTGTCTGGTGGCGATATGTCGTCCGTGAGGCTGGCTTTTCTTTTCCGGCTCGACGAGGCCACCGGCTTCCTCACGGCCGTCGAGGCTGCTCCTGTGGTGGATCTTTGCAACCTCTGACGGCGTCCGGACACGGAGCGGGTCGCTCTGTTGCGAGCGCGGGTACCCACCATTGCGAAGGAGTGTCTTTGTGGCGTCGATGATGTATCAAGAGATGTAGACGTGATGAATGAGATGCGAGGCAGGTAATTCCAATGAGGATGTCGATGGCCAAGAGCGGGGTTGTGGTGTTTATGACTTTGTTTCAGAAACCTTAAGTCGTGAAGTGAAGTATCCGTACAGGTAGGCAAGAACGGCTGGCTCAGCGGGCTTTCCACCACAATCCACATCGTCAATGACGGAAGCCACCACACACGCCACACCAGCCCAGCAACTGGAAGTCATGTGATTTGCAAGTGCCCGACGCTCACGTGATCAGAATGGCTAGTCATGCTGACTAACACACCCGACATAGATATCCATACGGCATCAGTATGGGGAGAGCTGGTGCAGGATGAGCTTGACAACTCTTACATCCAACCATACCAACTGCTTGAACCACCTAACGCCCTATTGGCATGAGGGTATTTCAACCTTATTTCACAAAGAATAGAGCAAGCACTTTGTACCTTGTACAGTAACTCCATAAGTCAGTGAGGACTTTTCTATTACTTTAAATTGTCAAGACAACTAATAAATCCATTTTAAACAGCAAATCGTCCGATGTATAAGTCTCTAAGCTCATCTGTAATGCCAAAGATATCGATATTGAGACAATATCGGAGATAGAGAGTAGTAGTTGTATCAAGACTATATTCAGAAGCGTGTAGTGTATTGAGAAAATCAACTCTTAGAGAAGTCCGTCAAGGACTTCTTTGACTTGACTACATCAGATGACAAACATGCCGGGAATAGTCAGTCTGCCCTCGCTACAATCGATACAGTATTCTCTCCAAGGGGTCGCGTATTTGCATATGGCCAACTCGCCCGGACAGAGATCACGCCAAATGAGATCCAACCCATTCATGGACACGACGTCATATGGCATCGCGTGTTCTCCGTCGGTACCAATGATTTCGATGATAACTAGGCTACACCAACCGCCCGTGAAACAATCATTTGCTAATCAATCATCATACGTAAAGAATTTGGTGCGAAAAGGGCTTGTTGTGGCTCGACAATTCATAGACAGGAATACCGCCGTAGAAGTATCAGTGTCAGGCGCCTGGAGATTGGAATAATAGTCATAACTGATACTCGTATACCCCTGCTATTGCCTCCTTTACTCCGTACGATTGCATCCTTTGATAATCAGCCACACACATGAGACTGCGGGCCCATCTCGAGGTGTTTGCCAGTAATGACACGTGGGCTACACCGTCATAATGGCAGCCTTGCCGAGGGTCTCTGAGCAGAGGGTTCCGAATCGCCTGGCCTCGAAACAGTGCGCCGCAGCCCGGATTCTGTTGGCAGTGACGTTGTCGTAGCTGGCACCATTGCCGATGCTCGGTGTATTGCCTGAATCCACCGTGTTGGCTGACACGCCAGGTCCATTGGCCTGCGCAGCTCCGGACTTGCCATGGTGGCCAGAGGCCTGGCTTAATATTCCGCACCATATGGCAGCCCAGACCTGTAACTGAAACCCTTCTACTGTCCTGGAGGCTGTCGAAGTTTCTAGCTCAGATGCTCAATGGTCTTGTTGGAACTTGTCCTAATTAGTATCCGGCTTTGGCATCCGGCAGCAGCGGCGGCGGCTTCTCATCCGCCAACACCGCCCGCATTACGCCCTTTACAACTCCGAAATCACTCAGTGATGATAATAAACCGATCGCTCTACTCTGTATCTTGTCGCTCCCGGATATTGGCATCGAGTAGTCCTTGGCCAATCATTCGGTGCATACACGGCAGTTGAATCTCAAGGCCATGCAATACAATAGGGGTCCCTAATATCATCAAATGTGAGATCATCTAATGGCATGTCACCCAGGGGTCACTACGCCCGACTATCAGCTAATCCAGATGACTCACATGACGCCGCGGTCGTGGACAATACAAAATGCCCTTTGCGCTGTGCCTCGACCAGTTGAAGCAGCTACGACGCAAATCCGTGACGGCGTCCCACAAGTGCTACGGTAGCCCACTACACCCAACGACCAACGAAGTATACCGTGTAAGAAACATGACAGGGATCCGTGCCCCTCTGTTACATCTTCTCACCCTTGCGTGGCCACTCCGCGAAGCTGCGTACCTGTGGTCCAACGGGCTTGGCCGTGGAACCTTCGGCGGCATCGTGGCTGACTGCTATCGCAAAGATCTGCCAATCGAAAAGAGGCTCACCCAGAAATCCTTTTCGCGTATGAGATGAACGGAGAACCGCTTAACAAGGGGCGGGGAGGCCCCGTCAGAGTGGCGAGGTTGCGAAGAGTGAGAGATAACTGATGCTATTTTTGTAGCAAAGTTTGAAATGACCCAGATGCTACGGTCGTGCAGTCTTGTGATGTTGGTTTTCCACCACAAATCACTCTGTATAAGTCAACACCCTCTTACCCTCACTTTATGCACCCCCAATATGATAGGCCAGAGGTGCTGCGTATCGGGCCATACGTATCGTAAAATCCGTGTATTACCGCGTGAACTGGGCTAGAGCGAGGGGTTATAAGGTACTTTACGAGAAGTTCCTGAGTGTTAGGCTGTCATTTAGTCTCTGTTCCGGTGTTGATACTTAACCAGAAAGATAATGAGTGTGCAGCCAGTTTCGATTTGACCAACCATTTTGTGGTTGCAACTGCCAGGTCATCATTGCATAAAAGAAACAAATGAGCAGTCTCCATTTGGTTTACTGATTGCACCAAGCAATGGAACGACTACTTTGCCACCGAGGAATGACATGATATACCCCGCGCGTGCTAGTTAGTCTGTCTGCCTTGTGCCCGACGTTGCCTTATGGCGATGGTCAGTATAATGGTTCGCCATCTCAATCCACATGGTGTTGAGCTAGATCTCAATAAAGTCGGACCCATCAAATCTGCACGGTACTTTCTCGTGAGTGGTTGGCACTTCATACCCCTTGTCAAGTTGTCTCATCGCCATTGGGTCATTGACAAATCTCACCATGCAGCTCATCGTTGGCAGCTCCGTTGGGCTTGGGCAAATCCGCAGTGGGCGTCGCACAATTCATAAAGCTCACCCCCATGTCAATGCGCGTGGCCGCCGCCATGTCTGGCACTCATCGCCCTTCCCCGCCTCCCGACTCTCGTCAAACTGTTCTGTGCCGCCTTGCGCCGCTATTAACGACCGTTGCCGATAGTCGAACGGACTCGAGCCCCGCTGCGATGCCTGTTGTGCCGCCGACCCCAGAGGAATGGGAAAAACATCGGAAGCTCATTGCGGACCTGTACACGCGCCGGACCCTCAAGGTCATCAGGGCGCACCTCAAAGATATTCATGGGTTCAATGCGACGTGAGCACTCTACGGGCCAGTGTTGATGTTGTAATTGAGGCTGACGGGACAGTAGAGAGCGTATGTACAAGGGCCGTTTGAAAACCTGGGGCATCGAGAAGAATAAACGGCATAAGACGAGGCCACTGAAAGACAGAGCAGGCTCTTCCGAAGAGACTTTACAACCAAAGCTCCCTGCCACGATCTCCAGTGACAACAATTGTAGCGAGACTCATGGCCGAACCTCTCCGGGTTTCCCATCCGCATTAACACCACCATTTGCATCGCCCTACCCCATTGACACCGGGCTAGATTCCCGCTCTACGACCTACGTCGGTACCCCGGGACCGGCATCGTTCCCACCAACCCCAGTATCGACCGTGGGATACAGATCACCTACCGTCTACGAGCCGGAGGACAAAAATGTGGACCCAGACGTACTGTGTATCGAGATTGTCAACATTGCAGTCTCGATACTGTCCAGACTGGTCCAAGAAAGGCCTGTCGGCACGGGTTTCGAAGATTGCACACCGACGGAGGATCATGTCAAGATATATCGAACACTACAGGAGGACCTCAAGCACGAAAGCTATATTAGAGGCTGCCTTGTAAACAACCCATCTACGGCGCCTACTTCCTCCTTGGGAGAGCGCGTGAAAGACCTACTGAAATCATACCACCCGGCAATGCCGATCGGCCTGTTGAGCGCCGTCAACCAGTCTATGGATCACAATACCATTCAAGAACTGGTATTTTGCCTTGGCAACTCTTCCGCCGTTGTTCTCCCACGCAACGACGACTTTATCCACCTAGCGCAAAGGCTCCGTCGGCTGCTGGTCACTACAAGCTTCGAAAAGTTCCAACAATTCATAGAGCGAATCTGCCAAAGCCTCGAGTCAAAGGTCGTCAAAGTGCTCGGGAGAAAAAGCCTGGTGACCATCTACCTGATGTTCCTGCTCAATGCCAAGAAGGCGAAGCGCGATCGCAGGCCGGACAAGAAAATCCTGAACATGGCTTTGGAGAGCATGGCCCATGTTCAACATTCATATCAAGACGACCCGAAGCTGATTATGCAGTTCAGCCTCTTCATCACCGGTTACTGCACCCTTGCCGGGCCGGAGGGGAAGTTCGACCGAGGCGTCCTCGCTATGGCCGAAGCCTGCTGCGACCGGGCGGAAAAGTATCTCCTCAAACTGGAATCGACCGATGGGAGCAAACAAGCCGACATCAGGGACGCCAAGTCCCACTATGGGAAAAGCTGCTCGTTGTTGGCAGACTGTCGCTATGCCCAAGGCAACGAGTCGTACGCAGAGGACCGCGAAGAGCTTCACGAATCATCGCGTAGGTTGCTGATGCTGGCAATCGCGTACCATGTCGATTGCTCACTGGGAACCATGGCACAGTTTGAGCGACACAAGCAGAAATTGGAGCGGTGGTGTCATGATTCAAATGACACTTTACGGTTGCAACGGCTAAAGTTCATCGAGGAGCTCATCATAGAGAACAAGCAACGGCCGAAGGACGGGCCTCTGGTTTCAAGGCTGCCGGTACTGCCGTTGATCGAGGACACAACAGAGAACGCCTCGCTTTGGTGATGGGGGGGGAGGGGGGGGAGCCTTTTGAACCGGCGTTTGGTAGCCATCAAACAACATCATAAGAGCTGCCATGGTGAACAGGCTGCGATGCGCCCGGCGGAGAACTTGCAAAGGCTCCTGGCCAGAACAGCCGAAGATTCTCAAAGTTTCATGGCCCACTGATTCAACCAAGCTGTCTAAGCTGGCAGCCCACAGATCTGCGGTGAGTGAAATATTCTGTACGTCATACCCACTCATTCTGCAATCTACCCCATCTTGGTGTGTGTGGAGGAGTCCGGCGAGCCCATCAAGACACGCCGATAGCAGCCGCACGAAACCTTCCGCATCACGGCACAGATCTCGGACACCTCCGTGGACCGTGTCGATCTGAACGCAACCTCGCCCATCCATCCAAGAACACTGGATCCTGCATCGGATTTTCGGTTTCGATTTGCCAGAGTCTGTTCATCTCTTGCCACCTTTTCCTTGTTAAACTGTTTGGTCTGACATCCTTCAGGGTCTTCTCCACGCAGAAGAGTGGCGCTGTTATATCATCTTCTTCGGCCGTGATGTAATATCAGGGTGACATCATACACACCTCAACTGGGCTCGCCATGGGGTTCTGGCCATCGACATGAGATACTTAAGCGTACAGTAATTGCCGGATGAGAATGGATCTCTAGATCAGTCGATACAGTTCGACGAACAACATAAGAGATACCCATTCATCCAACAAGATCTTCAAAGTCTTTCAAGAAAAACTTGCCGACATTTCCTCCCCGGTACAAACGATCAAAATGTCTACCACCCGCAACATCGATTCCATCAACCCGAAGCAGGGCGAGTTCCACCCCAGTGTCCCCCGCTCTGAGCCTCTCACCACCAAGGGCGTAAGTTTCGGTTCTACTAGTGTCACCCTCAATCACAACCTCTAACGATAAAGCAGCACAAGCCGGGCGTCAAGGTCGGCAACGACGCCTACCCCGAGTTCCATGCCGAGACCTACCCCGCCGGCACCGCGCCAAAGGAGAACAGCTTTCAGCCCGATCTTAAGCAAGCCACCCCCGGCCAGGCCCTGAACCCCAACGCCGAGACCTACACTTCACCCAACGACTTCCCCGGCGCCACCAGCGCGGACGTCAACACCGGCCTCGGCAAGCCCATGCAGGGTCAGACTAGCAACGAGGTGCACGGCGCCCACCCTCGCCACCGAAAGAAGGAGAGCGCAGGACTCGAGGGCGTTGGTGCGTCCGCCCACGACAGCTTCAAGGAGCGCCACCTGGACCTGGGTTACGACCCGGCCTCCCGCAGGAACGTCTCGGACATTCCCGGTGCGGAAGAGCGGTATCCCGCCACCGCTGAAGAGGTTGCCAGCGAGAGGCACTGAGGCTTTTTATGAATCATGTATCATTATTATAACGTCACGAAAAGCATGTCTTTGGCGCCAAACGGTTGGCATGGAATGGTTTAATCCGAATCGAAGAGTCTAACGCTATTTGATATATGTAATCCGAAAGAAATCTTGCAGGACTCTGGTCCTACAATACCGAGTTTTGAATGAGGGTGAAGAGAGCATGACGATCCAATGCGATCCGAAATATCAACTATTCGACGGCCAAAAGTGGTCTTCAAACACTACAATTCTTAGACTTGCTGGAATGCCGGGAAGAGGGCGGTGGAAGGAATCGTCTTCTTCAGAGCAAGAATGATCTTATCCTCGCTCGAGTCGCCGGTCGCGTTCCACTTGAGAGAGTAGATGCCGTCGACAGAGCTGGGCGTAGCGTACCACATAGACTCCATGTTGCCCGATCCGCCCGAGACAAAGATGACGTTGCCGTAGGTAAGGAAACCGCTGGTCCGGCGGCCGGAAGCAGTCGAGTTGGAGCCGAGGAAAGCAACGCTGTGGTCAGAGGCGTCGTCGGTAGGAATTGAGAAGGTAAGGTTGGACCAGTTGGGGGCGGCGGTGTAGTTGAGAGCCGTCGTATTCGGAGCCCCTTGCCAAGCATTGTTGGTAGGAGTGACTTGGCCCAGTTAGCTTCATCCATCTTGATAAGGAGGACAGTGGACTGTACATGTTACGGGAGCTGCGTTGGGGTCATTGAACTTGGCATAATCGCCTAAGAAAGCATCACCTGTGCACAGTAAAGTTAGCTCAGGACTCATACTCCAGGGTAGCGAAACCCGGGCCGGGGGTGTTGGTCGTAACAAGATACAGCTTGTCTTGGAAAGAAAAGGAGCAAAGCTTTTGAAGAACTCGCATGATTCCCCAGTTACAGGGTGGGAAGACCAGCCTCGCTACTTACTTCCTGCAGAGAATAGGGGAAGGCCACCGATTCCCTCGCCGTAGGCGTAGATTTGGAACGGGGCGCTGTTAGAGGCAGAAGCGGCTCGCGGCAGGTTTCCCGCAGGAACCGCAGCTGCGGCAGCTGCAAGCGACAACAAGAGAGCTCCAATGTGCTGCATTATGATATGTGATGGCCGTTGGGACGGGATTGCGGCTGTGGCTAAAAGAACGGATGAAACTCTGAAAGAACCAAAAGTGAATGGTGAGATGAAAGAGAGTAATCAGTGAGTGGGAGCTGGCGCGGTGAGAGATCCCAAGGCTGAAGCAGAAACAAAGAGGGACTTGGTTAAATAAATGAAATGTTACATATGATGATGACACAGTGCTGGTCTTCCACGCAAGCCGCATCGACGGTAGCATTGGTTTCTTGCTCGTACGCGTCCACAGAGAGCAACGCACTGATTCATTCCCGAACTGCGTCCGGATTGCAACTCTACGGGTAAACAACGTAATCGGAAACCAACCAGTCACATGGCATAACAATGAGGCTCAGACTCCACCCTCCCACATTCCCGATGTCCCACGAGTCAGAAACAGTCCGTTGTTTCCTGGCCGGGACGGGCCCTTCCAAAGGGGCGCTTCTTTTAAGCACGATTTCCTCCGACATGAAGGAGTGACAGGGCCCTTGATGGGGCGCGGCTGAAAACCTAATCAATAATTCGGATATTATAGATCTGGTCCCCCTACCGCTAGTTCCCGATATAGTTAGTTTCTACATGGGACTACGTAAGGGGACGGGTTTCGTAGGTGTTTATTACGTGTGCTGAGGTACGTGGACAAGGTGGGAATACTAACTCTTAGTCTAGTCGGAAAGCGCACGTGTACGGTAAAGGGGCCACAAGATTAACCTCCACTGCAAGGACTAGGGATCTCTAGTTGAAGAACTGTGGTGATCAAACTCGGGCAGCTCTCGGCCGAAATAGGCAAAGTCAGGAGGTAAAAATGTTTGACATGACTGCCACAAACATTAAACTTCGGACAACTTTATCTACGAGCCATCTACTTTTACTGCTATGCGCTCGTAAGCGCAACGCGAAAAGAGTACTTGAGACCATCGTAACACACAGTATCAAATAAGGATTGTTGCAGCAATGCGATTACGACATATAGACCCTTGTGGTATTTGTACGAAGGAGCCCGTCAATGATTTAACAAAACGCCAAGACGTAACATTGGGGCTTCCTAGGCGGAGTACTTTCTACAGGCCATGTCATCTAGTCAGTTGGAAGATAGGGGTAACTGCGTACAACTTGGTACTGATATAGCTGGCAGGGCGATTTCGCTTCTTTTGTCTTACTATCATGGGCAACAGCTATTGACGGCTCCTCCGCACATACATGGTAGAAGTCGGCGAGACTGGCTATCGGGGGCTTGACTACATCCATCTACCGGCCGATCTGGCTAGTATGCAACTGATCCGCTGGAATGCTACTGTAGAGCCACGTCTCGTAGTGAACCTTTACCCCTAGCATTCGTCTTGCATTGCGACGTAGCATTAGCTGCTTGCGAACTAGTCTAGCTGAGGTTAAAGACACGCGTACTTCGCACCCCTTTCTACTCAACATGGCTACTCATGCCATCGGGACTTAACCCCTCCGTACCAGATGAAACTCCACAGTATCTCCATTGCCGCGGGACGATACCACCTCTTTCCGGTGAATCGCGCGATGAAATGGAGATCTGCAATCTACCGGGGGCCAATGCGGGATGTGGACGAGTACCGGATGTCACGTACTCGATTCAAGCCGCTTCGACCGGGGTCGACCTATTCGAAAGAGGAAGCACGTTGCAAGGATGTCAACGGAAACGTTGTAAACAGATGAGGTTCTCGTGAGATGCCCGTAAAGTCGAGTTCACCTGCGGGATACTTAAGTTCCCGTCATCTGCCGCTCACTTGGTACTATTATCAGCCACTCACTCACCAACACAGGTTGACTGCGCTTACATTCGCTATACCCTCATTCTTTACGCATCAACTCGTCAAACAGTCATTCTTTTTTACCTTGCTTTTGGCACGCAAACTAGATAATGTATCCATCTAATATCCTCTTGGCCGGCGCCCTCGCGGGCTCCCTGGCCTCTGCCTTGCCTTCCTTCAGCTCCCTCCCCGAGCCAAACTTGTTCCCTCGTTCTGCTTGCAGCGGCAACACTGCCAGCACGAGAAGCGAGTGGTGCGACTACTCCGTCGACACTGACTACAGCAACGTGGTGCCCGACACCGGCGTTACTCGCGAATACTGGCTGGAGCTGACGGACGTCACCGTTTCGCCTGATGGAGTTCCTCGCTCTGCAATGGCCGTGAACGGCTCCATCCCGGGGCCTACCCTCTTTGCCGACTGGGGCGACACCGTCAAGGTCCACGTCATCAACTCTCTTACAACCTCCAAGAACGGCACCAGCATTCACTTCCACGGTATCCGTCAAAACTACACCAACCAGAACGACGGCGTCTGCTCCATCACTCAGTGCCCCACTGCTCCCGGTGACTCCATCACCTACACCTGGCGTGCGACCCAGTACGGTTCGACTTGGTACCACTCCCACTTTGCCCTCCAGGCGTGGCAGGGTATCTTTGGCGGCATCGTCATCAACGGCCCGGCCACGGCCAACTACGATGAAGATCTCGGCATGCTCTTCCTGAACGACTGGGATCACCAGACGGTCGATGAGCTCTACTACAGCGCCCAGGCCGACGGTCCCCCAACTTTGGACAACGGTCTCATCAACGGCACCAACGTCTATGGCGATGACGGTTCCTCCTCCCAGACCGGTCACCGTTACAACGTGACGTGGACCGCTGGCACATCCTACCGCATGAGACTCGTCAACGCCGCCGTCGACACGCACTGGAAGTTCTCAATCGACAACCACACCATGACGGTCATCGCTGCCGACTTGATTCCCATCACCCCCTTCACCACCACAGTCCTCAACTTGGGCATGGGGCAGCGCTACGACATCATCGTCACCGCGGACCAGGCCAGCACCGCCGACAGCTTCTGGATGCGTGCCATCCCCCAGGCCGCTTGTTCCGACAACGACAGCACCGACAACATCAAGGGCATCGTCTCGTACACGGGCACAATCACCACCCCCACCACTACTGGCTACTCCTACACTGACGGCTGCGACGACGAGACGGACAACCTCGTGCCCCATGTCGCCAAGAGCGTCTCCGGCGCCGACACGACCAACCTCCAGGTTGCTAGCGTGCAGAGCAACTCGGCCGGTCTCTTCAGGTGGACCCTCAACAGCACCAGCATGGTAGTCGACTGGGGGTACCCCACGCTCGAGTCCGTCATGGGTGGTGTTACCAGCTGGGAGAACAACGACGCCGTCGTCGAGCTCACCGAGGCCAACCAGTGGGTCTACTTCATCATCCAGACCACTCTCCCCGTCCCTCACCCCATCCACCTTCACGGCCACGACTTCTTCGTCCTCGCCCAGGGCACTGGCACTTTCTCGGACTCGGTCGCGCTCAACACCGCCAACCCTGCCCGCAGGGACACGGCCATGCTGCCCTCCTCCGGATACATCGTCATGGCGTGGGAGACCGACAACCCTGGCGCGTGGCTCATGCACTGCCACATTGGCTGGCACACGTCCGAGGGCTTCTCGATGCAGTTCGTCGAGCGCTACAGCGAGATTGCGGCCATCACCGACAACTCCACTCTGACCAACACTTGCAGCACTTGGAACGCTTTCCAGGAGAAGTACAGCATCGAGCAGGACGACTCTGGCATTTGAGTCGCACGTTTTCAGCTCTCAGAGCGGGTAGACCAAAGATTGGACTGGCGCGATTTTCTTCAATGTTAATGGTTCATACACTGCATAGCTCTTTTTATTTCATTTGTTCTTTTACCGTCTAGACAGGCAGACTCTGATCGGGGAGGGAGGGAGATGTAAGACGTAAAAGGGAGGGTATACTGCCTGTATTACTAGATTAGGGGATCTAAGCGGAAATTTGATAATGAATTCTTACTTAATCTTTCTTACCCTTGTTCAACAATGCTGTCATTTTCATACCAAGGGTTGCCATTTCGGGAGCAATTGCCGATTGCCTTACCGCTACCACGCCGCAGCTAAGCTGGTGTCAAACTCAGTCACACGATCTGCTGGAAGACACCGAGAACAAAGAACATCAGAAATAGGCGTCGAATTAGTGTTGTGTCGTAAACTTTGATTGGGATGATAGACTGGCATGTCAGGAACCATAAGTCCCAGACACGGACAGTCAACCCCAATGTTTGTTGGTCAACTTTGTCCTTCCGGGTTATGTACCTTGACTCGGTTTCACTTTGAGTTTGTTGTTGAGAAGATTCATAGACTGTCCTTTGTTATACGAGAACTTCTAATTACTGACTTGCCATGAGTAAACCAGTCGTGGAAGCAAATTGGTCGTCATTATCAGACTTGACACAAGATGCACGCACTCCACTCTTACCTATTTCTTGTGAACATCCAGGGTTTACGCCAAGTCCTCCAAGTATCACTCCAGGTTTGGGTGACAATATATACAATGAGATAGCTGGTCATGAATTCGGTATTAGTTCCGGTCCGCAAGACCCGTCATCACCACACTGAGCCCCTGAACGATCTGCATGCGTCGTCATGAAAGCGGAAACTTGTTTTCCTCTTTTCTGTTTAAACTGCTTTGGAAGTCGTGGTTTGAGCCCTGTTTACATCGGAAAGGCTGGTAAACCTGGACTCTCGACCTCGACCTGACATGATGCTCGCCGTCGTGTAGATATTGTTAGCCATCCTGAGTGATACGGATGTTGTACTTTGTCTGTAAATGTCTGACGATGACCTTGAAACACAAGGTATTGAATGTCTCACGGCGCGCGAAGATGCCAAGTGGACCACTCAAAAGCCGTATCCGTCACGACGATCAGCATACTGTCTACGCGTCCCAATACCCCCCTTCCGGTCCTGCGGCTGGCAGTACCATTCAGAGCTCCAGCCCGGCCGCTGAAAACGTGGCAGCTTGTCAGCAGCTATGCGAGGCTGATGGCAGCTTTCAGAGCTTCGTTTTCAGATCAGATCCATCGTGAACCACTTCTCGGTGCCAGCTATACGATGTCCCTGCTTCACAGACCCCGGCAGCCCAGAGTCAACCGCATGGTGCGAAAAGGGCTGCTTGGTTGTCGCCGGGCCCATGGAGCGCGGCCAGGATGTCCGTCCCCCTTTCCTGCGACCATGCACATGGCGACTTGTAAAGTTTTCTACGAAACATCGGCTCTCTGCTCACACTAGAACATGATCAACAGAAAATGGCTTGCCGAAAGGGGCGAAATGCGCTGGAAATTGGGTCCATGTGGAAATGGGAACGCGGGTCTGTTGTCTCAAGCCAGGCCCCGCCGCCGGCCGGCCGGCTCGGCCATCTCGGTTCCAATAGCAGTCAAACGGGGAAGCGCACATTCTAGCCGCCTTGATTCCAACTGCGCGAAGAAACAAGAACTTGGGCCAAGCCGAAAATGTGTGGGGAGATTGCTCTTAAGAAAGCATAGCTAAGGTCTTTCAACACGATTCACCAGATGGAGAACTTTGAGGGGCTGCAGTACTGGGTAGACCCCAGTCGGTGATGTCGCCATCGGTTTTAAACATGTCGTGATCATTATCAACCAATCAGACCAAGACAAGACGTCCTTGATCCTCCATCGCAATCCGCCCGGCAGTTGTAGCCTGCAACGGCAGCTGAGCGATCATAGGCATGAGGCGCTGGGGAATGTCATCATGGATTGATGATGCCATACGGGCCCGGGAAAACGGCACTCGAAAGTGCTACCTATCAATCTATCCAGGGAGGTGATTAAACATTAGAGTTATCAAGGAGCCCCTAGCAGAGTAAGCCTAGTCAAGCATTCTGTTCGCCATTATCGCCCTACATTATCTTACGAGGGCCTTTCTCTTAGGGATCGTTGAAAAGCCGTGCGCAGCCACAGGCTTTCTTTCCACGACACTGCCGGTCTCAAAACTCGACTTCAGGTGAAAACTAGACCGCTCCGTCAGCCGAGCGATACCGAACGTTCTTCCAACCTTCCAGCAAGAAAAGAACGGGGGAACCAAGCGGGGGAATCAAGAACATCACAAACGCGCCTTACGATGAGCGCGACCACGGCCCCCCCGCCTGAGAAGGCGCTGGACGCGCCCGCGAACGACACGAGTGGCGCGGACAGTGCTTCTGAAATCCAAGTCGGGGACGAGGGCGTCAACACGAAAGCGTTGCTGAGAAAGATGGACGCCAAGCTTCTCCCAGCCGTAGGAATCCTGGTGAGTAATATCCCCGACGCGTCGTGTTGCTTTGTGGCGTGCACTAAGAAGAGACCACACAAGTATTTGCTTTCGTTTCTTGACAGATCCAACGGTGAGTCTTTGAGCGAGTCCGCAAGATGACCATGCGCAAGGTTCTGACACCATCGCAGTGGGCAACGCCAGAATCGAAGGGCTCACCGACGATTTGCACATGAGTAAGTGGCAGATGGTTGAACAATTGGGCATGTGTTCGGGTCATCTAACGAACAATAGCTGGCAACCAGTACCTCACTGGGTTGACTTTGTATTTCATCGGTTACGTCCTATTTGAAGTGAGTTATCGGTGCCTTCTTTTGGAATTCATGTTCTTATACGCTGACCCCCCCGTTTAGATCCCATGCAATATCATCCTCAAGAGAACAACGCCGAGATTCTGGCTTCCGTCGCTAACAATTGCCTGGGGAATTGTTGCCACGCTCATGGGCATCGTGACGAACATGGCCGGATTCTTTGTTGCTCGCTTCTTCCTCGGCGTCACGGAGAGTGGGCTCTTCCCTGGTGTTGTGTACTACTTCTCCATGTGGTACAAGCGCCGTGAGAGACAATACCGCATCTCACTCTTCTTCAGTGCTGCGTCTCTTGCCGGGGCTTTTGGCGGTATCCTAGCATGGGTGACTGATTCCCACGTAAGCCATTTTGCTATGAGAATGCGTGCTAATTAGTCTCAGGGTATTGGTCACATGCGAGTTGTTTGGGATAACGGCTGGCGTTGGATATTTATATTGGTTCTGGAATCCCCTCCTCATGCATCCGAGGACGAGTGCTAACTATTGATAGGAGGGTATCGCAACTGTGGTCATCGCGACCGGCGCTTACTGGTTCATTCAGAACTACCCCGACACTGCCAAGTTCTTATCAGAAAAAGAGCGTCGCTTCATCCGAGCCCGGCTTGCCGCTGATAGCGATGCGACTCACAATGAGAAGTTCACTTGGGGAAACGTCATGGAAGCGATCAAGGACCCCAAGTGCTGGTTGTACGGCCTTGCTTTCCACACCATGAGCTTACCGCTTTACACGTTCTCCCTCTTCATCGTATGTGTTCCATGATGAATCTAGAAGCTACAGTGAGCATAGTGCTGATCGAGCCTAGCCCACCATCATCAAGAATCTTGGCTATACCGCCGCCGTGGCGCAACTTCTGACCATCCCGCCGTACGCCGTGGCCTTCGTCACGACCCTGGGTGTCGCTATATATTCTGAGCGCACGGGTCGGCGCGCGTTTTTCATCATGGGCTCGTCCGCCTTCGCCGCCGTCGGCTACATCATCCTCCTCGCCAACGGCGATCCGACCGGGAAGCCCGGCGTCTCCTATCTCGGCACCTTTTTCGCGGCGGGGGGGATCTACCCAGCCACCGCCCTGGTCCTCTCGTGGCCGGCCATCAACGTTTCCGGCCAGACCAAGCGGGCCGTCGGCAACGCCATGCAGATTACCATTGGGAACTTGGGCGCTGTTCTCGGGACGCAGCTCTACCGTTCCAATGATGGGCCGAGATACTTCGTCGGGCACTCCTTTGCGCTGGGATACCTCCTTGCCAATGTTGTTGTCTGCGGTATCTTGTACGTCGTGCTCAAGCGCGAGAACACGAGGAGGGAGGCCATCGCCCCGGAGGTCCAGGCGATCGGCGACTTGACGGATTGGCCTGGAGACAAAGACCCCAGGTGGAGATTCCAATACTAGAGACAGCATAACTTCTTGAATGACAGGACTGATGGTAGATTCGAGAGGAAGGGGTTGAATTCTCGCGGAAGGTTTACGAGACATGATGATCGATTGTCTCTGTAGCTAAGAACATGCGTTGACAACAGTTAGATGTAGTCATATCTGATAGAGCTCGTTCCAGACATCAAATCCCAGTCATTGAAAGTCCCAAGGGCCTTTATGGGAAACACATCGTCGAAATGACACGACACATTTCAAAACGGTGCTCAAGCTGAAAGACCCGCAGGCCACCGAATAATAGACTTTTGATGATATTGACTCATCGTCATATATCCTCAATCTGCAAAACAAACCATGTGTCATGGCTCGGAACTGTTTACGCTGTTGAAAGGCGATATTTTGTCGAGGAGGGTATTTGATAGCCAGGTAAGGCAGAGAACCAACAGAAGATGCCCATCGGTCAAAGTTGAGAGCATACAGACAGGCAACGAAAGTCAACCTTGGAGGGCATCGGATGTCTGAGGATCATGGGTCGATGTTCCCAGGGAGGCTGTAATCGTCTTTCCAGCAGGTCCACGGTATGCTGAGTCTGTGGTGGCAGTTGTACCATTTCGGTTCGTCTTGCGGGTCGTAATCCCCGAGGGGCTTCCAATAAGGAGGGTCGAAACAGCGATTTCGGTAACTGGGTTTGACCCTTTCCGGAGCGTTAGAGTCCATGCCACTAAAGATATCACATAACGACAGAGTAATAATGGCTCACTTGTATCTCCAGTTCCAGTATGTATGCACACCGCCCCGGTCAGGTGGGCACATGATCTCTTTTGTCATTCCATCCAAGCACTCTTCGACATCGATTTCACGCGTCTCACCAGAACCAATCATCTGAAGTAACGGTTAGTGCGTGCTCGTCAAACTCCAAATGTAGCATTATAAGTAATGCTCATGCTGGCAACGGTCTCGGGCTGGAAGAATGACACCACAAGAGAATGGTGTAAAGGAGGCATATTTGGGGTGTAGTGACTACCTTTAGTTCAAAACTCCAAGACACATCGATTTTGTCCGTCACACAAACTCTCTGGACTTCCAGCCTTTCAAAGTTGCCGCTTAACTGGCGGCATACATCGCGAAGGTCGAGAATGCTTTGGTTTCTTCTGTAAGATCCCCGCCTTCCGTTCGTGTAGCATAACCCAAAGGTAATGGAGAAGTGGAAAGTGATGGCTAGTAAGATGTAGCTGGCGTGCATCCTGCCGAGAGAGGGGTTGGATGCTGCGGCTTGCAAGTGACTTGGTATGATTATCTGGTAATCTCAAATGGCTCTATGGCACCAAGGCGGGTATAGTGATAATTTAAGTGCTGTCCAGACCCTCATGATACTGACGATAACCGTTTTAAGGCGGTTCCCTTATTGCAAAGCCTTCTCTTGTATGTCAAAAGGGATTAGCAACGCCGGAATTCATTGCTCCTTGTGACAAAAGAAATGTGAGACCAACCAGCAAGGGAAGATATGTGTTCTAAATGGTAAATGGTAGAGTCGCTGCCCTCGAACGATCTTGGCAAGGGAAAAGTAGCTGGCAAAGGCATTAGTACTCCTGGTGGGGGGGGGGGGGATCTCTTAGAGATCGGACGCCCGTGTGCATGCAAGCAAGGGCAGGCAAGGGGTAATCGGAGGTGACGCCTACAGGCTCAACGGATAATACATTCTCCTGTGACACATGCAGTAGCCAACAGCAAACTTGTTCTTTGATATAGGACCCCTAGGGCTGATGCTCTCAACGTGATTTGTTGTAATCAATTGCCCGATGAATCGCTATCCAGCTTGAGCCACCGAGGGTTATTTTTCATTCAAGGACATTTATTCAAAGACACTTCTTGAACTCGAAGCACAAACAACAAATACATAAGCTTTCTGAGCTGAAAGGCTTCCCAGAGTTAGGGCCTGATCGGCAAAACCGATATCAGGGTGATATCGCCCGTACTCCGATATAAAAGTACATAGGGTTAGGGTTAACGAGAGTTTAATGCAAGGTCGAAGGTTAATTTGGCGAATGTACTGCCAGGACCCCTGCGACAGCTGTCGGCAGCTGTGTCTCACTAACACCACTACTACCAGCGCCCACCCACTGTTGCCAGCGCCTGGCTGCCAGCACCTTTCTACTATTGCCCACTGTCGCTAGTAATAGTGGGCAACAGTAGGTAGCCGCTAGTAACAGTAGGTGGGCGCTGGTAATAGTGGGTAGGCGCTAGTAACAGTGGCTAGTAGTAGTAAGCAACAGTAGGTAATCTGCTATATTAGTCCTTTTCTAAAGTTTAACCTAAGTCTAGAGCCTAATAATAATTTATATAGAGAAAGCAGGGGATTTAGTAGATTTCTAGTAAAAAAGGTCACAGTACGTAGCCTATTCTAATACAATTAGGGTTCTGTAATGTAGAACTAAAATCATCATGTACCCTCCTGTTTTTAGCCTAGTGCGGCATAATTTGAGTTTTTTGTTTTTTGGTACGTGTGGCTGGTGCTTAGTCTGTGATATCGGTCCTTATTCGAAGTGTCAAATGATATCGGCGGTGCTGATCAGGCCCTAAGTTAGTCTTCAAAACGAGAAAACCCAGCTCCAGGTCTTCGAAGAACGTTGCGGAAATAGTAACAAGAAACTACGCAACTTGTTGCCGAAAATATAATGCTCATTGCGATCCCCAGCAATCCAATGCAGATTCTCATATCCATTTGCACAAGTCAAGGCTGATTGGAAGACTCAAGTACCATAGCTCTTATGACATCCAACCTCATAACGAGAGCCGGAAGAAATGGTCGTGCCTCACTCTCTGTATCTAGTTCACGCAACTAAAGGACTTTCGTCTTAGTCTTTGACGTTTTCCTCATAGCTTTAGTTTTCTATGTTCTCCTTATTGTATTTCGCTCTGCCACAAATTGTGTTTATGCGTGGCCGATCTCTGTGTGGCTCTCCTGAAATCAGCAGCGTCTCAACCAGCCTATCCCGCGTATGACGGCCACATGTCTGACATTCCTTTGGTGAAGAACAGCTACACTAGATTGCCCTGTCGTCCTCATCGAAAGTCGGGTGCAAGGTTGGTATGGACCTGGTCACCCAAGTAAGACAATACCATGTGGCATGTACCTGGCCCCTCCACAAAGACCAATACCAACAACCGGGGTTGAACAATACGAAGGACAATCCATAAATGTGATCATTTTAGTCTTGGCACAACAAAGGAATACATTCGCCACTTGATCACCATCCCCTACACTCTCCGTTGGCCTCGGAAGACCCCCCTTCCAACAGATTTGTTATCGTTTTGTAAGTACATATACCTAGTTCAAACATCCGTTGCAATCAGGCGACGATCGGAAGCCTTGCCATCAAGATCAGGGCGGTGCACTCACAAGCCCAATACACACATGCCACTGTCGCCTTCAACGTCGCGTGCACTCACCTGGGTAATTACTTGTATTTGGAATTGTGGCTGTGATCCTTCGTTTCGGTGCTCCACCTGCGTTACAGACACCAAGTGCCTCGAAGCCTGAAAGTCGATGTCTAGGGCTCAAGCTTCCATTCACGCTACAACATTTCTTGGCGATAATAATGCATTGCAGCTTCTCAGAAGAGATCTGCGTGCCTTGGCGAGCGTAACTCAACAAGATTTACTGTCCTTGAACATTCCTAGCTTTTGCCGCCGGGTTCTAGACGACCTGTGGAGTAAAGACTTGAGCTCAATTGCAGGGAACCGATGGCCTATACTGGGTCGAACCGTGTTGTCTTGGACAACCTCGTTTAATCAAACGCGTTTTCTGTGAAGGATTCGACGGAACGCTACAGGCGAAGTCGATAGATCCTTTGCCAAGTCTTCGTGTAGCCGGCTATATTGATTTTCTGACCTCAAGTCCGGTTTGGCGAAAGTTCATGCTGTTGAGTGAGTGGCAGTCGAATGGATGGATTAATCTAGGCCCGTGACTCAATATCTATGTGGCGATGCCTCCACGCACTATCGTGACATGGAAAGCATGTTCAGTAAATTCTCCGAGTGGAGCGGCTGGCCTCTACCTATGGGAACCGGGTAATTGAGCTGACATTGGAGTGGCACCTGGTCAAAGTCCCCAGCTTTCTCCATCGGTCTCGGGAGTTGGAGTGACAACCTTTGGTAGCAGCATGGGTTGGTGTTCATTTGCCTAGCGGGGTTTGATTGGTGCAGAAACAGTTTGCCATCTGAGATGGCCACGCAAACTACACGAACTTCCTGCGCCCAGCTTTGAATTTGGAAAGACTCTTCGGGGATCACGCGTCCGTTGTTCTTCTAGAGCGGACTATACGAGGCGTTCGTTTAGGCTTCGCGACCGCCATTCGTGCAATTCGCAAACCTCATTTGCGCAATCAACAAGTCACCGGAGCAATCTAACCTACAAGGCACGGAAGAGCCTCCATGGAACCATGGATCAGCTCTATAAAGACCATCGTCGTCTTCTATATGAAGTCGCCCGAGGAGTCGGATAGCGTCGAGCCCTTGTCAACTCATCATTGTACCCTCCGAGCCAATCCACCGCAATGAGACTTTTTCAGTCCAACACCGACCTTCTGTCGGCTGGCATCGCGCTCCTCGCTTCGGCGGGAGCTGCCGTGGCGCAATGCAGCCTTCCCTCGACGTACCGCTGGTCATCCAGCGGCGTACTGGCCACTCCGAAGTCTGGATGGGTCTCGCTCAAGGATTTCACAACAGTTCCGTATAACGGCCAGCACCTCGTCTATGGCACCACCCACAACTTCGGGGACTCCTGGGGTTCGATGAACTTTGGTCTCGTCTCCAGCTTCTCTCAACTGGGCTCGGTCGCCCAGAACACCATGAGCTTCGGGGCCGTTGCGCCGTCGCTCTTCTACTTCGCCCCAAAGAGCATCTGGGTGCTCGCCTACCAGTGGGGAGGGAATGGTGCGTTCTCGTACCGGACGTCCACGAACCCCGCCAGTGTCAGTAGCTGGGGAGGAGTGCAACCGCTGTTTACCGGCACCATCTCCGGATCCGGCACGGGTCCCATCGATCAGGCACTCATCGGTGACAGCACTAACATGTACCTGTTCTTCTGCGGCGATAACGGCAAGATTTACCGCGCGAGCATGCCTATTGGCAACTTCCCAGGCAACTTTGGCTCAGCATCGACAATCATTCTGAGCGACACCACGGACAACCTCTTCGAGGCAGTTCAGGTGTACACTCTGCAGGGCCAGCAAAGATACCTCATGATCGTCGAGGCCATCGGTTCCCAAGGACGCTACTTCCGTTCGTTTACGGCCACCAGCCTTGGCGGTGCCTGGACTGTCCAGGCTGGCAGCGAGAGCAACCCCTTTGCCGGCAAGGCCAACAGCGGAGCCACCTGGACCAACGATATCAGCCACGGCGAGCTGGTCCGCGTCAGCGCCGACCAGACCATGACCATTGATCCTTGCAAGCTCCAGCTCCTCTACCAGGGACGCTCGCCCTCCTCGGATGGAGTCGATTATGGTCTTCTGCCTTACCGCCCCGGCCTGCTTACTCTTACCAACCCTACTGGAGGCTCTCCTCCCAACACCCCGCCCTCCACTTCGCCTACCACACCTCCCCCTAGCAGCGGCACCGTTCCTCAGTTTGGACAGTGTGGCGGCCAGGGCTGGACCGGCGGAACAGTTTGCCAGGTATTTGAGCAGCCTCCTCACGACACACTGACTAGTTGCTAACGTATAAACAGAGCCCCTACAAGTGTACTGTCTCTAACCAGTGGTACTCCCAGTGTATTTAAATGGTAATTAGAACACAAGATACGCGTAGCGAAGTGTCGTTCAGTGGAGGAACATCGTTGTGGTAAATAGGTGTAACAGTTTACGTGGTTATGCATGTCAAGGTTGGATCAGTGCAATCCTCAATCTATCCAAATTGACCACGAAATCATACGAGAATTCATACAAACTTTTCGGCCATGAAGTGTTTGCATGTGCTATTTCCTCTCGATCAGTTTAAATCGAGATACATAAGTCCATAGTTGATCTCGTGGGAGAGGGCGCCGATGGTCACTCAACGGGCCAGGACGGGATGCTCCCACTGAGCATTGCAATACACTGTGTGCGCTCACCACCTGCATCCAGTTTGCTGACTATGGAGGAAACGTTCTTTCTCGTTGCAGACCTACGGCTACATGGAAACTTCTTGCTGACCGGGGTGCGTTTGGTCTTCCTGTTGCAGCAAGCAAGGGGTTACGCTGAATGTTTGCAGCACTCTGTTCAAAGAACAGACCTTGAGTTAGTCGTAGTCTTTGAATTTCACACCTTGCATGTCGGTTTCTGGCGGGAAGCAATCCTTTCAGCAAGAGAATGCAAATGAATGCTTCCTCCCTACCAAAGCCGACCTGTAGCAGCCAAAGATGCAAGTGGCGTGCCGTCCTTGTGCCGTTGGAATTGCGAACGAACTAGGCTGCCCCATCTTGGCAATGCAGTTCTATGAAGCTCATATTGGGCTAAACAGAAGGACCTCTCTTCTCCTCCTCCGTAGGTTGCTCACTAGGGGTCTGTTGCAAACGCCTTCCCACTTGGTCATGGTTTGCATCCCATTCGGCCAGTTCCGCAACAGGCACCTTGACGAGCTTGTGGCTCTGTGCGCCATCCGCCAGCTCCAAGACTTGCTGACGGATTTCGTATCCCTTTAGCTTGGGAACAGCATAAATCCAGAGCCAATAGTAGACGCCGCAACCCACCAGGCTAGTACTTGACGTTAGTTTTATGCGTTCGTCTAGGATAGAGGTGTCCCCGAATTATCAGCACTCACATCCCAATGCCAGCGACGACGTACGTCGCGTACCAGAAGCTGACGTCGCCGGCAAACGGACCGCCGTTGGGCGGGTACCATGGCATGACAAGGAGGTAGACATCCTTGGCGATGTTGAAGATCACGATAACGTTCCACGCTTTGAACGCGGGCGGGGGGAGGTTGAAACGTTTGCGCCGCCATCGGACTACGTACAGGCCGACCGACATCATGAGCCCGAAGAAGGCAGACGGATACACCTGCAAATCAGCGACTGGGTCATGGTCAGGGCATGGAGAATAACGATTTGTCAACGGAGTGACTGACTAAAGTTGAAGGCATCACCAGCGGGCGGTGCGACGACCATGATGATAGTCAACAGCCACTTAACAAGATAAGGGCCCAGAGTTGTACCGAACGGCCTCGTAGAAGCCCAGAATCCGGGATATGGCAGAACTCCCTGTCTGTAGAGTCTCGTCAGTAACTGACACTGGGCGTTGACCTCGAAGCACTCTTACCTCCCACACTCCCGAAGCATGCGAGAAGATCCAATCAGGACGGTCAGGAGATTGCCGAAAGAGCTCAAGGCAATTAAGAAGTTGAGACCCCTGACGGCTCTGCCGGGGCCGAACACATTTCCGAAGAACAAGCTTGCAGCAATTTGGTTGGCTGCGGCGAGATCTGCCTTTGGAACTGAGGTGTGACTGTCAGTACCCGAGTCTTGGCCAGTGGGATTTCAGTCACATCAGCTTACCAGCGGCGAAGTAGGCTATGTTGGCCAACAGGTAGAGCACAGTAACAATTGGCAATGCGATCCACCCGTTCTTTCTAATTTGACGGACTGGATCCTGAGGAGCTAGTCAGCATAACCCCAGGTTTGGGGTCTGTGGTTCGGCATGCCTTCACTTCATTCACCACCCTGAAAGCGTTCTCGTATCCGGCGTACGAGAAGATGATTCTGTAAAGTGCGTTCGTCAGGCCGTACGCCGTTGCCTCTCCTTCGAACGGGTCTTTCAAATTGGCATGCGGCTCGGGAACGCCGGTGTGTCCTCCGAGCACCACCAGACCCGTGATCGAGATGAAGACCAATGTAGCGAGTTTAACAACGCCGACTCCATTCGAAAATCGGTAGGCGAAGGTGTTATCGAGGGCGACAACTGGCGAGTTGGTGTTAGCATTGCTGATGTTGGGGCCACATCCAAAATGGAAGTCTTAACATAGAGTGGCGACCGTGAACCCAGCCACAGCAACACCTTTAAGCTGCCACGGGCTAGGTTCTACGCCTGCTACCCTGAAAAGGTATTGCGAGAGTACTGTGATATCTCAGCGTTCGCCATAAGCTCTCTTTCCTGAATGGAAGGGGTTACCGATTGCATTGCCACTGCTGAATGATAGAGCAACCGACTGAAAAGCAAATGCAGTTGGGAACAGCCATTTCGGTCGCGGCCAAGCCTGCTCGAGGTAGACGGCTTCGGATCCAGACCGGTTGGGGAAGTACGAAGCGAACTCGAGGTACACCGAAAACGAGGCGATCGAGGTCAGGAAACCGAGAGCCCAGTAGATCATGCTTAGACCCACGGATCCTGTGCCCTTGAGGATGGACGAGGCTTCGCGCCCGACCTCGTCAGCGACGTACACTGCGAAACTTGGGGGTACGGCTCACGAGTGGAGTATACTCCGGTGCCAATCATCATGCCAATGTTCAGAAAGATGATCGTGATCGGACTAACGCCGTATCCAAGAGGAGAGCTTGTTTCGACCGGTGCCCTGGAGGCTTCCTGGTAGGAGGGGCCGGAGTTGTTGCCGCCCTTCTCGACGACATAGTGAAGATTCCCATCCGTAACATCAGGCCCGCATGCCGAAGTGTCGTCGGGATCGGCATCGTGAGTCCGGCGACTGAAAGGCCGCCTCGGGGACGACATGGTGAGAAGCTGAGCTTGGCCAGCGCAAGCTGATGTAAATAGAGCAAAAGAAGCAAAAAGACGGAGCCCCAGTGATTTTATTCTCATCCGCCAAGTATTTTGAAACCTGCTCGGACTCCGGGCTCGTGGAACAAGATGGGACGGCTGGACCATATAAGCAAGCTCATGCCGTGGCATGGGGATCCCGTCGTATCTGATCCCAAGCCCACCTGACAAACCGCCTCTTCACACGTGTCTAACATCATTGGACCAATTTTCATCTGTCAGTAAGCATCAGAAAAACATCCCACGGGGTTGTTTGTCTCGTCCTAACTCGGATTTCCGACGCCACAAGCCCATCAGTTAGTGAGGGATTGCCATCTTGCAGTCTAGAGTTCCAATAATACAACTGAGAAGGTACGGCGATAAGACGAGTTGAGTGTAACGCAGCGCCTGCGCAGGATGATAAGTTGGGCAGCTGTCGGTATAAATGCCATTCTCGCTGCGCGCAAGTCATTTATTTGACGGAAGAAGTCGGTTGAACACCTGGTGCGGTCATTGTTGGTTGCCGATGCGAACCCGCATTTGTGACCGCACACTTGGCGGATTCCACGAGTCGGAGCAACTTATACGGCAATGTATTACCCAAGACCGAGCGGCAAGAATTCAGGGATTGTAGCATCAGTGGGAGTTCCTTTACATAGGACGGAACCTGAGAAGCCTGCAGCTGATCGCGGTGCGTCGACAAAGGGGACCACGAACTCGTCCTTCATTCCTCTCGCTTGCAGCTCTTCGTGCGGACTCGGGACTGTTCTCCAGAGGAGGGCTATGGAGGTTTCCTTCTCTTTTCCAAAGTGGTAGCTGACACCCTCTGCAATTGTGCATTCGACAGCTCTGCCCCCTTGTCTTGACGTGGTCTTTTACCATTTCCCACGTCGACGTCACTCAACCCCTATCAAGATGTCATTGGGTTGACCGGATATTTGGTGCAATCAACAGTACGATAGTCAGGCCAGGGCCTGAGCTCCGAGGATTGATGTACGGTTTGGTCACTCAGACATCACAATAAAACCGTCTTCACGGTAAAACAAGTCGTGAACTATGCGATTGCGAATCAAGTTTCTATTTGCAGCACAACATCGATGGAGGGTTTGGGCACGGCATAATTTAAAGCAGAACTCTTCCCTTGTATGTTCTAGCCAGACGCGCTGTCTCAACAGGTATTCAAATGAAGGGCCAGGTTTCAAAAGGATGTTTGATGAATGATCCGTCCATCAGGAAGCCGAGCTGGCACTCTCCTCAGGCTTGGACTTCCCTTGGCTTGCGCTGCGGATTTGGGGCTCAAGGGGGAACACAGACTTCTCCGGGGTCACGCCGGAGTAGACGCGATCCCAGCGGTCTCTCAGCGCCTCGGGGGTCTCCCAAGCATTCTGGGGGTCTCGAAGCCAGAGCCGGATCAGATGACGCCTTGTACAAACAGTCAGCACTGGGTCATTCTTTGCCTGTTGTCATCTGCCACTTACTGCTTCTCGTCAGAGTCCACGAACCCCCCGCGGGCATGGAAGATGCTCAAGTTGTTGGCGTACTGGATGTCGCCCTTGTGGAAGTCCAGGGAGGCGGCGGACTTCTCGGCGAGGAAGTGGAGGGCATCCAGGGCCTCGGCCTGCGCCTCCGTGATGGGCGGGATGTCGGCCGACCGCGGCAGGCCCCAGTATCCGGTGAAGATTCGTCGAGCGTATTGAATGATGAGACGCTCGGGCTTGCCGTCAGCTGCTGGTTGATGGTGCAAGAGGGGTCTGCTGCTGTACGCCCTGCCGCCTCTCCCGAACCTAACCCAGGCTTTAGCCAGATGCCTAAGATGCACATCAGACGAAAAATAAAAAGGACTTACTCATCGGCGTCCCACGGCTCGGCCAAGGTGCGGATCAGATCCGGCCTGGTCCTTGCCAGCTCGTTGTAGACGTGCCAGCTGCTGGACAGATAACTCTGGCCGCCTTCGGCGGCTTCGCCGAGGGCGAAGAGCGCAACCACATCGCCCGCGTCCGTGTGGAAGACCTGCTTCTCCGTGGTGTACGCCGGCGCCCCGATCCGATGGGCGTCGACGACTTTCGTGAGGTCCTTGATGTGTGCGAGCACCACGTCTGCCGGCTGGCCTTGGAACTGGGTGTCCTGTCGACCGCGGACCGGCGCCACGTGGGACGAGACTCCAGCATAGATGATTATGTTCTCCTCAAGGCTGTACTTGTCGACGGGCACCCCGCGGACGACCTTGAACCCATGGCCGTTGTGGATCTCGTCCGAGATCGCGCGGAGGGTCTTAGTGAGTTTGGGCAAAGGGAAAGTCTCTTGGCTAATCTCGCCCAGTGGCTTCTTTAAAGCTGTTGTTTCAAGTGAGTGACTCGTTGGTTTTGTAACGCGAATGTAAAGTTCACCTACACTTGAAGTGGTTGAGTGCCTCGTCCATCTCTTTTCGATCGTCCTCCGTAAGAACGTAGTTCCAGTCATAGTGCTCAGCCAACGTCTTGCCGTCCCAGACCAGCTTCGACTTGAGTCTCTGGGGGAAGCCTTCTGGCAATGTCTTTTCGAGTCTCTCCTGCTCTTGGCGACGTTTTATCCGAGCCAAGTAGTTCTCGTAATTAGGGGTGTATGCGATGTCTGGTTGGCCCGGGGGACCAGGAAGTGATAGTGGTTGAACTGCAGCGGCGGCCATAGTATGTAATTACTCGGGTTGTGGTCTTTGAAATATGACTTTTATCAATTTCCCACATTGTTTGACATTTTCCACGGGAATTTAAGCGCTTTTATCACTGGCCGGGTCAGATGAGAAGCGGGCATGAGACGACGCCCTAAGCTTCAATCCAACATCCGTAGGTGGAGAGCATCCAATGATGAAATGGCCCGGAAGCCTATCCCGTGGTGAGGGCCTTGTATGAACGTCATGGCATTCGTCAGGTGAGCCAATGAGAAGTATCAGGTTGGGAACTGCATTTGTCAGACAACCTCCTATCTGCACCGAGCACGCGAACCAAGCAGCTGTTCCTGAGCTCTCAATGGCTGCCATAGGGACTTTTGTCATTCGGCCCTGAGAAGGCGTCATGCCGCGTTGTGTTGCGACTTTGCGGGGAGGGCTGAAACATGATTCGGCGGCGTCATCCTCCCGCTGATGTCGCAATCGGAAGCCAATCTTCTTGCCTGCAACGGGGGATCATCTGCGGCGCACAGTCGAAGTTTATTCACAAGATGTGGCTTGGGAGCAGGGCCAAGCTCCGAGATGATGGTCCGGCCGGCTGAAGAGGCAAACCAGGCCCTGGTCGTAATCCGCCTAGCCCGGATCCGCATATATCGCAACGGAGAACCGACGTCCCCACCCGGACCGGACCGGGTTATTCGGTCGCGACCCACCAAGCCGGCCGAGTGGGGTTGATTCCGGAGCGGAGTGAGCTCACGCTCCGGATGTTAATGTGTCGCTGCTTTTCTTGGTAGTCGTCAGACATTGCCGTCCATCAGGTCCATCTTCCAGACTCGCTTTCAGCATGGAGGCAGTGAAAAAACGGAACGAGAAACCCCAAGAGAATGCAATCCGCCAAACTGTGGGATCTCCAGCCCCCGATCCACGAATCCATCTACCGTGTGGGATGACGTACAAAAAAGCCGACTTCTATCGCCCGGCTGCGACTAAAATAACTGTTGGGGGGGTGACCTTTGGTCCTCAATGGATGATGCGTTAGGAGCGGGAATTGTTGCCTCGCCTCTTTGATTCGCCAAAGCATGGCGTCGTTCCGACGGAGACCCGTGCCACAACCCAACCCAACCCCCTCCGTCCATCGTTATTTGGGTTTCGCAAGCATCACTTTGCTCAGATGGTAGGATCGTGCCATGGATAATGCAGGCTTCTCCAGCCGAGTCTTGGTCCTCGTCCGACCTTTCGTCGACCCCGCACCCCCCCCTCCAGCCCCTGTACTTTTCCTCCGCATCCGAGCCGGCTTCTGCAAACCAGATAAGACTCCCTTGGCAGTGCGACTCGCTTGGCATACGACGAGACGATGATGATTAACTGGCGGTTAACGTGCCAAAGTAGGAAGGTGCTGACGGGAGAGGGGGTGGGGAAGATTTGACAATGGGCAAATATAATGTGCCTCACCATTGCAGACTGAACGTTATTGAGGTTGCTCTCCTCCATGTGGCCACTCCTGTTTGTCAAGCTCTTTCGCGGACGCGTCAAGATGAAGTCTCGGCTGTCCATCCTCGCCCTCGCCGGCACGCTCCTCCGCTCCTCGGTGGCCCAGTTCCCCCCGCGGCCCGAAGGAGTCACGGTGCTGCAATCCAAGTTCGGTCAAGGCATCGAGATCAGCTACAAAGAGGTACGTGTTTTCTGTCTGAAAGCCACAAGCGGGCGCAAAGAGTCTAAAACATAAAATAAAAATAAAGCCCGGTCTCTGTGAGGAGACCAAGGGCGTCAAGTCCTACGCCGGGTACATCAAGCTCCCGCCCGGAACCCTCGAAGGCGTCGGCCAGGAGCAGGACTATGAGATCAACACCTTCTTCTGGTTCTTCGAGGCCAAAGAAGATGCCCAGAACGCTCCCCTGTCCATCTGGATGAACGGCGGGCCGGGTAGTTCGTCGATGCCCGGCATCTTCAACGAGAACGGCCCGTGCTACATCAACAAAGACTCCAACTCGACCCGGCCGAGCGAGTGGTCTTGGAACAACAAAGGTAAGGAAAGGGGGTAGGGGGGCTGGGGGGCTTTTGACCCGTGATCCTCCGCGCCGCTCACACTTTTCCCAGTCAACATGCTGTACATCGACCAGCCGGTCCAAGTTGGTTTCTCGTACGACTCGCTGCGCAACGTCACCGTCGACCTCTTCAGCGGCACCCAGACGCTCAACGCGTCCAGCCCCGTCCCGCCGCAGAACGTGACCTTCAGGACGGGGACCCTGCCCAGCGGGAACAGAAACACCACGAGCTGGGGGAGCCGCAACGCCGCCATCGCGCTGTGGCACTTCTCCCAGGTCTGGTTCCAGGAGTTCCCCGGCTACCACCCCAACGACAGCCGCATCAGCATCGCGACGCAGTCGTACGGCGGCCGGTACGGCCCCGCGTTCGCCGCCTACTTCCAGGAGCAGAACGAGAAGATCAGGAACGGCACCTGGAACGGCACCGCGGGCGAGAAGTACGTCCTGAAGCTCGACACCCTCCTCATCGTCAACGGGTGCGTCGACCGCCAGGTCCAGTGGCCGTCGTACCCGCGCATGGCCTTCAACAACACGTACGGCATCTCGACGGTCAACGAGACGGTGTACCGGGGCATGGTCGACGCGTACGGCAGGGAGGGCGGGTGCCGCGACCAGATCGACGACTGCCGCAAGGTCTCGGCGGCCTACGACCGGGACAACACGGGCGTCAACGCCACGGTGAACGGCATCTGCCAGGCGGCCGAGTCGTACTGCACGCGGTACGTCCGCGACCCGTACCTCGAATTCTCCGGCCGCGACTACTACGACGTCACCCAGGTCGACCCGACGCCGTTCCCGCCCCCGTTCACGTCGGGCTACCTCAACCGGCCGCACGTGCAGTCCGCGCTCGGCGTGCCGCTGAACTGGACGGGCAGCTCGGGCGCGTCGGCGGCCGCCTTCCGCGGCATCGGGGACTACCCGCGCCCCGGCTGGCTCGAGGACCTGGCCCACCTGCTGCACAGCGGCGTCAAGGTCACCCTCATGTACGGCGACCGCGACTTCGCGTGCAACTGGATGGGCGGCGAGGACGTCGCGCTCGCGATCCCCTGGGCCGACCAGAAGAGCTTCGCCGCCGCGGGCTACGCGGCCCTCCAGACGAACTGCACCTACGAGGGCGGCCGGGTCCGGCAGTACGGGAACCTGTCCTACGTCCGCGTGTACCAGGCCGGGCACGCCGTGCCGGCCTACCAGCCCGAGTCGGCGTACCGCATCTTCAACCGCGCCCTGTCCAACAGGGACATCGCCACCGGCAGCGTCGACACGGCGCAGAACCAGACGTACGCCACGCAGGGGCCCGCCGACACGTCCGCCATCAAGAGCGAGGTGCCGCCGCAGTACGACGACTTTTGCTACGTGCTCGACACGAGCACCTGCAGCCCGGAGCAGGTCGCGGCGCTCCGCGCGGGGACCGCCGTCATCGAGAACTACATCATGATCGAGCCCGCGAGCGAGCGGGGCGCTGCCCCGGGAATCAAGGCGAGGGACATGTAAGTCACACCCCGCCGTGCGGAGAGTAAGTGCTCGATGCGTATGCTGACTACCTTGCTGCAGCCTCGACGAAGCATAGAGACTTGGTTGTTGAGAAGAGCTGTTGGAGGGTAAGAGGACATGGGTTGATTGCCGAGTCTTGTAGATTCGTGCAGGGCCAGCCGCGCGCTCGTAGAGTAGGGCGTCTATCTGAGGTGGGTATGTGGTGTGAGTTGCAAAGGTCCTCGGAAAACAAAGCATTCCACCACCGCATCTCTATAGAGATATGTGCCCGGAGGTTCACCAATACCAATCGCATCAACTCTTCCTATATACTCTGATGCTCTTCCTGAATAGTCCGCTCAGTCAAATGGTCAATCAGGCAATCGTAGTCGGGCCATTGCATTTACCAAGCCGTTAGACGAGGTAAGGGCTTAGTATATGGCCTTTTACTGCCCGCTCGGAGCATCATCTTCACAGCATCCGCCTCCAGTCACCATCTAACGTGTCTAAATTGACCATCCAGCCGGTCGAGCGCCGCGAAGCGGTTGAAGCATGACCCGTCGTCGGGGGAAGCCCTCTCGGCTTGCGGTCCCCGTCGGCCTGTTTTCCGAGCAACGGCAGCAATACTTACTTGTAGAACATCGGCCAGCCCTCACCACGGTTGTTAAAACTCCCTTGGGCTTGTTTCCCCGAGATGTAACGGAAGGCACCTTTTGGTAAACAGACGTCATGCCTCGGGTCGGCGTCGGCGTCCTTCGCGATCTCGGCGGACGGCGCCCAGGCCTCGGTGGAACATCCGCCAGACGTTTTACTCCTCAACACTACCGGAGTCGACAAGCAATCGAACAGTCTGTCAAGGCATTCTCGCTGTTTCTTGCGGCTTTGTCACTGATGTGCTGGACGAACACCGCCGTGAACACCGGTCCTAAGAAAGAAGAAAAGAAAAAAAAGAAAACAGGAACCTAACCGCGCATCTGACGAGGAAGCGGTACATACACTTGGTGGGTCTATCCAAGAGGTGCGATACGGGACATATGACGCACGGAAAACATGTATTTAACTTTTTTTCTCTATTTCTATTGCGAGTTCTACATGGGCGCTTACAACTACTTGATCACACCATAACCCCCCCCCCCCCCCCTCACAATCCAGCAGCAAGCGTATACCCGCCGTCCACGGCGAGCGTCTGCCCGTTGAGGTACTGGTTGCATGCGAAGAACAGCACCGTCGCGGCCATGTCCTCGTCCTTGCCGGGCCTGCCCGCGGGCACCTTGTCGGCGTACTTGCTCTTGGGGATGGCGCTCTTCTGCTCGTCGTCGGCCGGCTCCTTGGTGGTCATCTCGCTCGGGAAGACGCCCGGGGCGATGCTGTTGACGCGCACCTTGAGCCCGTTGGCGGCCACCTCCTCGGCCAGCATGCGGTTGACGTGGATGGCGGCGGCCTTGGACGCGTTGTAGGAGAAGTGGTGCTGCGACTTCTTGATCATGCCGCTGATGCTGCTGATGTTGATCATGGCGCCGGACCAGCCGGGCCGCTGGTCGGTGGACTTTTGCAGCAGCGGCAGGGCGCGCGCGGCGACGTAGAAGAGCGCGGCGACGTTGGTGCGGTACGTCTCGGTCCAGTCGTCGAAGGTGGACGAGTCGGAGCCGAAGAGGGTCGAGGCCATGTCATCGGCGCCCGAGCTCTCGACCTCGACGGGCCCCGAGGACACGCCGGCGTTGTTGACGAGCACGTCGAGGACCCCGCCCTCGCGCGACTCGATCTCGGCGAAGAGCCGGTCGATGTCGGCCTTGCTCGTGACGTCGGCCTGCAGCGGGATGATCTCGCCGGCGACGTTCTGGCCGTACGTCTTGGCGGCGTTGTCGATCTTGTCCTGGTTGCGCGAGGCGATGTAGACGCGAGCGCCGTTGGCGGCGAGGGCCTGCGTGGCCATGAGGCCGATGCCCGTGGCGCCGCCGGTGACGAGGGCCACCTTGCCGGTGAGGTCGAAGAGGTGGTCACGGGTGAAGAGGTCGTTGCCCTGGGGGCCCGACGTCTTTTGTCCGGTCGACATTCTGGCGCGGATGGGGTTGTTGTTGCGGTGTGTTGCGGATGGGGTGATTCGGGGAGATGGGATTGCTGTGCGTGAAGACAGGAGTCTGGTGGTAGTGAAGGTGGTAGTGAAGGTGGTTGTGGACGTGGTGATGTTGAAGAGAGACGTGCTCGAGGGCAGAGGGCGGGAGTTATAACACGTCCTGCTGCTGCTCCTCGCAGCGAGGCCAAGGGCTGATGATCTCATAGCCCTCTCAGTCTAATCGGAGCAAAAAGCTGCGTCCAATGGGTCATGCATAAGGAGAAGAGGAGTACAGGTCAGACAGGAATCCGGAGGGGTCTCACTGATGCAGTCCAAACTCATCATGCACAGAGAGAGAGAGAGAGAGAGAGAGAGGGCCCAGGCGGTTCTTATTCTCGTACAGGACGTCATCGAGATCCAAGGGGGGGAGGGGGTCGTCTCATCACAGCGTATTATTGTTGTAAGCCAACTCAACCCAGGTCATGAATATGTGCGCACACGCACCTCAGTTCATTTTGCGGGGGAGAAGGGGGTCTCAGATCTCACTCTCATTGAGTATCTCACTGAGGTGCAACTTACGTATCCATGAGGTGAGCCGCCGGATGAGGTCAGTGAAGCCCGATGACGACACGCTTCCGCAATCCAACCACCACCACCGGCGGAGCGAAAGATCCGCCCCCGGCCATCGGAGGCGCCCTTACCTAAGCAGCTTAATCATCTGGATACGTACCTGCAGTGTGTCCCCCCGGTTATCGAAAGCTAAAGCGGAGCCTCCCGATGACGCCGGTACGTACCCTCCATTTACCATCAACACCATCACGACATCATCACCTCCCGAACGAGAGACACAGGCGCAATGCAACGGCATGAGTACCTATTCGCACACACGCGGTGCATCGATTCGTACCCCCCCCCCCCAAGCCCCTTGCTAATCCGCAACCCAAGACCATTTCTCGAGATCTGTCCGTCTATAGTAGGGGGGGCCTCTGTTCCATCCTTGAGGGGTGGTATTTGTACATACAAACTAATACAATCCGTTCGTCCGTCCGTCCATCCCTCCGGTCCTCAAACGGTGATCCCCTAAGCCCCATCCCATCCCATCCCATCCCATCCGGCCTCACGGCCCTCATCGAACGGTTATGTGCTGAATCGCACGCTTCCACTTCTGCTCGTCCGTCCTAGTTCCTCGCGTTAGCATCGACGGTCTCCCCCTCAGCTCAAGAAATGCCCCGCGCGCGCAAATCACCCTCGGAACTTACTTGTCAAACTTCAAGATCCTCGCCAGCACCGGCACCAGCTGCTCCCGCAGCTTGTTGTCCTTCTGCTCCAGGAACTGCAGCATGATGGTCTTGAGGTACATGGTGTCCGCCGAGGCCCCGGGCGCCGCCGCCCCGGACGCCGCCCCGTTCGGCCCACCCGACCGGTTCGAGTCCATCGAGCTGCGGCCCGACGTCACGCTTGCCCCCAGCTTGCCCTGCACCGTCTTGAGCTCCTTGCTGACCTTGTCGAACCGCTGCTTCGAATCTTCCAGCAGACGCCGCAGGTCCGACTTCTGCCGCTCCGCCTCCCGCACCTGCTGCTCCGACGCGTCCAGCGTCGACCGCAGGTCCGACACCGCCGACCGCATCTCCTCCACCTCGGCCGTCGCCCGCTCCTCCACCAACTCGAGCTCCTCCCTCCGCCTGCGCCACTCCCGCTCCTTGCCCTCGAGCTCCTCCTTGGCCCCCGCCAGCGTCTTGACCTCCCGCTCGAGGTCCCGCACCTTCTGCTTCAGCTCCTCCGTCTCCCGCGCCCTGCGCCGCGCCAGCGTGCTCGACTCGTCCTCGATCCGGTCTCGCTCCTCGATCGCCGCCTCCATCCGCGCCCGCATCTCCCGCACCTTGCTGTCCGCCCGCTCGTCCACGTCCGCCAGCAGCCCCCGCATCCTCTCCGCCTCGCGCGACCGCTCCGACAGGTGCTTCTGGATCTCGGCGAGCTCCTCCTCGAGCGACTCCGACTGCGCCCGCGCCTCCTTGAGCTGGATCGTCAGCTCGCCCGTCTGGTCACGCATGCTGCCGAGCAGGCCCTGCGCGTTGGCGTACTGCTGCGTCTTGAGGTCCGCCTCCTCCTGCAGCGACTTCTTCTCCTTCTCGAGCTTCTCCACCTGCTCCTCGAGCTCCTGTACCCGGGGCCGCAGCTTGTTGGCCTCCTCCTGCACCTTCTGCAGCTCCCGCGCCGTCTTCTCCTCCCGCGCGCTGATCTCCACCTTTTCCACTTCCGACCGCCGCAGGTCGCGCGCCGACACCCGCTGCGCGTCTTCCAGCCGCAGCCGGTTGTTCGTCTCGCCCGTCAGCTTCTCGCGGAGCGTCTTGATCTCCGTCTCGCGGTCCGTCGCCAGCCGCTGCACCCTGGCGACGTCCGACTTGAGGTCCCTCTCCTTCTTCTCCAGGTTACGGAGCTCCGTGTTCTTGGCGGCGAGCTCCTCCTTGGCCGTCTTGAGAGCGGCCGAGTCTTGGCGCAGCGCCTTCATCTCGGGCTGCGCCCTCTGGAGCACCTCGCGCAGCTCCGTGAGGTCCTTGAACCGGGTCTGTGCCAGCTGCTGGGCGGCGCCCAGGTCCGACTGCAGCGTCGACGACTTGCTCTTGAGGTCGTCGTACTCGCTCTGCAGCTTGTCGAACTCGCTCTGCAGCTTCTCCTTGGCCTCGGCGTCGCCGGCCGACGACCCGAGCTCCTTCTCGAGCTCCGCGATCCGCGCCTCGAGCGCCTTCTTCTCCGCCTCGAGGTTCTTGATCTTCTCCTTGGCCACCACGTGTTCCTGGCCAATCTCTGTGACTTCGTCGCGCAGCGTCTCGATCTCCTCGCGGAGATCCTCCTCCGTCTTGCGCTGCTTTGTCAGCCTCTCAATCTGAGAGTCCTTCGTCGTGACTTCCTCCTTGAGGCGTGTAATCTCCGCCTCCAGGGCCTCCGTATCAGACTCCTTGGCTTCTTCGGCCGCCGCGGGCGTGGCCGTGCCGGCGGTCGTCGTAGTAGTAGTAGTAGTAGTAGCCGCGTTTGCTGCCGCAGCCGCAGCCGCGCCGGCCTTTTTCTTCTTCTTGTTGTTGTTCTTCTTGGCGTTCTTGCTCATGCCCGGGGAAGAGGTATCTGTAGGACCCGTGGCCGTGGGGGTGGCCGGCGGGGCGGTTTCGGCGGCCTGCTGCTTCTCCAGCTGCTTGGTGAGCTCGGCAATGTTCTTCTCGTGCTCGGCCTTTGCCTTCTTGATGTTCTCAATCTGCCCGTTCAGGGTCTCGATCTTCTTCTCGACCTGGGTCTTGGCGGCAACGGCCTCCTTGGCACGCGCCTCTTCCCTATCTGCACGGGCGTTGGACTCGTTGAGCTTCGACTGGACCGCCTTGGCGTCCTTCTTGGCGGATTCGACCTCGCCCTTGAGCTTGGCCTCCACTTCCTTGAGCTGCTTCTGCGACGTCTCCAGACGCTCTGTGAGCGACTTGATTTCTTTGTTCCTGGCCTCCAGCTGCGTCTCGAGGGATGTCTTGACGGCAGCAATGTCGCGCAGTTCGCCGGCCTCCTTTGTCACCTTGTCGAACTTCTCGGTAAGGTCGGCGCTGGAGTCCTGGGCGGAGGCGAGGTCGGCCTTGAGCGAGTCGATCTCGGCCTTGAGCTTCTCAATCTCGCCGTCCTTGGCGGCCATGTCGGCCTCGTACTTGGGGGCCTCCTCGTCGTAGGAGAAGAAATCGGCTCCGGACTCGTCGGGCTTGGCGCCCTCGGGTTCCTGTGCCTTTTGCTTGGGCGAGAAGATACCCAGGGCCTGTTGCAGAGGCGACTTGACGGCGGCGGCGTCGTCCTTGGTGCTGGTGGCGGCGTCGACCTGCTCCTTGGCCTCGTCCGGCTCGTCGCGGGCGGCCGGGACGGCGGACTGAGCCGCCCTAAGCTCGTCGACCTCCTTCTTGAACTTCTCGACGTCCTTCTCGGCGGCTTCGAACTTCTTCTTGAAGTCGTCCTTCTCGATCGAGACCCGCTTGTACTCGTCCATGATCATCTGCTCCTTCTGCTTGAGGGAGTTGAGATACTCGACCAGACCCTCGGGTTCGCGGATCGAGCCGACGCTGGTGTGTTCCTTGAGCACGCGCTCGAAGGGTTCGATGGATGTGGCGCGGGTGTGGGCGATTCGGTATGACCGGAGAAGCTCTGCAGAATGGTTAGCACCGTGCCTTTCTTCCGGCTGCACCCGTAAAGGGAGGGGAACACGCACCGGGATACGTCTTTTCCAGCTTCTCCAGCTTGCGGAGCTTCATGCGGATCTCGGGGGACAGTTCCGGCGCCGCAGCTGCGGCTGTAGGGGCGGCGTCAGCGCCGGCAGCAGCGGGGGCGGGGGCACCCTCGGACGGCTTGTCCTTTTCATTATCCTTGTCGGCGTCGCCGTTCTGGCCCTCTTCGGCCTTGTTCTTGGGCTTCTCGTCGCCCTTGTCCATGGCGTCGGGCGCGGGCTTGGGGGTTCCGGCGCGGCTGGGTTCCTCGCTGTCGTCGAGGGCAAAGGCGGCTTCGAAAACGGCCGGGTCGGTGTTGGAGGGGCTGGCGGCGGTGTCGTCCTTGAGGGCGTCGGCGGCAGCCTTCTTGGGGCGTCTCGCGGACGACTGGTTACTCCGCGAGGTGGATTCGGACCTGCGCGGGGTGGCGCCTCCGGGTTCGATTCGTTGTCGTGCCTGCTCCTGGCGAGCCTGTTCCTCCGCAATGGTCCGGTCGATGGCGCCCTTAAGCCTCTGTGTTGGACACGCATCAGTAGTTAGCTTCGGCGGGTGATGCAGACAGAAGGGAGACGCAGAAAGCGAGCGACGGGTAATAAGCGGAGGGAGATTGCGCGCAAGGTTTGGACTGGGTCCAATGAAGGAGGGTTCGGGGAGCATAGACGAACCTGGAACATGTTGCCGATCTATGGACGATTGGGATTGCCCTGTGACCATGGACCGAATCGAGGTGTTCTGACGAACGGCAGGGTAAGGTGAGAAGGCAAAAGAGCTATGCGCAGAAGTCGATGCAAAGGATCGGAGGGCGGTGCATTATCGGTGGTGCAAGTCGGTTGGACGGTTGGACGGTCGGCGAGAGGATGAGAGAGATGCGAGAGAGAGAGAGAGAGAGAGAGACAGAAGGATAAGCAACGGATGGGACAGATGCTTCTTGGCGGTGTGTCGTTATGTGTCGGCGAGTCGGTGATTCGAGTCGGGTAAGATGGTTTTGAGAAAAAAGAAGAAGAGAAGACAACTCGATGCATGCAAGCAAGCAAGGGACCCTTGGCACGTGTGTACGTGTACGGATTCCCGATACCCTTTTCACAAGTTGTCCTCAGCGAGAGCAGCTGTTGGTTGGCCTGTAACAGCTTCTGTCTTTCTGTCGGTACGCAGGGAGTGGAGCTAGCTTGTCCACTAAATAATTACCACGCGGCAGACTGGGGTGCGTCCTGCTATCTTATCTTGGTCTTCAGCCTCATCACCAGCCACACTCAGCCACACTCAGCTACGTTCAGCCACATTCAGCCCCCCGTCCGTATCTTGCTTCTAATACTTTCATTCATTCATTCATTCATTCACATACACGAGGCATCCGTACCTAGGTAGGTAGCACGGCTTCAGCATGTTGATATGTTTCTTATATATGTTGCGACTTTGTTATGAAATGATGCTGTGTGTAGCTGGCGGCGCATATCCCACCCCACCCGCGCCATCTTCACCTCCCACCCTTGCCCTTGCGCTTCCTCGTTCCCGCCGCCGGCCCTTGTCTGCCCGTCGCCGTGACTTCCTTCGCGTCGCTCTTCTCCTTCTCCTCTTCCTGCTTGACCACCGCATCCGCGTCCGAGTCATCGTCGCTATCCGACTCCTTGAACTCCTCGCCGGTGGGCACCTCGTCGCCGCCGCCGCCGGCCCGCGAGCCCAGAACCTCCTGCATGATGCGCTTGCCCTCGTCCATCTCGCCGTTGGTGGCCCCGCAGCCCATGCACTTCCACGTGCCCAGCTCCGACAGGGTCTTGGTGCCCGGCGGGGCCTGGCCGTTGACCAGCCGACAACTCTTGCAGATGAGGACGATCCTGTTCTTGGACGCCGTCTCGTCTTCGCCGAGGAGGAGGTCCATGATGCGGTCGTACCAGTGCGACGAGCCGGGCACACCGTCGGCCTGCGCAAAGTGCTGCGACTGCGTCGGCGGCGGCGGCGGCGGGTGGGCATATGCGTTGGGCGCGAACTCTTCCGTAGGCTCGAGGCCGTTCGGGGGCTGGGGGCGCGGGCCTTGTCCGCCCTGAAATCCGGGCGGCGGCGAGCCCTGGCCGGGGAAGGGGCCGTCGCGTCGCTGAATATTGGCAGTGGGGGGAGGGGGCATGTTCGTCCGGCCAGCCGGGGCACTCTTGCTGTGACCGTTTCCTTGCTGCTGCTGCTGCTGGTGCTGCTGCTTCTTCGTGTCTGCTTCGGAGACGCTTTGCCTCTTGGCCTTGGCCTTGCCCTCATTGCCGCCGTACTTTTCGAGGAGCTCCAGGGTGGTGTCGTACCTGGTGGCTTCCTTGAGCTTCTGGATGGTCTTTGCGCGCTCGGCCTGCTGGTCCTTGAGGCGGGCCGACAGCGTATCGATGCGGTAATTGAACAGAACCGTAACGGCGGTCCGGGTGAGGTAGATTCTGTTGGGAAGGGGGGTTGAGGGGTTAGCATGCGGGTTGCGCAAACGGGGTTCCGCAAGACATTTAAAGAAAAGCCACGTACAGAACCGGACCCCCGGCGACACCGGCCCAATCCCAGACGCCCATGCTGTTCATTCCCACGACGAGGAAGATGACGATGGAGTAGACGAGATATGCAAAGGCGAGGTATAGGGACCACAGCACCCTGATGCGGCGGGAGGTGGCTCGCGCGCCATCGAGCCTCGCCTGGGTGTTTGTGATCTTGGCCGAAAGAGCGGAGAGGGTCTTCTCGAAAGAGGCGGGGGAGGAGTCGTCGGCCTGGGATACATGGTGTCAGTCGAAGCGGTCCACGGCCATCTCATGGCGGACGAAGAAAGCAGGCAGAAGCAGGTCGCAGGGCACCGCAGGGCACCGCAGCGCAGGAGTGCAGACGTACCCTCCAGGGCCAGAAAGAGACCATGGCGAACGAAGGATGATGCGAACACGTGCCGACTTCAGTGCGGCGGCATTGCCCGCGGTTGTCTGAACAGTGGGTGCAGTCGAGGCGAGACGGAGAACAGAGAGAAGAAGAGAAAAAGAAGAAGTGGTCGGCGCTACGATGGGACGCGCAAGAGTTGAAGAAGAAAATCCGACGAGTAGATCTGTCGTTATAGCCCCCTTGGGAAAGCAAAGATGTTGAAGGGGGATCCGGAGGGGGGGGGCTGGTGGCCTTTGGGGGGAGACGGACGTGGATGGCGGGAGCTTCTGGAAGGATAGAAAAAAGAATAAAAAAAAGAATAAAAAAAAAGAGTATTTGCCAGCTGTTATGACGCAGAAGTGAGTGATCCTTGGGTACGTGTGTGAGTACATAGGTAGGTAGGTATAGGTACCTGTTCGGTACGGAGGAAACGTGGCACACACACCAGACGAGACGATCCAACGGCGGGTGACGGTGAGCTAAAATGGGTGGAAAGGTGGGTCTGTAGTGTAGCTCCCGGTTGGGCCTAGAGCTTCTTGCTTGCCTGCTGTATCCGTATGTACCTAAACCTTGTACTTAATCTGGCGCGAAGCTCAAGCATGACTTGCACCAACTCTTTACCTGGGTTCAAGACACATCTCATATTGTGTGTGTGTGTGTGTTTGCTCAAGATATTTCACCCGAATTGAAACAGAGTCGGAACGAACTCGTGTTCGTTGTTTGACGTGATGGGTTCCACGGGTACAGCTTCCACCAGCCGTATGCTTTGTCCGAAGCCGGAATCATAGGATACAAGAGAGCAGCCAGTTTCCACTGTCCCACACATATGCTTCACCTTTTTTGACAAGATTTGCCCGAAACATGTTGTGAATGTGGCCTAGGTGCCTTTCCACTCGTCCTTGAGGCCCTGCGAAATCGAAACAGGTCGGGTACAAGCGCCGGCCGGATTAGACACAACAGACTCTCTATGGGCCGTCTAGTTTATAGCCTAAGCTGGACTGAGCTGTACGGGTTCCGCCTGGGCAGATACCCGGATACCTTGACGGTATTTCTTATAGAAACCATATATGGTGATGCGTATCGGGCATGATATTTATACTGCGTGTCCCCAACTGTGTTAGATTGCCCCATGAGAAGGACCGATCACCTTGTATTCGTCCCTTTTTTTTTTCTTTTTTTTGTATGGATTCCACTTACACTCGGAAACCCTCATAAATACTACCGAGAAACATCGCATACCCTAACCCTGGCCTTGCCCATGCAAGAAACACGGAACCCTACCCTCGTACTAGAAAACTGTTTCTTCCACTTTGCTAACTGTGCCCCTTAAACTGGGACATATGGACATACGGATATACCTCGAGATACCAACCATGCCTCACCTCCCATGGCATCTTCACCCAATCCAATCCTCGTCGTCCGCCTCGACCAAACTCCACCCCTCCGTACGCATCTCCACCTCGACCAGATCAGCCATCCTCCTCAGCACCTCGAGCATCTCGCGCGTGCAAAACACCCGCGCCCGCCCCTCGTCACTCATCCGCACCAGCCTCTCCCGGACCATCTGCACCACCGCCGTCTCCTCCTCCCCCTCCTCTCTCAGCCCTAGCGCCCCCGCCAGCGCCGCTCCGAACCTCTCCCGCACCAGCCTCTCCACCTCCTCCCCCACCGCCGCCAGCACCTGGCCCCGGACCTCCTCTGCAAACCGGCCCCGCTCGAACTCGAAGTTGTCGTGCACCCCCTGCGCCACGAGCCCCCGCACCTCCTCCCGCAGCCGCATCCGCGCCGCCTCCGGGCTGGTCAACGTCCCGTTGCGCATCCGCACGTCGCCCTCGGCGTCGACGCTCCGCTTCGAGGCCGCCGACGACGGCGGCGACGGCGAACACGACGACGAGGACGGCCATGACGACGCCGGGCTGGTCTCCGTCTCGACGACCCGCAGATGCGCGACGGTTCGCGTGCTCCTCGGCGTCCGAAAAGCTGACGGGCTCGGCTGGGGAGAGGGCTCCTCGATACCACCGACGGGGGTCACTGGACGGCCGCCGGATGTGGGTGTCGCGGAGCGGGAAGGGGCGTGCTCGGGAGACCAGGCCGTCCGCGAGAGCTCCGCGAGGATCTCGGTCGAGGCGCGGGGGCGGAGGGTCGTCCGGCCGAGGGCGAAGGGCGCCAGGGCCCTCCGAGGCATACCTTGGCCCATGTCCAGGAAGAAGGGGTCCACGTCAATGACGTCGGCGGGGATCTCCCGCCCGAGGTCGGCACCGGGTGCCGGGGGGCGCTTTGTTGAGGGTTTCTTGAGCATCGGCATTGCTGTTTCTGTGGTGAGAGGCTAGAATGTGAGTTAATCTGATACACATTCGTTTTGATGGCCATTTTGCCTGTTTCCGCATCCAAAATAGAGCTGTATTATATAGCTCCCACGAGCCATCCACCGCCATGTTTTGTGTTGACTCTGACCGAGTCATCGTGAGCCTACTCAGTTCGACTCCCAGCACAGTCACCGTCTTGAAGACGGACGATGTGCGCGGTAGCACAATTCACTTGAGGAATAATCAAACGGATCGCTTGATCCGACATTCCAACCCCCCCAGAAGACCCGGCGTCACTTCGCCCAGTCACAGCCCCGGCTTTGCCCTCCGGGCGCCACGTCATGCACGCTGGAACCTTCAGGTCGTAACTTGGCATCCATTGGAGGTTTGTCCCCGCGTCCGCCGTCAGCGAACCGCACACCGGCGCGGAGCCAACAGGCATGGCGGCAACGGGAGAGGGGGGATGAGAAAAAGAAAGGATAAAGTTCGCTGGCCCACAACGGTGACGCGAGATTGGCAGATTCGGGGAAAAGCAAGTTGTCACATTAGGACGAACTGATCATCGCCCCGAACTGAAACTTAAAACGCAGATACGAGCGTGCAGCACAATGGGCCATGCCGTTCTCTCTTGAGACGAGGCTGCAGAGTCCTGCGTGCATCTAAACCATGTGTCTACGGGTTTGTATGGCTATGCGATTCCTATTAGAGATCATGCAGGCGAATCTGTCCCGGACATCATCCGGCGACGAATAGGCCGCAGTCTCGAAGTGGGCGTGCAGCAGTCCTGTACGGACGAGGAATATGGATGCACTGCGCTGATCTCTTCCTCCCGGCTGCGTTGTTCATGGTTTCCAGCCAATGATTCGCCGGGCACGACGACCTCGCATATCCGCCACCACCTTGGACTTGAGAAGGTGTCTCAGCTCCTGTTGGGACTTGGCTAGTGGCAGAGCTGGTCGACAAGGGCCGAGCTGAATCCCTTCTGCACAGTAAGTACAAGGGATGCGTGGCGAGGGGCCATTTCGAGGCCAGCAAGGACTGCGGCACAGCGGATGGCGGTCGGCAGCTTCGGAGGGTTAAGAAAACAATGTATCTGACGGCATCACTGATGGCGAGTGAGCAACTGACACACCGAAGACTTCATCGGCGGCCCCGCTGTTGTCCTTGTCTGCCAAATTACTCGTGAGATGTGATAGTCGGGTGTTATAGTTCTTGGGCATGTTGAGAGCAAAAGAACTGTCAGTGCCCAGACCCCGACGGAGCTTCTATTTCGGCGGGCCGGCTGGGGGTAACGGGGGCTGCAGTTGCAGGAGCCGGGGGCGGGAGCCGGGCTGAGCATCTGCGAGGACGTGTAAGTGAGGAGAAGCGAACAGAGAGGGGGTATAGTATGATTAGCTCTAGTTTGGATGTGGACACGGAACAAGGGTAGCACAGCAGCCATCGCCCATATTGATTAAGGCTCGTCGTAGGAGGAGGCATGAGGCATGTCGTGTAGGATTGATTACCTACTTGGGTACGTAAAGGGTGACCCAAGAGGGACTCGGCTGGCGATCCCGCTGCACCATTGCAAATCTCATTTACCAATGGCCATAGGCGAACGAGCGTACAGGGAAGGTGACGTTGTTCGAGGAAAGCAGAGTGACGGATGAAATAGATGTAGGTATGCCGTCACGGATGGCACGTCAGCGGCAGATGGGAGCGCGCAAGTAAAGAGGAAAAAGAGGGCGCGGGGAGGGCAGGGCGCCAAGACATCTCCAAGGCGGAAGCGACGTTGGAGATCACGAGAAGATGAAAAGATTTGCAACAAGACAGAAAAAAAGGAAGGAAAAAAAAGAAGACGAGAGAAAGATGGAGATTCTCATCATCAACGGACCGAGAAACACGGCCACTTTACAAAGATTCAGAAGGAACACGAGAACAAACCGGGAAGATGGGAGGAGGGCTGCTCCTGCCAAAATCACCGGAACATCGCAACCGGAGCACCTGCCTACGTGCATGGCAGTACTTTCTACTTCGTACCTACCTACCTAGGTAAGTAGGTGCCTAGGTATCCAGGTACCCAGGTATCGTCTTATTTGTACCTCAGCCGCAGATATTGGCGCGCAGGGGTACTTGACAGTCATATCCCGTTCTCCCATTGGCATTGGCTGTGGTCTGAAGCCGAAGACCCCACTCGACCGCTCGTTCGATTTGGCAGGGCAGATGGGCTGTTGTGCTGGCTCTTGCCCGTTCGACACTGCAGCGAAATCAGACCACCTTTGGCTCCTCCCTCGAGCCAAAACCACGCCCTCCACGCACGCACATACACACGCACCCGAAATACGCACCCGATCTTGGGCGAACAACATTCCACGATGCTTTGGTCGGTTGCTCGACGCAAAGACTCGGGTGCCCAGTCTTGCGTCTAACTTTTCAACGCGTCCTCCCGGACGATCAAGGGTCCAGGCCCATCTGATCGTCTCCAAAGAGACGCATTGCCGCGCGAGGCAATAATCGATACGACCTTTCCCACCAAGCACCGGCGAAACTTTCCATACCCTAGTGCGACCGTCCTCTGTTCGGCTCTGGATCTTGCCGTCTTTGGCCTATGAGTGAGCGACGACTGCCTTGCTCCTCCTCCCAGCTACCAGCTCTGCGTACATCACCAGCAAATCACTAGGTACCTCTTGGGCAAGGCACAACAACATGGCATGCCGCAATAGCTTCCAGTCTTTTCGCACTTGCAGAAAGACAGGCCCCCCCCTGGGAACTTCTGCTGTTGGGAGCTAGGCGAAGTGGGCACGAATGAGAGGCACGCGCGCGGGGGGGGGGGGGGGGGGGGGGGACGGAGGACCCTGGAGATCTCGATCCCGCACCGTCACCACCACCACCACTACCACCACCACCACCGAGGGCTCTCAAAACAGGCCCCGCGCAGAGAGACAATCTGCAACGGCCATCGGAATCAGCGGCGAGGGTTGCGTCCAGCAGGAGAAACAGGAAACGTCCGTACGGAGCAACAACTACGACGTCAGCCAGCCACGGTGCTTGCTTTTTACCGTACCAGTTCATGGCTACCGTGGATACGCGGACTCACCGGCCCTGCCACTATGAAAGTAAAAATCCTCGACATGGGCGCTCCCGAGATACTCCTCCGTCGTCCTATCCTCTTTCCATCTTGCCGTGTCCCGTTCCGGGATGTGCACACCCCGGAACCCTGCCCTCGTTGGCAACCGTGACACTAAGTAGTGTATAGTGGTAGACACCTACCCTTTTTCTGCCTTTTTTTCTTCTTTCTCTTTTTTTTTCCCCTTCCTGACTGGGGCGGGGTAGGCACCTCAGCAGCACCACCAACCATCGTCCAGCCCAGTTCCGAGTTTTCTCGTATGCGGTAATACATATTCTCCGTCTAAATGCTGCTTCTCTGCAGGCATTGCATTGCATATGTACAGAGCTACTGGGCAGTTCACATGGGATGTACAGATAGACTTGGAGAGAGAGTTCCAAGGGATGTGACACCAAGGCACTCGACTACGACCGGGGGGGCGCCGGGTGATTGTATCCGGGCTCACCAACGGCTTCTCCAGATGCAAGTCCCACATCCAGATGCCTGATGCACTTTTCATGTAGTGTAGGGCAGTACACGCTTTGCTCTCCATGGGCCAAACCGAGACCTTTGCTGGTTGCGCGGATGACTGTAGACTGCCAGGCACGCCGCACGCCGTCCCGTATGGCACGTTTTGCTTGCTCTTCATACCCGGTGCCGGCGGGGCCACGCCCTCATGCATGTGTCAAAAGAGGATACCACACACCACACATCTTATGTCAATCATCAGTCTTTTGCACCGTCGGCTCCGCCCGCCCACACCATAGGCCAAACCATATCAGCCTTGGAAGAGGGGGGGCCTCGCCGTCGTAAGTGTACTTTTGTATGTTTTTCGTCACATTTTGCCTTGCTCCCCCCTGTGTGCTCATTGTTCTGTCGTATGACGGGCCCGTCCATCGCCAGTTTTTATCGCGGTCCCAATCCGCACCATCCCCCCCCCCCAATGCTCGCTGCCCACCCTACCCGCATCCCAGCCGGGGAACCGGACCCCGGCTTCATGGCTCGAGGGGGCGTGTGCATCTCTGGGCCTGTCCTCCCGTTCAGTTCACCTGTCTACCTAGTATATAGCTTTGCTTTCCTGTCAGTGTCTCCCCACCGATCCATGCTCAGTCCATCAGCCTCAACCACGTAACATCATACCTCCCTCTCGCCATCGGCATTCCAACCAAAACAAACATATCTGGTCCTCGACCTTTCCCTCCCACCCATCGAGAGTAACGCCACTTCTCTTTACTCCCCCATCAGCTTTGACTCCTCCAGGACAGTCCATCGTCAGACCCCGCCCGAACCCCCCCCTAGTCAACCTTGCCCCTCCATGAATCGCATCATGGCTCAACAACAGTCCTTCGATTATTATCAACTACCGCAGATGCCTCAGTCAATGGTGTGTAGCAATCCAACAATCCTTTGTTTAACTCATCAACCCTCCCCCCCTTTCCCGACTTACACGACACTTTATCATTCGGCCTATCATTCGGCCTAAGCCAGAAACCCAATTTACTTCCCACAACTCCAATAAAAGAAAAATATCCACTAACACGGTCTCCTCCAGAGCCCTCCCGAGCTCTCCCCGCGCTCCTTCTACGACACCCAGGCCGACTTCAGCGCTGACTCGGCCCCGTCCCGCGGCTCCCCCGTCTCCCCCGTCTTTCCCGCCTCCTTCCAGCTCCCCTCCGGTGGCGACTGGCCTACCGCCTACTTCGAGAAGCCGGACCTCGACGTCTTCTACGGCGAGGCTTTCGGCAGCCCAATGTCCTTCCTCTCGTCCCAGAACCTCACCCTGAGCCCCCCCGCCAACCCCGCCGACCTCATGTCCGACGCTGTCGTCTTCGGCCGCGAGGGCGTCAACGACACCCGGCCCGTCTTTCTGGACCTCGACACACCCGCCCGCCCACAAAAACAACAACAACAACCGCAGCAGCAGCAGCAGCAAGAGACCAAGTTGTCGCGTCCCGCCAGAACAACACCATCCACGCCCCGCCCCCGGCCTCAGCAACAACAAGAACAACAACAGCCGCGAAGGCAAGCTACTCAGAGGACCTCCCCGCGCAACAACGACCTCAAGCGCAAGTCCTCCTCCGCCTCGGCCTCCTCCCGCTCGACCTCCCCGGAACCCCCCGCGCGGCGCACGCGGCACGCCGAGCCCTCGAGGAACCCGCACAACATGATCGAGAAGCGGTATCGCGTCAACATCAACGAGAAGATCATCGCCCTCCGCGACGCCGTCCCCTCGCTGCGCTGCGCCGTCCAGCAGGCCGAGAACCCGCAGGCCGGCGGCGGCGAGAGCGACGAGCCCCATGACGTGGTCGAGGAGCTCGGCGGCCTCATGCCCGCCCGCAAGCTCAACAAGGCCACTATCCTCAGCAAGGCCACCGAGTACATCTCCCACCTCGAGAAGAAGAACGGGCAGCTGTGGAAGGAGAACCAGGAGCTCGAGAAGAGGCTCGCCGAGGCGCAGCGCTGGCAGAGGGCGCAGGCCGAGGTCGGTCCGTTCTGTTCGTGAGTCGTCCTCGCATCACGTAATCTTTACACGGCGATGGGGGCGGCAACTTGGAGAAGAACACCCCGGAGAGAGACGAGACATGAAAATATATCACAGAGGTGTGTCCGAGACAGCCCTGTATGATTACGCAGAATGAGGAAACCCGCTTCTTGGGTAGAGCAAATGGGCCCGCGGGTTACGAACGCTGGGGACGGGATGTTTACGACATTTGTTGTTTTTCCAGACAAAAGGGCGTTTCTCACAGGCATGGAAGGCGGCTACTCTTGTGACGTTTTTATTCCCAATAGAAAAAAGCTTTGGCATACCACGGGGGGACGGGACGAGGTCTTGCCTCCCTCCTTGTCAAAAAACGGCGTTTTATGGGCAAGGCACTCCCGGGATGAATGGGGATATGTTTTACGAAAGTGCGGGACATCTTGCTGTGTTGGAATTGGCGGCCCCTTTTGGGCTTTTGGTTATTACCACTCCACATCTTTTTCTTATTCTTCTTCATCATCTTATTCTTCACATTATTGCCTCCGCGTAGAAAATGCGGATAATGAATAACCGAATCAGGAGCATCGTTCGATCGTCTTTTCCCAGCGGACATGATAGCCGTGACGGCCGCCGTGCGAAACTCCAACTGGGCATGCCAGCCTCCTCGCCGCCGGGATGAATCTGAATCTCGAAAGCCATCTTGGCTTCTCTCCTACAGCCCCCCCCGTATCTGTAGTCCCAGGAGGAAGAGAGGTGGTCCCGTCCAGTTCCCGCAGCAAGCTGTGTTCTTCTTGGTAACCCACCCCGCCCTCTCAACTAAGACGGATGGCGTTGACCGGAGCTGGCTCTGGCACCGGTCTCGACCGTCAAATCGTCAAGATCCACAACAACCTCTCGCATCCTTGCTTCCCCGCGCCCCCTCCCTACTATCGAGGCCGAGAACCGTTGTCAACCACACATATCATCATGATCTTTAGGCGAAGAAAGCCCCCAACGCCGGGGCCCTCGCGCACCTGGCCTGTTCAGACCTTCCTAGGTCGTCGTCGTCCCCTCCGGGGCTGGCTATGGTGGGCTTTGTCCAGCAGGTCAGTCATGGGCCGAGCAGATGCGCGGACCACTCGGGATCGGACGGCGATGATGGTGTGATTGGGCTCGTTACCGTACCCCGTATCGGTCGTCCCCCACGATGACTTACTAACACTTTATAGAATAGTGGATCCATACTACCCACATCGTACGACTTCCCTGTGTACAGGGATATGTGACCGTGGTCTCGATTATGTCAGCGACGCGCAGAGCCCAGCCAGTAACAGTCGCGATATATAGATATATACCATGTACAGTTATATCTCTATATACCACACACAGCCATACAGGCATATACCATGTACATGTATAACTGGCCCACAGCGGCGACTTTTAGCGGCGCTTCAAAGGGCTCCGCTCCGCGCCGTCGATCAAAGCGTCCGTCATATTAGATGGTGTTGTTCGACTCGGGGAAAAGCCACCGCCGCCAAGTGCAGACAAAGTCCACGCGCTTTTCGCTCCATCTTCCATGTTTGCCAATGCCATGGAGCAGCCCCAGAGCGCCAGCGACAAGGCCCAGCACCGCGCCTGCGACCCCTGCAGTAACGCCCTCTCTCTCTCTCTGTCTCTGTCTCTCTCTGTCTCTCTCTCCTCCCCCTTCCCCTCTAGCCCACGCCTGGCCTACCTACCTACTACCTACCTACCTACCTAATAAGTGAGTGACGGCGTCGCTAACCACAAGTATGACAAACAGGGAAGCGGAAAGTGAGATGTTCACGTCGTGCTCCACCGTGTGAACGGTGCTCGTACTTTTCCTTGGACTGCGAATACTCGCCCATGAGGACCATAGGCCGTCCGCGTCGACGCCCGTCCGCCAGGCCTCGGGAGGAGAACGCCGTCGGTCAAGATGCCCTTTCGACGCCGACCGGTCTCATCGACGTCGGTGGGTTCCCTGAGATGATGGACCAGTTCTTCGACGGCTTCAATACGCCGCTTCCCTCCTTCACCATGGACTTTGGTCCCGTTCAAAACAGCGGCAGCGGCAGCGGCAGCACGCAAGGCCAGTCAGCAATGCCGCCGCCGCCGCCGCCGCCGCCGCCGCCGCCGCCTTTGTCGACCGGGCGTGAAGCCGAGGCTAGCGTGATGCCGGAATCCCAAGACCGTCGCGGCCCATGCATGCGTCTCCATTGTTCCGTGGTACACGGCGAGACAAACGCCGACCGTGTCACGACGACGCCCGCCCAAGACGCAGGGGGCGCGGCACCGACCCCCGGGCTTCTGCTGTCCAAAAAGTGCTCCTGCGTCGAGCTGGTGAGCCGCCACTTCTCCCTGGTGGAGAACCCCCTCGACACGTTCCAGGCCCTCGAGGTGATCAAGCAGTCGATGCAGTCGGCCAGGGAAATCCTCGAGTGCGGCGTCTGTTTCGAGTCCATCACGAGCCCCCGCACCTCGAGGAACGTCTACCTGCTGGGCTCGCTGCTGTCGAGCATCGGCTCCTCCTTTGGCGACTTCTTCTACCACCAGAAGCGGCGCGCCGCCGAGTCCTCGGCCAGCGGCGAGCCCATCCGTCTGGTCGTCGGCCAGCAGCCGCCCGAGGGCCACGGCACCGTCGAGCTCGCCGTCGACGGCCAGAGCTACGTCGCCTTCCTCAAGGCGAGCCTGAAGCTCGAGCTCGACCGCCTCTTCGGCCTCGCCGACGAGCTGGCCACGAGGCAGAGCCAGCTGCACACCGAGGGGCACGAGAACTGCGAGACCGGCACGAGCTGCAGCAACACCGAGTCCCTGCCGGCCGCCAAACACCCGGCCGAGCTGTGTCCCAAGGAGGTGGACATGACCAAGGCCTGCGCGTGTTTCCGGACCGTCGATCAGGTGCGGGCCGTGATAGAGGAGGCGCAGAAGATCATCTCGGCGTGAACGGGGGGGGCAGCAGCCGTTTGGAGACCAATGGGAACCTTCCTCCCCCCCCAACCCCGCCTTCTCCCCGTCAGAGCTTTATTCTCTGGGCTACCTAGACGACATGTCGGACTGTTCCGTTAAAGTTTGCTTGGGGACCAATAGGAACCCCCTCTCCTCGTCAGATCTTCATTCTCTGGGGGCTAGACGACATGTCGGACCGTTCCGATAAAGTTTGCTCGGTTTCCACTTCCGAGGGCACGAGCAAAAGATCCCCCTGCCCTCCCTCCACGGCGACATTCTGTGTGGCACAAGGCTCGGCGAGCCCGTACAAACATTGAAACATTCGTGGCTTGGTATGACAAAGGGCCCCGACAACGTATGACTAGGTCCGTTTTCTTTTGGTCGGTGTTGATCAAGCGTTACCTACTTTCAGCTTGTTCTTTTAGTTTGTTCTTTCAGTTCTTCTTCTCGGTTCTTGAATACCCCCCCCCGCCTCTTCTCTCTCCCGCGAATGCGCGGATCAATCTGAGCGTATCAGAGGGCCGATAAAACGCGTGTTAATGCGGCGCGGCAACTTTGTGCGGAAGACAGCGCGGAGACTTAAAATCCACCCCCGGAGCCGAAACGAGGCCAGGATGGTCGTCGTCTAAAACAGCTTTGGTTCTCTAACCCCGTCTATTTAATGAGGAAGCGCGGCCTTTTCCAACTCGCCTCTAGTTCAACGTCACGCAAACACATACACACACACACGTATATATATATATATATATATATATACATATATTCCCTTCTTTGCACCCTTGTTTCTTCACACCGTCGATACATCTCTCCCGACGCTCACTTTCACCATGGGTGAATCGTGCTGTGCTAAGCCAACCGGGCATCACCAGCATCACGCCTCGACACCCGAAGAACATGGACATGACCATGGCCATGGCCACGAGCATGGAGGATGTTGCGGCGATTCCCACCACGATGCCTCTAGCATCTCGTCCGAAGCCTTGACCTGCTGCGGTAGCGAGGAACGTTGCGACGGTAGCCCCGCCCCCCCAATGTGTCCCCATTCCAGCCCACCGCGCGTTTGGTATAGCCAGATTCTAACGCGTCTCTGTAGAGAAATGCATAGAGACCGTCGCGGCGCTTGAATGTGGAAGAGCTTGTCAGGACGATCCCGGCCACGAGAGTGAGTTCCTCCCCCTCCCCCCCTGCCTGCCCACGGGGCTGCACTTCTCATGGTTTGTTCAGCGCGCTGATTGGGATCCAAGAGTCCTTGGACCACCCCCACGAGCACGAGAACGGCGACCACAGAGCCACGTCGGCTTGCAGCACTCACCTGCAGGCTGCCTTCGACCAGTACAGCAGCTACCTCGAGCAACTCCGCTGCATCTGCCGCAGCGCCATCGACCAAGGCACGGCCTCGCTCGAGACCTGCTGCATGGGCAACAACAGGCCCGGCGCCGCGAATAAGACAAGACACAGACACGCGGGAAACAAGCACGAGAAGCACAAAGGAAACACGGCCGTCGCCGTAACGACGACCTCCTACTCCAAGGCATGCGGGAACGGCGCAAAGCAACGCCCCAAAGGCGCCGACCCCGAGAAGACGGGCGGCGTCGAGACCGTCGGCTTCCTGGTCAGCGGCATGGACTGCACCTCCTGCGCCGACAAGCTGATGCGGGTGCTCGGCGCCGCGACGGGCGTCTCCCAGCCGCAGGTGAACTTCGTCAGCGGCAAGGGCGAGTTCAACGTCGACACCGCCGTCGCCGACGCCGACGGGGTCATCCGCTTCGCCGCCGCCGCCAGCGGCTTCTCGCTCAGCAGGATAGCCGGCGGGGACCACTTCCTGCTCCTCCTGGCCTCGCCGGCCGAGGGGGAACGGCTCGCCACGGACCCGCCGCGGGGCGTCACGGACGTCGAGTCCCTCGACAAGAAGACGGTCCGCCTCGCGTACGACCCGGCCGCCATCGGGGCCCGCGACCTCTTCGCCCTTGTCGAGGACCGCTGCGGGGGGCTGGCCCATCCCCGCGGCGATCCGCAGCTGGAGAACGGCCGCCGCCGTCTCTGGGACCAGCTCGCCAAGACCGCCCTGGCCGCCGCGCTCACCGTCCCCGTCGCAGTGCTGGCGTGGGGCGAGGGCCTGGCCGACGAGAAGACGGCGGGGATCGTGTCCCTGGTCCTCGGCACCCTGGTCCAGGCCGTCGCGGTCCCCGAGTTCTACCGCCCGGCCCTGTCCTCCCTGTGGTACAGCGGCGTCGTCGAGATGGACATGCTCGTCGTCATGAGCATCACCGCCGCCTACGTCTACTCGGTCGTCGCCTTCGGCTTCGACATGGCCGGCAGGCCGCTCGACGAGGGCCACTTCTTCGAGACCAGCACCATGCTGGTCACCCTGATCCTCGCCGGCCGGCTCGTCGCCGCGTTTGCCCGGGTCCGCGCCGTCGCCGCCGTGTCGTTGCGCTCCAAGCAGAACAACACGGCCGTGCTCGTCGCCGGGGACGGCAGCAGCGGCGACCGCGAGATCGACGCCCGCCTGCTCCAGTACGACGACCGGTTCAGGGTCCTGCCGCACTCGCGCGTTCCCACCGACGGCGTGGTCGTTTCCGGCAGGACCGAGGTGGACGAGTCCATGCTCACGGGGGAATCCCTCCCCATCGTCAAGGAGGAGGGCGACAGTCTGATCGCCGGCACAGTCAACGGCGACGGCACGGTCGTCGCCCGGCTCACCCGCCTGCCTGGGAAGAACACCGTCACAGACATAGCCCGGCTGGTCGAAGAGGCCGCCGGCTCCAAGCCCGAGCTGCAGGACCTGGCGGACAAGGTCGCCGGCTGGTTCGTCCCCACGATGGCGGCCGCCGCCGTCCTCGTCTTTGTCGTCTGGGTCGCCGCCGGGATCCGGGTCCTCGACTACGGCGCCGGGAAGAGCGTCGGCAACGCCGTCACGTACGCCGTTGCGACCCTCGCGGTCGCGTGCCCATGCGCCCTCGGCCTCGCCGTGCCCATGGTCTTGGTCGTCGCCGGCGGCATCGCGGCCAAGGAGGGCGTCGTCATCAAGTCCGCCGACACCACCGAGGGCGCCCGGAAGACCACCGACGTCGTCTTCGACAAGACCGGGACCATCACCGAGGCGGAGCTGACCGTCGTCGAGCAGGTCAATCTCCAAGGAGACGCGGACGAGAACCTGACCCTGGCCAAAGCCCTCGTCGCCGGCGGCAAGCACCCGGTGTCCGCCGCGGTCGGGGCGCATCTCGAACGCCGCGGCGTCAAGCCCGCGTCCGAAGTGGTCAACGTCCGAGTCGTCCCCGGCGCAGGCGTCGAGGCAGACCGCAAAGGCTCGAGTCTCCGGGTGGGAAACGCGCGATGGACCGACGCCGACTCGAACGCGGAGGTGGCGCGTCTCCAACAGGCCGGCTTGACCGCCCTGGTCGTGGCCCGAGACTTGGTCCCCCTCGTGGTCTTCGGCCTCAACGCCCGGATCCGGCCGGAAGCTCCGCGGGTGATCGCCGAGCTCCGAGCCCGCGGCATCGCCGTCCACCTCGTGTCCGGGGACCAGACCGTGGCCGTCGAGGCGGTCGCCGCCGCCGTCGGCATCCCCGCGGAGCGCGTCGCCGGCGAGCGCACCCCGCTGGAGAAGCGCGACTACGTCTCCGCCCTCATGGCGGACGGGGCCAAGCACGTCCTGTTCTGCGGGGACGGCACCAACGACGCGGTTGCCGTCGCCCAGGCCAACGTCGGGGTCCAGATCGGGGGCGGCGGCGGCAGCAGCGACGTGACCCAGGGCGCGGCGGACGTGGTCCTGATGAGCGGCCTCGAGGGGATCCCCTTCCTGCTCGACGTCAGCGGGGTCGCGTTCCGCCGGATGGCGTTCAACTTTGTCTGGTCCGGCGTCTATAACGTCCTTGCCGTCACCATGGCGAGCGGCGCGTGGGTCAGGTTCCGCGTGCCGCCCGCGTATGCCGGGCTGGGCGAGGTGGTGAGCGTGGTGCCTGTCGTCCTCGCTGCCATGTCCATGTTGCTCGTGAGACTTCGCAAATAGAGCACAGCGCAATATAAGCCCTTTCTCTCTCTTTTCTGCGTAGTTGAAGCAGTTTGATAATGTCATGCACTGACCCCTGTATGGCACTATTACTGATGTCTACTAACCTGTGGCATCCACGCAAAATACAAGACATCTAGACTGGCACTAGAAGTTGGCCATGCTCGAGTGGATATGCCGGCAGTCGCGCACGTCAGCGCCGTAACAAATATGAATGCTTAGACATGACTATATTACTGTTTAGTATTTATTATAACTACAAATTGTCTAGCAACTGGACCCCGCTTTCTTCAACTTATATAGCCCTCCAGTCGAAGCACCTGAACCTGAAATTAGATCTTGGTAACCCTGGCTTAACCACCAACATTTGCGGTTGAACTCGGCATGGTACCGAACTAGGGGCACTTTAAAGGCAAAAAGCAAGCATTTGCACACAATTTGAAGACTGTCTGATGTTTGATATGCCGGCCTATCAAGTACCTGATTCCTCGGGTCTCTCCTATAACCCTAGCATTAGTGAACCGAAACCGCGTCGTGGTTGTGAGCAAAACACTTCACGTTACTTCTCTACGCAACAGCGCACAGGATAATTGTGAAAATGGACACAAAGAGCGAACCGGTCAGGTCATTGAATTCAAACTCAAAGACCGTTTCCACCAAGCCAAAACGTAACTAGTGGCATGTACTTCCTAACCCTAACCCTGACCGACAGGAGGTGGCATATCCTAGATCTTAAAGATCACTCCGCTGCAGCCTGCAACAGCTTGCGGCCGTACATGACGTCTCCATTCCAGTAAGCATAGTAACACGACCGGTGATACGACGTTGAGGGCATTGAACCTCTATGTTAAAAGTAGTGACATACGGTATATCCACATTCCATGCCGATCGGGGTTGATTTACAGCCTAGCCAATCAAAACCGTCTGACACGACCAAATCAAGCTATCGATATGTCACCGCTGATAGCCTCTTGGCTGTGTGGGTTTTTCGCGGGCAATGTACTTGTAGATGAGTGCACCGGTGGGTATAAGGCTGGCGAAATGGTTCAGCCCGTTTCTGGACAATCCAAGTTACACAATCACAATCAGGGTCTATACGTGCGTGTCAAAATGCAACATGATATTCCAAACGGACGCGGGGAAACAGCCAGCAACAGGGGTGAGAACGGCCCATGGAACCCGCCTGAGCGCATGGCAGATGCCCGACCGGCCGAGCTCGACTCTGAACAAGAACGCCTGCCCGATGGAGGCTATGGCTGGGTCATTGTGGCATCGTGTTTTACCCTGAACTGCTTTACTTGGGGCGTCACTTCGGTTTGTCAAGGACATCGTGCCGAGCTCGGTCCCAGGCTTCGCTGACCCGAAAACGTAGTCTTACGGCGTTTACCTATCCCACTATCTGTCCTCGGAGCTCTTCCCTGGCGCGACGTCAATGGACTACGGCCTCATCGGGGGGTTCAACTTCGCCTTTGCCATGATTTTTGCGCCCCTGGCAACTTATACGGCCCACCGCTTTGGAAAGCGCGGTGCCATGCTTGCGGGGGCCGTCGTGCAGTCTGCCGGGCTCATCTCCGCTTCCTTCGCATCAGAGGTCCGGCACCTCTACGTAACGCAAGGCGCGCTCGTCGGCGCCGGCATCGGCCTAGTCTTCGTCCCAAGCCTGCCGGTCCTGTCCCAATGGTTCTCGGAGAAGCGCAGCGTTGCTAACGGCATAAGCTCGGCCGGTTCCGGGGTCGGCGGCGTCGTCTTTTCCTGGGGCACTGGTGCGATGATCCGCAGCCTCGGCCTTTCCTGGGCGCTCCGTGCCACGGGCCTGGCAACGTTGGTTGCGAACGCTGCCGCAACGCTCCTAATCCGGGACCAACGCCGGCAGGCCAGGCCAAACAAACTAGTCTTGGACGTCCAGCTGCTGCGCAAGTACGAGGTTAGCCTCCTTTTGCTCTGGGCGTTCGTGAGCATGTTCGGCTACATTACACTTCTGTTCTCCCTCGCCGACTTCTCCCGTTCCATTGGCCTCTCCTCGGCACAAGCTACGGACGTAACAGGCGTCCTCAATCTCGGCACCGCGGTGGGAAGGCCGCTTATCGGAATCGCCAGTGACCGCTTTCGGAGAATCGACACCGCCGGCATGTTAACCCTGCTGTGCGGAATCATCTGTTTTGCCATGTGGCTACCTGCCACAACTTTTGCCTCAACTGTAGCGTTTGCCTTCATATGCGGCGCGATACTCGGCGTCTTCTGGATGGTCTGTGGCATAAACCCCTGACCAGCTCTGTCTGCCCTTTTGATATTCTAACGGTGCGTAGACCATAGGGCCGCTATGTGCGGAAGTAGTAGGCCTCGGCGACCTCCACGCCCTCCTATCTCTTGTCTGGACAACCATCATTATCCCAACGACGTGTAGGCTGTTTCCTTGCCTTTTGTCTTAGACGCCTTGAGTACTGACATATCCTTGGAGTTTCTGAACCAATTGCCCTAAGACTGCGTCAACCTGGCTCTGACGTTGAGTATCTGTATACGCAGATCTTTGCAGGTGTTGCCTATCTACTCGCCGGGGGGGTTATGCTTGAACTGCGGCGTATCATGAAAAGGAAGCGAAGGTCACGACTGCAGTCTCAGGGTTGCCAAAGTCGACCGGATTCAGATGTGGATTGAGAAACGCGACCTAGCAGCACATCCTTCTCTTTTCTTGCTGTTGCTGGATCTCTCTCACATGGGGAATTTTCCGCTACCGGGTAAGGCTTATTGGATTCCGAGCGGGTAAAAACGCCGGGCTGTTCCTTGTAAGTATAAGCAACAATCATCAATCCCAGCACATGAGAACCTGAAGCTGTCGCTCGGAAGAAAGACACAGGGTAGTATGGAGCACCGAGAGATATCCCATGATTATTGAAGCGATGGATTGGAGAGCTGTCATGTTTACATGGGGTTTCTGAATGAGCTATGCACTGACAGTTATCGAGAATGGTGCCTTGAGAACACTGGGTGGGAATTTCGTAGTAGCCTTTTGCTTGTAAACAAAGTTTGGACGTCGACGGCTTTAAGTTTCGCAGCCTTAAAATTCATAGTTTGTCGACATGTCTCTGAAGCAGACAAGCAATGATGGGATCTACGCGGCGCGGTCGATCATACTATAATACCTCTCCTTTAGCGTCAACGCCAGCTGGCAAGCTTATTCCGAGGAAAGGAAAAGGTGGTCCCTGACCTGACCAAGATGTTAATGGATAACATGCATGTCTGCGGGGTAAACGCTTTCAACAGTTTCGGGGAATATAATTACTGCTGACCAACCCGCTCTCCTCCCAGCTCTCATCCCAGCTCACTCCTTTGAATTTCATCATCAAGACTCGTGGGGCGAGAAGCGCTTGAAAGTCCAAAGCTAGAAATCAAAATTCAAACGACCGGCAGCCTCAACTAGCAATCAGCATGGCTCCCGAACCAGGTTCTCCGAAGCGATCCAAAGGCAAGCGAGTCTCGGCTCAGCACACACTGGAGCGGGTTCGCAACAACCAGCGCCGACATCGCGCTCGCCAGAAAGAGTACACCGCGGCGCTGGAAAGCAAGCTTGGTGATGCGGAGCGAACGATATCTGCTCTCGAGCATCGGGTGGAATCTCTGCAGTCCGAGCTGGCACAACTCCGCTGCCAGAGTATTAATGCCGTGTTTAGCAGTATGCACGCAGGGCAGCGTGACACATCATCAGTAATACCGTCTAGTGGCCCCAGCACGACATTTCGACCATCCGATACCATCGTTAACGAAGAGACCTTCGATGCTACGGCTCTTTTGACCACTCTGCCTATCTTGTCACGTTCTTTTCGAGAGTTTTCTTCTGAACCTCAAACGGAGATCAGTGCTGATATCTTTGCGCTTGCCGATGGTATCGGAGACCTTTGTGCAACTTCCCCTAGGATAGAGTCGCTCGAATCCATTGCCAGGCCGTGGGCCTCAGCGCTCTCTCCGAGATTCGACGCGTTTTATGCGCTTGAGCCGAGTCCCACGATGATCCCTGCTCGGTCCACGGGCGCAGACAGAAGTCTTCCCCCGTCAGCCACGCTCGACGGGTCTTGGATGCAAACGGTACCGTACTACTCCTGCGATGTCTCCTGTAACTGGCTGCTCACTAAACCGTCGGGTAAAAGAACCCGGGAGCCCGCCTTCCAAGTCCAAGAAGTCCATTGTGTCTACCCGGCTACGTGTTTCGGTCAACAATGGAAGAGATTTCGGAGACGGACGTTGGCCGCGAGCCCACAGTGCTTTGTTCCCAGGCATATGCCCTCATTTCTCGGCGAAATGCCAAAAACCTTGGTCCCGAAGCCATCGCCACATGGCTGTGGAGTGGCTTTCATGCATCCCTACGAGCCGGAGAGGGTTGCCGGGTTACCACAAATTTGCTGTCCAGTCTCCTGGAATTCATCAGCATTGCATGAACACCCTCCTCCCTTCATCTCATTCCAGGACGCTTTGGACGAATTAGGAAATCCATATATTCTATCTCGACGATGCTCGAAAGACACTCGAGTGCGGGCATATTGGGTCTTTGCTGCTGACAGTCGGCTTGGGTCTGCTAGAAACCGGCTATTCGGGCACGTCCGGGAAAGATCGGGGCTGGTATTAGACTATTTACCAATTCAAGAGGGGCATTAAAATCACTTCGGGTTAACTCACAACAACATTGAGTTCAAGACAAACCCGAACAGTGTCTTTCCTACCTACCCTCTCAACTCTCTCTGGGTTGTTTATGATTGCCTCTTTATCCCCCCTGACTTCGTGATGGTGCCAAGGTAATCCAGTGTAACCGTACTCGAGATACTCTGCCGCTGAACGTGGGGACTGTGGATCATTTTCACTAATGAGGATGTATACCCCGCGTACGGATACAGATTCATAATCTGGCGGACGTTCCCTCTAAAGAAGCAACCGTCCCCGCATGCCCTCAGGCTTTGTTTAACCTGTTTGGGCAGGCGATCGACTCTAATCTCACAGCTTACAAGGTTATCATTTATCACCATGGCCAGTACCATCATTGTTACTATCGTCATTGCCATTGCTTTAGATGTATTTGACTTCTACAACATCCAGCTAGTGGCGATAGAAAGGCAGAGAAGACGGCGTATCTTGATTATGTCACTATTAGGGCGGTGGTTATCCAACGCTAGACTTTCTATCTTGGCTTCGTTACCCCAACCACTAAGATGTACAGAACCCCGGTATCCGAGGGCATAGTCAGCAAACAAGACTGACCAGGTCGTGATCCGCCTGCGGGGCCCCTATCCCGAAGGGACAGGACACAGGCATAATTGCGGGTTCGGGAACATGCGGCAGATCTCACGGGAGCTGGTCACGGTAGTTAACCGCAGCGAGTGCAACCCAGGCACTTGGGAATAAATACTTGGACGGGTGATGCTGCGTCTTGTGTCCTGTCCTGGTGCGTCACCCAAGCAACCCCCCCCCCCCCCCCCCGTCGCAGCTATGAGGATTTCTCGCCCCTTAGTTCAAGTTCCCTTGGCTGTTGGGTTCGCCCATGGCTCGACCATTGCGGACTGCGAGTCCTTGGCGGGCCCGGCTGAGCCTCCCAAACAAGACGATACACGGGACGACCTGAACTACGGCGCCTCTCAGCAGTTCGCCACCATCGGGACGAACAACGGCCACGACGGCATCTCGGGCTCCCCCTTCTACAAGAACCCCGGCGTCCTCGAGGACTACGTCTACCGCGCCGTGCACCTCGAGGCCCAGCTGGGCAAGGCCGTCGCCGCCGAGTTCTACGGCAAGAACCACACAAAGGCCTACTACATCGGCTGCTCCACGGGAGGCCGGCAGGGGTTCAAGGAGGCGCAGTCGTTCCCAGAGGACTTTGACGGCATAGTCGCCGGCGCGCCCGCCTTCGATCTTGTCAGCCTCCAGTCCTGGACCGGCCAGCTCTTCCTCAAGACCGGCACCAGCAAGGACTCGCGGTTTCTCACGCCGGCCAAGTGGGGCCTGGTATATAACGACATCTTGAGGCAGTGTGACGGCCTGGACGGGCTGGAGGACGGCATCATCGAAGACCCGAACCTCTGCCAGTACCGCCCCGAAGGGCTCATCTGCTCTGGTGGCTCGTCGGGGGCGGCGTGCCTGACTAGTGAACAGGTAGAGATGGTTCGTGCCGTCTTCTCTCCCGTATACGGCGGGGAGGGCCAGCTCATCTACCCTCGAATGCAGCCGGGTGCAAGCCTGCCGGGCTTTCTGCTCGGGGGGGCAGCCCAACGCATACCCCATGGACTGGTGGCGGTATGCCGTGTACAATGACCCCAAGTGGAATATCTCGACGCTGAACCATCACGATTACGAGGTGGCCGCTCAACAGGACCCGTGGAACGTGTCCACCTGGCAGGGTGACCTCTCAGGCGTGCGCCAGCGCGGCGTCAAGATCCTGCACTACCACGGCCTGCAGGACCCAGCCATCAGCAGCGACAACTCGGAGAGGTACTGCGACCACGTCTCGCGGACCATGAACCTGCCCTCGGCGGAGCTGGACGGCTTTTACCGCTACTTCCGCATCTCCGGCATGAGACACTGCGGCGGCGGCACCGGGGCCAGCTTGATCGGCGGGAGCACGAACGGGTTCGCGTCGTTCGAGCCGGACACCAACGTGCTGTCCGCGGTCGTCCGATGGGTTGAGGAGGGCGTCGCGCCGGTCTACATCCTCGGCAGCCGGAAGACGGCGTCGGGCCAGATCGACCTGCAAAGGAAGCACTGCAAATACCCGGCGCGAAACGTATACAAGGACCAAGGCGATCCCAGTACACCGGACAGCTGGGAGTGCGTTTGAGGTGTAGCTGCACGATGCGTCGTCGTTTTAGGGATGGAATGACTGGCCTGCCCAGCAATGTACCTATAGTAAAAGCTCTTGTCTTTTAGAGTTACTAGATTACACACTTTTGCAAGAGTAACGGCTTTGACTGCCCGCAATTCAGATTCAGAAATGAAAAATGAAAAATAATAATAATAATGAATAAGTCTGTTACCGAACTGGCAAAATTTACCTTGTTTCTATTGAGCCGGCTCCTGGCTTTCAAGAGGGACACGGTTCGCACCCTACAATATTTCAATACCCAAACCGAACCAAGTTGTCCCAACAAAAAGCGGGAATCCTGGATACCTGCCGGTTGTCATTGACTGAACCACTGGTTTAGTCCGTACTATACCAAGTACATTTCATGGTCCCGCGACCTTCGTGGTCGCGATCACGGCGGCAGCGCTGGAGGTCTGGCTGCAACGACTTGGAGCGGACGTATGCACGCGAACCTGGAGAAATCAGCCTGCTTACCATTTGAGTATCGCTGTGCAAGTGTGATATCAAGGGCTGTGAATAGTTGATAGAGTGTCATCTGCGTGTTGCCAACATTGGTTGCCGAATGGAGGAGACGCTGCCGATGCGTTCTCTCCATTCGTAGCAACAATATAGATGTCGATTCTTGTTGTCTTTGCAGCTCCCGGATAGTTTCATGCTCCGTGCAGTATGTCGGCAACCTACATGCCGTATACAAAGATACTTATTGTCCGTGTTCCGCGCAGTATAAATCATTAGCAGTTAGCCAGAGGCCGGGTCGCACTTTCAGCTGGCGCGAGGCTCACTCGGCCAGAGGGTAAAGCGATGGGCGTTCCGCCAGCGAAGCGGCTCAAGTAACTGCCGTTGGCTCGTTGGAGTGTTTCAAGACCAGTCCCAACGCGAACTGGCTGTGGTGCATCAACACCGTCTCGAGCGCGTCAAATCTCGCGATGGGAATCAAGGCAGGTAGAGGAGACTCGGACAAGACGGACTCGCTTCGCAACTTAAAGGAAAAAAAAGCAATTCGAATAGAGTACGTAAACTCAAAGCTATGGGGTAAATCGGCACACAAAGCCGAGCTAAAAATAGGCACAAGACTGCGAGGCTTGCAATTGGGTGGCAGTTCTCTGCACGAGTCAGGTTCGCATGGTGTTTATGTAGATTGTGATCGCCGCTTACTACGGTATCGGGCCGTACGTGGGTCACAACTCCACACTACCTGCTAGGGAGTTTATACAATGGTATCCGGCCGAAGTTAATTACCCCTTTTAGGTAACTAATGTTCACCCCCCTACTGCAGGACTTCACTTTTGGTGAATATTCCCCCTCTACTATGATATCAGCTGTGGGGGGTAACATCATAGGGGTAATTAACTTCCCCCTGCCACCCTGTACTTACCCATCATACGTAGTAGAGGCTCGGGTTCCCCGACAGAGAGCCGCCTGGAAGAGGAAACAAAGCTCTCCAGTATGTGCGGTATTTCACTCAAGGCAAGGAGCCCCTCATGGCTAGACCGCGGGGTCGCCGACGATGCATCACATCAAAGGCGTATCCGTATAGTGTTAATATAGTAGAATCATTAGCAACCTCTTCTAGAGTGAGAACATTCCAAGAGTATAAAGTATCGGCAGGGTCTAGGCTGTCAACACGGATAGTCAGTCAGCATCGAAATCACAACCTTCTTTACACTGCCAACCGGCAACTATCAACACCACACTCGCTTCAAACACACTCACTTCTCAACACACACACTCGCTTTTCAAAATGCAGTCCGCTCTCGTCCTCCTCGCCACTCTCCTGGCCGGCGCCAACGCGTGCGCCAACTACAACAAGTGCCACTGCACCAACGCGGACGGCAGCGCCAACGACACCATCACAGCGGTCGTCTGCAACAACAGCAACAAGCTCGCGCCGTCCAGCCCCGGCTGGCCGCTGTACTCGGAAGATGAGGACTCGGTCATGAAGTGCGTCCTCAACACGGGTCCCCACAACGACTTTGTCGGCATCGACAACTGCAAGTTCCGCGAGTTCTGCACCAAGGCCGGGGCCACCGGCTCCGACTCCTTCTGCGAGGTCAACCGTAAAGACTAGAGCGAGGTCGGGGGGGGGGGGGGCAATACGCCCATCAATTTACGTCAAAAGTTGAAAAGGAAAATGTTTTATTTCAGGGGAAAGAGGCGCCAGCCGGCGTACTGTAAACGGATATGTGCTACATAACCTACTGGGAATCGGATAAACTTAACAGGGTATAAGAATGAATATTTGTAAAACGGCTACTTGGTTTGCTGAAAAGCTGAATGGCCCCCGTTTACCACGCGCGACTCGTGGTGTCGTCTTATACATCTTGTATGAACTCAGACCCTCAACTCCAGAACGCTTGCGCAATGTACCCAGAAACCCAACAATACTAAACTGACAAGCCAATGTGGAATTCTCCCCCATCTATCGGTTTTGATCGGATAATGCGACAATGATTCACGGCTTCTCACGACAGCAACCTGCTGAGCGAGACCTGCGGTTCGTCATACCGTCTCTGGCATAGAAAGGCCCACCTCCGAGACATCAGCCTGATGACAACTTTTCGACGAATGAAATCATTTCCCAGCTTGAACCGACCCGACATTTGGGGCGTTGAGTCGGTCCATAAACTTCTTCACCTCGGGGTCAATATTTATGGCTTTCCTTAGCCTATGCTCGTCGGTCGATACGATCCCGAGGCCCAGGAGGGACCGCGCCCGGCTCAGCGCCACGTAAGCCTGCCCGTTCTCGAAAGTGTTGGCTAGGTTGACGATGACACGGTCCAGGGTCATTCCCTGACTCTTGTGGATGGTCATGGACCAGCCGGGGGCAAGGGGAATCTGCGTCCGCGACAGGTAGTCGTAGGGAGCCCCCTCGTTGAGCTCGTTGGCGACCTCAGCGACGCAGGCATCAGGGCCAATGACGCGGCTTTTTCCGTTTGTGAACTGAACCACGGGGACTAGACGTAACACATCAGCAGAGGGCCAGCGGAGCAGAACCCCCTGGACCGGGGCTGGTGGGTTTTCTACTTACATAGGTCGGGCAGCTTGTGCAACTTAGGCTCGGGCGTCCCTGGCGTCTTAGGCGGCTTTATTAAACCGAGAGATATATTCATGACTCTGTACCTCTCCATAGCGGCATGGTAGCCGTCCGGGTCATTTTCGTAGTTGTCTCTGTCAGGTTCATCTGGTATGCTGTATGAAGGGAGTGGTGCGAATCCAGAAATGACGCCCTGGCTCCCATTGTAGAGCTTGTTGTCTAGGTCGATCTGCGATGATTTGGGTAAGTCAACTTGACAACTGACCCCGATCCCCATGTTTAGACTAGTAGAGGGGTAGGGAAACTCACGTTTGCAAGCAATATGACAGGCATATTAACCTTGAGTTTCAGCGGATCCGTGTACCGGTGATCTTTTGCAAAGCGCGCCATTTCTTCGTTGGCGCGTTTAGCGCGGTATCTCTCCTGCGTGGCTAGTTAGTATGAGCGAGTACCTCGGAGGGCGGTGATCTGGCGGTTTGAGGGAGTAAGGAGTCTTACACTGCCCCTGTTGTTTGGGTAAAAGGCATCATAACTGGTGTACTCCATCTCATCGCCGGGGAGCTCCTTGAATTTATTCTCATTGTGATCTTTTACTTGCTTGTTATGGGTGAACAAACGAGTCCCGTTTTCTACTTGGGTTTCGTGTTTCAGAAGGAGCTTCACGTCGCTCTCGTCAAGATTCTCTCCCAAGCGGCACTTCTGAAGGACCCTGATGAACCGCTCATCCTTCTGGCGGTGAATCTTTGTCAGGTGCACATACTTGAAATCGCATTTCTTCCACTCGGGAGACTTGAACGCCCATTTGTCGCAGTCCTTGAAGCTGCGGTGGCAATGAGAGCACCAATACGGGACGAAGGCCATATCAGACACCTTCTCTTTCATAGGTCTACCGCACTCGAGACAGTTCTTGAACGGCAGCACCGGGGGGAGCTGACAAAAGTCACCGACGGCGATGACCTGAACGCCCCCGAACGCGCCTTCGGGCTGCACCCAGCCCTCTCGTCTAGCTACGTCGCGACGGATGAAACTCATGACGTGGCTGAGCCGACCGAAGAAGAAATTCTCAACCATGCTGATCTCATCGATGATGATGACTTCGGTGTACCGAAATCGCATGAAGATACGCCTAGCTCGAGACTTCTCTTCGAGGTACTCGATCGACTTTTGGGCACCATCGGGTGTCCATCCGGCGTAGTAGAATGTTGTACGGCCGCCAATGTTATTGGCAGCCAAGCCGGTGGGTGCAAGGAGTTCGACATTCTTGTGCATGTCCTGGAACTTGCGATAAAGGGCCTTTATGAGGACTGATTTGCCACATCCGCCCGACCTGGGAGCATTCAGAATAAATCGTGAGTTGACGCTTGCCACGGAGACAAGGTTGGACTACATCAGACGACATCTCCAGCGCGCGGTGACTACGTACCCAGTAATGAATAAATTGTGGCCCTGCATGGCAAGGTCCATGGCTTCTTGTTGTTCCTTGCACAGCACGTACTCTGGCTGCGGGATCGACTGTGAGCCATGACCGGCCGGCCCCGTGGCGGCGGCAGAATGTTGCCGTACGCGGGCCTGGTCGCGGAGCTTTTCAAGGAGCTTCTCACGGAGCAATTCAAGGATTTCCTCGCGAGGCTTGTTGAGAAGCTTCTTGTGGAGCTGTTCAAGGAGGTCTTCGCGAGGCTTTTCAAGGAGCTCTTTACGGAGCAGGTTAACGAGCTCCTCGAGAGGTTCGTCAAGAAGCTTCTCGGTAAGACGGCTCACCTTAGCGTGTGTCAGCCTCGTGTTAATTATACAGATGGAGTTGTTTCCTCACAGCTTCGTGGAATGTTTTTTCACTCTTGTCTGCGTTATGAAAGGTCAGCTGAAGAGCCCCTGGCTCAAACGAGGTCCGGTGGGCAACTCACAGCCACTCTTCGTGAATTTATGGACCTGATCGGTGCAATCTTCCCAGCTCAGGAAGATGCCGCAATTTCTGCCACGCCAGACAACATAGTACTTCGCCTTCTTGTCGGAGATGGTGAGGGGCACGCCCTGCTTGTACAGGGTCACGAGGCGGTCCACTGTCTTCTCGACCGGCTCCGCCTGCGTGCCCTCGGCCACGAGACGGCTCACCACCGCCTCATGGTCGGCTCCGCATGCGTGTACCCGACCATGAGGCGGTTCACAATCGCCTCGATCGGTTCCGCCTGCGTGTACTCGGCCACAAGGCGGTCCACCGTCACCTCGACCGGCTCCGCTTCTGCGGGGGGCTCACCGGGGACGGCCGGATCGTTGTCATCCGAGAGCAAAGCGATGTAATCTGGCTCGGAGGAATCATAGCGTGGTCGCTTGGGCTCTTGTGGTGAGGGTAGAGACTTGGGACCAAAGGATTGACTGCGCTTGCTACCCACGGCTATGGGACGGGGTTAAAATAGGGCCACACACACACAGAGAGAGAGAGAGAGAGAGATACGGACCTTGAGAGAAGATGTAGGCGATTGGATTGATTGCGAAGACGGCATCCCAATCTTCCTGTGTAACCTCACCATCTGTAATATCATCCTCTGCAACCATGGATTGAATTGCGAAGGCGGCATCCCAATCTTCCTGTGTAATCTCATCATCTGCAATGCTATCCTCTGCAACTATCGGTTGGATTGCGAAGATGGCATCCCAATCTTCCTGTGTAATCTCACCATCTGTAATATCATCCTCTGCAACCATGGATTGAATTGCGAAGGCGGCATCCCAATCTTCCTGTGTAATTTCATCATCTATCATGTCATCCTCTGCAACCATGACGATGAAGAAAAGTCGCGTCCTTAGGAAGCGCGGGCGCGCGTCAAAGTTCAATAAAGCAACGTTGGGATTTCCCCTGGAAGAAGTGTGTGGTGGGATCGGCGGTGAAACAGTTTGGTCCTTTCCGGCTGTGGCGGCCGCCACATTAGGTACTTAGGTGCATCGTGGCTGGGTAGACTGCGCCACATTATCCTCAAGAGAAGATGAAGAAAGAAGAAGAGAAAGGAACAAGAAAAGAAACAGGGAAGGGGAAATAGTAATGCCGTGTAAAGGAAAGACAAAAAAAATACGAGGGTCCTGCTTGCTGAATCTCGGCAATAGTGGTGTATTTTCTATTGGTTCTGAAGGTGGTGATTGATTGAAGTTGAAGAAAAGAATAGAAAGAAAGTGGCAGCTGCCGTAGATACACATGGTGTAAGTGAGCTGCTGAGGAGGGTCACGTGGATGGAGCTGGGTCACATGACACTGGGTCGGTTCCACCCTCCACCGGTTGAATATCCCGACAGGAGCATCATCTCGATTAGCCGCTGTCGACCCGTCCGTTGCGAATGAGCCGCCAAATGCATTCCACACGATGGACGTAGCGTTCAAACGGCAATCGACTTGAGCAAGGGCAATGAGGTTTGCAGAAATCATGGGTTGATGAGTTACAAATGGGAGAATGGTGTAAGCCCTCCCAGCAAATCCATTGGCAGTCGGACTGACTGGCATCCATGCATCCATCCCGCAGACTGCCATGCCACGCGATCTGGTAGCGTCATGTAGCAGCGACCAATGGTATGACAAGCTGCTTTTCGAATTAGGCAATAGAGCAGGAAGCTCACGCCAGTCCCACCCACCCAGCATCAACCAGCATTGAGCCATGAATTCCAGACTTTGGACGCTTGGAGGAAGCGATGCACCTCCAAGCCAGCGTTGGAGCTCAGTGTTCATCCATGAAAAAGAGCAGCCGACGGTAGGGTAGACATTGATTCGCTTAGAATTTCAAGGTTCGGGACCTTGTCAACTTCCAACCTTCAACTTTCTCCGCGAAGAAACAACAACATCAGATGCATTCCCGTCGCACCACAAATCAAGGGTTCAGTGAGGACCACCTCACCTCCCTGGTTTAAATGCATCTTGAAACAAACCCCCAGAAACCCCCTCAAAGGCATGAATAACCCCGGCTGCCCGCTTTAACGACCTCAAAGGCAAATGCGCCCTGTTTCTTTATCCGCCACGGCTTCACCCTATCTGTCTGTTCTTTTCCTGCATTGCCCGAGGACAACAATAATGTCACATGTCTTTCGACAGCATCATTGCCCAAACCCTGTTAATCCTTTTGCAGGATTATGCATAGCTTGTTTTGCATATGACGAGGGAGGGGGCCCTGACGCCCCGACTTGCGTATCATACCGCTGAGGGTGTGCATCGGTGGCTTGGACTCCCGACCGCCGACTCTCACGTGACTCCATGCACGGGAAGCCTGGCCCAAGCCTCCGCTATTCGTCTCCAACACCGCTTCGAACCACGCAGCAGGAGCCCATCCAAAATCCCAAAGAGGACGATGCTTAACAGCCAAGCCAGACACAGCACAAACATGTCGCCTAAATGGAAAGTTGACCCGATCTGGGAAACATGGTAAACTCGACACCACGGACGTTCGGCACAATCCGGCCCCGGCCCTCGAATGAACACGACCGCAAGGACAGGCGCTAGCTGATGCGGCCAGCCTTGCACTCTAATCATTAACAACGAACATGGCGCCGACTACGTGGCATCTCGCCGCCTCCCACGGGAAACCATCCCTCGGGTTTCCCAGACCGAGCGTGACCTACGTCAGGAGATGAGGCGCCGAGCTTAGTATGGCGAACCCAACCCCCCCCCCCCCGATGGACTCGTCCAGCTGATGTCGCGGGGCATTGGAAACTTTGAACCAGCCGAAGCATATCGAGTTCCATTGAGCGTTTCGCGGGCACGCGGCGTGTAGTCTATACGACTGGCGGCACGAAAAGGCAAACGCGGCAACGGTATTTAAGTTACCATCCCCCGCCCCTCGGCCTCAGATAGGACTGATGGTTGTTTTCGTTGCTCGACACTGGCACGACAAGTGTAATCAAAAGAATCACAAATACAACCGCACCCAAATGCATTCGCCAAAATCACCCACCGAAAAGGCATCGTTGACGTCGCCTACCTCCTCCACCTCCACCCCCTCTACAGCCTCCTCCACATCCTCTCCCAAGCCTCCCAAGCGCCGTCTGCCTAAGATGAGCAACACGGACGTTCTCATCGTCGGCGCCGGCCCGACGGGCCTCACCCTCGCCCTCGAGCTGTCGGTACAGGGCATCCCCTTCCGCCTCATCGACAAGCTGGCCGAGCCGTCGGACAAGTCGCGCGCGCTCGCTGTCCAGTGCCGCTCGCAGGAGCTCCTCAACCGCCATCCGCACATCGCCGAGTCCATGCTGACGGACGGCACAAAGGGCCCCGGTGTCAACATCCACTGCAACAAGCGCCTGCTCGTCACCGGCACGTTTGACGACCTCGGCATCGAGGACACCCGCTTCCCGCTGCCCCTGTGGATCTCCCAGGCCGACACCGAGGCTGCCATGCTGCGCCAGCTCGAGGCCTACGGTGGCCACGTCGAGCGTGGCGTGACGGCATGCGACATCAAGCAGGATGGTGTCCGCGCGAGCGCCACGCTCATCCGGGGCGGCGGCGGCGGCGGCGGCGAGTCGGGGGAGGAGGAGGGGGGGGAGGAGAAGAAGGAGATCGTGCGGGCCAAGTTCATTGTCGGGTGTGACGGCGCGCACAGCGTTGTACGGCACAGCGCCGACGTGTCGTTCGAGGGGTCGCAGTACCCGACGCAGTACATCCTCTGCGACGCCCGAATCCGGGGCGAGTACGACACCGAGCGCATCTCGCTCTTCCTCGGCCGCCGCGTCATGGTCGCCTTTCCGCTCAAGGACGGCGTGCTCCGTATGGTGGGCGAGCGGTCATCACTGAGCAAGCGCGAGGGCGATCCGGACGTCGAGGAGTTCCAGGCCTTCATGCACGAGATCATGGGCCCCGGGCTCGAGATTGAGGAGGCGCTGTGGCTGACGAGCTTCAAGTGGAACTGCCGCGGCGTCAACAAGTACCGCGACGGACGGCTGCTCCTGGCCGGCGACGCGGCGCACATCCACTCGCCGGCGGGCGGGCAGGGGATGAACACGGGGATCCAGGATGCCATCAACCTCGGGTGGAAGCTGGCGGCGGTGCTGCGGGGCGAGAAGGAGGAGGCCTTCCTCGACACGTACCACGAGGAGCGGTACCCGGTTGGGCGGCACCTGCTGGCGGGGACAGACCGCATCTTCACGATGGTGGCGTCGCAGAACACGCTCTTCACGACGGTGCGCAACGCGCTGATGCCGTGGATCGTGCCGCGGATCTGGAACAACCGGGCGCGGCGGCTGTCGCTCTTCACCTTCATCTCTCAGATGTCCATCAAGTACCGGCGGAGCCCGATCGTGGGCACGGCGCTCGGGTTCGAGGGCCCCGTGCGGGGCGGGTGGCGGGCGCCGGACGGCGAGGTGGCGGACGAGCGGGGCGACAAGGCCGGGTGGCTGCTCGGGCTGACGAGCGCGCGCGACCACACCGTCTTCCTCTTCGCCGGCACGGACACGGACGAGGAGGGTCTCGAGCGGGCCGAGGAGAAGCTGGTGACGGACGGCCGGTTCAAGGAGTACGGCGTCGTCAAGGTGTACGCGGGCGAGGCGGTCGGCCGGGGCGGGTACAGGGACCCGGACGGCGTGCTGCACGGGCGGTACGGATTCGGCGGCGGGGGCGCGGGCATGGTGGTCGTGCGGCCGGACGGCTACGTCGCCTTCATCGGGCCGGCCGAGTGCATGGACGAGTTCCTCATGATGTGAGGGGGAGGGGGGGGGCCGTAGGGCCGTCATGTTGTTCGCGAATTGTCTTTTGAGCGGAAAGTTATCCATGGGTCTGCAAGCGTCTGGGCACGAAAGGAGTTGCTTTTTTTTTCGGCGATGGGGAGCAAGTAAACTCTCCTATTGGGATTGATCCCCCGCCGGCCCCGGGTTATTATTTTTTTTCTTTTAATTTTAATATTTTTTCCGGAAAAGCAAGCTCTTTCCACTGCCTTCTTTTTTTTCTCTTTCTGACTGAGACAATGTGTTTGAGACAACGTGTTGGAGACTGCGGCGTGTTCGGCCGTATTCTCGGCGGCAATCCCCCAGCCGAATCGGATTGATGAGCTGGCAGAGCAGTTCCTGCTTCCGTTGTCTCGGGCGAGAAAAGACAAAAGGACAAAAGGAGAAGGAAAAATAAAAGTAAAAGGGCCCCCGGAGACTCGCCGAGCCAAGCGCCGTGCCCGCGCAGCCATGTCCCCGACAGACACGGCGGAGCCGCAACGGCGCCAGGAGATGGTGGCCGGACCGCACCCTCCTTGCTCTTTGCGTTTAGATTCCTCTCTCTCTCTCTCTCTGCCCCTTATTCTGGTTACCAAGACGTCAGGCAACAGAGTTTGGTGGGGGCGACACATCAGACTGATGCACCGCAGCGCTCCCCGCATCAACAAGACATCATAGCGGGTGTTGGGATTCGGACCGATTATGCTCTTCGGGGGGGTTGAGGAGGATCTGGCCCTTCTCCTTTTTTTTATTCTTCCCCAGTACCCACTTGATGCAATGGAGGAGGGGGGAAGCTGGCGAGGCCAGGACGACGACGATGTCCGTAGTGCATATGCCTCTATAGCGTATTCGTTTTGTGCCCCCATCAGACTAGGTAGGATGTGAGAAGCTGGTCCAACAAGCCGGGCCTTTTTGATATCACGTTAGCCGCAGCGGCAGTCATGGCAAACCCAGACGGTGATGATCTTCTTCTTCTTTCATCGTCGACAGGACGGATTAATACAGATGTATTTCCTCCCGTTCAACAGGAGATATGCCGGGCCTAGCGTCGAAGGCGTCCCCTGAGCCAACATCAAGATCGACCTGGTTAAGCTTCAACTACGGCGGGGGGTCCATGTGTACGTGTGTCGGTACGTACCCATACCTGCCTGATTAGGCGCCCCAGGACCCAGGTACCATTTGTGGGGGTCGTTTCAGAGCCTCGGTGGGTCCTGCCCGACGTCATCGGCCGTCCCTTTTCGGCAGCGACCAAGAAACTAAGCGTTTTGCTCCTTCCACGACAGCGACAACGACAACGACAACGTCAACGTCGAGGACCACCGGGACACATCTTCAAGTCCGTGTGTATTCGCATTTTTCCACCATGTCACTTTTTTGTACGTGGCAGTGTACCTTGTACCTTACCTTGTTTTTCCTCTGTCTCTCTCTCTCTCTCTCTCTCTCTCTCTCTCTCTCTCTCTCTCTCTCTCTCTCTCTCTCTCTCTCTCTCTCCCTCTCTCCCTCTCTCCCTCTCTCCCTCTCTCCCCCACACACACAGTCGCCTTCGGCCGTCCGCTTGACACTGACTGAACGCTCACCCGACGCCGGCCTCGACCCCGAAACTCTCGCCGACACCCTGCCCGTCAAACAATCATGGATGATGCATCGCCTTTCCGTCGTCTTCTCCACCATCCCCCACTTCAGCTCAGGCAGGCCTGCTCTCCCACCCATGGCCCCCCCGTCTTCCTTTTCGGCCCGGCCTACTAGGCGCCGGTGCCAACGGGCGATCACCGCTCCCCCCCGGGAACCCTGCCCGCCTCGTTTTCTTTGGCCAACAGCGCCGTTCAGCTCTTGCACAACGCCTAACCTTGGAAGCCAGCAACTGGGAAAATGGCACCGGCGCTACTGACCCTCGTTTGTCTGGGGAAGGATGACATAGCTACGTCGTCTACCTCCGCCCAACACCGCCGCACCATGTCAATGACATCGCCTTGATATCCACACCAATCTCTCAACCCCACATATGAGCGAGGATTGAGCGGCCCATCCGGCCCCCGACCGACTGGGACTCGGAGCCATGCATCGGCATTGACCGTTCAGTTACCGGTCTTCCTGGCCATCTATATAGAGTCCGTCCGCCGCCGCCTTTTCTACACGAGCTTCAGCCTCTTGGTCTTGTCTAGTCAGCGTCTCTCTTGCATTCTTGGGGGTCTACGGGATCTGTCAGGTCTTAGCATACATATATTCTTTTCGAATCCCGCCGCACGGGCATCTTTGTCTGACAGTTTACCATTCACGCACTCCTCTCGTCCTTCACTCACAACACCCCTCATACGAAACGGACGCCGCTTTCAAACACCTCAACTGAAAGACCTCCTCTCATTTCATTTCATCATGGGTTGGTTCGGCTTGAAGGGTGCATGGCTCACCTTCTGGGTGACCGTCGCCTGTGCAACAGACATGACGCTCTTTGGGTACGTCCATTCACTCCATCCCATCTAGCCCCATGACTAACACGCACCCCTTGCAGCTATGACCAGGGCGTCTTCGGCGGCGTCATCGTCACCAACGACTTCCTCGAGACCATGGGCATCGTGGGCGACGACAAGCTCCAATCCACCGTTACCGCTATCTACGACATTGGTTGTTTCCTCGGTGCCGTCTCCACCATCTGGATCGGTGAACGATTGGGCCGCAAGAACACCATCCTCGTTGGCACCACCATCATGTCCATCGGCGCCATCCTGCAGACCGTCTCCTTTGGTCTGCCCCAGATGTTCGTCGGCCGCGTCATCGCCGGCATCGGCAACGGCATCAACACCTCCACCGCTCCTGTCTGGCAGGGTGAGACCAGCAAGGCCAGCTGGCGCGGGAAGCTGATTGTCATTGAGATGATTATGAATATCTTTGGCTTCTCCTTGAGTGAGTCCCTCCGCTTTGTGCTTTCTACCCTGGAATAAAACAACACGTGCTGACCATGGACAGGCAACTGGGTGACCTTTGCATTCTCATCCCTCACCGGCTCCGTGTCCTGGCGTGTGCCCCTCGCTTTCCAGTTCTTGTTCATCATCATCCTCTACGGAACCGTTCCCTGGCTCCCCGAGTCTCCTCGGTATGCTTTCTTTCTCTATCTCTCTCCACGCCCGGCAAACCCTCAAGCACATGAGACTAACTTGTTTCCCCCTAGCTGGCTCATCGCCAAAGGACGCGTCGCCGAGGCCGAACAGATCCTTGCGGACCTTGAGGACCGCCCCGTCGATGACGCCTTCATCCAGACCCAGTCCAAGGACATCCAGTGGGCCGTCGACTTCGAGCGCGACAACACCATCTTGTGGTCCGACCTCCTCCGGGGCCGGACCGGCGAGACCGCCGGCACCTGCACTATTCGCCGGCTAATTCTCGGCATGGGAACGCAGGCCATGCAGCAATTTAGCGGCATAAACGTTACGAGCTACTATCTTCCCCTGGTCCTCATTAACTCTGTCGGCCTGAGTAACAACTTCGCGAGGCTGCTGGCCGCTTGTAACTCGGTCAGCTACTTGTTGTTCAGTCTCATCGGAATCCCCAACGTGGAGCGCTGGGGCCGGAGAAAGATGATGATGTGTAAGTTCAAGACCCTCCCGCGAGAAAAAGAAAGAGGAAGAGAGAATGCGTGTGAGTTGTATGAGATGGAACGTTCCTGACACCAAATAGATGCCGCCTTTGGCCAGTTTGTCTGCTACGCAGCCATCACCATCTGCATCCGCTACAACGAGATGGGCGGCCTCGCCCCCGAGATCCAGGCCCAGTGGGCCAAGGCCTCCATTGCCTTTTTCTTTTTGTACTACATCCTGTTTGGAATCGGAATGCAAGGTACGCCATGGCTTTACCCCACCGAAATCAACAGTCTATCGATGCGCGCGAAGGGCGCCGCCCTCGGTACTGCCACGAACTGGATCGTCAACTTCATGGTAAGCCTCCCCATGACGCCTGTCACAAATCCTTTCACTAACGCCAACCACCCGCAGGTCGTCGAGATCACGCCGCCCGGAATCAGCGCCCTCGGCTGGAAATTCTACATCATCTGGACCGTCTTCAACTTCTCCTTCGTGCCCATCGTCTACTTCTTCTACCCGGAGACGTCCGACCGCTCGTTAGAGGACATCGACCGCTTCTTCGCCAATAACCAAAATATTCTCGTCTTCCGCGACAAGGACGCCACCTCATCGAAGCGGCCGCTGAAGTACATCGCCCAGGAGGAGGAGGCCATCCGAAGGCGCAACAGCGGCGCCATGCCCGGCGAGGTTGAGGATATGTTGCGCCGGCGGGGCGCGGCGGAGAAGCTTAAGAAGGGCTCGAGCGACGAGGAGATGGCGTTTGGCGAGCACAAGGAGAGGGCCTGAAGCGAGGTCGTTGGCGGGGCAGAAAGAGATGTTTGATACGATTGTGGACATTTATGAGCTATGACTGTAAAACACCATGATACCTGATGATTTTCACATTTAAATTTACCATTTTTCATACAAGACTCGCCATGTAATGAACTTGAATGTCTGTCTCCTAATCATGGTCATGGAAAATGCGACATGTGTCAATGAACGCCTCGTCCTGGGATTGTCACACCATACTTCCTCCAGAGGCCGCTTCCATCTTGGAGCTCCAGCCTCACGAGGCCATCTCAGCATCGGGTGGGAGGGAGATGAATGAAGGCAACACAGGCATACTATGCCTTACCACGGCATGCCGCGTCGTCTCCAAGGGGTGCCCCTGGGGAACCGTCTACTGCAGCCCCCGCCCCCAACAGCATCTAGTCTTCTTCCGCGAGCCGGATCTTCCTTTGACGAACGATGTGCGTTCTCCCACCCCTTTCCCACCTGTTCCAATGGTCCTGCTGACGGCTTCGTCGACGAAAAGGTTGGAAGAGGGGAGAGGAACCTCGCGAATTGGTGTCCGAGGTCCATCTGGCCCTTTGGATGGCCAGATTTCGCCACGGACGTCGGTTCGAAAGTGGCCCTGGAGAATAGATAGGGGTTGGCCAAGGCATGATGAGTTGGCGCCAAGGAAATGTGACATTCGTGTACCGCATGAGCTGGGCTGTCGCTTATGGGGTCTAGAACGGATAGATACGTTCAGTTCGATACATATACACAGGCAGATGGACCTGTTCAGTATCGTGCCCGAGCACCGCCGTCTCCCGGGCAGCGAGGCGTCTCGAAGCGTCGCCCCGAATGTGGCGAGCAAATTCTGATGCCCGACCGTCGGCAGGCCTGCGCTCTGCCGCTCCTTGCAGGACGTCAAACACTGACCGAAGTGCTTATATCCATGGCGGCCCCTTTTCAAGGTTTCACGGGTGACATCAACACTGGCCGTGGTCTTGTCAGCCCAAGCCTAAGGACATACATAACCCTCCCTCTCTCCCACCGGCCCCCTGAATCCCCTACCGCGGTACTTTCCGTTCCAACCGGGGACTCTGAGAACCTTGGAGGGGCGGACGTTCCGCCACCCGGACATTCCATCAACACTACCGAGGCTCCGCTGCCGTCTCCTCTGTCGATTGGGGATCTCCTGGATAGTCTGGCACCCGTGTCGACGGGGACGTCGCCTCCAGCTGGACTCTTGAGCAATCCCCAAATCATGGCAACGATGTCGTCCGGCTCTCTCAGAATAGCTTGCTGCCGCTCGGACAGCGTCTGCTTACAGGATGCTATCAAGGACTTTAGATATTATTACTTGAAGATGGCACCAAGATCAAAGAGCAAGGCAGATGGATTTAGGGTCAAGTTCTCGATCAATACCCAAAAACAAAACCCCATGCTCGAGTGCTTGTCGCAGCCCATGCAGTATTACGTATGTCATCCAAATCAGGAGCTGACAATAGCAGACCAGTAATTGCCTACTGGAGATCTGCATTGGCTGGCTTCTGACTCCTGTGTGTCTGCTTTCATGGAATCCAGCAGTTGGGCATGTGATTGGTTTCTAGCTTTCTGTGTTCGTTGGCAAACGCTACTGGACCCGTGCAACCAGGAAACTTTGTCTACTTCTCTGCTTCACTGTTTACCTTGGCTCACCTCTTTACTTCACATCGCTGCCTACCTCACTTCGCCTTTCTACTTTACATCGCTACCCGCCTCGCCTCGCCTCCCTTCGCGGCCTCACCAAGATCCCAATCGCTCCTTTTCGAGCTCATCTACTTGTATGGTATCTTCCTGCCGACAACTTTGCGTACACGGTACTTACTCTCAACAGCTTGCAATCACATTGCTGAATCGAACACAGGACTCGTTGTCGCCATCATACCCGAATTCTCTCACTGACGCTCCCTTCATTCAACCATTCAGGCACCATGTCTGTGGACGAGAATCAAGTACCGGCGACGGTCCCGCACTCAGAAGCCGATTCCGGGAAAATGCCTCTCTCTCAGACGCCTTCTCCGTCCAGCTCCACAGACATCATGGTCGTGAACTATGATGGAATCTCGACGCCAGTCGGGTACCCCAAAAACGTCTCTGTCGCTCCGTCTTCTTCATTTAACCACGCCGGCATCATCCCCAAGAACACGGGTGACGTCGTGGCGACAGCCCCGTCCTCCGAAAAAGATTCTCTCCCTCCCAGCCTTGCCGGGTCTCCCTTGTCATCGATTCCTACACCCAAACACTCAAACATCCGGGGTGTGTACAAGGATGAACACGAGCTGGATCCCGTGCTCTACAATGGCTACAGCATCACATCCAAGAAGGGCATCAACAAGGAGAAAGCCGATATGCCCTTACTCAACCGAGAGTCTCGGCGGTACATCCCGGGTCGGAATTTGACCCTCTTCCCCATCGTCCCGGCCCCGCCCCACGGGCTTCCGGGTCTTCCCTCGCTTGAACAAAAGCTTCCCAAGGGACAGATTCGCAATTTCGAATCGACAAGTATGTTCTCGTTACGAGACGTTGCCAAAGTCGAGATTCTCGAGCTCATCAAAGGCGGCATCGGTCTCGGGATACAGTTGGTGCTTTGTAAGGTTGTGGGAGCGCCAACGCACACGCAGCCAGGGGGCGTTCGGAGGAGCTACAAGCCGCTGGATGAAGGAATGAAGGTGGTGTTGAAAGTCTTCGATCCAATGCTCTTCCCGCAAGCCGAATACTGGGATATAGACCATCGCGAAATGTCCGAGGACGACTGGGCTGATGAACTGCTCAGTCGCGAGGCCAACGCCTTGCAGCACTGGTACAACAAAGGGATTACCGGCCATCCCCATCCCGCCCCGCAGTATCATGGCACTTGGACTATGTAGTTCGAGTCCAAGGACCTGCACGACGTCCGGAAGCGATACGTCGGTGCTGTTCTCATGGAATACATCGAGGGTGCCTCCATGGAGAGCATGTGCAACCGCGAGATTGTGTACGACGACGACTACTACGACGACGACGACGGGCGTGTTTTCATGGTTCCCAAAAATGCATTCTTGAGTCCTCCTAGCTCTCAAGACGGCAAATCCGGTGTGTCTTTTAGCGACCTGTCCGCCAGACTGAATGTTTTCCGAACGCTGCTTGACGGCTTTGTATCTTTCTTGCACGCGGGCATCAACCGTAACACTTTTCTTGCCCGGGACATTTTTCTCTCACGCTAGGGAACAACGGCGACGACTTGGAAGAGCCCCGAGTGGTTTTCCTTGACTACAGCTACTCTGTTGTGTGGTCGGATACCATAACAAGCAAGGAGGGACGAGCGGACGAGTATGATGGGATGTTTCCAAAAGTGCCAAGCCACTATCTGCTCAACGAGCACCCGCTCCAGCGACTGCCTCGACCCCCTCATCCTGCATGGAAGTACACCACCTGCAACCTCTCCCAGTTCGCCGGCTGGTTTCCGCCTGAGTGGACGGAACGCCCGGCTGCTTTTTGAGGACTGGCTCGAGAAAGAGTTTGGAGAGCTCGTCGAGGGAAAGTACTCGACGTGCGAGACGCTGGTAAGGGTCCTGGAACAGGCATCGGAGGCCGCAAAGCGTAGGTACTTGGCCGATTACCCGGGAAAAGCGGACGCCGATCTGGAAATGGGCGATCGGACATTGATGCTGTACCCAGAGCGGGAGGAGCAAAGACTACGAGAAGGGGCCATGTACAAAGAGACGACGGACAACTTTCATGAAGCGATGCGCCGTATCAAGCAGTTTGAGGAGGAGGAGAAATCTCGAGTCGACCAACCCGAGGACGTCGACGAGGAATCCTGAACTTGGGGCAAATTCCGTCTTCCTTTCAGGCCGGGCAAGGATAAAGGAGGCAAGCAAGGCAAAGACGGAGAACAAGGAGGTGATGCGGAGGACCCGCCAGAACCTCAACGGAGCATCAGGGGGGGGGGGGGGGGGGGGCAAATCGACGATGAAAAACACGGGGCCCTGATGAGGGCGGCGAAGAATCAATCCCTCATAATCGACAAGAAGCGCCGCAAGGGTAAGAAACCCCAGGACGAAGAACATGGGGGGCGTGAAGGCGGCGAAGTGATGGCCAAACCGAAGCGTCTGGTGAGTCGAAGGGACCGGACCGTCCTACTCCGCCCGAGCAGAAATGAACGCAAAGCTAGAAGGTAGCGAGCGCATATCATGGATTGATTGATCTCTTCCAAAAAGAAACGACGGCCGGAGGGGGGGGGGGGGGATGTTTGATGTGTGATGATTTGGGCGACTATCAAGCGCAGGAACTGACTACCGCAGCGCCAGCAGCCTAGAAATGACACGTTGTTGGCTTCCACGATAGCATGGTATAGCAGTTTGCAATCATGTCCATGTTGTTTTCAGAGAGTTTTCGGCAAGAAACACACAGACTGGGAGTGAGATTAGGCTCCGGGTACGTTTACGAGCTCCCAACGATGGTAACCAACATGACAAACGTGATCCATGTTGCATGAACGATGTCTATCACGAATCATCACCCAGAGATCAACGCCTAGGGTCGAAAGGGGCTTTGTCTGTTAGACCCCGCACCATGCCGTTCGTACAGTCTGTTGCGACGTCCGAAAACCCATCTTGTCCATCCGTGTGCTAGAGACACGGACAGAATGTTATCCCAACAACCACTACGACACAGAGGGCACGCTTCGTCTATTTGCCATGGGAAAACGAAATTCCAGCCCTGCCGGGCCCATCGCTGGATGACGGCGATGCCCGACCTAGCCGGGAGAGAGATATAACCAGAGAACACCGCGGTGTCTCGACAAGAGACATTCCCTGCGGTTCTTGTACACTATGAGTCTCTTTTCAAATGCCACAAGCCAATAACAGCCACATGAAGACGCTGTGAAGTGAACGGTATTCGCCCGCTTGCGTCCTGCTTGTTCCCCGCCTGTACCTGGTGGTCACGCCTGCTCAAGCATCCGGACTGCTTCATCACAAAAGCACCCGGTGATTTGTGGCCTACAGAGTGTGTCGGTAGAGCATCGCAGCCGCTTGGAAATTCTGGTCTGCTGCGGTCTCTGGCAGGCAGGCAGGGGCAAATTCCCGTTCCTGCCGGGCCAACATCGCATATGACATGAAGCGCCACCAGGTTAATCTCGACTTTGGTGCTGGGGAGCCAGGCCCTCCAGAGTTGCCCCATCGACGACATGTCCAACCCCCGACGATGTATGGGGAAGGGGCCACGGAGGCAGACACCTTCAGATTCGCCATCATGGGGGTTCGGCTTGTTCACGGGGGTTCTGTGTTGATGGACTAGACAACTTGAGAAATCAGATAATGCTTGATCGAGTTGACGCCTTTCCTCGCAGAAACCTGTCATTCCCGGTCCTATTGACGTTTGGATGGATTGGGGCAAGATCCGCAAGAACACTAACAGCAGATGGTGCACAGTTTGGATTGAACCTTGGCGGACGACACATCCCCTGGACCATTTGGTCTGGCAACAGTCTGTTGCTGCGACGCCACCGCCGTCGTCCACTCCGATCAATCCCGGCTGGGCCCGGCCAGGCTGGCGTCGACACTGCCGCCAATCGCGATAGGACCCCCTCCTCTGTCAAGATCTGTGGAACAAAAAAAAAAAAGGAAAATAGTCTAGATATCACATGCCGGGTTCCGTAGTGTCTTGACGCAAATCGCGGCAACGGGTGTAAGTACCTAGGCCTCTGCACGATACGTTGTTCCCTCCTGTCCTCCGCGTAGCATTATCAGACCCATGGCGAAGCGGCGGCAGACACATTTGTTTTGCGCCGAAAACCCGCGACATTAACCTGCCTCTCTCTGTCGGACCGCGCCCCCCTGCCTCCCCGGTCTAAGCTCCTCCCCATCTCGCTTGCCCTCCTGCTGGCGTCACCATGTCGCGGTCTTAGGAGGAGACGGCTCCCTTGACATCCTCCTTGACCTCGTTGGCCAGCTCGCCGGCGCTCTTCTTCTGGGCAGATTGCCACATGAGGATACGGGTGCACTGGGCGACACCGACGGCACCGAGGAAGAAGTTGACGGCGGCGAGGCTACGTTGCGTCAGTAAGTCAGTCATGGTGTTCCGAGCGCATGCTCCCGGGAGGGGCGGGGGGGAGTGACGTACAGGTAGTTCTTGGGCTTGATGATCAAGCACCAGCGGGTCCAGATGATACCAGTGGCCGTCAGGGCGGCGTTCTGGGTCAGGGACAGCTTCTCGGCGGGACGGGCAAGGTCGGCAATACCGGCGAGGACAAGAGCCCACTGTACATCATGTCGCTGGTCAGCAATCGGTCTCTCTGATTGTATCCTCCCCGATCATCCGTGTCTCCCGTCCTCGCGGGATGGTCATGCGGGAACTCCGACATCGCAGCCGGGCCATCTACAAGGGATGGTCCCTCTCGTTGGGGGGGGGGGGGGGGATGCCGCAGCTTCAGCGCACAAGAAATCGTACCTTCATAACAGGAGCCCTGCAACCACCACAGTCAGCGCCGTGTTCGTTTGCATTGGTTCGCGAGGAGGGGAGGGGGGGTAGAGCAAAGACAACTCACCAGAAGTGCACCGTCTTGATGCCGATGGGGCTGTCCCACATGCGCTTGAACCAGCTAACCTGGGCGTCGGAAGCGGCGGTCGAGCTCTGCCACCTCTTGGAGCTCTCGCGGAATCGGGTGCGGAACTGGGAGGTGCGGAAGGCGTTGCGGATCTGGGCGCCGGCGAACATCTGCTGGCGGAAGGCCGGGCGCGCGGCGTTGAAGAAGTTGTTGGCGGGGGCCATTGTGACTTTTGGAAGGGGGTAGGTTGCAAAGGAGAAGGCGTTTGAAGAACAATCGGCACTCGGTCGGGCGGGAGGAATTAGGGGGGATCGGGTTGGGTTGGAGCGGTTAGGTTTCGTTGTCGAACGGCGGACTCGGAGGTTGAGTCAAGGTTGGGAAAGAGAGGGCAGGCGTTGAGGATTTGAGATAGTCCGAGAGAGCGGGCGGCTTTTTTTTTCTCCCCATGGGTTGGGGTCCCCGGGGACCGGGGGAACGGTTACACAGAGCGCGAACCTGCCGCACAGGTACCCGCCCGCCTAGCTGCGTAGGGAAAGGTACATGCGATGCACTACAAGCGCCGCCGATCGGAATTAAGCGGGAACAACGTCAGGCTGAGCTGCCAGGGAGCACTGGCCAAGCGTCAGCCACGGCGAATATCGGCGGGTACCTAGGTACTTTACGGATAGCAAACTACCTATGCGGGCGTTGGCGGTGCTAATGCGTCTCACTCGGGAGACGCTGCCCACGTGGTACGCTTGTAGCCAGCGTGGTCGCAGAGATGCAGCACGTTGCGTTAACAAAGAACCAGAGAAGAGTTGACGAGAAGGAGGAAGAAGAAACCAAGCAAGCAAAGTATCAATGGATATTGCCCGAACCTGCTTCCGTACTGCTCCTGATAAAACTCGAGCGGTGAAAAATCACTTATATGTCAAGTCAAAGAGTAAGAATGTCTGTATAGGCCCGCTGTGAGTAAATGACATGGATAAAGGGCAGATCAAGTGCTAGCAAGATAATTATTTGGTTGGCGGCTGTGACGGCATGCCTATGCTGCGACCCCTCCAATTGCATATTGAATCATATTGCAAACATTATGCTAATGGGGTACACTGTACGTACCTCAATACATTATGCACATGCACAAGCAGCAGCTCCGAAGCTTCCAGCCAATCAATCCCGACCAATCATGCACAACCTAATTCCCATAGGCGTTATGTAGAGTGGACACCGCCTTCCAACGTCGGCATCTCGTCAACTTCAATTCCTCGTCCTTTGCCCAGAGCCTCTCACTCTCCCCCCCCCCCCCCCAATTGAATCGACCCCCGACCCCGACCCCAATCGACCTCAACCTCCGTCCGTCCGCCCCCCTCCTCCACGCAAAATGTCGGGCAAGTACGCATTTACAAAGGCCCTCAAGGAGGTGCGCTTCCTCTTCTGCCAGACGGGCGAACACAGCGCCGCGACCCGGTACGTTTCTTGATTCCTCACTACACCACATCACACACCCACACATACGCACGCACGCACGCAGCGGCAACGCCATCGCGGCAGGCCGCCGGACTTTCACTCACCCTCTCCCGCCGACCCGTCCTCGTGTCTCCGAGCCGCCGTGGCCAACCATCACCCGCTGACCTTTTCCCGCAGCTCCTTCGTCGCCAGAGCCTACCCCACGATGAAGAAGAACAACCCCCAGACCCCCATCCTCCTGCGCGAGGCCGCCGGCACGCTACCCAAGGTCTACGCGAGATACGGTCAGGACGCACTCCCCACCCTCCCCGGCCGAGGAACTCGCGCGCGACGGAACGGATGAGGAAGAAAATGCTGACCGAGATACCGTTGCAAACAGAGTTCGGTGTTGAGAAGAGCCAATCGCTCGAGGGTGAGCATTTAAACCCCCCTCTCCCGCCTCCCCTTCTGTCTGGGAGTAATCTCCCTCCGGCTGACGGACGATAATGCTAACCCGGACATCAGGCCTGTCGGACAAGCAGATCGAGGACACAGTCACCACCTTGGTCAAGAACGGCGCATGAGGGACCGAATTTTGGGGGGACACTTTTCAAACGAATTGGAGAAAAAAAAAAGACCTTGTACCATCACCCTCTTGAGAATTCCGTACCCGATTCGGCGTGGAACAAGCAACATGCGCTTGTATTGAGTGAGCGAGCATGCGGCCATGGCTACCAATGGGTCGAATTAGCTTCTGATCTTATCTACTGTCATGACCCGCCTCAAGTGTGACGGCCACCATGTGCATCGATGCTTTATCCTGCCGACATTCACTATCAGAGCAGCGAAATCTCGAACGCACTCTCATTCTGGTTCTGTCACGTAGCTCCTGGATCTGGAGCCGTCATTATCACTCAAACATAGGACCCCCTCGAAACACCTCTCCAAATCTTCCTCATTATCTGCCGTCGGATTACTTCTCCAACAAACTCTCCAAGTTGCAACAAAGCTTCCCGTCGTCCCTATTTTCTGAAATCATGTCCCATCTGTCTGTATCTGCCCTCGCGTCCAGATCGTCCTGCACCACGCACGATGCATCTCCCTACTGCTTACCGCTGTCCTTCTTGGGACTCGGGTTTGCCGAAGTCTTGACGCTCCCACTCGGAGTAGAAACAGTGGTGGCAGCCGATGCCGAACGCGCCTTGCCCCAGACGCTGCTTGCTGGCAGGCCCGACACAGGCTTGGGGGCAGGCGGCAGCGTGGGAAACTCGGTCTTGCTGCCAACGGGAACCGGGTTGGTATTGGAGCTAGAAGCGTAGCGCTGCTGTTGGAGGTGACTGTCTTCTTGGATCTTCTGCTTCTTAGGCGAAGGGCGGTTCTTCTTGGGGCTCTGCTTGCCCTGCTGTTGCTGATGGTCATTGTTGCCCTTGAGCTGCTTGATGCCGAAGTCCCTCTTGGGACCCTGCACTTGCCAGTCGTCGTTGTCTTCCTCCAGCGTCATTTGCGTGGCAGGCATCTTGTCGCTGGCAAGAGAACGGCCCTTGTTCTTCTCCGCGACGTTCTTGACCGGGGTCTGCTGAGATGCAGAGCTCTTCTCCTTGCCTTTGGAGGTTTCGGCGGCGCTCCCATCAGACTGGCTGTCTTCCTCCTTGGTAGATGGGGTACCAATCGTGAGGGTGCGCGACGTCTTGGACGAAGTCTGGGACACGCTGCGATCATGTTTGGTGGGCCTCAACGGAACCGGCGCAAGATCAATCTTCTTTGGGGCAGCCGCAGTCGAGGACGTGGTCGGTGAGACAAACACCTTTGCCTGAGGATTGAGCGAGGTATTGGACTTTGGAGTCGTTTCGGCACCTGCTGCAGACTCATCCGGCAGAGTCTTCCGTGCGTCGCTGACTCCCGTCGCAGACGGGGGAGTTGCGGGGGTTGACATCCGGCCAGACGACCCGTCGGGAGAGCCAGTCTCCTGGGCTGAGGAGCTGAAACGTGCGGTGCTCGCAGCGGAAGGAAGGCCGCCGGTATTGAAGGTCTGGGGCGCTTCAAAGCTCCTGGTACCTTCTGCGCTTTCAGAAGCGAACGAGTCCCGGCTGGCGATGATTAACTGAGCAGGCAGCTGCTTCTTGCGGTTTTTGGGCAGCCGCAACGAGCCCCCGCCATCCGCGCGAAAAGTCTTCTTGATAGACTCCGAAAGTTCTGACTTCTCAGGTGGTTCCTTTGGCTCATACCCCTCTGGCCGAAGGATCCCCTTGCCCTCGGCAGTCTCGCTTGTTCCCGGCTCCTTACTCTGTGCTGTTCCATCGACAGGTGATGCCAAAGTTTGTGAGACAGTACCAGCGGTGGCTTTTTTGGCAAGTCGTTTTGCGCTGATTGACTCAACCTCCTTTACTCCAATAACCTGCTTCGCCTTTGCAATGACCTCCCTGAGAACTTCAGGCTCAGTATCCTCCACCATCTCAGTGGTGATTGTCATCGAGACTTCAGGGGCTTGCTCCTCTGTAACGAGTATGGGTGTGTCTTTGGCAGGTTGCTGTGCACTGCTCGATTCGCCCTGGTTCATAGAGGTAGGCTTCTTCTTCTTCTTGGACTTCTTACTGCTCTTTTTCTTCGTGGCAATCTCGCTGGCAGCAACGGTAGGAACATCCTCTTGGGTTCGGCTCGAATCAATCAGATTGTCAAGTACATGGCCAGCCTGAGTGCGGGAGTCGTCCTCTTGTTCGGAAGAGTGCTCTTTCGGGCTGAAGCCAACGATAGGCGATTGATCGCACCGTTTGCCAATCTTGGTTTCTGGCGCATTACAAACCTCGACATTGAGATCATTCTTCTCCGAGAAGATCTTTCTGTATTTCCCTCTGTCATGAGACGTGCGCTCTGCTTGGGGCTGCGCAGGAACTGCAGGAACCGCAGGAGCTGCAGGAACCGCAGGAACAAGAGGGACCGCAGGAACTACAGGAACTCTGGGAACCGCAGGAGCCACAGAAGCCACAGAAACCGGGTTGCTCTTCTTGATCAGGATCGTGGCCTCAGGAACAGTTTTGACAGCCGTTTGGGACTCCCTCTGTCCATCTGAGGACGATTCCTCGTGGTCGGTGGCACCAGGTGCTGCAGGAGAAATATGCTTGGTTGGTGTCACAATTCCTCCGCCGTTCTGAGGTGTGGTGGCCCTCCTAGGTGTTTGCGTGTTCGTGTCAGCTTCCTTAGGCTTCTGCGGCGTGGCCGGCAAATTGACGACAATGGCTTTGCTGCCGCCTTTGCTTGGGCTGTTCTCAGGGTCAAGGGGAGGAGAGGTCTTGCTTGTCTGCTCTTCGTCCGGGATCACCTCTTCAGAAGGCGGTTTTGACTGAGATTCAGCTTCTGCAGAAGTTCGGAGCTTCACAGTGACAGCAGGCTTAGTCCGTAACTTGGGAGTGTTGCAAGTCAACTTGATGTCTTCAACCGGCCCGTGTGTATCTTTCTTAGCTTCTTGCCTGGCGTTCGTGGCGAGCGGGGTTGCTGGATCATGGAACGAAGAAGGTTGAGGAGGGTGTGCAGCAGGAGCCTGCACCGGCTGAGAGCGAGGTACCATGTACTGCTCCAAGGAGACCAGCGTCCTCGGGTCAGGGCGACTCGACGAAAACTGGCCGAATGCGTTGGAGTTGCCCCTCCACGAAGATTGCTGTTGGCTGTTGGATCTGCTTGCCGAGTCGTGCTGACTGTTGTCTGGGCCGTAGTTGCTATACATAGCGTTGCCATAGCTCGAATGGTGCATCGCGCCAATCTTGATCGTACAATCAAGATCGCGACTACTGAAGACATCCGTGGCTGAGGCTTCTCTCACGCGCGAGCCATCCTTGAATCTGAGTAACAGGCTAGCGTCAGCAATGTCAGAGATGGAAAGAAACTGAAATCCACTTACCTCACAAAGAAGCAGACGAAATCTCCCGGATTCTCATTTACCGGCAATCTTTGGACGTTATCAACCTCCCCCCATCGTGACATGATCTCATGCATCTTCCCGACAAGGATTTTCTGAGATATCTGCGGAGCTGGGTTCAATTGGACGTACACAGAGCGTTCGCGTTCCTCGCACCTGGGGCAAGTACAAGGTGTGTAGATGTGTTTGTGAGCGGACTTTGGGTGCAGATTGGAGCAATGAAATTCCGCCTTGTTTGAGAATGAGCGAGATCGGTTTTCTTTTGTCGGAGATCGACGGAAAACAGGGCCGTGGATTGAGTGATCTGTATGCGGAACCTTCTCCCAGCCCTTGGATTCGCGCCGAGGCCTAGAATGATCGTAGCTTGCGTTGCCAGGGGCATTTGGTATCTTCATCTGCTCTTGCCGTGTATCCTGGTTCGGGCTGAAGCGCGGAGGGCCCATGGGCAGGCCTTGCCCAGATCCTTGATCAGCAGCAGAACTCACGGTTGCATTTCGCTTGCCGTCATGTTTGCGGGAAGGTGTGACGTCAAAAGGCACCCTCTGGTAGACGGCCGACGGCATCCGCGTGCCACCTGTCGGGACCATGGAGATCTGAACGGGTGAGGTGTGCACACTGCTCGTCACTCTGCTGTCTTCAGACCTTCGAGGGGGGATGTTGACTGGAGGGCGATGTCCATAATGCTGATGTCCAAGTGTGGGTAGCGCAGGAGGTGGAGGAGGCGCCGATGGGCCAACCGGCCCGTGGTAGGGTTTCGGCTCACCGTTGGGACCTGTCATGAATGGGGTATTGAAGGCACGGCCATAAGGTCTCATGGACTGATGGTAGAAGCCTGGTTGAGCAGCACCTGTCTTGGCCGGGTGAGACTCGGGGGCTCCAGTAGCCGGGTTTCCGGTGCTAGGGCCAGAAGTAGAAGACACCAGCTGATTGTCCGACAAAGACTCTCTGGAACGGCCGATATTTCCTTGTCCTGCAGTAAGATCGTAGTTTTGGGTTCTCACTTTTTGTCTGTTGCTCGTTCCACTGACAATAAGGGGCTTTTGGAGAGTGGTATTGGTATTGGCCGTCATGTGGGTAGGAACGGTAGCAACGTGTGACTTGGGCACTGAAGAAGCAGCGCCACCGACGATAATAGTGGATGGAGAGACTGCTAGGGGAATGCCACTCGGCGTGTCGTGAACGGATTGACCAGCTGCCACACTGTTAGCCGAGTTGTCTGAGGTTGACAGAGAAAGGTATTGACTTACCAAGCCAGCATTGCAAAGTGCCATTGTGCCAGTTAGCTCCAAGGCTGTTGGCCGGGTAGGCGGTTGGTCGAGCCCATGGCTTGCCTAACAGCTGGTTCTGTCGGTGACACAGAGCGTTTCGAAGAAGCGTTATATCGACCGGCAGCTTCTGAAGCTCGGCCCAGGTGCCCGGAGTGATGAGGCCGACAACGTCGCCCTCCCAACAGTTGAATCCCATGAGCTTTGCCTTGTTCTCGGCTTGAGCGACCCACTCATCGCACCAAACGCCAAGTTCGACTGCGGCAGCGCAGGCTTTATTGCGAGAGAGACTGTCGTTCTCGTCGAAAAGCAGGTGCATAAGATTCCACAGGTTCAATGCACCCTGGAAGTAGATTTCGAAGCAGTCGAAGTAATCACATAGGTCCTCCCAGCGTTGCGGTCGGGCCAAGGATCCCAGAGATTTCCAGTGCTTCTTGCGAATGGCATTAGCTCTATCCTGGAGCTCTTCAGCGTTCCACAGATCAAGTTCGCGGGTGTCATGGACATGGTTCAAGCTGACCCCGCGTGTAGGAACCTCGCCGTTGTTGGTACTGAAAACGGCCTTGATCTCCTTGTGGCTGTAGAAGGAGATAGACAGATAGGCTTCCACATAGCGCCTAGGGGTTTCTCCCTCCTTGGCAGGAACCAAGTTGTAGTTGCGAATACCGCTGGGATAATGGTAGGTGTGGCTTGGAGGTAGATGCCTAGGATTGGTCGTCAGGGGGTCTGGGTTCGCTCCTTGAGTATCGTGATCGACGTTCCCCACGGGGAAGTCGTGACCCTGAAACGGGCCTCGATCACCTGGGTTGTACGAAGCCATGTTGCAGAACTGAAGTATCCAACGTGGTCGTGTCAGGTGTATGGAGAAAGAGTCGGTTTGAAGGACCGAAGCTTTCGCGTTTGTGGGGAGGCTGATGATATTTTGTAGTGATGGGGAGGGATTTCGAGGGGTGCGTTGACACAGTGAAGAGCTGTAAAGCTGCAACAGAAAGATGAGTGAAAGAAGAAAGGTCAAATAATTGTTGTGAAGGAAAACAAAAAGACAATGGGTCAAGTAGTGAAGGGGGGCAGGAGGTAGGCAGGAAAGAGGAAGGTGCCTGCTCTGCTGTCTGAGGAAGGAGCCAAAGCAAACCGCCTGCCTTGTAGAGGAAACTATTCAGTACAAAGCATTCACCCCATTACGAGTGACAAGTGACAAGCAGGATGAAACACGGCAGAGATGATGATAATGACAGAGACAACACTGCAGACCAACGGACCCAAGCTGGGGATCAATAGTGATAGCACCATTGACGCGGACTACAACAGTTTGGGTGGCAGTTCGAAAGACAGTGAAGCACTGGATAGACTCAACCAGCAGAACCAAGTAGATTCTTAGCAATCACAAGCCTCAGGCTTGTTGAGTATACGTTATGATAGTGAATGCTTCGGCTTTGGTAATGAATATAATGGAAACCCTCATCTGAATCACAGCTGCGGCAGCAATCGAAGACGGGTTTACAAGAATATTTCTAGTTACTAGGCGGCCTCCAGGCCATGATGGAACTTATGTCGTTCATTATATGGTCACCAAGTTCAGTGAACTGGTGACATATGATAGTTGACCTTTCCTGGAGGTATTCTATGCATGCCATGTTATCGCTAGGTCGGACGGCCTGGACCATCGTTGACGCCCCGCCAGGTTGATCTGAGTCGAAAAGCGGTTGGAGTGAGATGTCAAAGCAGACAGGCAGCATCATTTTGGTGGAGGGATATATTCATCATTCAACTAATGTAACAGTTGCCTTCGGAAGTTGCAGGTATCTGGTTATACAAAGGTAGGAAAGAGGCTGCAGTGACCATCAAGAAAGACTTCATGTTTCTCAGCTCTTCTCGCCGTTCAAAGCGTTGAGCATCTTGAGTATCTCGGACTCGTTGTCGCCGGAAACCGCCTTGCCGTTGTTCCAGTCCACAGTCTGCATGTCCCGGTCAGCACGGGTCACTCTTAGGGGAAAGCGGGGAGGCTCCATCGACGGAGAGATGCCTAGGGAGCAGAAACATACCACTGGTCTTTGGAAAGATTCGGAGTTCTGCTGGAACTTCCTCAAAGCCTCCTGCTCGGTCGAGGCGCCCTTGATGATCGACGAGATTCTGCTCTGCCCGACGTATTCCAAGATGGTCTTGACCTGGTCGGCAGTAGGGGGGTCCTCGGTGATGTTGAGCTCGAACTCGGCGCGCGCCTTCTTGGGGTTCGTCTGGACGCTGTGGTCGCTGGCTTGGTCTTCGGTCGCGCCGGCCGAAGCATTTGCCGACACCTGCTTGAGGATGTTGGCGACCCTCACGGAAGCGGGGGAGCTCGCTTTGTGGAAGAGAGTGACGATGTCAAGGGTCTTGTGCTAAAGCGGGTGTGAGACATCAATCGCGGGGATCCGAACTGGGAGAGTCTGCCTTACGAAACGGAACATGGTGGCGGGTCGTGGGGGGCTGTTTCGATGGTGTGGTTTGTTAAGAGTTAGCTTTGCTTCGTGAATCTTGCAGGTGTGTGATACGATGAAGTCGGCAGTGGAGCTTGGAGCTCCCAGTAAATTTACGTCATCCTTCCCGGCCGCTTAGTTTTAGACGCCAATGTCGGATTAGCGCACAGGCGGGGCCTGCGGCGCCTGGCCCCTAGGCGATGCACCTGGAACCGGCCAAGGGACAGACAGGAACATGGAGCTTCACTTTGTTGACCCCTCACTCCCGTCATTTGAATGGGCTCGGACAAGACATCCGCGCATTCTGACTTGATTACCCTTGCCGGGCGGAAGTGGTCATCAGGGTCCGTCTGAGCCACGACGTGTTGCTTTTGTAAAGCACCGAATCTGGCCCGGCGTCTAATGTTGAAGCCAGGTGATCTAGTCTGTACCCTCCAGGTCGTCACTTGCGGGTGTCGATTGTCAACGAATTGCGGCACGAGATAACACTTCGATTCAGCGCCTCAATTCGCTAGGAGAGTGTCAGGATGAACGCCTGCTAAAAACAGCTCAGGGCCTCATCCTCATTCGTCGCTGGATAGGTTTTCGCAGGGGTGTGGTCATGTTTGAGGCACACGACGGTCAGCGCCGCCCAGCTTTAACCAATACCCAAGATAGGGCTGAATATTAAGCACCAAGGACCGCAACAGAAAATTCAATCACTCTTCCACCGCTCTTGCCTGAGTGCAAATCGCCGATCAACCATGTGGCTTTGGGCAGATCTGTCCAGGCGTTTTTGCGGAGAAATGACAGCTGGATGACGTAGGAGGGACATTTGCACCTGTCTGAGCTGAGATTTGCGCGAAGACGTCATGACGTGCAGTGAAGTGAACGGTGGGGTGGTTGTTGCGCAGTGCCAGAGAGCTCTTTCCCATCACATATAGAAAGCTCATCTGCTGAACGGTCGAGTTTTCGTTTTGCTCTTCATCCCTTCAACCCAATCGATACCCATCAATCACTCTCAAAGACCAATCTTCTCGATTTCACAACGTATCACCTACCAATTCCTCCACCACACATACCATCATCATGTCCGGACAGTCTAGTGTTGGTACCAGCGGCGTGTACGAGGCTGGCGATCAGCGCAACGTGAAGAACTCGGAGAAGGACACCGGTGACCGTTTCCACGAGGGCAAGGAGCACTCCCACCTCGCCAACGACTCCAGTAAGTCCTCATCGATCTCCTGTGGCCGACATTGTTCGCCATACTGACTCCCTCCAAGAGGACGAAAGAACCATTGCCAACAGGCTCGCTGCCGAGGAGAAAAAGCACCGCGAAGGTGAGGAGGAAGATGACGCAGAGACTCGCATGTCTAAGAAGGACTCCACGTTGCCTGTAAGTTAGGCTTTGCCGTTATGGTTCTTGCAAGTCGAACGATTCTAACCCTCATTAGGCCAAGATGCACGGCAACGAGCCCTCCAAGGGCGCCAAGATCGATCAGGAGCTGCAGGAAGAGGATGAACTCCGCCTGAAGCAGAAGCAGGGCAAATAAGTGCACGATTCAAGCGGGTTGCAATTAAAATTAGCGTTGGTTGGGAAGCATGATAATAGACGTGGCTCATAGCCTGAATGCCACAACTTTACTGATATAAATAATGTCTAGATGACTGTGATGTTCAGTGAATGATAACTATCACCTTCAGCATGGGAATGTAAAGGCGGAGAAAGATGCCGCTGTACTCAGTGACATGGCATGGTAATGAGACGGCAACTAACGATGTCGACCAGTGGCATCGAACCACTTCTCTCTGCTCGGAGCTGTCTAAGTACCATCTACAATCCGTTATAGAAAAAGATATGGGAAGGTTTGCCAGCCAGGGATAAGGAATCACGAGCTAGGCGTAAAGGATGGTGGGTAAACAAGGTAAAATCCAATCACAGTTCAAAAAGACGCAGTTTATTCAGCAAGCGTAAATGATGTAGAATAATATAATATTAAAAAGTTGCTATACTGATACCTGGATGCAAAGTCAGCCACGTGCATCCCAACTGAGATCAACAACAAGACGGGTGATTTCAAGGTTGGAAGTCAGAATATGTAAGAAATTGAATATCATGTATTCAGACGGTATAGCCGCTCCGGCGAAAGAGGGCCACCGACTGAAATCAATCGCAAATTGTTCTCATCATTCCAAGGGAAGGCGGCAGGAGGATATTGGCATGGTAAACGTACCTTTGTTGTATCCGCAGCCTCTTCGATGAGGGCCATGTTTGTGCACCTCTGAGACTGGTGAAGAAGTAAGAGCAAGCACAAGAGAGGAAACGATCAAGCTGCATCTTTAAGTTGACGGGAAAAAAAGTTCTGCTGTTGGTGGGGCACTGCCCATGCAGCAGGAACACCGCTGACCGCCCGGCTAGTCCCTTTCGGGCAAGCAACAGCCCGGATCGGCAAATCCCACCAGCCGACAGAAAGGAAAAAACGGTCTTGCCCTAAGGTCCCCAAGCTTGTGCGTCTGGAAATCGACGCACCTCGACAAAAAAACCGCAGTAGCGAAACGTGACTTAGAACTCCATCACCACTAACCAGCAGCAAATCTTCGACGTCTGGTAAGTCGACGCGCCCCTCCCACAACCAAACAAAAACACCACTCCGAGTCCGCATCACCGATAGCTAACTTTGCGATCCAACTATCAGACCGACCAGCAAAATGGGTGACGCTACCATCGAGGGTTCTAAGTGGCGAATGGTCGAGGTCGGCCGTGTCGTCCTGATCCAGGGCAACAGCCCCTACGCCGGCCGCCTGGCGACTATTGTCGAGATCATCGACCACAAGCGCGTACGTTGCGACAGCTCCTGACCTGCCTCTGTCCCCCCCGCCCGATACGATTTCGTTTTGAGCGCGTGCACGCAGAATGCACTGGAAAAGAAGGAAGATGGCGATTCTAACATCAAGTTCGAATTATAGGCTCTGGTCGACGGTCCCTCCTCAGACGCTCAGCTCGCCGTTCCCCGCCAGCCCATCTCCCTCTCCAACGTCCTCCTCTCCTCCCTCAAGGTCGAGGGCCTGCCCCGCGGCGCCCGCACCAGCACCGTCCAGAAGTTCTGGGCCAAGTCCGAGATCGACGCCAAGTGGAAGGAGACCACCTGGTTCAAGCGCAGCCTCCAGATTCAGCGGAGAAAGAACCTCACCGACTTCGACCGCTTCAAGGTCCTCCGCCTCAAGAAGCAGCGCCGTTTCGAGCAGCGCAAGGAGCTGGTCAAGGTCAAGGCCTCGGCGTAATGGACTTGCGATTGGGACGTCTATGGGGTTGACTTTGAAGACTACGGGGCTGGCTTAGAGCGTGACAGCATGGGATCCGGTTTGGTCTGCATTACCGCAGCATTGGGTTGCTGCACATCTCTTTTGCTCCGTAACTGGAAGGGCTGTATGTCACATTCATCATCAATCATATGATGACCGGCGTCAAATACGGAAATTCAGAGACAAAAAATGAAGTTCATGGCACAATCAGAAAAATAGATTGGTTGGCTCGTGACGGGGACACGGAGTAAAGATTTTTTTCGGTTTTCCTTTGAGAGACCCTGTTGAAATTCTGACCATCATGAGGCCCTCTGACGTGTATGTTTTGAATTCGTGCCGGAAACCGCCTACGAACTCTAGCGTTCCTCCGCCCAGCTCATGTACGGTATTTGTGACCAATGCCAGGCTCTCTCTCAGCCTTGTAAAACTAACGACCAGCATGTCATCTATCTAATCTGTTCGTGCATCTGGGGATCTTAGCTGCGGGCCAGGCAGGTTGTTTGCTTACATAATACAATCCAGTCACCAGAGGTTTGCCCGCAGTCAGTGTTCTGCAAACCCTATCAATTTTCTACGATCTCTCCTTCAAACCACAAGCACCGAACAATCCCCCACGTCGAGTTGAGATACCCTCGTTCTAAACTTTGGTAAGTACTGCTGTGTCCCTGTCGGAAAATTTGACCCCATCTCCCGAACGACGAAGCCGCGCCAGCCCGAACGATTTTTGTGCGAGTTTTGCAATTCCCTATTTTTTCCCACAGACACACCAAACCAGAAGCTCGCCAAATCAGCTCCTTTGCGCGATCCTAGCTCCCACCACCACCTCCTCCACCAGCAGAAAAAAAAAAGAGAGAACCCCGCAACTAACTTTTTTTCCCCCGTGGTTCACAGTCGACAAAATGGCCAACCCCCGCGTTGAAGAGCTTCCCGATGACGAGACCAAGAAGGTCTCCGTCGAGGAGCACGAGGACGAGAGCTCCGACTCCGAGATTGAGGGCGAGGAGGCTGAGGGCCTTCCCTCCGGCTCCACTGCCATCATCCACTCCCGCAACGAGAAGAAGGCCCGCAAGGCCCTCGAGAAGCTGCACCTGACGAGAGTGCAGGGCATCACCCGTGTCACTCTCCGTCGCCCCAAGAACGTGAGTACATGAGAAGGAAGAGGGGGTGGTTTTTGGTGGCATGGTGGTGCGATGCGGGGGGTTCAACAAGGCTGACCCACGTTCCAGATTCTGTTCGTCATCAACAACCCCGAGGTCTACAAGTCCCCCAACAGCAACACCTACATGTAAGTCAAATGCGCGAAGGACCGCCAGATGTACGGAAGTTGACGTTGCGATGCAGCGTCTTCGGTGAGGCCAAGATTGAGGACCTCAACGCCACTGCTCAGCAGGCTGCCGCCCAGCAGCTCGCCGCTGCCGGCGGTGAGCACGACCACGCCGGCCACAGCCACGCTGAGCCCAGCAAGGCCGCCGACGCCGAGACCAAGAAGGACGAGGAAGAGGACGACGGCGAGGAGGTCGATGCTGAGGGCATCGAGGACAAGGACATTGAGCTGGTCATGACCCAGGCCAACGTCAGCCGGAAGAAGGCCATCAAGGCCCTGAAGGAGAACGACAACGATATCGTTAACTCCATTATGGCATTGAGTATTTAGCGACGGCTACAGCCAAAGATAGTTTCTCAAAATCTCGACAACGGCAAAAAGGACGGAATGGGTTGGCATGTACAATTCCCAGGGAGTTGACTCCGAAAAGTCTCTTTCGCAATAAGACGATAATCGGCGTTTTCATCTGTCCCGTGAATTTACCTCCTAAGATGCGTAGACACCGTCCTTGGCCAATTCATTTGCAATCTTGAGATATCCTCAATGGCGACTTGGGATATGGAATTCAGCTACCCCTCGATCTTGGGAATTGGCTCAAACCGAATTCCCAGGGAGCGAGCTCTGCCCCACCATCCAACCATTCGCTCGCGCCAACCAGATGGTGTAACCGTGCGTGGATCACGTGACCATCCATGTGACCCAGTTCATCCCGGCTCTTTCTCTGCTCTCCGTTCGGCAAAGTCAATCAACAACCTCACGTCGACGCAACTCTCTCTCCACTCCCCCGAACCCTCAACATATCCTACAAAATGGCCGCAGTACGTATACCCCATAGAATCTCGCCAGTAGCCTCCTCTCGATTGATGCAGCCCGCGACAATGACGCCAATTGGGTTGCGCGCCCGCCGTACCGCTCCCTTGAAGCCGGGCCTGAGCTAATTTCTTCATTCCCTGCAACAGCGAAGCGCAGCTCTCAAGCTCGACTGGGCCAAGGTCACCACCTCGCTCGGCCTGCGCGGCCAGACCGCCGCCTCTCTTCAGGCCTTCAAGCAGCGCAACGAGTCCGCCCGCCGCCGCGTCCAGCAGCTCTCGGAGCTCCCCACCACTGTTGACTTCGCCGCCTACCGCTCCGTCCTCAAGAACCAGGCCGTCGTCGACGAGATCGAGAAGCGCTTCACCGCCTTCAAGCCCGCCACCTACGACGTCAACCGCCAGATCAAGGCCATCGAGGCCTTTGAGGTCGAGGCTGTCAAGAACGCCGAGGCTACCAAGCAGAAGGTCGACCTCGAGCTCAAGGACCTCGAGAAGACCCTGACCAACATCGAGTCCGCTCGCCCCTTCGAGGACCTCACTGTCGTACGTGCCGACCAGAGCGATGGGGATTGCACTCGTGTAGATGCTTACGATGACCGCAGGACGACGTTGCCGCCGCCGAGCCCTCGATCGACGAGAAGACCTCCCAGCTTGTCTCCAAGGGCCGCTGGTCCGTTCCGGGATACAAGGTACGGTCAATCTGCAACGCAGATGCGCTTCGGCATGCTAATCCCCTCTATAGGAGAAGTTCGGCGACCTCTCGGTGCTATAGACGCTTTCACTCTTCGATCCCCTTTGTGTACTCTAGCATTGTAGATAGGCGATCGGCCCGAGGGGAGGGAACCAGCCCAGTGGACATTAATATCGACCTGCTGTACCAAGCGCATTGTTTGAATACTTGACGGCCGTTGACGGTGCTCGACGGAGTTGGCGACGCATGTCTGACAGGCGCTAACTGTTCGGTTGAATTTTTCCGTTCGGAGTTTACGCCCTCGGTTGTAGCCCCCGGCGTCCTTTACCCGAGCCAAAAGACCAAATCCTCCCCGAAATAGCGATTTCTAACCCGCAGTACCCAAATTCCACAACAACTAACCTTCCGACGTCTGGAGAGCGGCCCATCGAACTTTCGCCTCGATGCGGCATTCGGGGGTGGCGGTTATGCGCACGCCGGCACCCCGGCAATACTGCCGGATAAACGGGATCTCGCCGCGACAACAACAGCCCGGAATCACCGACTTCCCCACTCGCGACATCAGTTCCAACATCTTGTCTGCCCTACTGCCTTTTCGCGACAAGCGTAGAGGTCGTGCGTACTGCCATTCTTGCACCTGCTTCACCTGATTTGCCTCGCCCATCGTGCTTGCTACTAATCTCAGGTACTCAAATTGGACATGGACTCATTGGACCATCTCATCCTCAAAGAGGCACCCCCTTTAGATCCTGCCTGGCTCGCCTACGAAGAGGAAGTATCTCTCCAGGCCCCGAATAGAGCGCATGCCTCACCACTCGATCGCCAGCCCGTGTACGCGGAGGAATGCAGGCAACTGAACGCCCGCATGCTCACGCCCGGCGCGCCATGCCACCATCTCTCACACGTCTCCACGCAGCAATTGACCACCGCGTCGAGCCTCGACGGCTTTGCCATCCCGCTACTTCGGTTCTTCGACGACAGCGTTGAACCGGCGTCCAAAGACAAGGGCGTCGTGGTGATCTATTACCACGGCGGCGGGCTCTACGTCGGCGAGTCGGACAGCGAGGAGCTCTCCTGCAGGCGGATCGTCAACGACTTTGCGGGCGCGATGGTGTACTCGGTGGGGTACAGGCTCATGCCGGGCTTCCCGGCCTCGACTTGCGTATCCGACTCGCTAGACGCCTTCGCTCACGTCCGCGCCCTTCATCCGTCGGCGAAGAAGCTCATTCTCATCGGCTCTTCGAGCGGCGGACAGCTCGCGGCCACTGTTTCGCAAGTCGCGCCGCGCGGCAGCTTCCACGGTGTCGTGCTCCGGTGCCCCGTGACCAGCGACGGCGGCAGCTCTCTGGACTTCGTCCCGGAACGTCTCCGGCACGCGTACACCTCCGCCTCGCCGTCCTTCGTCACGAGCCTGCTGGGCGTGTTCGGGCGGGCAGTGCCGAGGGACGGGCTGGGTAGGATGCCGCTAGAGGCTGGGGCAGAGGAGCTGGGGGGGCTGCCGAGGACGTGGGTTCAGGTGTGCAGCAACGACACGCTGTACTCGGACGGGCTTTGTTACGCGATGGCGCTGAGGGGGGCCGGGGCCGAGGTTCGGGTCGAGGTCGTGAGGGGGTGGCCGCATACGTTTTGGCTGAAGGCGCCCGGGTTGGCGAGGGCGGTCGAGGCGGAGAGGGAGATGGTGGAGGGCCTGAGGTGGGTTCTGGAAAGCTGAGGGGACGGAAAGCTCGAGGGCCTTCCAAGACCACTATCCCACGACAGCCGAGATGTAGTAGGAAGGGTGGCAGAACTATGATGAGAAGCAATCTGCCAACGCTCTGTGAATCGTGAAAGTGACAATGTAAAACTGGTCGAGTAGCTCTTGTCGAGTACCAATGCCTTTCTTCGGGCGCACATGCTGTCAGGCTGAAAGCAGCGCCGACGACCAACACGACGTTATGCCGTCGCTCAGCACCCACACAGCCGACGCCGATGCCGTATTGTCCAGATGGGTATGCGGATAGCTTGATAAACGACGATTTGGAACAGATGTATCGACGCGGGATTGTTCGTTGCCTTTTCCACTGGAAGCAAGACGCCATCTCCCAACGGGCTGCGACTCGGGCTAGAACAAGATGCTAGCTGAGTTCAAGAGAATCTGTTCTAAAAAAAATGCACAGCTCCATGTTCTGTTCAAGACTGAACAATTGTAGCTGTACTTCGGGTGAGAGTTATACCAGCTGCTAAAGCGGGGAACATGATATTGACCCGTCAGCCCGGCCATGACAAGACAACGGGATATACAGGTTGATGTTCCAGCAAGCATAAATAGAAACCAATCTGTCTCAGTGGGTTCCTTAAGTCCACGCCGGGCTGGTTCTCCTCTGGACTGGTATCTAGCAGTGTATCTTGGGATCCCGTCACTCTTTGCCTCTATCACCACACAGCCTGCCTGTAATATAGTAAGATAGCACCTATAGAGTGAATGTTTCCTTTCTCAATAGAGTCAATAACCAGGTTCTCTGCTACTTGATACTGTCGTCAGGGCTCGTGTATGTAGCGTGGCAGAGCTCCCTCAGCATTTGACCTAAGTCAGCACTGGATTCTGAATATTATAAAACGAGGCACACTATAACAGCCCTATCACGATAGATACTGGATATATTCCAATCACAACATGAAGCTGTGCTTCATTCTTGAAAAATAACACAGCGTCAACCCCTCACATACACTCACTTACTGCCCGTTCACCACTCAACGTGGCTAAAATCCACTTTCAGATCGTTCCTACCTTTTTCGACTGCTCAGATCCCTTTCTACTTTTCCTTCTCAATTGCTTCTCCTTTCTTTCCTTCTGAGGTAGCTAAAAGATCAAAAGCTCTACTACCCAAAGAATATTCAACCCTCCTCTCTCACCCTTGAACCCGCATTCTTTCTTCCACCCATCCAACCTACCCAAAGGGAGCCGGTAAAAGGCAACAAACAGATCAACTGAGCAAGCGCTATACACTCACACAAGCTCACGAAAGTGGAACAGCATTACAACAGAGCTCAACAGCAAAGAATACCCATAGCAGCCAGCAATGGCAGGTGACGCACGCAAGAAAGGAGGCGCCTATAGCGACAACCCAAAGACGCGGAGAACAGTAGAGTATCTCCAAAACCTCCCCGCCGAGAAGAAGAACGAGAAGCGCAAGAACTTCCTCGAGTACCGCTCTTTGAGAACTGCATGCATCACCTGTGCCAAGAAAGCAGACTACCAGCAAAGCCGCTCACGGGACGACAAACTTGCCATGCTGCGTGAGGCCTGTCAAAATGCCATGGCTAACAGGTATGTGTTTTTCTTTCTCTCCTTCTTATTCTTCTTTGGTTCTTCTGCCCATCACCGTCTTTTGAACATTCATCACAGAATATGGGTGTATACATGTCACATACTAACTGGACGCCAAGGCTGAAGAAAGGCATCGACTACGAGGGCACTGACATTGAGACCCATGTCGCTCGCTTCCATGATCGTGCCTTTTGTGGCAGCAAGAAGAACGCCGGCGCCTCCGACGTTGCCAGAACCCCCAGTCCTGCCAGCGAGGCCGACGGCCCCAACCCTGACGCCGAGCAGTCTGCCAACGCCCACAACGACAGCCAGACTACAGGGCCTGCAAGCACTCCCAACACAACCAACATAGTTGACTCCATCGGGCACGATAACAGCACCGCCGATGATATTGACGAGGATAGCCAGCTGCTTGAGGAGGGGCATGAGATGATACTCCAAGAGATAAGCGTCCGCGCGTATATCCAGGTCCAGACCGCCCACAAGCTGCGTCTCCTAGTCGAGGCTGCTGGCCTCTGAACGCACAGCTCCCGACACCCTCGTACCCAGCCCACCACTATCTCACGTCTGTTTTTTTCTGCAATCTGGCTCTAACCTGGTGCATCGTCGGCCTGAAGATGCCGTCTTCGACTCGGCAAGATCGGATAGATGCGGAAAGGACGGCTCGATCGGCAGCAGCCCTAACAGATAGAGGAAGGCTTTTTTTTTTTCTTGGTATGTCGAGGAACGGGAGATTAATTACAGACGACGAATCGGAGAGAGAGTTTGGCCCGGCGATTTGAGAGTCTACGTGAGAATCGACGGTGATGCTGAGTCACGGTGACGGTGTGTGGTGACAACGTTTTTTCGCTAAGAGAGCTAGCTCTACGAACCCGTCGACCGCAAGACCCCGGTCCCCGGGCGTCCTTGGCCGGTTCGTTGGATCCGGCTTGGGGTCGTCGCTAGTTGCCCGAAATGCAGGTTCGTGAGTCAGCGACTTGGACGAGTCGGGCCTCGGCGTCGACCATCGGATGAATCTAGACGCACGCACGACCGACCAGCCACCCCGGCGGATGGCGAGCACCAAGCCGGATGCGCCGCCGGCGAGCCGCCCAATCCAGCGTCGCCCTCCTCAGAACGGCCGAGAAAGTTTATCACGTAACTAACGAACTAGTGGGTTTCGCCCTCGCCCGGGTTAAAGCGCTCGCGGACGCGGATGAGCAAGAAATCCGGCGCCGGGGGTCTTTACAAGTTAAATGGCTGCTGTGCTATCATCCATGCATGCATCGGCGAAGCAAGTTGGGCCGGGAACAAGGCAACCGTCCCCAGGGCTGATGTTCCTCGGCGGGCAAGAGGCAAAATCACAGACTGTTACAGCACAAGGTGTATCCGGATACTATGTAAAGGATGTTGGATTAAGCTACACCGCGGACCGGTAGAACGGGGGGGGGGTGTGTCAACAGCATGGTCGGGGTGGACGATCCATGCCAAGTCCACTCCACCACCACCCCTTTCTCTCATCAGGGCTCGTACATACTTTTCTCTCACGCAAGCGCCGCCCTGTTCGCGAACGCCGGCGCACTCAAATAATCCAGCGTGTTATTAGTCGGCATGTTCCTAGAGCATGACGAAGTTGCGACTTACAGTTCATGATGGGATGGAAGAATGCAAACCGTGCGCTCGGAGCCAAGACCCCCACACTCATCAAAGAAGCCCAACCCACCAAGCCACCCACCCCCCTCCCAATCGATGCTCTCCCGAAGAGGAACCCTCTCTTCCCCTCCCACCCACCAACAAGAGCCCGTACTGTGCCGGACCGAGGCATCGAACAAGCGAGACTCACCGACTCTCGTTCCGAGCGCCGATGGTTTAGTGGTAAAATTCTCCGTTGCCATCAAGCAGCGTCGGGGAGCCGGGGGTTCGATTCCCCCTCGGCGCACAAACATTTCCTTTTCTTCTTTCGTTTTTTTTAAATATTAATTCTAAGTTTTTTTATTTTATTTTTATTTGTTTACTTTACTTTACTGGTGTGTGGATGGGGCATATCCCATGATGAAAGCCTCTCTCTCCCACGCCGCTCGGATGCTGGAACTCTTTTCCCAATCTTGAATCGTCTCGAGACGCCAAATAGAAAGAAAAAAAAAATATTCGGGCCGTCTGGGAAACCCAACCCCAACCCATAAGGCACCAATCAATCAGTCAATCTGGTCAGGTTCTCACAGTTTTCTTGCGCGCGCGAAAGCTGGAAACGAAGTAGAGGAAATAAGCTTAAGCTTAATATTCATGGGGGCAAGAGAAACCGGTAATCTCGTCCCGGTGCTTTGCTCTCTAAGAGTGTGTGAGGGGACCGTATGAGGAAAAAAGCAAAAAAAGAAATCATGAAAAAATCTCTAAGAGGTATCGTGTGAAAGAGCGAAGCCAACACCCCCCAAGAAAAAAAGAGGAAGGAAAAAAAAAGACATGAAACGCTCCCCAAGTGATAGAGATCCGTAAAACGCCAATCCAAAGCAGCCCAGCCCCAGTGCAAAGAAAGCGAACCCGGAACACGTATCCGACGGGAGGGGGGCGAGGTCGTCCCATAACCGGTAAAACATGGCGCACGGCGACCGCCCTTCCGCTCCCTCCGCGTACAGCAAATACATCAAACGCCGAAATCAACCCGAGAATGCATTGACAAAATATTCCATCCCTTCCTCACAGTTTCTCCATTAGATTCTTCCTCGTGGTCCACATGCGGGCCCGCTTGCCGTACAGGTACATGGGGATGGTGAGGAAGAGGAAGATGAGCTGGATGATGCCGAGCCAGATGAAGACCATCTTGGGCCCGTCGTCGGCGAGCCAGTGGGTGACGAAGAGGCTGAAGACGAGGCCGTGGAAGATGTTCTTGCTGAAGTTGAGCGTGACGAGCGCCTCGCCGGCGTACTGCCGGTAGCTGTCGACGCAGAACGTGATTGCCGTCGTAGACCCGAGGGTGCAGCCGAAGGAGATGATGCCGAAGAAGACGGTGGGCACGATCCAGTGGTCCCGCTCCTGGGCCGACCAGCCGAAGCCCATGAGGCCGACGACGGTGGTGACGGCGACGGGGGCGGCCATGACGAGGCGGAACTCGGGCTCGTAGAGGCCGCCGTTGCGGCGCGCCATGGACTTGACGATGATGTCGCTGACCTTGCCGGCGACGGCGGTGCCGAGGACGCCGCCGATGAAGGGGGACAGGTAGACGAGGCCGGTCTGGAGGGCGTCGAAGTTGTACGACTTGCGGTTGCGGTAGATGAGGGCCACGGACTCGGACACGACAATCAGCCAGCCGACCGACAGGGAGTAGACGACGGCGGACCAGAACACGGCCGGGTAGGCGAAGAGGACAAACGGCCGCAGCATGACCTTGAACCAGCGGTCCTGGTTGAGGCGGCCGTTCCAGGGCTTCAGCTGCTCGGTGAAGGACTTTGCGGGCTGGTTGCGCAGCGTCTCGGTGTAGGCCAGCGACATGGACGGGGAGCTCTCGCCCGACGACCGTGTGGGGACCTTCTGGGCCTCGATACCGGTCTCCTTGGCGTAGTAGTCGCCCGAGGTGTCCGAGGTCCGGCGGGCGGGTGTGGGATTGGACGAGTCGAAGGCGCTGCCCGGCTCTTTCTCGGGGTCCTTGGCGCCTTGGCCGTCCTGGTTGGTGGCGAGGGCGAACCGGATGGCCTCGTCCGTCTGTTGATGTGAAGGGCTGTGCGGAGGTTCGAGGGTCGGGCTGGCGGAGGTCGGCTCCATGCCCGCAGCTAGATCCCTCTTTTGCATGCTCGACCTTCGAGACTGGGCGGCGTCCCTCGTGGGCGCGGGGATCCGGTCCCAGAACGTCTCAGGCACGAAGAAGTAGAGGAGCACGCCGGCGAACGCGACAACCATTGTGACGACCCTGCAATATCGTGTGAGTGATGTGTTTCCAAAGAAGAAAAGACCAAAAAGACTCGAGGGAACGTGGCAACTCACCAGAAAACCCAACGCCATCCCAAGGCCTGGATGACGACGGCGCTGACGAGCGGCACCAGGTTCTTGCCGCCGAGCAGCAGCAGGGTGTAGATGCCGATGCGGAAGGCGCGCTCGTGGAGGAAGAAGATCTCGGCGATGGTGGCGGAAGGGAGACACTCGACGGGGCTCACAGCGATGCCCTGGAAGATCCTGGCCAGGATGAGCGAGGTGAAGTTGGGCGACAGGGCGGCCCAGACGGAGCTGACGATGAAGATGACGGCGCTGAACAGGTAGACGGGCCGCTTCCCGTACAGGATGGCCGTGGGGGAGAAGATGACGGAGCCGAGACCCAGGCCCATCATGAACAGACCGGTGGTCAGGGAGACGGTCTCGGTGTCGATGTGGTAGTCCTGGGCCACGTTGGTGAAGCCGGCGGCGAGCAGGGGGGTCATGCCGCCGCCGACCATGCAGTAGAAGCCGAGGGCCAGCAGGGCGCAGTCGCGCCGCCACTCGGGCCAGTTGAGGGGGTCGTTGGCCGACTCTTCAGGCTGGGGGTTCAGAACGGTGCCGTCCTTGGTCGTCTTGGCCTCCCTGGTCGGGTCAGGCATGGAGGAGTGAGCGGTCCTGGCGGGGGTGTTGCTCACGCCCATGGGCGCGTTGTGGCTGCCGAGAAGAAAAACGGATCCTGGAGGGCTTGTCAGCGCCGAGGCTCTTGGGGAACAAGAAAGCATGTATGAAGCGCGGGGATATGCTTACCAGGCACTTCGAGCGTCTGAGGATCATTGAGGACACCCAAGCTCCATTTCGGAATGTTGGAATGTGTGTCTTCTTCCGTCGCGTCGTCCTTTCCGTTCTTGTTACCGAAGAGGCCGCCGAAGCGGCTCTTCCACGTCGGAACACCTGCCATGGCGAGCGGTTCTGAGGGAGAGGGGAAGAGAGAGAGAGAGGAGAGGAAAAAAGAGTTCCTGTGTGAAAACTAGGACTGCGAGTGTGCGGGTGTCGCGTCTGTTTGGCAGTTGACGACAAGAAGTTCTTGTGCAAAAGCTTGGAAAAGAAGACCAAGGCAAATGTGCTCGTTCTCGAGACGTGCTGGACGAGACTAGATAAGACAAACGAGGTGTTGGTGTTCAGAGCGGTCGAGCATTCGTCGTCTTGAGGTCAAACATGCATGCGAAAAGATGAGATGGAGATAAGGTTGTCGATGTCCAAGAGCCAGATGGAAATGCCGTGAGAGAAGCAAAGGCTAAGCAGTGATGTTCGCTCGGCGTGGGAAATATCGGAAAATCAAACCTTTTTTTCGGAACCGATGCAAGAGTCAAAAAAGCCAAGTCGATACTTTTTGAGTAAGTTGAGGAATGTGGATGGATGCAAAAAAAAAAAAAAAAGACAAAAGACGGCGCAAGCTGATGATGATGATGATGATGGGACGGAGTCTATAAGGAGCAGTGCCGGACGGGGGGGTTTTGTTGTTGATGGGAGATGGCGGTGTTGTTGTTGTATGTACAGGTATGTAGGTCGACGGCGGACGGCGGCTACCAAAAACAGCGAATGGCGGAGGAAAGAGGCGTAAGGCTGGCCCGTGCAGTGCGATGGCGTCAGAGGGTATAATGCACACTGTTTGATTAATATTGAATGATGGCGGTATCGTCTCACGAGTTGGCAGAAGACCAAGGGACCAAGGATGAACCTCGACGCGGGTTGTAGGGTGAGATGCAGGGCGGCGGCCTGTACGATTACGGGTGGTGTCGTTGCTTCGCGCAGTTGCTACCAGCAACTTGGGACGAAAATGAGATAAGCCGCAGTCAGTGCAGGCAGTCCACAGCAGGTAGGTAGGTACAGTCGCAGGGGGGCGATATCATATCAGAAAGTGGGCGGCGAGCGAGTCAAGCGTCAAGGGACGACGAAGATATGCGGGGGGTTCATGCCCTGCGGTCAAGGATGTCGTCGCTTCAGGCGGGTGCCGTGGAGTAATTATTGGGGGGGGGTGTCGAGCACGAAAGAGACATATGTTCGTCCCATTGGGTCGACCCATGGCCATCTTCTCAAGGCAGATGATGGATGAAGGATGGGCATGTGACTCAATGTTGTTGTCGTTGGTACGGATCGCCTGTCCATGGGTGCAAGTCAACGACAAGTTCCAAGGACGTGAGCCAAAGGAGGGCCACATGCCCCCGTCCCTAGCCCTAGGCTGCATGTTTGATGGGCGCGTGCATCTTGGTTCAGTAACGCGGGGTTTCCGGAGACGCCTCTCACCCTCCAAAAGCAAGCAAGCGAGCGAGCGAGGCTACCATGGTTGGTGTTGCTGACAAGTTGACTGGGTTGTGCGCCAAGACGCGCCGGCGCTGAGAGGATTCGAGAGTGCGCAAGAACGCGAGAGAGACAGGGAGGCAAGGAACGGAACGGAACGGAGTGGAAGAAGAAAGGAGAGGAGAGGAGAGGAGGGGAGGGGAGGGGAGGGGAGGGGAGGTGAGAGACGACGAGGCGAGGCGAGGCGGTGGAAGGAGGGGAAAAGGAAGGAACGGTGTGAAATCAACCACCGGCCGGGGTCATGGATGGAAGAGTGGCGAAGCGAAGCGGTGACCAGCCAGATGAGCATGGACGGACGGACGGGTAACGCCGAGCCTCAAGAGACCGGGGCAGGCTAGAACGCCAAGCCCGTCGCACGTGTCTTGATGGCCGACCGTGGAATGACTACCGTACGCTGACGGTGGAATTTGGGCCCTGATGCTTGTTTGCTACAGAGTATTCTACGTGGGACGGAGTGCCCTTGACGAGTACAATGTAGGTACGCTATCCTCAAGCTGAACCCCATGGGAAAATCGGGCCCGGGGTGGCCATTTTGCATGAAACAATCGAGTATTCGAGTATACTACGTACAGGGACCATGTGCGGATACAGTACGGAATGCTAGTGCTAGTGCTAGTGGTAGTGCTACTACGGAGTAGACGGACAAATACAGGGTGGCGGGGGCTGGGGTACCTGGGAATGAATGCGGCTGAAGGGGACGGAAATGGAACGAAACCAAGCGTAGCACATTGTACTGCCTGCCCATTTGCAGATATTTGGTGTATTCGAGACGCCGTCCAGAAAACGCCAGAAGCAGAAACGGTGGACAAGATGACTGTACCTAGTGTACCTAGTGTAGGTAGTGTAGATGGATGGATGCATCTCTGAGATGGGTGTGGCTGGCCAACCCAACCTTCTAGATGGGTACACTAGATGGCACACTAGACGCTACATTAGACGGTACGCTAAATGAATAGGTTATACTTTTCTTTTTTTCTTCTTCTTCTTCTTCTTGTCTCGTCAGCTGCAAAAGTATATCGCCCGACTGATGGTGGTGCGCCTAGATGCAAGTGCGTTTTTCTCTTGTATTTTGCTTCCCTTGGCACTTGGCACTTAGTATGTGCTTCGTACGTCTGTGTTTTGCACATGGTTGTGGACAGGTATTCGTTGCCTGTGCGACATTAACAGGGTCTTCCCTGACTGCCCTAGGTATCTTTGCGGTAGGTAGGTACGTACCTGGACGTCGTCCACTACCACCTACCCCTATCGGTTTACCTACCCCACTTGCCCACCTACCACCTACCTCCCCCTACTGCCTAAAGCCTAAACTACCTACCTACTGGTGGGTACCTAGGTACCCAACCGCTTGCTTCAGCAACGCACCTGCCAGCGCTGCAGAAATGCATGCTTATGTCATCCCGTCCCTCCCCTCCCCGGGCATCGCGACCTACGTCATCCCGCACAAAGGGTCGCAGAGCTCGCCCCACCCCACTCGTGACTTTGCGCGCCTTCCTTCCTTCCTTACGGAAACCAAGCGAGATCGTCGCCGGATAAACAACTTTTGACAGCCAACGGCGGTTATACCTTTACCTAACTACCTCTACGGTAGAGACTCTACCTACACAGGTAGACAGCATCTTCTCATTGGCACAACACATCTCGCAACTCAATTCCCCGTGTCCGCATCTGCCTGCCTCTTCTCCCTCTCGCAAGCTCCTGTCGCAAATCACCTCGTCGAGTCTCATCACGACACATCACATCACGAGGCCGCCTTCAACGACGTCATCCGGCAGCGTGCACTGCGTTGCATTTGCATTTGCATTTGCATACCTACCCATACTCCGTACATACCACCAGATCAAGATCCCTCGAGCCAAGCGCGACTGCCATAATGCACCACCTCCTGCGGCACGCGGCCCACACCGCCCTCCGGGGCTGCTCCGACGCTTCCCTGGCCAAACCTCTTGGCACGCCGTCCTTCAAACGACCCGTCGTGGTTCCCGCCATTGCCTACTTCTCCACATCTCGCAGCATGCCCGCCAAGAACCAGATTTTCGCATCGTAAGTAGGGGACGCTGCAGACCACAACCAGCCCTTTTTTTCTGTCCATGTCAAACGACCGGCTAACCCGCTGCTGCTGCTGCTGCTGCCTCCAGTGTCCGACATCCCAACGACTTCCACACCTACCAGCTCATGTCCTCTTCGTCTCGCGCGCCTCTGATAACGCTGTGGACCACTTCGTGGTGCGGAACCTGTCGCGTCGTCGCTCCTCTGATCCGGTCCCTCGTGGAAGCCGGCGTGGGCGAGGCCGAGGGCGGTGTCGCCTACTGCACAGTCGAGTTCGACTCTCCCGACGTCATGAGCGAGGGACTGGGCATGACCTACATGATCACGTCGATCCCCACCCTGCTGAGCTTCGACAACCAAGAAGCCCAGATCCAGACAAAGGTACACGACGTGAAAAAGCTGACGGACCGCGCCTTCCTCGAGGAATGGATCAGGACCGAGGCTCGGCGTCACGGGCAGCGCGGAGCCGGCGGAGGACCCGGCGGCGTCTTTGGCGGGCTGTTTGGCGGCTTCAAATGATGCGAATGGACAAGTCACCAAGTACACACGGCGCCGCGCCGCACCCGTGGGCCAAGCCACCAGGTTTCATGTGTCAGCCCGCAGAGCGCGCACAATAGACTGCCCGACGTGATCAAGACGCAAACGCTGATAACTCTGTCGGTCGTTGACTATAAAAACAAAAATTGCAACACATTCGATACCCCCCCTCCCTCCTGTCCTCAAGGCGTGAAAAACACCTCTTCGACGGGTTTCCACCACGAGGGCTTGCCGACCTCGCTGCTCACGGCGCCGGGGACCACCGACTCCTGCCAGCCGTCGGTCATGGCCCACCACTCGCGCACCTTTGGGTTTTCCTTCATCTTCTCCATGTCGCCGGCCCAGTCGTAGCCGACGTACTTGAAGGTGGCGAAGAGGATGCGGGAGTCGGGCTCGTGCCAGATGCTGTCTGTTTTGTTTGGTAAGAGTTCAGCTTCTGCGTGGTTTTTGTTCTGTTTTTTTTTTTTTTTCCTTTCCACCCCCGGGTCGGGTTTGTCACCTACAGTCGACAATATTGCATTCCTTGATCTGCTTGAGCACCTCAGGCCAGACGTTGGCATGGACCTCCTTGTACTTGTCGATGAATTCGGGCTTGAGCTTCACAATCTGGGCGATGCGGCGACCAGGGTTCCTCTGTCTGGCGGTGTCGGGCGCAGCAGGCTCCACCTCGGTGGGGCTACTGGCCGCAGCGGGGGAGGAGGCGCGCTTGCTGGACCACATGATGCCTGCTTGACTCGTTGAAAGGGGCTCGTCGTGGATGGCGAAGGTGACGAAGATGATGGAAGTGTGTTTGCTGGCAAAGTGTGCTCGGTCGAGGGTTGGGCCAAGTGTATGTATCCCGAGGACTCAGACGCAGGCCTATGGAAGCGTAAGCGTCTACTGAGAGACGATCGGATCAGCGGAGGGAGGGGGAGCGGTTGATAACACGACTGGATAAAGCGACAGACGGATGGGGGGGTCCTCGGACACGTCGGGCGAAGATTGTCGCGAGGCGGGGGCGCGAGGGGTACGGGGTGCGGGGGAGATTTGGGAGACTCTTCAGTGGCATATTCGCCAGTACGGATACGAATACAGCACATACATGCGGCGCTGCAGGCACGCGAGACAGAAGAGTACTTGAACACAGGGCCGCAACGCAGCAGAGGGACAGATACCTTTGGAACGCGATGGACGGCAAACAACCACCGTCTTTCCTCCAACTTGATCGTTTCGACGCAATGTAACACCGGTGGGATGTCGTGTGATGCGGCGCGAGTTCGTCGTCGTACAGTCGGCGAGGTAGAACGGCGTGAGGCTGCTTACAGAGACGTGTCGGGGGGGGGGGGGGGGGGGGGGGGGGGTTATGGGATTTTATAAATTATGATATCGGCGGGAAGATGGAGATGAGATGCACAACAACAACAACAACAACAACGATTGATTAATTAATCAATCAATCGGTAGCCCGCGCCGGGCCTTGACGTGCGTGCTTCTTATACCTTTTTTTCCTCGGTGCAGAGTTGACTCCTCATCCTTTCTTTTTCTTTTTCCCCCGCCGCTTCTAGGCCCTAATCTGCCTGCACCAAACACAGCTGTCCGCGTCTTCCGAACTCGAGCATCTGAGCGTCTCCGGGCGGGTGTGTCTCACGCGCCTCTGCTTGTGATGAGAGCGCCAGTGATAGGAATTAGGTTCCCTGGGCCTCGGTATTTATTCCGTTAATGGGGCCGGGGTCTCTCGGGTCTTCTCCCTCCCCTTCTGCAGCATATATATCACACTGGGGCCCGACGTCTTCGCGATGGCTGAGCTTAGGAAGGGGAGGGGGAGGAAATGACAGCCGCCCCCTCCCCACCGGAGGACGGGACACAGACAGGTGCGCTTGTCGGTCAGAGCCAGTCGGTCTTCTATCCCGCATCTCTGCGGGTTCCTTAAGTGGAGGAGGGGGGGGTCGGTACCAAAGTTTGCGTGTGGACCGTGACATCCCGACATGCCAAATTCCCCGACCAATCGATTGCAACGAGCCGCTGAATACCTAACTACTCCAATGGAGCGGCCACCCGTCATACGAGACCCGTTAGACATACGAGTCTTCACGTGTGAATGCCCCTCGAACGGTTTCAACGGTCTTGTATGTGTTAACCTTGTTTCCCCTTGTTTCCCCGACCACGCGTGCCCTTGTCTCACGAGCATGCCATGCCCTCTCGTCCTCGTCTTCGGCCTCGTGGCAAATAGATGCCATTGGGTGGTTTCACGTCTAGTCTGGTCCGACTGAACCCGGCCCGGCGGCACCTCCCGCTCCCGCCTTGTGTATCTCCCGGACGCCGGTGCCCATGTGAGCTGCTTTGCATAGTTCAGAACGGGGCGATGAGACCGACCCAGGGGCAATGGCACCTTTCCTCCCTTTGGATTCTGGGGCCGTGGGGGGTTCGTTGGCTTCCCACCTTTTTGTCACTTTGCAGTGAGGCCGGTGTTGTTCCTACGTCACGTCTCTTGGGCACGTCAGTCGTGTGCGGGCCATGATGCATTTCGTCTCGACGACCAGCGTGGCCGGATGTGGATGTTGCGAGGCCGTTTGTCGACGCATTCCTCGCACCGTTCAACCTTGACACGTCGTTGACGGATTTGTATTGGGTGTGCGTTATGCCTTTGCGGTTATCAATTCCGAGGCAAGAGACGTGGTGAATGCGCGTTGTGTTTTTGGGGGGGGGGGGGGGGGGCTTTGCCCGTCTTCTTTTCTGCCCCAACCACGCTGCCTCGGAGAGTGTGAGGGAGGCCTATAGGCTTTGTTTTTGTATTTCTCTCCCATGTTCACGAGAGGCCTCATGTTTTAGCAGGTCCGGAGACGAGGGGGGTGCTGGCGTCGGGAGACCGGCGGCGGCGCTCAGGGGAGCCTTGGTGAGGAATACGGGCATGCCGTCCGGGGTTCTCGTCCGCCGTGAGACCACGAGGGCATCTATGAGAGAGAAAACGGACCGCTCGACACGGCTCCGGATATGGGCATGTTTGAATGCCGTGTTCTTGGGCGCGCGCGGGTACGAGTGCCGCGGCTGTGACGTGGCGGAACAACGCCGGGCTCCCGTGGCATGGGCAGGGTTGGGCGGGGATGGCGATGTGTACAAGCCGAAGCGATGGGCAAGTTGGAGCTGGAGCGGTATCTTTGGGTGAACCTTTCGAAGGGCTGAAAGATATCTGAGGCGGCATTGCGTGCTATCTGGTTGTTTGGCTCCATATAGAATATTTGATTTAGTTTTGTTTTATCTTTGAATTGTAATTGTCTTGATAATTCCGTTTACATATCTCCAACATTGGTACGATACGACTGACCATGCATGTATGCGATCTGATCAGGTACCAATTTACCCACGGAAGAATTCCAATTGAACAATCCCTCAATCTGTTGCAGTTGGGTAGACCACCTTGTTCCGGTCTTCCGCCGTTGACCCCCCGCGCCGCGGGCCGGAACGCCCGAAACAGATCCACAAATCTCGGCCTCAAGGGATCATCAGCCCACAGCCGTGCATACTCTGCATCTCACTTCACGAGTCATCTACATGCGCCGATGGTTTAGTGGTAAAATTCTCCGTTGCCATCAAGCAGCGTCGGGGAGCCGGGGGTTCGATTCCCCCTCGGCGCATCTTCTTTTGCTTTTGCGTCAATTTCAACTAGACCGACCTGCTTTAATTGCAATTGGCTTCCGTTCCGTGTGTGTGGGCTTTTTAGGGGGGGGGGGGGGGGGGGGGGGGGGGAGGGGTTTAGGAGCAATTCTGAGACAAAGGTTGTGTGCGCCGGTACGGCGGGCCTATTAGCTCTGGGATTATTGCCAAGGAATGAATCGTGAGATGACAAGCGGCTATTGAGGAAGCACTTCTCTTAACTCAAATTTAGCAGCTAGTTAATATGTGTATTAGACAGGGCTGTGAACCTAACGATTGACCTTGCGGATGTGTTGCTCCTCTGTTTACAGAACTTAAAAGTTGTTGCGCCCGGCGCCCATGTCAACATGGAAGTCGTGGGGTGAAATACACAAGACGAGACAAGCAATTAGCAGAGAGAGGGAGCATAGGTTAAATTATACTACTGTGCTGACTGGTATCCTAATGCACTTAGCGACCTAAATGTCATTAGTAGACACGCGAAGGACAGGGCCTAATAAAGAAAAGGAGAAGAAAGAAACCAACGTTGCGCAGGCAAAAATTAAAGAGTGTCCCTGGCAAGGCTCGAACTTGCGACCTTTGGATATCCCGACCTGGAGGCAGGGTCATATGGATGTAATATGAGACCAACGCTCTACCGACTGAGCCACAGAGACCGTTTGCGTGCTGGACGGGGCTGATGGAAGACAACAAGAAGGGCCGCGTCGTGGGCGGAGAGAGAGAGAGGGGGGCACCGGAAAGACGACGATGGGGCGGTGGGAAAGTAATGATATTGTATGGCCCAGTCATGAGTTGGAGACGGAGCCTTTGGGGAGGACACCTTATCCCAGACAACGATATCCTCGGGGGGGTGGCTCTTCACGACTTATTGCTCTCGCTGGCGATGACCGGCGCCTTGACCCGGAGGAGCTTCTCGGCGTTGCGGTAGGCGATCTTGTCGAGCTCCTCGGGCGTGACCATGCCGCTGTCCCGCAGCTCCCTCACCCACGCCAGCCCGTTCTCGTTCTTCTCGAACGGGTAGTCGACGCTGTACAGGACGTGGTCGACGGGCGTGTTCCTCAGCACGCAGGCCAGCGGCGCCAGCCCCCACACCCCGCTCGTCGTCACCCAGATGTTCTCCTCCCACACCCGCCGCCAGCCCCGGCCGCGCGCGCCCCACCGCGGCGAGAGCTTCTCCACGCGCTCCATCATGAACGGCAGCATCTCGCCAAAGTGCCCGATGACCATCTTGACCCCCGGCACCGCGTCGAACAGCCCCGCCGCGAAGAGCCGGAGCACCGCCAGCCCCGTCTCCTGGTGCCACCCGAACCCGCTGCTCCCGAGGTGTGCCACCAGGTGAGGAACGCCCTCTATACGTCAAGACTATCTCCGTCGATTGCTTATGCCAAGCAACCTGACCCGTAAGATCGAAGCAAGCCGTGGTTTGCTTTAGGAGAACGTGGCTGCCTGTGACCAAACTTATCTTTTTCCGTATGGCTGTGAATGATGCGCGCTCAGATTGGGGCAAGTGGCTGACGTTTCACGTGGGTGCCAATCATAAGGCCAGGGCCCTCTCCCATAGACGAATCATCGCGTCACTGGCCTAGACGTGAATGAAGCACGGTCCACGATACATCTAGCTAGTAAAAGCAAAGTCTTGCTGCAGACCAATAACTACTAACAACGTGCGAGGGTGCAAGAACAAGACATCAAGACATTGCAATGAGTAGGAGTCGGCTGACGCTGGTCGCGGGGAGAAGGGGACTGTAGCCTTGGCACGGTCACTCTTCCCTTCATTATCCAACGGGTACCTGGACTTAAACTTGTGCTGTCGTGCGAAGCCCTTCAGAAGACCTTCGCAAACGTTTCATTCCACACCTCGCCTTCTATAATAGCTCCCCAATCCAGGCCATGCTCGCGTCGTTGGCGAGGCGGCTGAACGCCGGCGGGCGCGCGCCGAGGCCGGGCGCGTGCGAGACCACCTGGAGGGAGACGCGGTTCGCGTCCATGTCGGCCAGCCGCAGGGGCCCGACGTCCCGGAGGCGCTCGCCGACGGCCGGCACATTCTTGAGCTGCTCGCCGTAGAGGTCCGACAGCTCGGAGAAGAGGTCGGGGGCGATGAAGTGCTCTTCGAGCGTGATGAGGGGCGGGATCCGGTCCGACATGTTTGTGGGTGGGTGTGTGTGTGGTTTCTGGCGGGATGCTTTCTCTAGCGGGCAATGTGAATCGCGCGGAATATATCTGTAGGATTCTTTGTGTCTTTACGGAGTATCTTGGGAAGTTCAAGCCACAGCGCCTCGTTGATACCATCCGTGACCCCGCATGGCTGGATTTTGAAGGTCCGTCCTGAGACATGCAGCGGAAGCACTGGATTGGATCGTGGATCTGATGGCGCTCAATGGGCCTCGGTACTTTCCCAGTCAAGCCCGGCTTGAAAACCGGCATGGTCTGAGTGCTTCAAGCCATTCAACGCGTCAAGTATGGTACGAGGACAAAAAGAGCGCAATCAATGGCGGATTGGGTTGAAATCGGCTTTTGATCACGAATAATACGCTCCGGAGAGTAACGAGCCATGTCATGTGGGAAAATACCAAGCAGACCTTGGGGATTCATGCCTTTTTTATCAATTGTTTTTTTCCTCCGTGAGCAGACTGGAATTTCTATTGACATATGCTATAAGGGAATCGATAGAGATAGTAACCTCCGCGGGCTATGTACGTCGAGTTCGTCTCGTTGACCAACGCAACGGGAAGAGGCCGTGCAAAAGCAGCGCAGCATAGCTTCGTGGCCATGGTTCTACTCCATAGCTTGTATTCCACTCGTAGACTGTATCTTTTAGCTATATACTGTCTTGATTGCTGTCAACTCCCAACAGTAGGAATATCAAAATAAAGCAGGGCGTTGAGGATGATGGAACGGCAGCATGAACCCATTTCACCCGCAAAGTAACTACAGCCTTGTGATTGTCTTGGAAATCATTGCACACATATCCAAAACAACGGGGCTAACAAGCCGGCCATGTAACATTTTGATAATGTAGAGCATAGCCTATCGTCTAGAGTAACGGAGTAGTCGAAGAGTTAAACATGGGCTTTACCAGAGAATTGCTGACGCCAGTACAACCAGAACCTCAGTCGAATTCCCACGGCACGAGTGAAGCACAAGAATGCGAAGCGCACAGTGTCGACCCGCATGAATCACTGTGAGCCATGCCGTCCCCACCATCCACATCAAGTGCAAAATGCTGCTGCCATGACCCTCCAAAGTTCCAAGACCTCACTTACATGACAAGCCTCGCAAATATCCCACTTGCCCACACGACGGGGTCTCTCATTCCTACAAAACAAAAAAAAACATATAAAGAAAACTCTGCAGGATACAATCATGGCCACGAGGATACCCCACGCGCTGGAGGGCTACCTCGCCCTCCCGCCCGAATGCGCCCAGATCCTCCTCACCGGCGTCCTGGGCGCCACCACCAACTGGCTCGTCCTGCGCCACCTGTACTCGTACCTCAGGAAGCCGGCCGCGAACGGGGAGGAGGCGACGACGGCGGCGGCGGCGGCGGCGGAGGATGTCCGCGTCGTGTTTGTGAGCTTCATGCGAGATTTTGCGTTTTGGAAGGAGGGCGCCGGTAGATTGGTATGTTAACTCACCCCTCATACGTGCGTGTGCCTCGTCTGCCCCTCCCTCCCTCATTATTTTTTTTGCCCCCATTTACCCCTCCATCCGATGAGATTTCTTCAAAGGACCGACGGAATGGCGAGGAGGGGGAGGGAGGAGCGTCTTTTCTGAAACGAAAATGCAAAGAACTGACGAGCCATCGCAGGGCCTTGACCTCGAAGGTCTGGGACGGAGCGGCAAGTTCGTCTTCGTCGACGGGCTGAGCGGGCTGTTCTGGCAGGAGGGTTTCGCGGCGCAGCCGGCGGCGGCGGCGGCCAAGGGACGGAGGGTCCTCCGCGGGGCGAAGCTGCCGGACATACAGCGCGAGCTCGAGGGGGCGGTCGCCGACGTGTCCGCCGAGGGCGCAAAGACGGTGCTGGTCCTCGACCAGCCGGACCTCCTCCTCGCCGCGTCCGGCGAGCGCCTCACCGGCCTGGCGCTGCGGAACATGCTTCTCGACGTGCAAGAGGTAAGCCGTGCGCTCCCGCCCCTCCCCAGGCTCGAATCTGACACGGAGAAAAAAAAAACACAGAAAGTCCATGCGACCGTGTTCGCCGTCGCGGCGGACGAGCCCCTCGTCGCGTCGCAGACGACGACGCTCGAGAAGGAGCACGCGGCCTTGGTCCTCGGGCTGGCCCACGCCGCCGAGACGGTCATCGGCCTCCGGCTCCTGGACACGGGCAACGCGAGCGACGTCAGCGGGGTGCTGAGGATCACGGCCGGCGGGGACAGGCACCGCGAGAGGGAGGCGGTCGAGGAGACGGAGCTGCTGTACTTCGTCGGCGGGGACGGGAGCGTCAAGGTGTTTGGGAGGGGGCAGTGAAGGGGAGGTCCAAGGTTGTGTGGGACGCACGCGATAGTTTTGTTTGGGACATGTCGGAATGGGAAGTTTCTGCCATGAACTACCGTGCTGGTGGTGGTAGGTTCGACACAACCACTATGCTTAGGAAATGCTCCCGTCGAGGACGAGTCAGTTGTGAGTAGAGCTTCAACCACACTATACGACACCGGCCGGCCCAGTCTCGCCACATATTCCATACGACACCGAGCACATCAGAATGCCATTCGGGGCGGGCCTGTTCATCACTCATATTCCTAGGCGCGAGGGATCACAGAGGGTGACAGGAGAAGCAAAGCCGTGTTTCTCTTTCGATTTTGAGGATCCCCGTTTTCCCAAGTCTTTTTTTTTTTTTTAAAAAAAAGTCTTTTCCCCTTTCTTTGCCCGCGCGCGAAAGACATGTATGAAACACAAAAACACCCGTTGTTTGGTTTTTGTTTGACTCCTTTTTTGATATTGGCTTTGCTGTTCAAGTCAAACGGGGGGTTTTAGGGAGGAGGAAAAAAAAAAGAAGAGTGTTTCGTGATATCGTTTCTTCCGACAAGAGTTTCCCCCGCGGGGGGCAACACACACGCCTCCTCAGCCCTCCCCCAAGTCATCCCTAACCCGTCGCCCGAATGCCTCGATTGCACAGATACCTCCCCATGTCGACCCGATTCCCATTCCAATCATCGCTTGATTCTCGCTCACGACTGCTGGACGGTGGGGCCGGCGGAACCCTTGGGGACACCGGTCTGGAAGCCGTTCTTGAAGCGGCGGGAGACGTCCTTGAGGTAGCGCATGCGGCCGGTACCAACGGTCTTTCTCCGCTTGGCCTTCTCGGACCAGTTGTCTGTATCGCATCCTGCGTCAGTATTTCCGGTCTCTCACACACACACGAGTGGGATGGTGGGGGGAAGGATGGCGTAGGCAGGGAATGTCTCGAGTTGTGACCGTGCTGGATCGGGATGGGTTCGTCGTCGGGAGTAAAACGTACACTTGCGGGTCTTGGCCGCAGGGTAACCGCAGGAAGCGCAGGTGTGCTTCTGGATGTGAAGCGATCGGCGACCTGTTGAACATGGAAACCATCAGCGTCTGTGGCGTCCCTCGAGCATTGGGGGGGAATCCGCAGTCCGTCGCGTCCCGGCATAGAAAGCAGGGCAGAGACTTGATCCCCCCTCATGGGGCGGGTAAGACTTACCGCAACGACGGCACAAGGTGTGCGTCTTGTTGTGTCTCTTACCAAACGAGGAGGTACCCTTCGCTATAGAAAAAACAATCGTCAGTCCATCGAAACGGCGAACATGCCCTCGTCGCGGCGAGGACAACAGTGGCGGCGGCGTAACGTACTCATCTTGGCGGTGTTCGGTGGTCGACGATGGTGTTCTGTGGTTGCTGGTCGGTTAGTTGGTTTGCGGAGGAATCGGACAAGAAGCTCGCGGGTGGTCAAAATTTCACTCTAAGCGAGCGAGTTTTCGGGCACACAAATTGTGGCAGGCGCCCTTCGGGTGATCCTCGGACGGCGTCACATGACCCGGGCTTTTGTGGGATCCAAAGGTCGAATTTGTCGGCCAATCAGCGACCGTTGTGCGTGCCGGGTATTTGGGATACGTACCCAAGGAGAGGCGCCCGGGCCACACACACACTCTCCACCCATGCACCTTCGTCCAAGGATTTCGATGGGCATGTCACTTGGATACTGCGCATGTAGTACATAGTATGTATGAGTCTGCTTGTAACAGCAAAAAACAGGTACAGATACTCGAGAATAATTGAAGCTCAAATAAACTAGATGGCGGCGTCAAGTTCGCCCTTACAATATTGGTTTGTTTGCCCACGAAAATGCGGTGCATTGGTTCGATTAGACTACTAAGCACCAAACGCCAACCAAACAAACGCCTTCCACCCCCCCAAATTGTGCCTCCTGCTTGTCTTTTTTCCTTTGCCTCGTGCGGGTATACAAATTCATACATTGCCCACATTTAAACCAGAGCCCCAACCATGATACATAGGCATCTACCCGTGCAACCAACCCCCCTCCCCCCCATCCATCATGCTTGAATGTCGAGCATCTTTTTGAGCGCCGCCTCGCTCGCCCTCAACCACCGGCCCCGCTCCTCGAGATCATCCGCGTCGCCGCCGGCGCCCTCCTTCCGCCGTTGCGCTTCCTTCGCGGCCATCTTGCTGTTCTGCCTCTTGGCCTCCAGCGGCTGCAGCTCGGCCTGCAACCTCTCGGCTTCCTTTCTCTTCCGAGGTACCTTGGCCTGTAGCTGCTCCAGCTCGCGGTCTAGCTGCTGCTGCTGCCTCTTCTTCTCGTCCACCAGCTCGAGCGTTTTGGCGAGCGGCAGGTTCATGTACGGCTTCTGCCCCGGCTCCTGAGCCTCCTTGAGCTCGGCCACGCGCTCCTCCAGCTCGGCAATCTTGTCGGGGAGTTCCCGAAGCTTGGCCGTGTCCAGCCGCACGCTCTCGTACCGCTTCGCCAGCTCCTTGCCCTTCCTCTCCAGCTCCGTCACCAGCTCCGCCACCTCGACCTTGAGCGCCTTGAGCTGCGCCTTGGCCGCCAGGTTCGCCTTCTCCAGCTCGACGTTCTCCTGAGGCGAGACGATGACGGGCGGGTCGCCGACGATGGCGCGGATGAACTTCTCCTTGGTGACCTGCTCGACGTAGGAGAACCGCAGCTTCGCAAAGAGCTCCTTGTAGTGCTCGAGGTCGGCGTCCAGGCTGGCAGGCGTCGCCGCATCCTGTGAGGCGTTGGACGCGTCCGAGGTTCGCTGCTGCCGCGACTCCTGCGCGACGGCGCTCGATATGGGCTCGCTCAGCCTGATGATGGAGATCTCGTGGTTCTCGTTGAGGTCCTCGATCTTGCGCAGCACCGAGGCCGCCTTGTTCGCGTCCATGTTGGAAAAGAAGACAGAAAAAAAAACAATTGCCCGTGAAATATGCCTGGGGATATGCGTTGATTGCGGATTCTGTTGCAGTCGCGTCAAAGAATTGTAGTCGGCCGCTCGGAGTCGGCTCAAATCTTCTTTGCGCCCCCCCAGTGTCCGGTGCTTGGTGACGTTTGTTTACTTGTGTCCCAAAGGAGCCAAGTGCGGGTGGCCGGCGGGTTATCGATAACGACAAATCTTTTATCTTATCGTATTAGACTATCAGGCGGCGGCTGACGGAGATGCACATCCCTTTCCACTGTGCCAAAAGGCCTTTTGTCCCATGGTGCCTGATTTCCGCCTGTTGTCGATCAAATCCATCAGCCGCCACAGGTTGCGACAATAATGCCCTTCCACTAACCGCAACCCCTCTCCGTGGTATCACTTGGCAGCCTACTCGAAAGGCCTTTCTATCATTTCTTCCGTTTCGGCCATCGTCCATGGGCGATTGGTTTTCACCCTGGTAATCGGGTTTTATCAGATACCGGCAATCATCCCGCCGCCCAGTCAACGAATGCTCCCACCCTTCCCTTGGGTCGCGTCTCACTCATCCTTCGAAACGGCACGATACTTGAATTTCTTCTGGCTCGAAACCAGGCCCCCGTCCTCGAGATGCCCAACGACAACCTCCTCACCGACGAATATGTCGCTGAGCTGCTGGCTAAAGAGGCAGACGACTGCTCGCTAAAATACTCCAGCATGGGTATGGATGCGTTCCGCACCGACAAGAAGTACGTCCTGTGATCCCGGGCTCCCGGATCCTCCAAACAAATCTAATCAGACCCTTCCCCCCTTCCCCTCCCAGACCGGCAAACCTGCCCAAGCCAAACACCCGTTTCCTGCGTCACATCATCAAGGACACCAACACGCACAACAAGAACCTCCTCGCCAAGGAGGCGGCTGAGTCCCGCGCGCGGCTGAAGGACCTCGAACACGCCGATGAGAAGGAGAGGCGGAGGAAGGCCGGGCCCCAGGACATCCGCAGGCGGCAGATGGGCGACATCAAGGCCATCTTGGGAGACCGCAAGGACACGCCGGAGAGCCTGTTTGCAGTGTAGTGAGAGACAGTAATGCCCAACTGGTACCTCAGTAATGACGGATGACACTACATTGGTTTGATCTTCTGGAAAATTACTCATGAGCGAACTTCTAAGCTATTCAAATACGGCCACTGTTGAGCCCCGATCAGCCGCGCCTTTCAAGTGGGAGCGAGTGGGTTCAATCGCTGAGTCGCAATTCGATGGGACCTAGAACCTGACTTAACCAGCTTTTGCGACTCATTATCGGTGTGCTGTCTCGGACGGGAGTTATGTACAGAAATGGTCCAAGGGGTAACAGATGTCGTTGCTGGGCACGCCGTTACGCCTCTTCGTGAGCGAACGTGGAATGGGCGTATATCTTGCGACAGAAGCGCTAGTTACCCTACTACAAAGCGGTGATTTACATGGGCGTTAGTCCGGCAGCGGTCGGCGGGAACGGGAGCGGGAGTCTGCCGGCGGCGGCGGCGGTGGCGACATGTCCGACTCGGACCCGCTGGACGACTTCATCGGGCCGGCGCCGGCACAGCAAGTCCGATCGCGGGGCCGCGGGGCGGCGGCGGGGACGTCGGGGATCGACAAGCGCTTCGAGACGGACTACGACCCCAAGGCGGACGTGGAGACGGCAGAGGACGCGGCGGGGGCGGGGGACTGGGACGACGCCGTGGAGGCGTTCCGCGACCGGCAGAAGTGGCGGCAGAACCAGGAGCAGCGGATGCGGGCGGCGGGGTACAGCGACGAGACGATCAAGAAGTGGAGGGAGGGCGGCGAGCAGAGGGACGAGCGGGACGTGCGGTGGGCCAAGGCTGGGGAGAAGCGGGAGTGGGATCGCGGCAAGGAGGAGGAGGGGGTCAGCGGGCTGTTTTCCGAGTTCAACTGATTCCCTGCGAGGCACGGTGATGGTGGGCGATGACGGCTTTTGGTGTTTCGGGAGGGGGGGGGGGGGGGGGGCGGCGTTTTTTTGGTCATTGCAGGCGGGCGGGCGGAGGGGAGTTGCATACTGCCTGGCATGGCTTTGATGGTTTCTTGTTTTCATCTTCCATTTTTCTTCTTTTTCATCTTCCATTTTTCAGATACCGCATAATACCGACAGCGGGCTGTCTTCTACGATGGCTACGGACTTGCCTTGTGATTCAACGTCACGGCTATCATGGCAAGGTGTTGCACAGAGGGGACTTGGGAGATGTTCGTAGACGTGTATAGGGCCACATATCTCGGGGGGCCTTCACGAGCGCCGTTGTAGTTCGTTGGAGATCAGATCGTAGGTGGGAGAACGAGCAGATTCGTGCTCCCTAAAGCTCCAGTAGAGAGAGAGAGAGAGAGAGAGAGAGAGAGAGAGAGAGAGAGAGAGAGAGAGAGAGAGACTGTGTGTGTGTCTGTGTGTGTGTCATTTGTTCCAGGCCGGGGTCTTCGTCTGGTTTTCCTTTACCGCCCGTTGTGTGAGTAATGTTGATAGATGAGACGATGAGGCTGACTGACGGGCCACGGCCTGTGGCTCTCCCGCCCCCACTCGCGCATCAAAGTTGAGTTCAGCCTGACCGGACTTGCAGGCCCTTTCTCTCTCTCTCTCTCATCTGATTAGAGGTTTCACTTTCCCTATGCCCCCTCCCAAATGCCAGCCATATCTATCTGACTCGATAGGCGGGCGCTACGTAGCATGATAAGTTGGGGAGGGGCAGTTGCCGCTAAGGATGATGGAAAAGAAAAGCCCGAATGACTCAACAACAACAAGTGCAATACAAGTCAACCCTCATCCTCTCTGTATTTGTGGACGGGGTCTCGGCTTTACGGCGTCACCTAGAGGCAGATGCACTTCTGCCATCGTACCCAGGAAAAAGACTGCTCAAAGAAACGTGTGGTTACCACGGCGGCCTTGGGCCACGCTGGGACAGACAGACAGAGGCACAGAGAGAGAGAGTGTGTGTGTGGTCGGCAGGGTTGTTCTTGGGGTGTTTTTTAAGTGTCGTTTCACAACCGGACACGTCAAAGTCGCATATGTATGTGTATATCCCCCACCTGGTTGTGAAACAAAAATGGGTTTACATGCTGGAGAAGAATGAAAGGCAAGGGGGGGAGACGGAGAGACGGGGAGACGACGCACTAGACCGGATTGGGTAGAACCGGAAGGGGAAAGATGTAACTTACCTTACCTGCCCTGGCTACGTAGTAGGTAGGCACGTAGGCAGGTACCTACGTAGATAGGCAGGTAGGGAACAAAGACTACTCACCCAAAAGAGAAGAGAGAGCTTCGGGCACGTCAGGAACGCGTCAGGCAGGAACACCCCAGGCACGCAGGTCGATGAGGTTTCCCGATGCGGCAGGTGGGATTGTTCGCTCCCGGGGATGTTGGAATGAAGAAGAGAAAACGATGTGAGACCGGGAAGGGAGGGGAGGGGTGAACAAAAGTAAAAAAAAAAAAAAAGAAAAAAAAAGAAAAGAGAAAAAAGAGGCTGACGCCGGCCGGAACGGGGGGCGCAGCTGTCGTCGCCGATTGAGTGCGAGTGCCGGGGCGCTGGGAAAGACGATGGACAAGGAGCTCTCGTTCGTGCTGAGGGTTTTGGAAGATGTGCAGCGTACTCTGTAACGCCTCTCGGACGGGGGACGACCCCGAGTGCACATATATAACGAACCATCTTGTCAACCTAAACTAATGAGGGGTGGTGTACGAATCGCGCGATGCAGTCCGACGGGTTCGTTGCCTGGGCGCGCTTGCTTTGGTTGTCTGGCTGGTTGCCAGACTCGGCATGAATTGAGTTTTTCTCTTCCTGCAGACGATACGCCCTGACGGGTGCGTGTCTGTTCGCTCGTCCGTTCGTGATGCGAGTCGCGGGAGAGAAAGGGCGGGTGCATCAAATGTACTGTACATGATAAGAGACCACGGCTGAGGGGCTGCGCCGCGCTGGAATATGCAGGACACGTGAGGTCCCGAAGGAGATTGACGATGGACTCTTCTCTCCAAATGCTGCTCGCGCAGAAACCTCACTAAGGTTTTTGCGTTTCTGGCCAAGTTGCCCATCTCGACCCACCCCCCCCAAGGTTTCGTTTTTGCGGAGAGACGCATATGGCATTGGGTTACAGGTAGCACTGAAGAACAATAAGCTTCTCTCTCCTTGTCAGCTTGGAGGGAGATATCTTGGTTTTGGGTTAGGTTTCTTTGAGTGTTTCCCCAACCCTCGCCCGCTCTCTCTCTCTCTCTCTCTCTCTCTCTCTTTGCCTCCTTCCCCGATTCAGTTCTATGACTGCCGCGCCTCCCCCCCCCTTCCACCGCTAGGCCGAGCCGGCACGGAACCTTTCAAACATTGCTCCCTCTCCCTTCTTCATTGTTCAAGACGTTCCTCTTGATCTTTATCGGAAGACTGCTTGCGTACACGATGACCCTTACCTAGTCTCGATAGCGGATGGCTGCCAAGGGGGGGGCGTGGATTTGGAATGAAACACAATGTTGGCCGCCGCTCACGAGGGACTTATCAATGATTCGCGGGCCATGAGAGGCCTCTGATCTGAATGCCCCGCCTCTCCCCCCCCTCCCGACTCGACTGCCGGACAAGGGCTACGTTTTGGTACTTGGTCCTCATTTCCCGTCATCGTATCCGGCGATGCTTCGTGAACTCTGCCAAAAAAAAAAAAAAAAAGGAGGGTTTAATGAAGGTGCGTGTCGATTGAAGATGATCGTCAGGACGGAATCTAGGTACGAGGGAAGCATACGGATAGCAGCAGGGTCTAGCTACCTAGGTGTGGGTTTTATCCACCCCAGGTACGGAGTACCTATACGGAGTATGTCACATACTATGTACTATATGTTGGGAGTACTCCGTACTGTAGTACGAGTAGCACGCGGAGAAGATGGTCGGGCTGTCACTGTCAGGCGACACGACGTCCAGTTGATCCACACCGGGCGCGACAGACATCAACTGCACCACCACCTACATATGTAGTATACTTTACTGTCTTACATTACTACTGCCCTACCGCCTCATCCAAGGAGGAATCATGTAGTACATGGAAACGAGTAGAGGTAACCCCGGTCTCATTGGGCGACCTGAAGCACCAGGTGTGGAACTGGAGGGGAGGCCGAGATAATGGGACACCAGAATCGTTCGAGTCACCGACACAAGGAAGAAAGACAAGGAGAGGGAGGCTCTGGAGGCTCTTCCTTTCTCTCGGGCAAAGGTCATGGAAGAGTTTGAGACATCCGCCACCGGATGCCAAGACGAAGCAAAGTACGAGAGGTTCCAAGGCTCCAAGGCAGTAAAAGAATAAAAATAAATAAATAGGATGCATATGGAAAAGAAGGAAAAATAAGGAAACAGGACAGGACTGGCCACGCTAAAGAGAGAGTAAAAAAAAACACAACCTAAAAAAGCCTTGGCGAGCATGACCATGTGGTGTTGTCACCTTGTGCCGCCAAACCCGGCGCGGCAATACCAGCGTCCCCTCTCCCCTTGGCCGCACACGCCTTCAACCATGTCGTCCTGTTTCGGCTGCCGCGTACGGATATAGCGGACGTGTTTCCCAGCCCCGGCGTATGGTAGAGTACCTAGAGCAGAGTAGGTAGAGCAGAACAGGCACCCGAGTGGTTCATGTCACACACACCGAGAACAGCTGGGAATATCATGCCGGAATGCTGTCGTTGCCGCTGCCGCTGCCGCCGTCGGTACTGCAACCGCTGGAATCCTCTCGAGCGGTGTCGAACGGTGTCGAATCGAGTGCGCCATGCACGTAGTGAGTGTACAGTACACGCCACTCATCCCGGATGGATGGATGGATGGATGGATGGTGAGCTGTGTTTGTACATCGTACAACCGACCCCCCGTCCTAACCCCAGTTAGGCAGAGTTGGGTACTCCCCCCGCCTCAGTCAGTCGGTCGCTTCACTTCCACAGGCCATGAGGAGAGGATGGGACGCCCCGAGCTCGCGTGTCGCTGCACCACGCTGCCAAGTTCCAATGACGACGCTACAGGGCCCATTAAGTACGCTCCTTGGCCTAGGCACCTACCTATTACAAGGTACTTTGTACGTGCAGGTATTTATTACCTAACTACGGATACCGTACATTGCAAGCCCGAGGAACGTACCTGGTAGGTAAAGGTAAAGTTGGAAGGCGCGGTAATACGCAGGTAGGTAGTGACCAGAAAGAAAGAAGGAAAGAAGGAAGGAATAAAGAAAGAAACAAAGAAAGAACGAGAGGAGCCCCCGGGCCCCGAGCATCAACATCCTCCGCGCCACCAGACGCCCAAGTCCATATCCAGGCGCTACGTACCTTGGTAGTACACTCGGTAGGTATTCTATCTATCTAGGTAATGGGCTTGCTCCGTACGCGAGTAATTATTGTGTACCTGTAATCAGCTGTTGGCCTCCCCCCCCATCCATCCCCTTCAACAACCCATCCAACCATCATCTTCCATCTATCCACCACCGGCTTCTCTCTCTCTCTCTCTCTCTCTCTCTCTCTCTCCCCCTCTCCCACGCCCTCTCTCACCCTCCCTATCCTTCGCTGTAATACGCATGTATGTATGTATGGCGCTGCACCGTTCTGCGCTGCGTGCACACCTTCACTTCCATCCACTAGGTCAACTCGACGAAAAAATCGGCAACTTCTCCCATAGTCAGTCTCCTACCGTCGGTCCTCTTTAAAATAAACCTGATCGACACACCACACCAAGCATACCACTCCCTTGGTCCTTCCCCCTCCCCCCCAATTCTTCGTCTATTCTCTTGGCCCGACGCTTCCCGCTGCACATCACAAGACCGAGACAGAGAGCGAGACACTGACATACGCTGCTGCCCGACCGACCGCCTTCCGCCTCTCCTGCCGCATTCGTCTCGTGCTTCACCCTCGACAAACAACCGCAGACGGCCTCTTCTTCTTCTTCTTATTCCGACTCTCCCCGTCGCATGACATCTGCGCATGTTCCGACTCTGCGCAGATTGTCGCTGAGCCACTGACAGCAGCTGGTCGGTCCGCTACCTTGACTCGACTCGACTACCCTCTCGCTACCGTTATCGCCAGACTCGACTCGACTGCCCGGCCGTCGCGCCGACCCCCCCCCCGGACACTTCCCCCGCCCGTCATCTATACATATATACACTCACGATACCGGGAGCATTCGACTTCGCGCCCTTGTTCATATTCCCTTGTTCCCGTATTCTTAACGACCCGATACGATCCCCGACCATGCGTACTCCTAGAATAGCCATCATCGTCCTCTTCTTCGTCGCCTCCCTCTTCCTCTTCTGCCGCTCCGTCGTCTCCCTCGCTCGCTCCAATACCGTCGTCGCCCCGGCCTCCGTCTCGCCACCGCGCTTCCAGAGCCTCTTCTCCTTCACCGCCCCCTTCTCCATCTTCACCCCGAATGCCGCCATCAGCCTGACCGACGACAACAGCACCTCCTTCGTCGCTCGCCCCGCCGCCTTCGGCCCTAGCCTGCCCAACAAGGGCCTCAGCGGCCAGCTATGGATCGGCAGCGGCTTCTCCGACGATAACCTGCAGGACGGCGAGGGCGAGGGCGAGCTGGGCTGCACCGACATCCCCGGCTGGGAGGATGGTAAGGCCAACGCCATTCTCAAGTCCGCCTCCAAGGCTGTTTCCAAGTCGGACGCCAAGGCTGCCACTGCTGCTGGCAAGCCCGGCCACCACAAGCGGGACAAGGCCGCTGCCGCCGACGACAAGGATGCCGTCCCCGACGTCGTCGGTCTCCCCGCCACCCGCCTCAAGTCCAAGATCCGCCCCCTCGACGACGGCACCGATGACTACCTCCACCAGAGCCTCGCCCGGAAGCACCAGCCGAACCACCACGACAGCGCCGTCTACGCCGAGTCGACCCACGCCGATATCCAGTCGATACAAGAGGCCGCGGAGATCGCCGGCAAGATCGTGCTGCTCAGTCGCGGCGGTTGCGGCTTCCTCGAGAAGGCTAAGTGGGCCCAGCGCCGCGGCGCCATCGCCCTCATCGTCGGCGACAACACCAAGGGCGGGCCTCTGATCCAGATGTTCGCCAGGGGCGACACCTCTAACGTCTCCATCCCTTCCGTCTTCACCACTCGCACCACGGCGCACCTGCTTTCGTCCCTGACCCAGCCGGGCAGCTATATCGAGGACACAATCGACGAGCGCGGCCGCCCGTCTCTCAAGGTTCTGCACTCCGACGCCGCGAACCGGAAGAACGGGAAGAATAAGCAAAAGGCCGCCGCCGCACCGGTGTCCACACCGACCCCCAAGACCAAGTCCACAGCTCCGCCCAAGACCAAGGTCAAGGCTGCCGCGGTCGTCAAGGCCACCAAGACCAAGGAGACGAGCAGCTCCCGCGGTGGCTTCTTCCGCTGGCTGTTCAGCTGGGGTCGCAGTTCGCGGTCCGGCGACGGCAGCATCCAGCCCCCCAGAAGCGGGCGCCATAACTGGGTCCTCGTCGACGACTGGAGCGAGGAGAAGGACAGGACCATCCGCGACGGCCTCGGCAAGGCTGCCAAGAGGGGCAAGAAGAAGGTCCCCGAGCCCCGCAAGAACGAGGACAGTTTCCAGATTGGCGTCCAGGACTGGCGGGACCCTGACCTGGTGGATGCGCCGACCTCAAAGGACAACGTCGACAAAACCGAGCAGGCCGGCAAGCCGGGAAGCAACGCAAAGGGGAGCAAGGACGCCAGCGGCCCCAAGGGTGGAAGCATCACCCCCGGAAGCGGCGAGTATAACCCCAACATGCCTCCTGCTGAGGCCAAAGGCTCCTCCGCCTCTTTCGGCAAGGGCTCCTCCACCCACAGCGGCATCATGTCCAAGATTTTTGGCGACGATGACGGCGCCGACTTCTCCGGGGCAGACAAAACCGAGGACGAGCCCCCCGTGCCGAAGAAGCCGACTCCGGACGAAGGCGACGACAATGAGCCAGTCGGACATGACGGTCTCTGGGTCACTATTACGCCTTCGACCAGCTCCAGCCCCTTCTTCGACACCCTGCTGGTCCTCGTGGTCAGCCCCCTGATCACCTTGAGCGTCGTTTACGCGCTGCTCATCCTGCGTGCGCGTATTCGCAGGAGACGCTGGAGGGCGCCTAAGTCGGTCGTCGAGCGCCTGCCTGTTCGCACCTACCATACCGTCGCGGCCTCGCCTCTGCCCTCGCCGAGGCTGCCTTCGCCCACGACCCCGACCCCCACCACGCCTCTGCTGCAGCAGACCCCTGCACGGCCAAGGCCTCGTTCTAGGACGACGACGGGCATCCCCGAGTCGGAGAGTCTGCTGTCCGTCAACTCGGCCCTGCAGATGCCCAGGTCGCCCTTGCGGGCCGAGCACGAGAAGCCGAACGGCAGCTATTCGAGCGAGTGGAAGAAGTACATGGGCCGGCAAGTCGAGTGCGTCGTGTGCTTGGAGGAGTACGTCGACGGCGTCAGCCGCGTCATGAGCTTGCCCTGCGGTCACGAGTTCCACGTCGAGTGCATGTAAGTGGCATTGATCTTGAAACTTTTGCACTTTTTTCTTTTTTTGCTAACGAATCCTAGCACGCCTTGGTTGACGACACGCCGTCGCACATGCCCCATTTGCAAGGGCGATGTCGTGCGATCTCTGGCACGCGGCTCTCCGTCCAGTCCTCGGTACGAGGCGTACCACGACGACTCTGATGATGAGGTAGAAGCTGAGGCATCCGGTTCAAGGGACCGGGGCGAGGACATGGAACAGGGCATCCTCTCACCTGCGCCTAGAGGACGCGAGACCCGGCCCGAGGGATGGCTAGGCTTGCTATCGGGTAGTTTCAGCACATCCTCTCGAACCAGCCAGCCGTCGCAGGAGGACCGCAACAGGTGATCCGGTCCACGCGTACAGGTTTATTTTGCGATTTTTCTTTCTGGTTTTATGGCGGCAATTCTGAGCTTTCGCCCCGTGCACGGCCGAAACAGGTCGCATAGGGAGGATGGGACATAAATGGCGTAATTTGGGGTTTCTTGGGCAGACACTTTGGGATGGTGTCATTGGGCAGCATGGCCGGAATATCCACATACGGCCCCCGGCGGAGAACGGGGGAACCTCTACACACTCGTTCCGATCAGTTTTCTTTTTTCTTTTTGCTCTTTTTGTCAGATTTGAAATGTCTGCTCGTTGGCCGACTTGGCCCACCTCGAGAGAAGGTGTCAAATGTCAAGAAGGGCGGGGGGGTAGGTAGATAAGGTGGTAGAGAGCCGACGGTAGAGGGGAGGAAGAGGGTGGCTATCATACCCGTCGTCTTGTTTCCCCATAGAAGGGGGAGTGGGGGGAGCGGACGCCTCTTGGAATACGAATTCCATTGCCAATGCCTCTGCGGAGTGGGTTCATACGTGCGTGATGTGAGGTGAAGGCTCTATTGACTTTTGAAGGTTCAAGCCTCAGTGCCCGTCCGAGGCGGACATGTCTTATGGGCGTATATCTTGTGGGCTGATGAAGGCGCTTCCGCGGCCATCCGTTCCTGTCCTTGTGTAAGGAAGCTGATGTAAGTAAAAGTGAGTGTCGTGTACTGCGTTTGCTTCATCATCTCGCCGAGGCGGGGGGGGGGGGGCAGCAGTCAGATGTGCTTGGCAATTTGTGCATCTCCCATGGTCCTTGGGACACCTACCTTGTGAGTCAAAGGATTTGGCAGGATATTCAGATGGTAGAAGCGACCAATGCAAAAAAATCAGCTATGACTCTATACCACAGGAGGCGGCGTCAACAATAGGTAGATGCCGTTGTAGCAGATCATCCGCGGAGCCTCCCTCTCGCGGTGGGGGGTGTTCTGAACTGTGTGGGTTTGTAGTAGAGATGAAGGAAGAGAGGGTGTCTGATCAATGGTGTCCGTTGTTGGTTGGCGTGCCCCGGCCGTTTCTCGTCGAAGCAGTGACCGTCGGCCCCCCCGTACGATACCGGGCCCGGTCCGGTACTTGCCCCCCGAACCCCTTTGCTCCACTCGGATCCGGCACCGCCGGGTTTCCTATTCAGGCAACATGTTTCAAAGCCCGCCTCGCCGAGTGTTGCCGGGACACACGATGTCATTTTGGTCAAAACTAAAATTTTATGAATCTGCATAGCTAAATCCCCACAAAGTCTCTTGACGTGTCTGTATCCAATGATGTATCATTTTGGGTTTCTGACATGCTCTGAACTACCTGTGCAAGAGTGTGCTCCACCGCTATTCGATCAGCATGGCCTTCAAGGCAGTGCTCTTTTGCGAACTGCTACGATGCTATTGAGCAGCTGGGTCGCATCCTCGGTTCGTCCGGTAGCCTCGCATACGAGAGCGAGGCAGTGTTGCGAGTACTGTGGGCTATCAATGTTGAATTCTCCTAGTTCCTCATCTTGGGATTTTACGGCATGCTCTAGTGGCTCCATGGCCTTTCCGTGCTGTCCGGCTTGGAAATACACTTTTCCAAGCGATATCTGTAGCGCCAAGAGCAAGGTGCGATTTTCCGCTCGCGTGTTCCAGCAACTCTGCAGCTTCTGTCAGCTGTCCTGTCATGGAATAGAACTCCGCGAGGTTGAAATATGCCAACAGTCGATTCCTGTCGCTCACCAGGCTTTCCCACTCTTCTGTTGATGTAAGGAGCTCGACATGCTTGGCGGCTTTCTCTAGCTGGTTATCGCGCAGATATGCGGCCAAGAGTTGATTTCGGGACTCGAATAGATACGTGGCGTTACCGTCTCCCGTTTCTAAAACAGCGACGACATGCTCCCATATCTTGAATGCTTTCTCGGTTTCACCCTGGTGAAAATATGATCCCGCAAGCTCTTGCAACAACGAAAGTAGTGTTGAATCGTTTTCAGCATACTTGCTTCGCGTCACCTCTACTGCGTGTTCGAGCAGTTTAATGGCCTCTCCAACTCGGTCGCATTCAGTGTATGCATTTGCGAGTTCTATCCACAATAGGCCGCTCTCTGAAAAGGACACGTCGCCGTTCTCAACCATCTCCTCTAGCATCTTAATGGCCTGTTTTGCTTGTCCGGATATGCGATACATGCCCGCAAGCCGGTACTGATGTACGCGTTGCCTCGGGTCATTTTTCGGAAGCGTCTCTACCAACGCCTTTACGACGTGCTCCAAAAGCTCGACTGCCTTTTTGACTTGACCTTCAAATCCGTAGGCCAACGCTCAAGTTCGCTTTGCAGTTCAAGGAAGATGGTCGCGTCTGGATGCAATGTCCTACGGCTGGCTGCCACAGTATCTTCCAAGAGCCTGATCGATTCTCGGAGCCGATAATCCCTCATCAGGAACTTCGATGTCAATTTTGCTAACAGCGCTTCGTTCAATCCCCAACTTCGATCGGTGCCCCTGCACTCGAGTAGTTTCAGTGCGTGGGGTAGATATGCTCGCGACAATTCGCTTTTCTCCCGCACATGGGAGGCAAGTCTTCTCCGAATACAAATCAGTGCATATTTACGAATGCCACCCGCTAATTATTTCTTTTCGAACCAGATTCGGCTGGCGAGATGGACCAAACGGTGCATGGAGAGTAAGTTGGTTCCAGGTCGTTTATCGAGGAATGCAAAACTAGCCAAGATACCACTAGCATAGTGAAGGCCTTCTATGTTCCGTCGGGGTAGAAGATCCATTGGAATAGATGTAGGCTCATTCTGTGAGATGAACTGTAGCAGAACCATGGCCGCTTTCACGTCGTCCATTTGCTCCATTTGCCCGAAGGAAACGAGCCACGTGGTTCCCACGGCGTGACCGATGTCTTCGTCATCGTACCGCGTATGGTCTCTGTATTCACGGCTCAGCAGGCCAGCTGCTTCCTTCTCCGTGCCCCTGAGGGTTGACAAATAGTCCTCGATGGACGTTGAGATGCAGTTGTTACGGAGATATGCTGCCGCTTGGTAGATGGCAAGAGGAAGGTGTTCCAATTGGGCGAGGAGGTCCTCAACCAACCCGATAGGCCGAGTTAGTTCCTCCGGCATGACCTGGTCGAAGAATTTCCTGGCTTCGGACGTGGTCATCTTCTCCAATTCGAGAACTTCCTTGCCAGCAAGCTCAAATGCAAGCTTCCTAAACCTCGATGTGAACAAAATGCGCCCATCTTCGTTTTCCGGGAGAAAGTTGCTGATCCCGGGAGAGTTTCCTGACCGGAACATCGTCTGGCCATCGTCGGCGTTGTCCACAATGAACAGCCAGTTCCCTGAATCCCGCGAATTAAGGAACCGCTGCACGGTCTCCTTTGGATCCTCGTCCTTGGCCACTTGGATGCCTGATCTGTCGATAATGCCGCTGCATGCCTTCTCGAAAGCGCTCATGCTGTATGCCTGAACCCAGAATACTGACCATGTTGGCCGGTTCTCTTTGAACCAGAAGGCAGTCTGCAGGGCGACCTGTGTCTTGCCGATACCGCCAAGGCCAGTGATAGCAAGGCGTCGTGGCCGGTCGTCGACACAGAGCTTCGCACGGAGCTCCTCGAGGAAGATCTCTCGCCCTAAAAAGTCGCGGTTTTGCGTAAACGGTACGATGAAGTGACGAGGCCGAACACTATGCCGTGGCAGACTTTAGCAAATTTTGAGTTCATACCGGATTTCATTAATAATGTACTGGGTCATACTCTTCCTCCATCGCAATCGGTAAGTGAAAAAAAGTTCCCTCGCATAGGCCGCTGCTGCCGCCGAGGCGTAGCCGTGCCAGTCGTCATTCTTGAGCGCGTCACAGTAGTTGGAGATGCCCCGGATGACAAGGCATCGGAAATCCGTGAGGGCGCCCGCTGCCTCCATCTCGAAACAGAGCACGCCGTGCTCTTTGGCTAGCTTGTCTCTCAGACCGGCGTCTCTGAGCAGAAGCTCGCCCGATGCAATGGTACCTCGATGAACGATGATTCCACCCGTGTCTTCGTCTTCAGGCCCGCGCATATGATCCTTGGACACACCCGGGTGTTTGTATTTGGAACGCAGCATCTGATTCGAGAGAATCCGCTCGATGTTACTCGAGATGGGGCAGTCTTCTGACGCTTCCAGATCGATTTCCAGGCTCCGCGCGGCGTGGAGGAGAATGGGAGGCGGGCTGTCAATGTACCCGGTCCGCTTAAAGACGCCATCCTCTGCCTTGATTTGGCTGTAGTAGACTGCGCCGGAGTGTGCATCCTTGGACTTGCTGACAACCACGTGGCTGAGGCGTATCATGCCGGCCTCCGATCTAGTAGGCACACCCCCTCCGGTACCTACCAGCAAGCCGAATTCCAGGTTACGAAAAGTTGACTGCATGGAATTAGCTACCATGGCAGCCGTGCAGTTTCCCGGTTGATGCAAACTGGCGATTACAACGTTGTGGCCGCTGATGCTCCCCAGCCTGTAGATGGTGGGATCTGTGCACGGTTGTGGCAGGTTCTCATGAACCTCATCAAGCATAGCCAGGGCGGCTTGCATATCAACATGGAGTGGGCAGATCCAGCCGATGCGATAGTTGCCGCGGGCGAGTTTCTTTCGAGCTGTTACAGGTACAGTAGACTATTATCCGGTGAAGATCAGCTGCTGTGCTGGAAGAGACAGCAAGTTAAGTCGAGCGACTTACCATTTCGGACTATATCGTTTGAATCACCAGTGAATTCTTGAAAGAGAGTGAGTTGTTAAGTTGAGGAATCTCAGGTGGCCGACGCGGGGTTCGTCGTTGACTTCGCGCTGTCCAGGACTCTGCAACCTGATGCGGTGCCCATCTCATTCCGGGATCCTGATGACCAATGACACTGTAGTCTTTGCCGCCGTCAGCTAGTAAGATCAAATACATGGGTGTCATTGCTGTTGGAACTATTCGAGAGTTAATCCTTGCATATCAATGCTCTTCCATGCAGATAGGCGGCGCTTCCCCCGGGTCTCTGCAATAACTAGCCCCACGCCGGCTTGAGCATCGACTAGTATTGTGAGAGACGCAACACACGAGATTGAGGGCAACAATAGTGCGTATATTGGTGCCGAATGTGAAGGTGCACAAGCTAGGAAGTCTGCTAGCAAATATCTCTGGCAGAGGTGAAGTGTCATCCATCCAGAGGACATAATGAACGAGCTGGCAATGTCATGAAGCATGTTGAGGTGATAATTCACACCGCAACATATTATGATATCAGATTTACATATTATCCCTTTCAGTGACGCACCTGAATCCCCTGGGAGGATTGATGCTAGAGTCAACACATGAGAGGCCACAGACGACCACAGGAACGCGACTATTGAAAACGCTCATTATTTACCGCTAGAATTTACCATAATACTATGACCGCACCCCAAATAACTGCGGAAACCTCTACCATGATCCTGGGTAGCCTGTACGATCCTCCGGCTGCAGAATTAGACCCTCCAATTGTTGGTATCCGCGTCTCGGACTGCTCGCTTGATCGCATGCTGGGGGTCGAGGTTGAGCCAGAGTCAAAGTCGCGGTTGATACTTGCTGACGAGGTCGAAGCTGCCCGCGTAGGCCGATCCAAATCCCGCGATGTCGTCGTCCTGACAACAGACGTCGTCCTCGTCTGCTGGACGGACGTCGTGCTGCGTTCGGCTCCACCACCGCCGTCGTTACCAGCTCCGTTCCTTCGTCGACACCTCCCGTTCTCGATGCATATGTCCCCGGCGTCGCAGTAACTACCGTCGGAGCAACATACAGTGCCCGTGGGTATACACTTGAAGGGACCGCAGCCGACAGTGCCGGATGGGCAGCACCCGCCCCCCGAGAGACAGGTCTTCCCCGAGTCGCAGTACTCGCCACTGGAGCAGCAAGTTGCGCCCAGCGGCATACAGCGAGATCCACAGCTCGTCTGTCCGGTGCTACACTGCCCTGTACTGCCTCCACCGCCGCCGCTGCCGGGCTTTCTGCACTTCCTGTCTGCTGTGCATGTTTCTCCGGCATCGCAGTATCCTCCGCCAGGGCAGCATACATTGCCGGCGGGCATGCATTTGCCGTTGCAGTTGTCTTTCCCAGCTCCGCATCCCACGAGGAGGCCAGAGCAGGTTTTGCCGACTGGGCAACACCCAAGGGCGGTACAGTACTTGCCATCCTCGCAGTACCCTCCTCCAGAGCAGCAGGTGGCATCATAAGGGATACACTTGTCTTTGCCGCACGGTTTCATTGAGCGCGTTTCACATGAGCTAACGGCGGCGATGTTGATGTCGGCCCCGAACGATCCGATGCCCAAGAAGAGGGAGTTGAGCTGGGCGGCTTCGTTGGGAAGGGTCAAGTTTTCATAAGCTAGTACGGGGTGGATGACAACGCCAGCAACGGCCAGAAAGACGGGGTCAGATAGCATTTTGATATAATCCGTGGCTCAGAACATATGGCTCTGAGCTGTGGGGCTTAGGAGTAAAGAAAGACAGCAAGACTCATATGGTAAAGCTGTTATATCAGTGCATAGGTTGATATATGGCAGAAACGTCTCCCGGGGGTGAAAGAAGGGCCGAGAGTCAAAGCCTTCGGTTTTCATTAGTTTTCTAAAAGCCGTATGCAATAATACCAAGCCAACAAAAAAAGAGCATCGTCTGCTGTCGTCGGTGGTGTTGTGTGGCGTAACTCGCCCTCGCTCTACGCTGCCACTCTCGCCGCGAAAGTGAGACAGGGAGGCAACGAACGTCTCACGGCGAAACCAGACAGGAAAATCTTGTGTTCTTTCAGAAAGCTTGGGGTCATGAAGACATAATTGCACGAAACTTGGATTATGAAGCTGGAGATGAAGCCGGATTCGAGGCGTCCGCTAGTACTTTAAGCACCGCCAAGGCTCAGAGCTGAGTCTCTCGCCTCATGATCGCCGGATGCGTTCTAAATTCGAATATGAGCGTTCGGGAACATCAGCGCGTGCGCCAGCCTGAACATGGCTACGAACTCTGCAAACCTCGATAAAACTGCCTTGCAAATCGCCCTGCCAGCCACCCACCCTACAGAATGCCTTTCCAGCCGCTGTGAATGGAGAAAGTCCAAAGTCGAAAAACCATCTGCGAACGCGGCTGTGAAACTGAATATGGCCACCAAACAAAGTAATGGAGACACTTTGCATCCTTGATGCCTCTTAAAAGCCCCTGAACGGGTAAGTCGTTCATCCACATCGACGTACATATGCAACCACCAGGATCGATATCGATCAGCCGAGGTGACTGGGTAGGGAAGAATCCACTAACAGCTTGAGGCATCAACAAATACAAAAATAGGAACTTGTGTTATCAGGTTGCATTGAACGAAAGATGGTGTAGGGCAAGTTTCCGCGGTGCAAGAAGCTGGGTCTCTAGATGGCCCAAGCAACGGCCAGGCGTTCTGTTACGACGCGAATCACGCAAAGCTCGGCACATATGGGCTATTGGAACTGCACAGGGTAGACAGCCAGATATTCCTCAGAGAAAGGAAACATAAAACGGGTCTTTCGCGACTGTACGTAGACGAACCGACCAATCGTTACCTTGGCGCTCTCCGCGTACCTTGGTGGGGTTGATACCTGTTCGTGTCTGCCAACCCACGTCTAATACCCAACCAACTGCAGTCCCAACCAAAAGCAGTAAGCAACGTGGTTGGACATTCATGCAATTTCGAGAGATTGGCCAAGAGCCCTTATGCAGGCTTGCCGCCTAACCGCCCGCCTTCAGAACCAACAAGTGTTTATTGATGTAACACTGAGCAGAGCGGGCGTCACTCCGATGCCCCTGGTCTGACGTGGCATGCGGGCGTGAGAAACGCTCAGAAGTCGACGCGATAGCTCACTCTTCTTGTGGCTGCAAGATGCCTTGATGTTCAATTTGCTTGGCAGTTCTCTTAGGCCGTCACTGTCAGAACTGGATCTGTTACAATAGTGATATTCCGATACGAAGAACTATAGTCCACCCCCCGTTCCCCATAATCACGCAACGTTTAGCGAACAACGTAATCGATCATGTCTAATCACACACGCGCACAGTCACAACGACGGCATCAGTTGCTTCCTGACGGCCCGCCAGCTCCTGCGGATAAAAAAGCCTTCTTCGCTGTCGCATCGACCCCGTTGTGGGTGCTTTGCCTCCGCGAATTCTGCCTCGCCGTCCGTCTGCTCGCCTCCGCCCTGGCCTCATCGACCTGGGCCCTACTCAGCACCAGACCTTCGTGTAGCGTCTCTTGATCGTTGTTCTCTTTAAACAAGACGAAGGTGGGCCAGACGAAGGCGTCAATGTTCTCGACCGCGCCCAAGCTCGGTCCGGACGCCTCTGGTTTGGGTCGTGCGCCGTTTTTCTTGCCGCCAGGAGAAGGAGACCCTTGGGCCTTGGGCGACTGGCCGTCCATTCCCGGAAACTCCATCAGCTTCCAGGGGTCAGTGTCGAGGTCGGTTTCCAAGTCTGACACGGGGTCCACTCTGTTGGCCAACCGTTGTACGCTCTCCCAACAACGGCTTGCGTCCTGACAGATTTTGTGAAGAGCCGATGCGAATTCATTCTGCTTGCTCTCATGCAGCAGCAAAGGACCCACGCACTTGACCACATTGTTACTGGCTTTCTTTGCTCGTTCCGAAGCATGTTGTTCATGCTGGGGCGGGCATAAGTTCAAGAGGACCGAACGAAGGTGCGCCCCCTTTTCAAGCTCGGAAGTTGTTAACCCGAGGCCGTTCAGCAAGCCTGCCAGTTCATCATCGCCCAGCAGGTAGGTCGGCTGGAAGACATGTTCTCTCAGCTCAGTTGCAAGGATGGCCAAGGAAGCAGCAACTCGCATCTTCTTGGCAACAGACGAGTTCGTCAAAGGAGAATAAATGCCTCGCGTGGCGAGGTGCTTGCGCATCTCATTCCACCGGGTGGGATTACTCAGCACCTCCTCTGCAAGGTCAATTCCCATATACTTGCGCATCAGGGAGAATGAATCTTTGAATATAGCACCCAGCTGACCCCGACTGCTTCACATGTTAGAAGGACGACGCAAAGTTGTGAGGTAAACGTACGTGGCATCAGACAGCGCTGGCTCGAGCTTCACAACGAATCTGTCAAGCTTGCTCAGCCGGGCATCCCTCTCATCTAGCTCCGCTTTCAGTGTCTTCAGTTCTCCTTGAACCTTTTGCTCGCATTTCTTCGCTTCTGCAACGGCCGAATTTGTGGCTTTGAGAGCATTTTCCAGCTGGGTGGTTTTAGCCTCTCTTTTCTTGAGCTCTCCTTGCAGCTTCGAAATCCCTTCCGCATCTGCTTTAAGCTGCGTCTCTTTCTCTTTCAGCGCAGTTTCAGTCAGTTCAATCTTCTTCTTCAACTCGGCCACCGTATTGTTGGCGGCTTCGAGCTGGGAAGCCTTGGCTGCCGTCCGTCCGCGTTCCACCGCTACTTCACTCTGGAGGCCCGTCAGGGTCTGAAGATTCACATCGTACGCGGTCTTGACGTCTGTGGCCTTGTTTCTGAGTTGTTCGTTTTCCAAGACGAGCGTTTGGAACTGGCCGAAGGAAGAGTCGGTGGAAAGCGCCTGGAAAAGCTTGACGCAGCTCTCTACAAGCTGAACCGACTCCGTTCGAGAGGCCATGATATACTAACTAGGTCTCAAATCAAATATAGAAGGATATTCTCTCAGGATGGAACTATGGGAAGGATTGCATATATAAAAGGCAACACAGGATCTAGCATGAGCAGAAAATGGCGAAGCTGGCAAGGTTTGAGTCTAGTCTTGAAATGATTTATATACCCAACAGAGCTCTTACAACTGGGCCTTTTTACAATTACCTATTTCCCAGTGATGTATCACTGATCAATACATCCAGCACTGTCCCTACAGACCTTAACCCGTTGCAGGAGGTTCGTCCGATGCAGAATCATAGGCAGATATCAATCCACGTCTTGTTGCCCTGCACTTCGAGTCAAGATGAGGCTTGCTGTCCGCCATCGGGCAATCAGAACGAAGCCCGCACACTCATCACCGAGTAGTTTGTCCGTTGGCCCGCAGAATCAAGGCAGTTCTCAACCTTTAGGAAGCCATCCCGATTGGTCAAGGTCAAGAACCCGGAGATAAAACCACTACAAAGGCGTGTGGGGGTGGCGTGATACGCGGTGCGATCTGTTGGTCGCACACCTGCTGCATGCTGAAGGCAGGCTGCCAGGCGAATGCTGCCAATGGAACGCTCTTCGGGCTCGAGGACGGGTAGACGTGGCAGGTCAGGTCAACCAACCGTAAACAAATCATGCTCCAACGGCCAAAATCTTTGCTCCGCAGAGCATGCCACCAACGACAAGTAGCCCATCCGCCAGCCTGGTCTGCGACCGACGCTCACTACCGAAGAGGGAGTCCAGACCATGTCACGAAGCATTGGGTAAACATCTATCTACGATGAAAAATTCGTGGGATCGGTGGGGGGTGTTGTCAAGGGGGTCGCAGGTGAGGCGTTCCCGCTACATGCCGAGCGGCAGCATGCCAAGGAGATACCACGGCACTATACACACTTCAACAAAACAAGCGGGTGAGACTATCTACGGGGGGATCTACAGACTTTAGTACATCTCGTGGAAAGCTAAGGATGCTAATGGCTGATTAGATGTACAACTAGCTGATAGAAGGCAGGGGACAGCGGCGGTGCTGAGTTATGCAAATACGTGGACGAAGGTGTCAATTACGGCTGAGTACTCCCACAATTGACCATTCTTCCCGACCTGTACAAGCTACCTTTAAGATGTCGCAGTTTAGATATCATGGATCTCAAGTGAGTCAAGGGACAAACTAAAGTAGTAAGCGGAAAGGAAGCATGCCATACACGCACCAAGGCACATGATAATCGGCGATTTGACACAGCGGTCTTCCTTCGTTCGGTATACCAATGCAGTGCGGCCCCTATCGTCTCGCTTGTTCGTATCTGCGCCTGCTTCCAACAGTGCTTTGGTCGCTGTCGGAGAGACCATGACAGCAAGCATAAGGGGCGTCTTCCCATTGCTGCAAGTTACATCGATTGAAGAAGCACAGGCTGACAAGGACTGTGCCAGGGATTGGACGGATGCAGTGATTCGAAACTTTTGATAGCGTGGTTGACGCATCTTTCTCTTTTCGAGTTTCTTGTCGTAAATGATTATTTTTGATTCGTACTTGTCGATGGGCTCCTCGGGGTGAACCAGCCAGTGTAGAGTGGTGTAGCCTTTGGAAGAGCAGCTGGAAGGGTCAGCACCCAATTCCAAGAGCATTTGTATCAGGTCGTGTTCCCCAAACGCGGCTGCAATCTGGATAGCGGTCCGGTGGTCCCTCCACATTTGGCAATGGATGGAAGCTCCAGCTTGGACGAGCCGGCGGCAAAGGGAAGGGATAAAAAAGCTGCCCGCCTCCTAAAGTCGTTGTGCATGGTCCTTAGCAAGCGGAGAGGCCTCTATCCAGTCAGCCAGCACCTCAAACAGGTCGTCACTGACTGAAGGGCTCGCTCCCGCTTCATATATCGCAACGAACGCGGGTGGCCATGGCCTTGTCCACCCCTTTCGACGGTCCTCTCTCAATTCCTTTCCAGTCATTGTTCTATTCTGGCCGCTAGACCTATCTCGACCCCCCCAGCGGTAGAGGAAATGTTCAGGGACGTCGTGAAGCCATTCTAGATCCGTCACGGAAGACAAATCTTTGCAGAGAGTGGCGGGCGCAGCATCCGTAATACATGTCCAGATCAGAGTTGAGATGGGCACATTTACGGAGAGCATCGAGACTCGGTCATTGTCGCCCCTCTCCATCGCCCGCACTGCTTGACTAGCACTTGTCAGATTGTACTCCCCAAAAGCTATATGGAATTCGTCAATGAGGCCGTAGCCTTTTTCGGCCTGCCACCGAGGGACATTCGCACGAGGCCTATGAAGGTATATTAGCAGGGCTTTAGCCAAGGCGGCACGATTCTGGACTACACTCACAGTGGCTGGGCTAAGGGTGACGATGAGTCTTTCAGTAAAGCGTGTATCTTGCTATCCATAGAGAAAATCTTTTCCAGGCATCCATTCCTTAGGGCGTCAGTAAATCGACGAAACGTCTCATCGTACACCCAAACACTAGATAAGGGTTCCTTGGGCCACCGTAAGCTCACCCGTAAGCCCCACGGTGATTTAATCTCAGTGATCTTTTCAGCGACCAGGAAAAACCAAGCCCAGAATGATGGCTTGCTGACGTCTATAATGGCAGCGTAACGAGCGTCACCAAGGGCCTCCATAGCGGACTCGCCTCCGAGAATGACATGCTCATGCCAGTTGAAGGCGGCGTGGAAGAAAATTGGTCGGTCTAAGAGGAAATATTTTAGGTCATGATATATATTGTCGGAAGCATTCATACTGTCACACCTGATGTGAAAACAATCGTTAGATTTGCCCAAGACTGGATTTACTCGGCCACTCACACTTCAAGCACCCACTCTTTCGATACCGTAAACGTGAGGATGTCCAGGCATACCATAGCACAGAAATCTTGAACTCTTCGACATCAGTTGGCAACTCGAGTTCGTTGTACGAACGCGCCGGGCCGACCGCGATGGTCGTCGGCTGTGTCAGGCAGTAGACGACCTTGAACTCGTTAACAGTGAGCGTCCTTCGCACTCCGAGAATTACGCCGAACAGCCCCCAAGCATGTGCCCTGTCCAGACTGCGCTTCAGCATCTCGTCAAACTGGTCACAAAGTTACTGAGGAATGTCAGCGAGGATGATGTCGATGGTCCGCTTCCCCGCCCCTTTGTGCATCCTGTGATGCGAATCCAGCAGCTCAAATGCCATTCGAACCGCCAGGAAAGATCTCGTATGTACATTTTGGTCACAGAGCCTGGTAATCAGCAGGTCTTAGATGCTCTGGTTTAGCTGTCTCTTTTGCGCTAGCTCCTTCACCTTGAACCGAATGACCTTGCGAATGTCGGATTTGACCCGGGCGTTCTCGCTCGCTAAGTGATGGATGCTACTGGACGCTACCAAGTCAGCGTAGGGGTGATTCTCGTCTTGGTAGTGCCTGGATGATACGACAAATCTCAGTCTAGACGTAGGCTGCACTTTGTTCTGGAAAGCGTCTGCGAGGTCGGCCACAAGCTGCTTCCTGTCTGGTGCTGCACACTCGTTGGTGGCATCTAGTACGCAGAAAATGGCACGCTTCGACTGGGAGGCAATGTTAATGATTATCTGCCACATTTCTGCGGTCTGATGGCAGATCGCGTTTCCATACTACCGATGGGGTCCTCTGGCGTGTTTAACCAGCCCGCGTTCCTTCACTAACAGTTGGTAGATCAACGTGCTCAGGGCCGTGTCGTAGCTGCGAAGCCGGTCATCGTCGTCTTTAAAGAAGAAGTATGCAATCAACGGAGAATCGTCAGCCGCCTGGAGCGTGTCTATGACGGCTCTCTATTGTAGTTGATTTCCCACCACCTGCTTCTGCTGTGACGAACAATAGCTGTGGTTCCCTGGCAGTCCGAAAGGCTTTATACTCGGGGTGGCGGAAGAACCATTGGCCGGTTTCTGGTGCACACACGCTATTTCTATCCATTTGGAGGACGTAGTTGATCCCTGTTTGAAAGGCGTTGATGCAGTCTGAATCTTCGGCGGCCTCATCGCGGGCCGTGTTTTCGAGATGGATACTCTCTATGCCCTCCTCAAGGCTCTGGAACTCCTTCTTCATCTCTGAAAACCCTAGAGCCAGCTGCTCGCCCTGGCGTTCGATGACAGTTTGGACGTGAAGCAAAACATGCTGTCCAATTAACTGGGAATGCGCATCATCAGATCAGGCTTCCAAACGTAGATTACGGCGCGAAGACTTACACTGATATCTCTTAGGTTGGACTCCTCCAGCTCTTTGATGTTCTTCACCAGCGATCCGTTCCGTGCTCGGATTGAGGAGAAGCTACATGAGGTCAGAGCCGTACCCTGCATCGCATACTGGGGGCTTACAGGTAATATCACGCTACACCCTGCCCATACCAGGGCCGCATGCGGCTCAGTACTGGCAACAGCGGCTACAAAAGCGGCTCCCTTGGTCAGGATAGTCACGGTCCCTTCAGCGAGACGTTTGGCATGACTGCTAAAGGCCCCTTCCTCGGCAAGCTTTGCCTTGACGGCCGTCACCTTTGATTCAGCCGTGCGTAGGAGCTTCTCTTTCCTATCATTACCGGAGACATGTTCGAACTCTGATTTCGCATCCGGACCATCTTGGGCGAGGAGATGCTGCTGATACTTCGCAACCAGTTCTGGCTCTTCTGATTGGATGGATGCCCATGCCTCGTCTCAGACAGAAGCGATGCTTCGTGCTTCGCCCTCTGGAAGCGTCGTGGTTTGCACGTCAAGCGATCTTCTGCTCCTCGGGTTCGTCTGCTCTCTTGGCGAGACAGCGCCAGATTGAGCAGATCGACTTCGGGAGCGTAATCGTTCGGGGATGATGGCTTTCAAGCGGTCGCGCATGCCGACGTGCTCATTCGTCGTTCCAGACATGTTCACAAACAGCTGGTCGCCTACCTAGGTACGGTAGGATGAAGGAAAGTGTTTACCTGCCTTGGGTACCTGCCTAGGATGGGAAGGAGTTTAGGATGAGAAAGAGCCCTGGCGGATGTGGTTGCCTGCTGTACCCCGCAGCTTACCGCCTCGCCCTGTTTACGAAACGGGATTGGTGAAGAAGAACAAGCAGGCACTTTCTGCATTGCCAGATTCCGCCTACGATGCAGGGGTCGAGTGGATTGCGGACACTGCATAAGGAGTCACATCAAGATACAGGTACACCATGGGATGAAGCGCCCGTAATCAACAACCGAGTGTGTTGCCGCCACTAATATGTAGGTAGTATAAGAAGCCGAGAGGTCCATTCATTACTGGCAGGTACTTGCAGTTTATTGGTCTTCCTGCCGCTATGAAACGAGTCGAGCAAGCTGCATACCCATGCAGAGATCGTATCTAGGCCTGTGACGTTCAAAATTCTTTTCAATGGTTCTAGATACCGTCTCGATTTTAAAACCTTCCAATACCCTACAGGCCGGGGTTTTTATTGCTGTCAAAGTGAACATGGTCCAAGCTGGCCATGGTTCCGGTATGCACAAAGTACATTATCCAACCCCCCCCCCCCCCCCTCTCACGGTCTTGACTATCTAAGACGAACTAGTTGTGTAATTAACGAGGAGAAGTCGGATTCTGGCCGGTATTGTTTCTCCCTGCCCTCCTTGGTTGTTTCTCAAAAAGGAGGACAATTGAGAGGAGGGAGGTCAAGGAGAAGTAGAGCATGACCCTCATCTGCTGAGAATAGGCCGCGGCGAACACAATTCTCGTCTCGGACTCCTTCTCGGGGGGTAGCGCATTGATATTCTTAGAAGACGATAGAACACCCAATAGCTCTGCCAGCGTCAAGAACCTGGCGGCTTCGGACTTGATGTGCTCTATCAGCAACGCGGAGCAGACAGCAAGCCCAATGGTGCCACCCAGGACCCGGATCTGCGTCACCGCACCCATAACCACAGCTTGGATAACCCGCACAAGTCAGTCAACCCGACTACGGACTAGGGGGTCGTCAAGAGGTTTGCCTCTGCACATACCTAGATCTTTGTCCGAGACGACGATTGTTGCCATCATCAATATCGTGGTCAGATTGAAGCCGAACCCGAGACCCATTATGACTTGGTAGCCGTATTGGGCAGCCGGCACTTTCAGATCAGACGAGTCGAGAGAGCTGAATAGGCCTACCCCGATCACCTGGAGCGCTCCACCTACCATTAGGATATATAGAGGCGGGATCATTAGCCTCGTTGCTAGAAGCCCAGAAACTGCGCTGGCAACAGGGGAGAGGAGGAGCAGGGGCAGCATGCGGATACCGGCACCGATTGCTGTCATGGAGTTGACCGTCTGCAGCCTCTGCGGGATGTTGATGATTGCCGTCATGAAGGGAAACCCCGTAAGAAACCCGTTCCTGTACCAGACGGTCAGCAAGATACCTGCTGCACTTTCCTGGGGAGTGTACTTACAAGAGCAGACCCAAGACGAACCTATTCGAGCTAAGTCGCCACGGGAACATGGGCTCGCAGACGCCGTCCTTTGCCGATATCCATCTCTCCCATGCCGCGAAAGCCAGCCACATGGTCCCGGACAAGACAAAGGTGGAGATGATGGCGGCGCTGTTCCAAGGGTACTCTGTACCGCCTTGCTCGAGAGCAAAGATGATGAGGATGGATGCGGCCAAAGACAAGAACGCGCCGACAAAGTCGACACGTTTCCACGTCTGCCTCGACACCAGGGTGCGGAATGACATGGCGGATCTCCCGTAGGGAAAGCCGAAAGGCACCGAGAAGGCCACCAGCGAGGCTGCAAGGACTCCTCCGGGTCCGCTGTAGTATTGGGGGTTCACTCAATCAGCTGATCCAGAAGTCTCGGCAGGGGGGCCAGGCCTCGAGAAACTTACTTGAAGAAGAAAACCCATCGCCAAGTGGTGTTGTCTGCTATGAGGCCGCCGAGTATAGGGCCGAGAACACTGGAGATGGCAAAGACGGACGAGACGATGGCGATGTAGGTTGCATACTTGGGGGGCGGGACCATCAAAGGTACCATGACAGTAGATAGAGAGTATATGCCCGAACCTCCCATGCCCTGAAGAGCCCGAAAAATGATACTGATTGCAAACATGTCAGTCAGTTTCACGCATGATGACTTGACCGATGATCCGAGGAGGGACCGAGCAGACATGACTTACAGCGGCAGCATGGAATCGGAAGCGCCGCAGGCGAGGGAGAAAACGGCAAAGAGAGTGATGGCTGAGAGAAGCATGAGCTTGCAACCGAGGATGTCGCTTAGTTTAGAGAAGATGATGAGGAAGCCTTGGAACAATAGTTCCCGGTTAGCAAAAGCATGGCATGACATGGTGAACCTAGCTTGCAAAACGGAGCGTTTACCGGTGTAGGTCAGCAAGTACGACGTGACGATCCAGCTGGACCTATCGAAACCGTGAAGGTCGTCGACAATGGACACTAGAGAGGTGCTCACGATGGTTGTCTCGAGCGTCGACAGCAGCAGACCGACACAAAGGCTGTGTGGCACGATGAACCGGTCAGCAAATACTCGGATGGGATCGACGCGACAGGCAACCATGATTGCAGGGAGATAGTCACCCCGCAGTTAAGGCATGCAGCCTCCATCCGGTATGGTATACTTTTGGCCTCGACACGCCCGTCAGGTCGTCCAGTCTGGTGTCGGAAGGGGTTGAGGCGGCCGCTGAGATGCCGGCTGCGCCAACGGTATCGAAGTTGACCTCTTTGAACCCATCGCCGGGGCTCTCTGTGGTCTGTGTTGGTGGTTTGTCAGAGGACGAAGGGCCGCGTATTTGCGCCATCTGCGCCGAATCATGTACTGCCGGATAGAGATTACAATGCGTCAGGGTCAGATGCGCCAAGGAAGAAAGAAGAGAAAAGGAGGAATAGTTGGTTTGGCCGTTGTTGCGTGCAGAATGACGGTAATCACTGGTCGTTGACCGTCGGTGTTTAGCTATTGGAATCAACGAAATCCCCTAAGCAGTATCTGACTCATCAAAGCTGATAATATGGACAACTAACTGCTTCTAGGTATCAATCAATGGCACGAATACGAGGAGGGAGCAACAGGCAAAAGACCCCCCCTCCCCACGCACAGTACCAAACTAACGGGGGGCGACACGTCAGCTTTGAACCCCGGTGGACTGTACGTAGCTGGCGCATCTTCACCCCAAAACACATTGCAGATGCTGCCATCAGCTTGCAATGCTTGTTGGTCGTTCATTTTGCATTTTGCCAGCGTTTAGACTATTCGGGTGTATGTGGGTCACTGGTGGGTACCGGGGCACTACCTATTCCGTTCCCCGCCTGCTGTCCTGCTCCGGCAGGTGGACACACAAGGTACAGTAGGTTCATATACCTATAGGTAGAGCTTAGCTGCACGGCGGCGGGGCAGACACACGTACATACATACGCACATGCATTAATGCATGCAAATATACGGAGTATAGGCAGCTATACATGCATGCTCTGATATCCATCTACGGTGGGTAGGTGCCTACCTAATGTGGGTAGGTAGGTAAGTATCCAGTGTCCGTCCCACACAGGTACATTCGGACAGACAGGAAGGCGGACCCGTGTCCGTCCGAACTCATCGGGCGGACCGGCCCATGGAGAGAGACATTAACACGTCCGAGCCACTGCATAGCTACGGCGTCGACTCGCTCGTCGCAGTCGAGCTGCGCACCTGGTTTATGAAGGACGTCGGTGCCGACGTTGCCGTGTTCGATATCATCGGGGTTGGGGGTTTGGGGGAAGGTTCGAGCCTGAAAGAGCCGGCCGAGCTAGCGGCCACGAGAAGCTCCTTTGTGAGCGTTGTGCAAGATGAGGAAGTGAGTGGGAGGTTGAGAAAAGGCATTCCCAAGATTGGAGCTCGAGAAATATAGCAACCGATATACTAGAGAAATGTTCCTGCACAACCCAATCCAGGTTGTGGAAAGCCCCTCGTCACTTCAGATAGCAGCGGATGTATGGATGAATAATTATATATGTAGAACGCCAAATGGACTGTATAAGCATGCCACATCGCCCGCGGGCGAAGAGAAACATGAATGGCAGCATGTACCCCCGCCCTCTTCCCCATCCAGCCATCTTCAAGTCATGGTTTGTGGGGGTGGGCGAAGGATATTTAGGCCTCCCAGTCCAACAAGCGGGAAATTAAGACTGCCCCATTTCCAGAACGCCAGTGCAATCTCTTCTCCCCTACTCGAAAGCCTTTTCTTTCCTGTTTCCGAGTCCATCGTACATCTGCTGTCGTCTGATGCCATGCAAGTGACATCGGAAGGGTCACACCTTCGTCTCTTCATCCTCTGTTCGTGGTCGTCGTCGCGGTCGACACAGGAGCCCAGCCCGGACCGCTCGTGTTAAAAGTGGGATGTTGGTGATGCCTATGGCGCAAGCCGCCGTCTACATGACGGAGCACTCGCCCTCCTGCTGCTTGCCGATCTTGCTGCGAGAGATGCGCTCCCGCTGACGGGGGCCATCCTTGCCAGAGCGCTTCAGGTCCTCGAGACGCTCACGGGCCTTGGGGAAGTTCTGGGCTGCAAAAAAATGTGTCAACAAAGGCATTTCTTCAACAGGTGCCGTCGGACTTACCAGCCGCTCTCCAGTACCACCGTTTCGCGTCCTCCATGTTAGCCGGCACACCAATGCCCACCTCGGTAAAGTAACCCATCGCATACTCGGCCTTTGCCAGGCCGGCCGTGGCAGCCTTGCGGGCCCATAGATACGCCTCCGTGTCGCTCTGCTGGAGGACATTGTCGCTACCTGTAAGATACCAACCACTGAGCGCCAACTCGGCTTGATGTTCGCCCTGCTGTGCAGCGCGGGAGTACCACATGATGGACTGCCGGGGGTCGACGGGGCAGCCCATCAGACCATATTCGAACGCGCAACCCAGGCGGTACTGCGAGAACTTGTAGCCGAGGTCGGCCGCCTGCCTGAAGAGCGAAAACGCGTACGCTTCGTCCTTGATGATTGCGTCGTTGGGCGCAGCCGATTCATAAAGGAGACCCAACTCGTGCAATGCGTGGGGGTTTTCGGCGTCGGCCCGTTCCGCAGCTCTCTTGAGCCAGCCAACAGCCTCGCGGGGGTTCTTTGACTGGCCGAGAAGTCCCTTCAACAGGATCATGCCGACCTTGTACATGGCCGGAGTATCCCCCAGAGTAGCAGCTCTCTTATACCACTGAATGGCCTTCAGGGGATCCTTCCTGGTACCGCCGCCCTCTTCGTGGCCGATCTCGCAGCATACTGCCGTTCGGTAGGCCGCGGCGGCGTGGCCGAGCTTCGCAGCGGACTGGTATAGCGTGAAAGCCTCCTTGTTGTCGGGCTCGGGTCCGAACAAGCCCCGGCCAAGGCAGTCGGCGTAGAAGAACATGGCTTCGGGGTTCTGCGCGCTCGACGATAGCTTCTTGAGAATTTTGCCTGAGTCGGCGAGGAATCTCTCGCGGCTGCGAGTCCTCATCTTTGGATCGGCGAGCGCGGGGGCTAGAACATCGGCAGCCTCGACAAGTCTCTTTGCCAGCCTCAAGGCGGACTCTTGGTCGTTGGGGTTCGTCTTGACGATCTGGCGCAACCGCTCCAGTTCGTCTTGGGTGACTGGCGTGGTGATCTCTTGCATCGAGGACTTGCTCGGTTGCTGAGGCATCATCTGCTGCTGCGGTGGAGGTGCGCCGCCGGGACCGGCAGGAGGCGTCGGTCCGTTGGAGGCGCCGCTGTAGTTGCGGATCGGCGCAGGCTTGTCGCCCATGTTCACCATGGAATTGGGCATGTGGCCAGGTCTTACGGGGGCCGGGTGGGATGGCAAATTATCGGGGCCGCGAGCTGGAGGAGGGCCCTGAGGGAAGCCCGGACGTCCCATTTGCGGGTTTTGCGGCTGGCCCCATCCGTTAGGCGCGTTGTAAGCATCTTGGTAACCGTGGCTCATCGGCGGCATCGGCGGAGCATCGCCAGCCATCTCGAAGACGGCCTGCTGCGATTGCCTCAGATCCGGCTGTGATTTGGTTCGGCTCATCTCCGGCACGCGCTTAGCGCCCGGCTGGGTGTGCTCGGCGATGCCGGGTCTGATGTGCTGGTCAAAGGAGCCGCGGGGGCCATTGGGCGGCGGCGCATTGTAATCAGGAACGTCAGGCTGGCCGTAGCTCCCATTGCTATGGTTGCTCATGCGTGTAGAATGGTAGTAGGCATCATACACATCACCGAAAGATGCTCTGGCATCTCTGTATCCGTCTTGGTCCCCTTCATATTCCCCACCATATCTGCCATACTGAGGTCCCATTTGCTGGGGTTGGGGCTGCTGCTGCGGTGGCGGCGGCGGCATCTGGTTCGGATACATACGCTGCGGTGGCGGGCGGTTGCCTTGGGCTGTTGACGGTCGAGGGGGGACTCCATTGCGCGGTGGCGGTCCCCCGGGACCACCATACGGATCCATGCGTGGCGGAGGCGGGCGTCGCTGAGACCCGTCGTTCATAGGCATCGTCATGCTCCTTGGAGGGGGGCCGAAGTCGTCTCTCGGGGGTCCTGGCGGGCCATAGCCGTCGCCTCGGAAGTCGGGTCCGTATCCTGGGTCCGGGCCGCGACGAGGCTCCGGGTTACCTCGCGGTGGCGGCGCCCTACCGTCAGCGGGACCAGGAGGCCGAGGAGCCCCCCCAGAGATGTCCATTCCGGCCATCTTGTTCAATATCGCATTCTCTTCGTCAAGATCCGTCTTGCGGCCTTGCCCTGGGAATGCCGGGAAGGCGCCGCCGAAACCTTGGGGACCAGCCGGGCTCAATGGCCCGGGGTCTTTTGGTCGAGGGCGGTTGGCTAGCTATTCATCAGCATACGAGAGGCGCAAGCGGCAGCACACACACACTCACGTGCAGGATCAGAGTTTGCAGATCGTTCGTACTGAGCAGGGCGACCTCCTCGACCCATGGGAAATCCTCCTCGTCCTCCAGGCGCGCCGCGGGACGGGGGCGCGCCGCGAGCTCCATCGGCCGTTGGTGGGCGTGGTATAGGACCGCCGCCTCTTCCCATTTGAGGCTGAGGCGGTCGTCCTCCTCTCGGCGGGCCATTGGGACCAGGACCGCCACCGTAGTAGTCCTGGGGCGGGTAGCCTTGGTTCGGCGGGGGCGGCGGGCCTCTGCCGTAATTGGGATCCTGCTGGTACTGGCCGCCGTATTCTGGGCCGTAGCCTCCGTCGTCATAGTAATCGTAGCCGTACCCATCTTGCTGGTAGTTGTCGTACTGCTGGGGAGGAGGACCCCGCGGTGCAGGGCCGGGGCCGGGACCGGGACCGGGACCAGGACGAGGCGCGGGCGGACCACCGCCGTATGGGCGCTGTCCCGGATATCCTGCCATCGTCTGCTGTGCCGCGGCTACTCGTGTCGAAGCCGTGTCGGCTGGCTTGTCGATGATGACGGGAGGGGGGGCACAAGGTGCAGAATTCGTTGGGGCGTCGGTTATGGTGTTTTGTTGTGTCGTGTAGGTGTGGTGGTTCGAGTCGGAAATGGGTAGGTTGAAGGAGCTCCTAGGCGGCTCTGTGTCGCATAAGGGCACTGAAAAGAAGGAAATTAGGTGTAGCTCCACAGCTTGCCGGAAATGGACGGTCTACAACAGGCGCAGGCGCATAGCTGACGCTGTCGAGAGCCCCAGGGTCGGCGAGGGGTTGGTAGTCTTGTATGCTGGGATTCAGCGCGTTTCGTGTCAATGCTGATCGACAGTTTCGGCGGGCCAGGCTATGCGCGAGGGTGGACGATTCAGGTTGATTTTCCCCCCCTCCTTTGACGAGGAGAACAGAAACCAATACACAGCGTTTGGTTGC